ATTTTGTCTGTGATTTCCGCTCGAGCGTCATTGTTGAGGAATAGTAAAATCATTTGCAACAATCAAGCGTCTTTGATTTGATTTGAAGGAAATCAAGTTCCTGCCAAATGTATTCAAGGTCTCTTCCGGGCTGTAATTGTGTTGAAGCCAACATTTTCGATTAAGTCGCTTACAATTTCATCGATCGGTATTTGATTGCCAGTGTATAAGAGATTATATGTCGGGATCGATGTTAATCTGCTGAAGGTCACCTCTTCACAATCATCTAAGCTGTGAATTAAGATCTCCAGAGCTAAGGTTTGTCTCTTACACATTTCCTCATCATGTGGTCTCTCATAAACTGTAATACCGGATTGGAGCCAACTCTCAACTGTTTCATTCGAACGAAAGAAAGAATTTATTGTTTCCGTCTGGGATGCCTCTTCCATTTGTAATTTTATCTCCACTAGGGCCAGCGAGGTATAATAATTGAATATAATATATTCAAGCTGTGGTTACCCAAGGCATGGAAATGGTTGTTTACCCGGAACCAGGAAGTGTACTAATTGTGGTGGTAGACATAAACCTGATACATTAAAGTGCTCGAAACTTGTTGTTGAGATCATCCATGGTACTGGTTTGTTTAATTGTGAGAACAGGAAGATCTTGTTAGATTTTGTCTATCGAGCTCATGCATCGAGTCAGAATTAATAATTTAAAATTCGATAATTTCAAAATATCGTATTTCGGTGAGATGAGCGTTAATGATTGGAGGTGGAGCCAATGGTTATTCAACACACTTATCGTTGATGTCCATAGCTCAAAATGTAAAAATTAAACTGAATTTTGGGTTAATTGTGAGCCCGCTTGATTGTCCCAGGCCCTCCGGGCCTTCCTCTGTCGATTTTGATCCTTTTAATGAAGACCTAACCTAACCTAATTTAAACAAACACAGGGATAAGTGTGTTGGATAACTATTAGCTCCACCTCCAACCATTAACGCTCATCTTACCCGTATTTCAATTTAATTTCAATCTTTTGTTATTCGTTTGGAATCAAGAAGCTAGATTAGTTTAAATTAAATAAATCTCGAAATTTTTGGTATTTTTGTCTTAGTTAAAGTCTTAATTATTCAATTTTATTTTAAAATTTCAAATTTAATTCTAGTTTCGAAAATGATTTTGTCAAAAATTGTTAAACAGAAAAGCTTGTCCTGAAAATTTCTAGTCAGAGTTAGTGTTAACTCAGTGAAGTAATTTGCTCTTTAAAATGTGGATATACCTTTTGTTTGTTTTCCTTTCATTTATTTTGTTTATTTTTTGGTTCTTTAATAAATTGTTCTTGTTACATGAGTGAACCGGACGATATGATTTGGAAATGGATATTAGTTTGAACAGTTCTAGGGTAAAATTAAAACCAGAGTGAAAGGTAAGAATATTTTAATATGTTAACTCATCAACAAAGAAATTGATTATAATATTTTGAAGAAATGAAGGAACATTTGACGAGAAGGATGTTTTCTATTCAACCATTTTGGCTTGTACAACTGTAATCTGTGTAAAAGTCGCTTCAATCTTGGACATGATTGTGATTTGGTTCGTCGATGTCACTTATGTATGGAGCCGAAACATATCCGAGATTGTAAAAGATGCGTTATAAATTGCAGAACCTGTGGATTAATACATCGTAAAGGTGCTGAGAGGTGTCAAAACTAATGAGAGACATTTATCGTTATCTCGAAGTGAATTTAATTTTGATGAGGTTTATATCGATTTTTTTTTGATGCTTAATAAGTGTATCTGATACTTTCTTTCGTTTTCTTAAAGAATAATTTCAATCTAATACTTTAAAGTTTACTTTTCTAGTTCTTTGTTTTGTAGTGAATCACTTGATGCTGCTAATAAATAAAATTTATTATATTAATTTTCGGCTTAAACGTTAGAGTTCTAATTTTGTTCAAAATGTTGTCCAGTCAACATATTTTGTTGCTTCTTTTTATTATGTTATTTTTCTCTTTGATAGTTAAATTTGTGATTGTAAAACTAATTAATCATCATTTTTAAATTATTGGTAAGTATTTTAAAATTTTGATTCTTTAACGTTGGAAACTTCTTAGAGGGACAAGGGGCGCCTTAAGCCTCACGAAACAGAGCAATAACAGGTCTGTGATTCCCTTAGTTGTCCGGGGCCGCACGCGTGCTACTGAAGTGGTCACCGTGTAAAATGTTTCCTGCTCGAAAGGTGGGTAATGAACCCATTTCGTGATGGGGATTGGGCATTAATATTGCCCATGAACGAGGAATTCCCAGTAAGCGTGAGTCATTAGCTTGCGTTGATTACGTCCTGCCCTTTACACACCGCCCGCTACTACCGATTGAATGATTTAGTGAGGACTTCGGACTGGTCAATCTAGACTATGAGGTAAAACTTAGAGTCAGATTGTGCTGGAAAAATTTCAAACTTGATCATTTAGAGAAGTATCGTAACAACGTTTCCGTAGGTGAACCTGCGGAAGGATCATTAACAAAACCCCATTGATATCAACGATATTGTATATCTTGTTGTTTATCTCCTCTTCGTAGATCTTATTTATAGGACTATAAGAGTACATAATGTACGTAAACAGGTCGAGGAAGGAAACGTCCAAGTTTCACATCTTAGCACTGACGCTATGATAGCTGACGTTTTAACGAAAGCCCTCGGACGTACAAAGCTTGAAAGGTTTACAAGAGAATTAGGTTTACGTTAAGGGACGGTGTTAGATCTAGAAGATTCTAATGTAACGTCAACCCTCATCGTACATCAGTACATCGTTATAATTAATTAGTTGATTCCCCTCTTCGTCGTCAAGGTGAATTCACCTTGACCAAGGTAACCTTTTTCTTTTGTATATAAAGTCTGTGTAGACAATATACAAGTAAGTCACTTAACAAGTTCACTCTCTACATCAAAGTTAACCCTCACCCTTTATATTACCTTTGTACTGTTTTGCTACCATCTTACACATCTAAATAAAGTTATTTCCAATTCTAGTAAGATTCGTTCTAAACTCTAACAGTTTTTGAGGCCATTTTTCAACGAGATTTTGGTCTAATGTTAAATTCAAGCTCAATTAAAATCTCGTTGAAAATGGCCTTAAAATCATTCAGAAAACTTTACACAATTTAGTTGACGAAAAGAAAGGGAAAAAGAAAGAGAAAAACGACAGTAGCGACTCGCGTGAGATTTATCCCCAAACAGCTCTTTTTGCTGTTGATCGCTCTCTCTTCTTATAATACTCTTTGCTCGGTAAGGCTCAAGATATGTCCGTAAGCTCAACATTCACACTTTAAGCCGATTTTTTTTCGGCTTAGACTGGTGACTTTTTAAGAAAATAAAATTTAATTTAAATTAATTTGGTTAATTAACTAATAAAAAAGGCACTTTAATAATCATCAACTGTATTCATAGAAAATGGATCATTTTTTAAATGTTGTAAGGTTATTTCAAAATTGAGGGTAGGCTGTTTACGACTATGGAACTTTTTCTTGTATAAAAATTCAGTTAGATGATCATCTCGATGTGGGCCATTCGACGATGAAGGAATCTGATCTTTTAAAGATCGCCAAGTTCGTTCGATCGTTTGAGTATGTACATTTTTGTCGAGAGGATTTAAAAAATTCTTGCTATGGTTTACATAGTCATGAAAATAATAGTGATGATTGAGGTTCATATAAGATTTCCAACCATCCGTGTAAATTGTAGTTCCAGGCAAAATTTTCCTTTTAATAACCTCTAATAAGGTGGTTTCCTTTCTGTCTGGAACAATTTCAGCAAATGCAACTTTTGATTGTCGTTCTATGCCCCCAAAAACCCAAACTTGTTCCGATTGATTCTTAGTTAATCGACCTTTATTACTTTTTCGCTTATAAACCATTGTTTCATCCAATTCGACCTCTTTTCCTATTCCTCCGATCATTTTTTCGTTTTTGTTCATAATATTAAAACACATCTGATAAAAAGAACAATTAAAATCATTAATATCAAAAGTTCGAACTTTTCGATTAATCGAAATTTTTTCGATTATCGAAAAAATCGACCAAACATTTTAGGTCATTTCTCGAAAACTATTGATTGTATAAAAAAACTAAAAACTGATCCCGAATCGTCTAATTGAGTACTTTCGAATGATGTATAAAAATTATATGAAAAATCGGTATTCTTATCAAAAGTCTAATCTTGTCAAAGTTACGAAAAAATGAAAAAATCAAACAAGTGGCAAACTTTTTCTCTCGTGTTAATTTGAATACTCAACCAATATTTAAGTTTAATATATTAATCAATTGCATTTTTCTTGCTTATTCAGAATATTTAATAGAAAAAAATAAATTGTCAATATTAATAAAAAATTGTTCTAATCATGAAAAACTCACTTGTCTTAATAAGCTGAAGTGAAGAGAAATCGTTTGCTCGGAGAGGCCTAAGTCGAGTGCGGTCATCATAAGCGATTTGTTTGAACACCAACAAAATATGACCTTCAACAACATCAAAATGGTCAATTTCGATTTTTCAAAAATTGTTCCTTTGGTCCAGTTTGATTGTAATCGACACTTTTTACATATGAAACCCTTACCAAGTTTCGATCTTTTTATTTTGGCTAATACCATTACACCATCACAATCACTCTTAACACAGTTTTTAGGTAATTTGTCAGGAATTAATCCAGAATCAATGGCATAATTAAGCCCAGGAACTTCATCATCAGGGGAAGTAATTAATTGATCAAAATTAACAAAATTTAATTTAGTTGAAACCATTTTAATTAAAGAGTTTAATTTATTGTTTATTTAATTATTTAAAAAATAATAATGTAAATGTGCTCTAATTTGCGCCTTTTTTGACCAGAAAGTGTCATCTATTTATTAATTGATCAATTAAAAGATTAATTAACCAAATTAATTTAAATTAAATTTTATTTTCTTAAAAAGTCACCAGTCTAAGCCGAAAAAAAATCGGCTTAAAGTGTGAATGTTGAGCTTACGGACATATCTTGAGCCTTACCCTTTGCTCTTAATCATCAACAACTTGTTGACAACAATTATCTCGGTCATTTTGTTTTCCCTTTTAATTTTATGGATGGCATTTTAATCTAAAGAGCTCAGGATAGTTAGAAGATTAATATGAATCTAAATGATTTACCTGATGATTGTTTACTTGTGATTTTTGACCAATTTTCTGATCTTGGTTCGTTTCCGAAGTTAACAAAAGGTAAGAAAAAAGTAATTTTTTATTGTTTATCTCGTGGTTACAGTTAATTTGCTAATTAATTTTAATTGTTTCTTCTTGATCTATGGATAATTAGTGTGTAAACGATGGAGAGATTTAGTTCAAATAAGACTACGCAAAGTTATCTACTTGAAATGTAAGTTAAACGATAACTGATGATTCATTTTCTTTGTTTTTCTTGTTGATCGTTGATTTTTATGACGGTCTGTTTTTATTTTTCTAAATTTAGATATTGCTACTTTCTCGCTAGAAATGTTTCCTGTCAAGCCTAAATTGTTTGGTAAATGTATTCTCACTAATGACCTCGTGCTTCTTGAGAGTATTAAACTCTCTCAATTTCTGCCAAATGTTAAGGTATGAAAAAGACTAGAAAATTTAATCCCAATTAATTGATTCAATTTCTGTTTTATGAAAGAAAATTAAATTCTTTAATTTTCATAATTATGACGAACAATGCTTATGCTCAGCATTAGCGAATTTACTTGCCACTGGAAATCCAATCACTCAACTGATCTTCACAATTGATGATCAAATTTTTTCGCATTCATGTCCAATCATTGAGAATTTGTCTCAATTCATAATACCCTATTTGGAAAATATCGAACATTTAACAACGAATGTTAATCTTCTAGTGGAAAATTATTTTCAAGCTTATGGTAATCACAACAAATTGAAAAGTCTTGGTAATCGTCTAGATTTAACGATAGATTTGTCCCATGTTTTGAATTTCGCCGATTCCATGACCAATATTGAACTACTTTTCATCGATAGTAGAAATAGTGAACATTTAAGTAAGTTTTTGCTTCATCTCTTGATGTTTGTTCAGTTCGAGATTTTTTTATCCCTTTTTTAGATCGTATTTCCAACTACAATGGACCAATTTTCGAGAAGCTCGAATCTCTCTATATCTATAATTGTACGAGGCTATGTTTTATCACTCGAATTCTAGACTTTTGTCCAAATTTACGAAATCTCACTCTGATTCTTCCTCTTGGCACCGAAATAATCCAAATAAATAGTGACATTAAAAACCACAATTTACAAGGATTATACATCAATCCTGGTTGTTCGGTAAGTCACTGATATCGATCATAACTTTATTTTGAATATTAAAATTTTCTTTTATTTTTATTCTAGTATGGATACGATATAATTCCAATTGTGGAAAAATTTCCTAATGTTCGATATCTTAGAATCGATGGAACCTTAACGGAATCACAATTAACTAAAATTGTCGAACTACTCCCTCATTTATCAGTATTGGTGTTTTCTGATAGCTTCAATGATTCGCCAATTAAGGATGATCGAATCAAAACATTTTGCAGATTAAAAAATTTAAGCATCAATTTTTTTCATCAACTTAGTTGCCCAGATTTGGAAAATAACGAACTTCATAAAAAGTTTCGAAACTCATTTAAACGTATAAACGTTAACAATAAAGTTAACAATTTTAATCAATAAATTGTTGTATCACAATTCTCTTGTATTGAATAATAATTTGATTCAATAACATATTTTACCTGAAAATTAAACTTCAAGCTAATTATTGACGATTAATAATTGATTAATTTTTATATTTTGAGAAAATAGACTTGAATTAATTGGGTTATTTGATTAGAGTTTCGAGTTGGTCAGAGGAAGAGCAACAATATTGTTCTTGATTAAATAGTCGATTTCTGTGTTTTCAAGTTGATGATCAACGAGGAAATCACGAAGATTATCTATTTGTCTTTCGACTAAAACTGGATTAGCTGTAGTACGATTAAATCTTGGTGCTGGAATCGGTGACCCATCGGAAAGAAATGATTTCGCTTCCTTATTGTGACTAAATTGTGACCCCAGGTCTGTAAGGTTCGATCAAAACATCAGCCTTGGAACAAAGTTTCTCCATCAATTTGATCCCTTCCGAACGTTTCAGGTCAATTTCAAGGCCTTTTTTGCCTCGACTTAGTAAACACTTCAACGGATCTCCTCCGATCTTGCAAAAGAAATCAACAAAATTGATTAAATCGCTAAATCAGTTACCAATTTATTGTCAACTAACTTTTATCAACTTTAATAACTTCAGCTCCAAAATCACTTAAAATTAACCCACAAAAGGAGCTGGAGCTAAACCAGCTAATTCGATTACTTTGATATTTTTTAAAGCCATTTAAGCCAGAGATTTAAATCAATTGACAAAATTGGAAAACTAATTAATTAAAAACAAAAAAATACAACAAATTCTGTACTATAGTGAATGATTTCCTTATTCTAACAGCTGATTAAGATTCACTTGAATAATGACTTCAACTTGAAACTTGTTTTTATCATGATTAATTGATAAATTGACGAGGAAAGACAATCCAAAAGGCAGAATGGAACAATTAATTTTATCTGAGCATCTTTTAATCCTAATTCTTGAGCTAATTTTTTCCTATCAGATTTTGTGAGGAGAGAAATTTATTTCAATTCAAAATGGAAGAACCAAAATAAACTAAGGAGCGATATCTTTAAAAGATATAAACATAAGAGTTCAGGAGATTAATCTGCTCACTACAGAAACCAAGATTCTTTCAGGATCTTCTTCTTCGGGGATTAATTACTCTATTAATAAGTAATTAGAGATCACTAAGTGATGAGAATTGTGAATAGTTGAAATGTGAGGAACACGGAAATAGTTAAACTATTAGGTTTTATTGAAATTGAACAGAATTGAAAATGAGAACACAAGGTAACAAGAAGAGCACTAATGTGATTACTTTGAAAGTAGAATTAGAACTGAAGAGTTACAATGGTAAACATTAAGATTTCTTAGAAATAAAACAGGGAAAACTTAAAGTGAGATTAAACTTGATTAATCAAATTGGGAATAACATAATAGTGTTAATACTAATCCAAAGAGATGATGAGTTTGTCATCTTTACCATTTATAGTTAACAATATTGTTAAGGTTGAAGATAACACTAAGTGTTCACCATTGTTAATCTCTTAGGCTTGAAAAGCGTTAACAATAAAGAAAGAAGAAAGAGGAAAATAGACAGAAAATGATTCTCTTTCCTTATTGACCAAGATTTTGGTAACTTAAAGAGACATCTTTAGATGTAAAATGACAATTGAATCAGTTAATTGTTCTGGTTAGAACTTAGAAATCATTCAATGATCAATTACATATCTAAGATATAATAAAGGAAAGGTTTACAAAGTTCAGGTAAATGAAAATTAAAGATAAATCGAAAACAAGAATAAGCATAATTAAGTTGCATGAGCTTTAGAAAAGTTAATGAATTGAAAATAAGAAAAATGGAGGGAAACAAATCACTGAGTGATTCAAATATGAGGGTTAATTGGGTTTCCGATTTTTCTACCCTTCAGTCTCCACGGTTAAAATGGAGTACCCTCATTAAGACGGCATTTTGAATCCTTCCTGGTGGACTTTGTTGAACGATTATTCTGTCCTACAGGGTAAAATAAATCTCTACAATTTGAGATGATGGAATTTCGGAATTAGCATCAGAGGGACGGGATGAATCTCTAGATTCAAATGATTGCCTGGATTCCTGGGTTGATAGTAATTCTTGGGTTGAATTAAATGGTTCAGATGAATTATTGGGATTAGATGGTGGGTTAGAAGTTGTAGATAGAAGTTCATCTTGGAATAAGTTCATCTCTGAGATTTTCGTCCGATCGGGTGTTCAGAGTGAAGTTTGATGATCTTTGGGAAGATGATTGTTCAGGAATTAGAGGATCAGGTAAATTTGGATCAGGATTACCATCGATAATGAAACGAACAGTTGATGGTAGAATTAGTAGCATCGATAAAATGGATGAATCATTAGTAGATGATTCTTTGATTGAATTAGGGTTTTGATTTGGTGAGCTGATGGTTCCTTTTGAAGAGGAATGAGTATTTTTGGTTGATGATGGTGATGGTGATGGTGATGTGGTTGATGATGAGGATGGAGAGACACATGAAAATTGATCATAACTTGGAATTGTCTCATGATGATGAAAATATGACCAGTTTGGTGGCCAATTAGCCTTTTTAGAGGCGACGAGATTAGAGTAAATTTGATGAAGATGAGAAACTTTTGAGTTTCTAAGATAATGTTCAGAGCTTGATTGTGTATTCCTTGACCAGTTTCAGCGACTTTCGATTCAATTTCTTGCCAGAATCCATGTATCTTGTCAGAGCTTCAACAGCGGGAGAATGTGGTCTGGATGAAATAGTGTAACCAAAAAATCAAGAATGAAATCAGGGAGAGGCAGAGATGATCTGTGGTGAGAAGAGAAATGAATGGTCTCTAACTTTGGTCTTAAAATATCAATTTCGACTGAGGCAAATTGAGTGATTGAAACAATGTCAAAGACCAGCACCAACGATACACTTGGCTGAGGCCAAATAAGTGATCACTTGATCTCTAACAGATCCAAGATTTTTACCAAATTTAATATCTTCGATACGAAGTCCGTGATATTTGGTGTCCATGTAATCGACTGAAACATAATGGATAAGAGTTTCATATACGATTTCACAATTTCCATCGATAATCACAATCCATACTGGATGTGGGGCGAAAACGATTTCACCGGATGAATTAGATCTTCGATTTCTAACATAAGCGGCATGTATTGAGTAGACATTTAATTTATCAAGATTATCGTCCATATTATCCTTAATCAATTGTTGATGTTTGAATTTAAGATCTTCGATCTCAAAATATGTAATATGGTTGAATATATTGGTGGCTTTATTTCGTCTATTAGCTCTTTGAATGAGCTTTTGGGGGTCAGTGGTTGTTGGAGTAACTTCGGTTTCAGAGAAATTTCTCAATGAAATTGAAACCAATTAATTGATTGTCGAACATTTTCTTGTTCTTCATCACTTAGACGTGAGAGGATTAATTTTAATAAATGGATTGATTCGACCACCAGTATCATGGGATGTCGATAGTGAGCTGAGAGGTCGGTTGAATTCATATCTACCTTGAGATAATCTCAACCATTCTTCACTATCATCGAGAAGATACTTTGGAACTTTTGACCATTTAGTGGTTCGGGGTCGAGAGGGAGCGGGATCATATTTGTGGATCGGTGGGAAGCCTAAGGCTTGAGTAAACTCTTCTTCTTCACTTAAAGGTTGAGTGGGATCTTTGGTTTTGGCATAAGTAGTCCAAAAACCAAGTCGAAGGTTAGTTTGGGATCGAATGAGAGCGGGTGATAATAACTTATCCTCAGGATTTTCTTCTCTATTATGAAGAAGGCACGCAAAAAGTTCAAATTTCTGAGAAGCATCGAACATGTGAGATGAGTAGGTAATCTGAGGCTTCGGTGTACACTTGATATGAGCAGGAATATAACTCATTAACCTTTTAGGGTTCGAGGCGACTAAAGCTTTCATGGAATTACCTTTTCTGAAAATTTCGATTGAATCGATGTCAATCTCTTGTCGGAATAATCCTAATCTACACTGAGTTTCATGAGGATAAAGAAGATTTGAACTGAAATGCTTGAGACATAAAGTGTAACGACAAATAAACTTACAATTACGATAGTTAATGTAAGTTTGAGAATGGGGAACTTCACTGAAGGTTGGATAATCATCAATGAGAGCAAATTGTTTAATACAATTCGGAAACAAACAGATGAATTTGTCACATTGTAACATCGGGGTTAGTTGGAGAATCTTAATCAATTCCTGAGTAAACTTGATACAATCAGAACAGTACCAATTGCGACAAAAATTACATTCCTTAGGAATCAACGCTATCTGTTCACAAAAGAAGCATCTGATTTCATGTATAAAATCAGTTAGAGTCTCATGAATGACTGAGCTTTTAGATATTCCTTTAGGAATTTTAGGAAGAGGAATTGAAAAGATCGATTTATCTTGATAGAGATTGAGATACAATTTTTCCCTAATCATTTTCTCATATTTAGAATAAATGACTTTAAATCCTTCTGATTTAATCTTAACAAGTTGTTGGATTCTTTTAAAATTTTCAAGAGAAAAATGTTCTGGTGGATCTGAGGTAGGAAGAGGAACAGGGTATTCATTTTCTTCGAAACAGTAATCATTTGGTCCCAAGTATCTTTTAGGAAATTTTTTCGAAGTAGAAGGTTGAGACAAATCAGAAGGAGATTGAAAATCAACTTTACCTTTACCATGTTCAGGTTCCTTTGGGTTCATTTTTCGTCTTTTTAGATCGATCAGATTCAACGATTCAATTGATAATGATCTCTTTAGAGATGGTGATGGATAAATTTCAGGTGAAGGAAAACGAATTGTCTTCAATGGAGGAAAGTTCTTGAGATGAGTGAGTTTTTGATCAGTAACTGATGATGAATTTCGGTCGATATTAACACTATGTGTTTGAGAGTCAAGAGAGTAACAAGGCCAATCCTTGTGAGGTGGTGGAGTACCAGGTCGACCAAGATGGAGCACAGGTGAACGTTCAGTATCAGTATCGAAATCAGAATCTTCCTCTACTAAGGAGCGATAAAAAGCCAAAGGCTTACGTTGAGTTGAAGTTGAAGGTCGGGGCTCTTGAGAAACACTAATAGGTGTTGGGGTTGACTGAGAGTTTTTATCCATCGTAAAAATTTGATTAAGCGGCAATTGATGAATCACTTTAATGATAATTAACTGCTTAATTAAGCTTTGATAAGAGTTTAAAAGCAAAGTGAATGAGCGTTTAAAATCCAAAATGGATGACGATGATACAAAAGAGTCACACTTGAGATAGCTAAAGCTATAAGAGTACCACTTAAAACTTATCACAAGTTTAAGACTTAATTTTTAACACAATTTGAATTAATTAATAATTGTTCACAATTAAATGAGTAATTAATCGAAATGAGTAAAATTTTGATAGAAAATCTCAAAGAGAAAATAGAATTTAAGAGAAAATTCGAAAGAGAATTTGAAGAAAACAGAAAATGATTATAGTCATATGGTAACAAAAGAGTTAATGTGACAGAGGGAGAAGAAGATGGCGCGAACAATTGACATGCGACAGTAACGCCTTCTCTATTGTTCTTTGAATAATTAAAATTCGGCAAATTTAAATTTAGAAAATTAAATTGCTTTAGCAATAAAACTTGTTGATTCAAATTTTCAATAGAAAATTCAAATTTTTCCTCACTTGTTGATATCATGTAAAAGGAATAAAGAATAAAAATATTCTGATTTTTTCTTTGATATCGAGTTAAAGGTTTGTCGGAATTATTCAAAGTAGATTGTTCAGCAATGAGTTTATCAGAAGTTTTATATTTTCTTCTTGATTTGGAAATGGGAAAATGAGAAATATCAGTGACTGATTCTCGAGATTTAGACAAATTATCATTAAGTTCATTCAATGGAAGTGAGTGTTTCTCATTGATTGTTTCAATAAAATCATTTAGATTGGGATGAGAATGAGTTTGAATATCACTTGAGTGATTTGATTGATCATTTTCAGGGTTGATCTCGGTTTGATCAGAAATAGAATCAATAATATTTTCTTGTTCAGTTAAAGTCTTGAGATGAATTTCTGTCTGTCTATTGATTTCAGGGGTATTAAAGTTTTCTGTTTCAAGATAAGAATCGGGATTAAAATGATTATCTCTAAGAGATTGCATTTCTGGTGAAATTTTTCCTTTGTAAAGTTTGGTGTTTGAAACATTTACGGTAAATAGTCCAAGATCATCTAAATCTAACAGTAAAAGTGAACCTTTTCTGATTCCACAAATGAGATGAGGACCATGGAATTTATTTCTAAGTTTCTTAGATATTGAAGAATCCATCGATTCATTTCTGACCAAAACGAAATCACCAAGTTTATATGGAGATTGAGGATGGAGCATTTTAGTGCGATTAATTTGGTACAATTGTTGAGCATTTAATCTTGCAAATGCGAGCTTACGAGCTTGAATAACATTGACAGGTGAATTGTGATCTATTGATAGATAGTTATCAAGAGGTTTATTCGGTTCTCTACCAAACACTAAATAGTAGGGACTAAATCGAGTAATTTTATGTACCGATGAATTAATTGCATAAAGACTAGCTTCGAGAGCAAGTTTAAAATTTTTAGTTCCATTTCCGGAAACATAAGTTCGTAGACGTTCAGCAATTGTCCGATTACATCGTTCTACAATTCCTTGGGATTGAGGATGATAAGGAGTTGAAACATCATGGCTAATACCATTTATCTTGAAAAATTCAGAGACTGATTCTGATAAGAAATTAGTACCTTGATCGGTCTGAATAAATTTAGGGTAACCAAATTGGTTAAAGAAGAGGGACAAAAAGTTTATAACTGTTTTAGCAGTTTGATTGTTGGTTAATTTTGCATAGACGTATCGAGATAAAACGTCAACAAGAACGAGAATATACTTCTTACTATTTCCAATTGAAATTGGACCTTGCACGTCAAGTTCAAATCGCTCGAAAATTTCTCTGGGGATTGGTTTTGTTGATGGATCAACATAAATCACATTTGAAGGCTTAGTTAGGTTACAAGTCATGCAAGAGTCACATAAAGTTTTCACTTCTTCGTAAAGGTATTTACACCAGAATCGTCTAGCGATATTTAAATATGTTTTCTCGGTCGCAAAGTGACCTCCTAACGGCGATTCGTGTTCATGTTGAAAAATTTCTTTCAAGATTATCTTGTCGATCACCAATCTTGAACCAAAGGGAGTACGAGTATCTTTACGGTATAAAAGATCGTCTTTAATCGTATATCTCTTAGCAGCAATTGAATTTGGATTTTCCATTTGAAGAATGATATTTTGAATATCGACATTTTCCTTTTGTCTTAATCGGACTTTTTCCTTCCACAAGGAAAATTCAGCTCGAGATGTTGATTGAGGTTTTAAATGATTGATTTCAGTTTCCGATGTATAAAATATACTGGGAGGTTCTTTAAGAACATTAGGTGATAGTAATGGGGATTCAAAAGAAAGATTGATTAAGTTCATACCGATATCATGATAGTGATAATCTTCCGGGTCGATGATGTATTCGCTAAGAAACACTTTATCCAAAAATTCTTCCTCTGGATCGATAGTCTTACGATGATCCCATTCTGATTGGTAACGGAAAAACAATCAGGGGATGAGTTGAACCTTTTCGGTAAATCACTTTGAAATTGAATGCCGAAAGCATAATGGACCATCTCTGTAACCTTGAATTCTTGAAATTAATTTTGGTTAATTGGCAGAGAGCATGATGGTCAGTTTCGACTAAGAATTTTTCACCATCAAGATAATGAGTATATTTGTAGATTCCAACTAGGATTGCAAGAAGTTCCTTTTCAGAAACAGAGTAATGAAGTTGATGTTTGAGTAATTTTGGGAGAAGAAACTTATTGGTAACCAATCTTTGATTTCTTCAATGGGGGTTTCAGAGTTATAATTCTCAGATTTATCGTCTTCCTGTAGCAATATACCACCAACAGCAATATCGGAGGCATCAACGGAGATTTTTCTCCTTAGATTAGGGTTGAAATGTACCAACAACGTAGTGTTGAGTAATGAATTTTTCAAGGTATCGAGAGCTTTTTTATCGGCTGGGAGGATTTTGAATTTTCTTTCCTTTGAGATGAGACGATATAAGGGGGCAGCGATATTAGAATAATTTTGAATATACCGACTGAAGTAATTATAACATCCTAATAGGGATTGTAATTCTCTGATATTCCGTGGATAAGGGAGGTTAACTAAAGCTTGAACTTTTTTGGGATCTGGTCTGATTCCATCGCCAGAAACAAGGTGACCAAGAAGTAAAATTTCAGTTGCACCAAAGGTACATTTTTCAGGCTTAACCTTGAGGTTAAATTTACGTAGTCGATCCACCACTTGTTGAGTATTATTCAATAATTCAAGAAAGTTTTTTCCAACAACAGGTATATCATCAAAATATCCGATACAGTCTTTATATTGGAGTCCATCTAGGACTTGATTCATGAAACGTTGAAAGGTAAAAGGAGCACCTGAGAGTCCCATGGGGAGTCTCTTATACTGATATTTACCGTCGGGGGTAACGAACACAGTTTTTTCCCTTTCTGAAGGTGATAGTTCAATTTGATGATAGCCTTGGGCTAAATCGAACATGTTGAAAAATTTTCCACCACGAACAACTTCAAGACAATCATCAATTCTAGGCATTGGGTGTTGAGGCACCTTAGTTATACGATTCAATAACCGATAATCAATAACCATTCTTGGTGAACCATCGGAACGAGGGACTAAAATTGCAGGAGAACCACCGGGAGCATTTGATGGTTCTATCAAATCATGTTCTAACAATTCATTAATTATTGTTTTGAACTCTTCACGACGAGTTATTGAACAGTTGTAGGGTTTCTGATAAGGAACGATTTGATTTTCTAAATCAATGAAAACGGGGCAAACTGAAGAAGGAACATAACCAAGATCATGTTTATGTTTAGCAAAAATATCTTGATAAGAATTCAGTAATTCAAAGAGTTGATCTTGTTGATCGACACTTAATTGTGGGTTAATTTTTTGTTTGATTTTCTCAACGAGAGAAAGATTAAGTTTTTCATTCTGAATTTCAATCATTTCTTGATTATTTAAGATATCGGTTTTAGCGATAAAAGAGTTTTCAGGGAATTCTTTGAATTTTGTGGGAGTGATTTGGGTTAAATGATTATCATTATTAGGATTAGCGGATGAATTAGAAGAATTACTTAAGATGTAATCTGAATAATTGTTACCAGTTACTTTAATTGAAGTTTCAATAATATAATCAGTTTCATCGGGAGTGCAAAATCGGAAATAAAAATCGGGATTTTCATATTCAATAGAATCGGGATTTTCTTTGGTAGTTATTTTAAATTCATTACCATCAGATGCGATATTCATATAATACACATGAATGAAAGCATTGCCAAGAAGAAAAACTGGATCAAAGTTCTTACAGATTTGGAGCTTGATAATTCTGGTTTCCTCCATGTTAACGTGCTTGACCATAGCATAAGCAAATCCAACAGCATTAACATAAGAGTCAGAGGCTATCCCTTTGAGATATCGACTCAATGGAACAGTATGAACATCAAGTTCCTTGGCCAATCCATAATCAACGGCACAAATAGAAGCACCAGTGTCAATTAACACTTTACCTTCTTTTAGAAATTCTTTGTTGGGTGAACAAAGTCGAAGGTTGATTTGTGGCATATGATCAATGTTTCCTACTTTAGTAAGTTGTTGAACATTTCTTGATGTTGCAAAGGCAATGGATTTCGAATCGCACTTTGAATCGGTTCACGAATATTTGATTGAACGGTCTCTTGTGGAGTTGAGGCTGAATTATCAATGATTGATGTATCAGGAACAAGAGAAGTCATATTAGCGGGATAATTAGCAATGGCGGGAACGGTTGTATTAGATGAATTACGATTTTGTTGAGCAGCTTCTTTCTTTCGTCTTTCAACTAATTTAGCACAATTTTCAATCGTATGATTTTCATCTTTGCAATATCTACATCCTTTAGTAGATGAACCAGAAGGTCGATGAGATTTATTTTGATTATCTCTTGATGATGATTTGTACGATGATGAATTGCTATTGTTAGAGCCAAAGTTGTTACTTTTGAAAAGTTTACCAGAAGATGATTTTTCTTTATCATAAGGTTTACCTTGTCTAGACTTATCTTTGTCTTTTTGTCTTTCTTTCATAGACAATTGATAATCAAAATGTTTTCAGGTTAAAAATGAAGACTTTTGTCTTATCATCATTTATACTCAATATAAATATCATCTCTTATATATTTAGGAATATGTTGAATCAAAGAGAAAAAACTCGTTCATTTACCTCACCAAGGTTTACTTACCAATCTTTTCATATCACCGAAAACTTTTCAGGGTGATCTTCAGGGTGAAAGCGACATTGTTGCAATTCAAAATCGGCACTGTATTGGCTTTCGGGTGTTCGAAGTTTTTCGAAAAGAGATTCAACATAATGGTTATAATCAATAATTGATTCTAATTCAACAGCAGCGGCTTTGATTTCGTGAGTCATAGACTTTTGCAAAAGTCTCAATCGTGTGGCATCATCCACGTTTTCCTTAGCTAAACGGTCACGCGTCTTTACCAACCATTGAAATTGATCTTCGCCTTTCTGAAATTCAGGAACATGCGGATCATTTTCAATTGTTTAACAATTTCGACGAGGCATTTGTTGAAAATGGAGAATCATTAGAATGATATGAAGCTTGAGATGTTGATGGTTCAGTAATATCTGCACCATAAGTGTTCAAAACGGTTTTATCTTGTTGAGAGATCAAGGGATAATGGTAGGCCAAAAGTTCAGAATGACTAAGATTAATGATGACTTCATCATCTTTACCAATAGTCTTAACGAAGTTTGAATTTCGTTCTCAGAGATTCCATTCATACGTAAATCAGAGATCCACTCAGGATAGGTTGATTTTCAATTCACCAACAGGTAAATCAAGAATTTCATCTTGAGTAAGATTTTCACCAAGGAGTAACAAGTTAGTTTTAATTATCTCAGTTAAACGTTTAGTTGCTAATGAGCGTAAAGGTGGAGTAAATTCCATAAATCAAATAGAGAAAGAGTTTCAGTATAATCAATATCTCTAAGAGATTTCTCATCCATAACAATGGATTGTTGTCTTCGCCTTGTAACAACAGGAGTAGGTGGAAGTTGAGAAGGTTGTTGAGGAGAAGTGTGGACAGTTTCATCAGAAACATTACCTTGAGTAGTTGTTGTCTTTTTTCGACCTCGTTTAGGACCCATGTTTGAGTTACACAAAGAAAACTAAACACAAAATATCAATGATTGATCGGAGATGAAAAAGATGATCCTGGTAACCTCGCCAAATTGTGAGGAGAGAAATTTATTTCAATTCAAAATGGAAGAACCAAAATAAACTAAGGGCGATATCTTTAAAGATATACATAAGAGTTCAGGAGATTAATCTGCTCACTACAGAAACCAAGATTCTTTCAGGATCTTCTTCTTCGAGGATTAATTACTCTATTAATAAGTAATTAGAGATCACTAAGTGATGAGAATGTGAATAGTTGAAATGTGAGGAACACGGAAATAGTTAAACTATTAGTTTTATTGAAATTGAACAGAATTGAAAATGAAACACAAGGTAACAAGAAAGCACTAATGTGATTACTTTGAAAGTAGAATTAGAACTGAAGAGTTACAATGGTAAACATTAAGATTTCTTAGAAATAAAAACAGGAAAACTTAAAGTGAGATTAAACTTGATTAATCAAATTGAAAACATAATAGTGTTAATACTAATCCAAAAGAGATGATGAGTTTGTCATCTTTACCATTTATGGTTAACAATATTGTTAAGGGTTGAAGATAACACTAAGTGTTCACCATTGTTAATCTCTTAGGCTTGAAAAGCGTTAACAATAAAGAAAGAGGAAAGGAAAATAGACAGAAAATGATTCTCTTTCCTTATTGACCAAGATTTTGGTAACAAAAGAGACATCTTTAGATGTAAAAATGACAATTGAATCAGTTAATTGTTCTGGTTAGAACTTAGAAATCATTCAATGATCAATTACATATCTAAGATATAATAAAGGAAAGGTTTACAAAGTTCAGGTAAATGAAAATTAAAGATAAATCGAAAACAAGAATAAGCATAATTAAGTTGCATGAGCTTTAGAAAAGTTAATGAATTGAAAATAAGAAAAATGGAGGGAAACAAATCACTGAGTGATTCAAATATGAGGGTTAATTGGGTTTCCGATTTTTCTACCCTTCAATTTGGAGATGTATTAATACTTGGAAATTGTCCCTGGAAATTTCTTTCTAACCCTTATCTCTGAGCGACAGACAAAATCGCTCGTCTCTTTATTCCGCTTCGAGGTCTACCTCTTGAATGGGAATTCAGGCTAAGAGATAGCCAAGGATCAAATTTTTCTGATGGTCATCATGCATCAGGATGATGGCTTTTAAACAGAGATGATCACAGGACTGGATTAACAGGGAATCGAGGATCGAGTCTTTCGTTGACCTGGTTGACCGATCAACATTATTATTACCACTGTTATACTATTATTATTGTTATTATTAACATCTGATGAAAATAATAATGAAGATGGAGATGAATACACCGAATCGTTGTGATTTTCTGATGATTCAAACGACTTAAACCAAAGAGTAAGAGTAACGAGTTTTTTACTCTTTGGCTCATTTGCAATTAGTATACAATTAATTGTGTGAATTATAATTATGAAGCAAAAGATTAACTAATCCAGTCGATGATAAAATTGATCATTTGCCGATCAAATCACGATATTTATGATTACCTTATTGATAAAATCTTGCAGCCATTAAATTATTTTCACTATCATTTAATTTATCTTTTAATGATAATTTATTTGATCCATTGGTTGAAAGTAATTGTGATGATTTTGTTGTCGGTGGGCAGAGGTTGATTTAACTGTAATACTTTTTGGCTTGGAATCAATAGTTTTGCATCAATGGACTTGATATAATTGTATTGTCGTGATGATTACTATTAGAATTATCTTTGTTAATTACATTAGATGAACATTTAGATAATTCTGAACCATGGGATGAATTGGAAGATGTTGACAATGGAGGTGAAATTGAACTTGAAATAACTGGATCAGGTGAATACTAAATGATAATCGTGTTGATTTAACACAATTAATATTGAAGTTGATTGTCACCTCATCGTTAAATTTTTCATCACAATCAATTTTACTAGTCTGTTGATTATTGGATTCACTGTGATTAACAATATTTTCAGAAGATTCAATTGATTTAATGATCTCCTTGTTATTAAATCACTTTGATCAATGATGTTATTTGAACATAAACCAATGTTATTGTTAGTCTAATCAATACTAATTCAATTACTCTGATATTTTTCAAAGCCATAAGGGATTTAAATCAATTGACTTTGTAACGAAATTGGAAAACTAAATCAATTTTAATTAGAAACAGAAAAAAATACTAATAGTAGATGAATTCCTTTAACAGCTGATTAAGATTCACTTGAATGATGACTTCAACTTGGAACTTGTTTTTATCATGATTAACTGATAAATTGATGAAAAATGTTTAACAATTGGTTATTCCGATTAATGGGAATAATTAATCTCGACAGTTTGAGTAAAACTTGAATTGTGTTATTTACATTAATTTACATTTGGTTAGAATAATGAGAATCAATACAGAGAATGAATTTAAATGTGTAACTTGTGATGAAACAAATTTTGTTTGTTGTTTTTTGTTTGTGGTTCCAAGATGAAGATGTGATGGTGATGATGAGGAAGAAAAAATTATTTGTAGCATAGCATTACATTAGTTTCCATGGATGATGTTAATTGAACTGAATGATGATGATGATGATGAACTTGGTGAATTATGGTTGAGTTTATAATCGCGATGATTAATAAAAAAAAAGGAGAAACGAATGTCAAGACGCTCTTTGTAGTTTGCTTTTGATGTGTGATGATTTCTTAACATAACAAAGGGTAAAATTATCATCATTTGTTGGTAATTGATAAGTGATTGGATTTCAAATCAAATACAATCTAAACACTATGAACCGAAACAATCAGTGACTATTGATTTTTCTGTTGGGGGTTAAACACTCAGAATGAGTTAAATTCAAAGTGTAATCGTTTAAATTGATTTGTAGTAATCCACGTAATGGTCCAAGAAAGGTATGATGATGTTGATTAGTAATGGAAATAATTTAGATAATTACACAAAAAAAAAGAAAATTAATAATCTCATAGTTAATTCTAACATTTTGAAATTTTACACCGGTAGATCAAGAGACATCAGTTAATTGCTGTGGAACTGTTGCTGTCGGACTTGTAATTGGTTCTTTAACTGGTAAATCTTTAGAGGTTAACCCATCAGTTGTTGTTGTTGTTGTTGTCGTTGTTGTTGACGATGTGGTAGTTGATATTCCAGGTCCTGGCGTTGGTGGAGGTGATAATAAACCAATTTCTTTATCCTTCGAGGTGTCTCGGGTCATCTTAAAAGCGTTGGTCAACTCTTCAAGTTTTTGGGAATTAGGTCCCCATCGAGTGAAACCAGGCTCGTTTTGCAAGAAAATTACCATCATCGGAACATTAGGTTTGAAGTGAAGCTGATTCGCTTCACAAAGATGTTGGTAACCATTTCTAAGTTCATAATCGTTAGATGAGATGGTGATTTGTGCTCGTTTGAAAACACTTAACTCTAATTTATATAAACAACTGATGGGGTTTTCTTTGTACTCAGGGATGAAGACAATAAATGAAAGAGGATCAGAAGTATTGGCTAGCAGTCTTTCGAAGTGATCAAAAGTAGCTTCCATCAATTGCTCGCTGTAGGGAGGAAATGCTTGAAATGATCCACCAACTGGGAAATAATTAAGAATAGACCTGATTTATAGAAAAAATAATAAAAAATATCAACTTGTTAATAAATTGATCGTAGAAATCGTTGATTGGAAATAATTTTTTTTTCGTCTAAGCACATCGCGCCAATTTAAGACTTCAGAACGAAGTCAGAAATGAGCAACATAAAAAGAAGCATGAAATTAATTGATAATTAAATAGATGCTTCCTTGAGAATAGATTAATATGAAATGATGATTAAAAAAAATGGTTTTATAAAATAGTTGAATGTCCTAAATAAAATTTACCGCCAATTGATTTCAGTTACGCGGTATCTATTTTCCCGCCTTTTCATGGTAAGTACGATGTACTGAACAGTATGGAAATAGAAAAATTTTATCAGAGTAAATATTAAAAAGATGATTAATTACCCTCGAGATCCAAAAAAGCCGTCAGTGTCACCAAAAGCTGAACAATATTGTTTAAAATAGCAATTGAAAGGAGATGCGAAACATTCAAAGGTAACACCAAATAAACGTTGAACGCAAGTGAAAACAGTTTTGGGCAAAGAAACTTGAGTGAAAACTCCTTCTCCTTGAGGATTACCCAAAAATACCTAGAAAAATCAAAATAGTCAGAAAATTAATCATGAAAATTGAGAAGAAAAAATCCAAAGACCAGAAAACTTACCTGGTATCTTTTAAGGAGGCTAAATAGTCTGGGTAAAAAAATATCAAACTTTTTATCATCGTAGCAATTGTAGCGGTAAAGTTGCTCCATTTTTTGTAAAAACAAAGGTTTTAAACGAAGCGTATCAGTTTTGTACTTTAACAGAACGAATTCTTTCTCGGGATGATATTGAATTGTTGGATACTTTGGACAGCGGTAAGCCAATTGCAATGAATAACAATAAACTCTTTTAGGTTTTGGAGGCCTTAAAGGAGCCGTGATTTCTGTAGACAATGAAAAAAAGGTAGAAAAAAGTTTTAGAATCAACGATTTAGAGGGATTTAATGATTGAGATTAACTTACCAGGTATTTCATCTTTTTTCAGAATCTCTTTTTCGGCATCACTTATCTTCTTAACATAACCACATGATAAATTATAAAGTTTGGTGCATATTCCTTCAACGGAAGATTTTGCAGCTTCGGTAAGATGAGGCTGACATTGGGTTCTAAGATGCTTAAGGCGTTCTTCATAATCTTCAAAGGTGGCATTTAAAGTTTTTCTTATCCATTGGAAAGCTTCATCAACACTCCATTTAACAATTCGTCGACTTTCAGGACTCGCATTACGAGATTCGATCATCTTTTTTGCTGCTTCAGCATATCGAGATAACTGTTTTCGCGCCTCAGCGCCAAACTTGGGCCGAGTAAGTCGAATAGGTATATCAGCGATAATTTCATTGTACAAAGATCGAGATATCTCGGGAACACAATTACTGGGTAATACAGGATCAACTCCTTTGTCGATTGTTTTTCTTTCTATTAACCAACGGTTAAAAGATTCACGAGGTGCATCAATATTTTCCCGAGTATGGCACATCTCTTGGTATTGCGAACGAAGTTTTAACACATAATTAAGACGAAGAATTTCAATATCAGGGTGAGGATGAGGTACGATAACAGGAGCCCGCTCCCAGATGATGACATTTGAAGCAACTTCTAAATCCCATGGTCCACTGGAAAGTCAAAGGAGATAAAAAAAATAAAAAGTAAAATTAGTAAATATCTCGAAAGAGTTAAATCAACAATTAGCTATGAAAATCTTATTACGAGATTAAAAACTAACCTTAAAATAAACTTCTTATGCGAACCACTGTATGGATCGTCAGATGATGTTGACGGTCTTTTCTCACCGATTCGAAGAGGTCTATGATTCGGTTCTGGCATAGAAATCCCTAAAGGGTCAGTAATTGGATCATAATCACCACCTCCTCCTACTCCACTTTCACCTGAAAGTGGAGGCATCTCCCAAAGAGATTCATTGGTAACTTTATTAAAATAGTAGGGTCGCTGTTCGCGTTTTGACCAAATCACTCGCCAGCCTTGTTGTAATAAAGCCGGTGGTAAGTCATGGGAAGGATCATGAGTTGATGATGAAGTAGACGAAGCCTCAGGAGAAAGTAAATTGATATTGGCATTGTTGTTATTATTATTGTTGTTGTTGGTGTTATTGGCGGTATTTACGTTAATGGTTAAGTTACTGTTATTATTATTATTATTGCATCCATTTTGAGGTGTTACTGTTGGCGTTTCTGGTTCTTTACCGGATAATCCAGTGGATAATTGTTCAATATTATTCTTTGGATTAGCAGCATCGTTCTTATCTTCCTTCAATGAGTCAATTCGAACTGCAGCTGACTCTGTTGACATGTTAAAGCAATTTTATCGTGGAAGAGAAAACTTTTGAGTCTTAAAAATTCACCACCAACATTTAACATGAGATAAAATATATCCTTTTGAATTTTATCTTTCCCTGTCAGTTAAATTAAGCAATCACCGAGAAGAGTAGATGGGTTTACCTTCTACTAATCCACTAACCACAGTTAACAATGGTAGCAGAATCATTAATAGAAGCACAATATTTTAGCAAAAACAAAGTTTGAATCCTTCAAAAGGTGATTACAATTGAGGTAACATTATGTGATGTTAGGGAAAACAGCATCAGTACAGAAACAAAAAGAAAAACAGTGATAAAGAAAGAGAAAAAGAGAGGAAGATAGAGAAAAAAAGGGAGAGGGAGAAGTGAAATTAACAAATCCTCACCCAGAACGTGAAACTAGACAAGAAAAGAAAGAATAAAAAAGAAAGAGGAGAAAGAGAAATAGACAGATAACCAGAAAGGTAGGGAAAAGGGAAGCAAGTAAAGAAATCACGGTTTGGCTAAAAGATGAAAATAATGTTGTTTGATGTATTACAAGATGAGAACAGTTTCGAGTAAAACATTGACATGTATTGACTTTAAGGTATATATCGGAGTTTAATTATTCTCCAATCACCATAAACACCTCATTTAACCACAAAATAATCCATGATTAATTAAATTTCTACGTTCATTATGAAGAAATCAAGAAAATTGGATGATGAAGATTAAGATTACAGAAGAGGGTCCAATACATTAACAACTAAATTGGTTTACACAATTACAATTAAATTGAACACCGCACAAACAATGTTGCTACTTAATTGTTGTTTAATTAAAATAAACAATTGATGATAATCCACTGGATTATCCGATTAGTAAAAAAAACCAATTTCCCACAAATTATATTGTCAATAGAAATTTAAACCAACATATAGATTCTCAATTTGAAAAGAAAGAACAGAACAAAATGTTATCCTTCTAATCCGTTAGGTGGCGCAAATAGAAAAGCGCCAAATTTAATTTTCGATTAAAAAGGAAAATAAAATTTGTTCAATTGTTAAGACGCGAAAATTTGTCATCAACTTTTTGTCTCAAAATATTGTCATGATTTATTTTGGTTACAAATTTAAATGAGCCTTTTCTTTGGTAATCTCAAAGTCATAGAAGCCAAAAGTAACAATATGATAAATATTCAAGCTGTTTTTGGATCTTTGTGATATTTGTAGTTGTTGGTGTGTGTTTGTTTTGTCTCACATACTGTATGTGTTTTTTTGGGATTAGAATTAAAAAAATATGTCATCAAAAAGATTTTTAAAGAAAATTGTGAGTAGAAATTAAATAATATGAGAAAGGTTGACACTTTTATCGACCAGATTCAGTGATTTTCCATCGTAAGATCGAGCTTTATTATAAAGTAGAACACCTAATATCACAGTAGCTGTTCCAAGCCAACTAAGGTACGTAACTGGATTACCGAAAACTATCACAGATAACCAGATCAATAATGCTCGTTTAGCAGTATTTGCGACACTGTAAAAAAAAGAAGAGAAAAAAAAATACATGAAAGAAAAGGAAATGGAAGAAAATTAGAAATGATAAAAGCTTTTGGGTGGAAGTTGTCAGACAAGATTAAATGTTATAATTAAAATTGACAGTCCAATAAAAGTAGTAATTGTCATTAAAAGATGTTTCATCTGATTACTTATTGGTATTGAATATTTACAATCAAGGATAGTGATATCTGATTGAACAATCAATATATATATATTATATTGTATTCTAATGATGATGATGATGATTAGACAAGATTATTTATGATGATGCCACGTACCTATGAGTAACTGGTGATATGAAAGTTAATAATAAATATTCAGATAAACTTTGAAGGTGAAAAGAAATACCAGCTAATAAGAATGACAAGAAAAGATTACTGTCCTCCATTAATGCTTCCCAAACTTGACCAAAATCAACCATAAATAAAGTGAATGGAATTTGTAACAATAGTGATGAAGTACTTGAATAGAATTGCATCTCAGCGGGTTCATAAGAACGAAGCATTTTCTTGGAGTAAACATTTTGTAAACACTCGGATAGATTAGTAGCCAGTGAAACAATTAAACCGACAAAGGTAAAGCTTAATTCGTACGCAGAGCAAATGGCCAAACCGGACATTACCGGAATTAGGGAAAGTTTTGTAAATGTCGTTGTTGTCTCACCAATGAGAGCCCATGAGATGATAACAGTGAAAACTGGAGCAGAACTTTTAACAGTTTCTGCAAATGAAACTGGCACATACCAAAGAGCATATAAACCGAGGACAATAGTTGAATATCTGAAGAGGAAAAAGAGGAAAAATAAATTAACATTCATGTTACAAGTCAACTGAAGATAATTAATGGTTAATAACATTCTTACCTTAAACATCCAATTAAAAGTAAACTCTTGTTAAAATTTTTCCATAGAACTGGTTTCTGAATTTCATCATGTATTTTCTTACTTGATGTTGTTAAATAACCAATGGGATATTTAAGATGAATATAACCACAGATTGAACATAGAAATAGTTGAAGAGAACCTAGAACATTTGAAATAGAATTAAAAATGGACAAAACATCAATGTCATCAATTGAATTAGAGGAAAGAGAAGAGTAAATTAAATAGAAATAATTATGTTAGTGTGTTGGCAATTTTGTTCAATCCTATTCTTATACTCACCTAATATCGTTGGGTCTCCATTGAGGTAGGAAAGGATATACTTATTGAGAAAAAGTGTAGTAAAACTGAAAAAATACCAAACAGCAATGATGTAAATCAATTTACTATCATATTTAATCATGAAATTACTTTTATGTGGTAACATGATAGAAACATATTTAAACTAAACAATTTATCAAACACCAACTGTTCATCTGTCACAGATTCTCATTGAAGGTGTTGAAAGAACAACAAAAAGAAAATTTATTCACAAATAGAATTTAAATTAACAATTAAATCGAAATTCCAACTGAAAACTAGTACATTTATCCGGTAGATTTGGTAGAAATTGATTAAAACAATTTAAAGTAAACTGGTAACTTATAAATTGTAGACAATTAAGATGAGAATCAGAAAATGAGTGAAAAGAACTGAAAATGAGATTTTTACCAAAAGAAAAGAAAATTTTCTCTTCGATATATCGATTCGATTTTCGATTCAATGGATTTTTAATATTCTCTTTAAATCTTATCCATGTTTCTTTGTTGATTGTTGTTCATTAATTCTAATAATTAATTGGATTACATTTCTTTTATTTCTTTTTTATTTCTAATTATTTAAATACTTTCGACACATCTCAATCTTTTGGTTATTAAGAAATTAACCTGATAAATCTTCTCTTGGTTCTTCATTGATTGAGTCCAATTTTCTTATCCTTTGGTTTTGTCAACATGGTTCATCTTTAATCAATATTAAAGGTCTTGGTCGTTTATTGCATTAAATTTACTCTATTGTTGGATTAACTGATTCTTGATTGTGATTTGAAGCAGTTCCAACTCATTATAATCTTGGTTAATCACTTCCAATCTGTGGATATATTTAAGAAATTCTGTTGCTCTCTATTGAAACTTAATCTCAAGGGCTCAGTTCACATCTCACTTGTTTACGTTTTTGTTTTTTATTCTACTCGTGTTTGGTCAATTTAATTATGTGATTTGGTGATTAACTGGACTCCTAATCACAAGCATTATCACTTTCTATTTTACCAGTAACTCAACTTGTAAAGGTTTGTGAAAATTTTAAACTTTCTCAATTTGCGTCCTATTACATCTTTAGAATAACATTTCGCCATTTTTTTTCTCACGTGTTTTTTTGTTTTTCTCTCTATCCTCTTTCCCCTGTTCTATTATTAGACTAACTTTCACAGGCTTAATATTTTCTATAATAATGGACAACGAAATTGTGACGGACAAAAAGGATCGATTTTTACAACAAAAGTTGAACAAATTGAAACCTAAATTTACCCTTCTTATGAAAGGATTTTCTGCCAAGGATGATAAACAATTGCAATTAAAAGAGCAACATTACCTTTCTATTCAAGAGATTCAACATTTGCTAATGGCGTGTTTTATTCCTGGTTCAAGATTACCTTTAAAACCGGACTGGTTTCGCTTAGAAAGATCTGCGAAAGCGGAAAAAGTTGGTATTTTTATCCTAGACTTCGATACTAAAGACATACCTTTATCGAGATGTGCTAAAGAAACTGTTCGGGTAAGCTGATTAGCTCCATGATTTTCTGATTTGTCATTTAAAATTTCATTTTTACTTCTCATTACAGTTCCAAGTTGAACCTGGATGGTTAGATAAATTGTTATCAACCAATTTAAGCAGAAGAGTGACCGAAAAAATAAACAACGATCGATCCCTAATGAAAACCATTGAAGAACAAGAAAAGGAAGCAAATGAAGATTGGAAGAAATGCAAAAAATTAACTAGATTGGATCTTTTATTATCACCAGCACAAATGCTGGAAGAAGGGATTTTATTCCCTAATCCAATGAGCCCGATTAAGAATACAACTCGTAAAAGTTATCTTCCTGTTACTGAAAATTCACCAATGTTTGCATTAGATTGTGAAATGGTCCAAGGAGTAAAAGATCCTAAATTATTAGCTCGAGTTAGTATAGTAGATGAACATTATAATCTGGTTCTTGATACATTGGTAAAACCCGAGGAGAAAATTAGAAATTATGTTACCCGTTATAGTGGAATCACTAAGGAAATGTTGGATCCTGTAGATATCACATTGGCTGATGTGAAGAAAATTTTAAAGAAGGTCATCCCACGTGATGCAATTCTTTGTGGTCAGTCTTTGAGTAATGATCTTATAGCGTTAAAGACATTCCATCCTTATATAATTGACACTAGTGTAATTTACAATTTAACTGGACTCCGAGCAGTTAAAACAGGATTAGCTGCATTGTCGGGAAATTTTCTTGGAGAGACAATTCAAAATTCACGTTCTGGACATTGCTCCATTGAAGATGCTCGAGCTACAATGAAATTGGTCAATCATAAATTGGATAAAAATCTTTGTTATGCCGATGCTGTTTTAGATTCTAGACTTGTTTCGAGTAAAACGATGATCCCATTGTCCAGTTTCTTTCATTTATACGAGGCCGATGTTAAAGTTTATCATGATTTTATCAGCACCGAAAATACTAATCGATTTATCTCAGTGCTGACTCGCTGGAAGCCTAAAGTCGCCGCGGAAATGGGCTCACTCGTTCTCAATCCTAAAAATATCTGTATTATAATTACTAAGGAGGGATATTGTTACATAAATATTTAAATAATTGATTCTTTTGATTACCATTGATTGAGATTCTCTTTGAATTAAAAGCTCACTTTAAATCGAATGACTTATTTTATTCATTGAGAATTAAATAATAATATATTTTTTTGACGCATTTCTTTTTACTGGGGATAAATTTTGGTCTTTCCAAATTGAAGTGGACCAAATTTATAATTTGAGTGAAAGTAATAAGATATAATCAAGAGTTAATTTCAAATCGACGCCATCTTTTAGCCTTTTGTCCTTAATTTCGGGTATTGAAGGTCGAGCTTGTTTATCACCGAGATTTCGGATAAATAGAAACTTTTGAATTTCGTTCAGAGTTTCATCGATATCTTTGACCGATTCTACTTGGGAAGAATCATCTTCGGGATAGATTTCGTAGCACAATGGACAGAATTTTGATGCTAAACGGGTAACATGCCGAGCGATATTGACCTCTCCATAAATGGCTGTTCCAAGATGAGGATCCAACACCATGAAAGGTTGTTTGTTTAGCCAAGCCTCTTTGGTGGTAAATCGTTTAACAATCAGAGTGACAAACAGTTGATTGTCTTGTCGTGGCAAAATTGTAGATTCAAAAGTTTCAAACATCTTCCATTCATCGACATTGGTTTCCGATTCCACCAGAACGGTTGAACTAACATGTACCTTGACCGCTATTTTGAGACCAAAATTTTTTCGTAGATGATTAATCACTTTAAGAACCCTTAATGGTTTATAATCAAAATCTGCTTGAATGGCAATATCATGAACAATTACATTTCCAATTATATTACCCAGATAGGGAACATCAGCCACCGGTGGAATTAAATTACCACCATCTTTTTTATCATCTTTTCCATCTCCTTGATTACTTTCTTGGGAATCATCTTGACTTTTCTTTGGCAAAGATTGACCATCACCCTTTGACTGGCCACTTTCTTTACCTTGTTCCGAGCCAGAATTTTTACCTTTTTTCGATTTTTTTCCAGGCTTTCCATCTTTACCCTCCTTGGTGCAAGTAACCATTTTATCAGCCGGTGTCTTTTTCTCATTGGACAATTTGTTCTCTTTACCTTTTCCAATCTCACCAACAGAACAATTGGTAACACTATTCGATTGACAAGTTGATAATTTAGTATCAACCTGATTACCACAAGATTTATTAGAAGATTTAATTAAATCAAATGGTTCAACATCACCAATCGGTTTAACATAATACATGTTGTCAGGAAGGACAATCTCTTCACTGCAGAAAATGGGTTTCACTTTATACATAACATCCATGGTGAATACAATATTCCAATAGAGAACAAGTCAAACAATCAATAAGAATAAGAAGAAAAATTTAAAATCACCAACAATTAACTAATTTGTGAATCTATTTTCCAACACAAATCAGCTGAACAAAAGTGAACACAAAACCAGAAAATTTTCTGGCAGAAAATTAGAAAAAATTTTGCGCAGTCTCAGTTTCACTTCTCTAAACTCACATGTTGTTTTCTGATTCAATTTAATTTTCTTTTTTTTAAATTGTTACTAGTGAATTTATTTTTTAAATTGTTAATTTAAATTGTTCTTTGTTTTCTAATTTGTACGAGTTGGTGTTTCTCTTTCTTTTTTTTTGTAGGTCAACCATGAAACGAACCGCTGAAGGAGAAGTAGATTCAAGTTCAAAGAAACAAAGGACTGAGGATGAAGATGAAAATGGTGAAAACACATTAGACCTTAGTAAAGATCCATCGAGTATTGTTAATTTATCGTATGAAGATAAATTAAATTATGTTTCTCTGATTGCCAAGCCAATGGCACCTAAAAAGATGACAAAAAAATTATTAAAATTGATCAAAAAAGCGGGTAAAGAGAAAGGAATCATCGCCGGTCTTAAGAATGTCCAAAAACAAGTGAGAAGAGGTGACAAAGGGATAACCATAATTGCTGGAGATGTAACACCAATCGATGTAATTAGCCATTTACCTGTTCTTTGTGAAGATAAAGATATACCTTTTGCCTTTGTTCCCTTAAGATATGATATATCAGCAGCCATGGGTGTTAAAAGGCCTTGTGTCATGGTTATGATTCGTAAAAATGATTCCTATCAAAGTCTATACGATGAGTGTTACAATCTTGTTAAATCATTACCAGTTCCTTCACAATGTATTGAACAAGAAGCTTAACCATTACCACGATTATCATCATCATAATGAAAATAAAGACAAAAATTTTCTCCTCAAAATAAAAACTCAAAACTCGAAATCTAAAACATTCATTTCGCAACCAATTCAACCTAATCACCCAATCGAAATTGAAATTGAACGAATACGAATTGTCACCCACAATAGAAACGAAGAAGAAAAAGTTTAATCCAAAGAGAACTTTTCTTTTTTCGATAGAGTTTACAATCCAACTGAACTTGATTCTACTTCCGGAATCAATCAGTATCGATGTATTTTTGAGTTTTGGTGCTTCTGCTTTTGGAATTATAATATCCCCCCCAGAGGAGGGGTCAAAAATTGGCGTAAGGCTCATAATATGTGCCTCCCTCCACGGTAATCTTTAGTAAAAGGCGAAAGATTAAATCGTTAGTTGAAGGGAGACCAGAGCTTAACTCAACTCTTTACGCTCTCGGTATATAAACGTCGAGCGTTACAAAGAAAAGACAGTTTGTTGTTTTCTATTCTTTTTTTCGTCATTTTTTTAGTGTTTTTGATTCTTTTTTTGATTGCATTGGGTTTCTTATAGTTTGTTAATGGTTAATTAGTGTTTAGAAAATTAAATTGATTGATATTCTTTGGAATTTATTGATTTTTATTGGAAAAAATATTTTTCTCTTTGAAAATTGTTCTCTCCGGTTAAGTCTCTGTGAGAATAGCTTATTTTCACAGAATCTTTTGTGTATTTTGGTCTTTTGTTGAGTCACTTGAGTTTATTTTTCGCAATTAATTTGGAGTTGATTTTGTTTTTAATTGTCTCAATTGATTTACTTTTTGTTCCATTTGTTGATTACATTGTTCATCTAATTATGGCTTTACCATCGTCTAAATCTGAATCTTCTAGTTCTCGTCTGGTTAATCCTGAAAGAAATTTAATGCTTAGTGGGTAAGTTGATTTTTCATTTGGTTCTTTTTTTGTTATGTTTGATTTTAATTTATCAATTTTATTTCTTAATTGTTTTATAGATTTGAAAGCAATGCTCAATCCAAAATCTCTAAACATCCACTTCTTAAATCTGAAGCAAATGTAAGTATAATTTCATGTGTTCCTGTTTCCGATGGTCTTTTTTGTTGTTGTAAATTTAAATTCTTTATTGTTTTTCCTTTTTTTTAGTTTGCTCAAAATGAGGAAAGGGCTTGTTATTCAATCCTTGCTTCCACCCAAGGTATTCAGGCTCCGTTGAAGTTCATGATGGAACGCAAAGCAGCTTCGCAAGTTGGACATTTACCTTTCCTTCCAAAGTCAAATGCCATGTTGGAAACACTGACTGGTAATGATTGGAATTTCGGTCCAGAAGATATGTTTAATGGTGAGCTATCAATTGCAACCTTAATTTGTTCATTAGAAATTAGAATACCCTCTATCTAATACTCATTACTAATAATATCAATCTCTTATTTCTCTTCTCCAGATTCCATGTCAGATAGAGAGTTGATGGGGCCACCTCATTTGGTCATGGAAAGACATTTGGATATTTTGTAATCGTTTTCTTTTTGTGAAATTCAACATTATCACCAAATCCTAAATACTAATTTGAAATAAAATGAGGATAATTTTCATCTTGGTTAAAACATGAGAACCTGAAAATAAAACAACTCATTAAAATTTCAATTTCTTAAAATTAACCATAATCCCAATTATCTCAGTGAAATTTTCACAAACAAAACAATAGAAATCTAATGTTCAACCTCACCGAAATCTAATCAATCAACTATTAGAACGATAAACATTCCGATCGTAACATCCTGACCTCAAATCGTCGCGAATCTCAATGAAATACAATGAGAATAATTTTCTCAACAATTCCAACCAACAAATCAAACCAAATTACCTACTGATTTCCCTTAATTAAGATAAATTCATTCGACTCTTGACTAAACCTAATTCGTTGAACTTATTGAACAAAAAGAAGAAGAAAAAATCATTTAATCAGATGGAAAAATTGAAATTCCAATTCCATTGATGTTCATCTTTCTCCTTTTCTAACAATCGATTGTCTTGAATTTTAATCTTCTATTTTTTCGGTGATTTACTGATTAATTTTCTCTCCACAATCAATCGAAATTCTCCCCCTCCTTCTCCTCTTTATCTTCCTGTTCTCTTAAATCAGCTCACACTTTTCTCTTTCTTTCCTTCTGTCTGTTGCTCTCCCTCTATCTTCAAGTTAGTCTCTTGTTTACATTAATTGTTGATAGAATTTTTTTCCTACTTGTAAGTGTGTTGAAGACCAATCAATTTCTCTGTGTTAATTTACCTTTTCCTTTTGTTAACTATTTTAGTTTCTACATTTTCTAATTGATTTCTGGTCATCTTTAAATCTCCACCATGAATATCGCCCGACTTTCCATGTTAGGGAGACTCAATCCAATTTCTCCAAAGTTTCCTGGTTCTTTCTTTTCTTTTGGTAGACATTTTTCTTCTCAAAGTTCCGGTAAATTGTTGTTTTACATTTTCTTTTTCTTTTATCCAATTGTTCCAATTGTTGCAGACTAATTAATTTGTTTTCTATTCCAATTTCGGTAGAATATATTACCTGTGATGTACGAAATGGTGTTGCTGTTGTTAAATTTGACAATCCAAAGGAAAAGGTCAACAGTCTTTCCGAAGAGTTCAGCAGTCAAATGGAAGCTCATCTTGAACGGATCTTGACCGATTCCAGTATTACCTCTGGTGTATTAATCTCTGGTAAACCTGAGAATTTCATTGTTGGTGCTGATATTACAATGCTTGAGAAATGTAAATCAGCCGCTGAATCTGAAACACTTGCTAGAGGTAAAGTTCAACTGTTGAAGTGTCTCCTTCTTGTTTTGTAACCTTAATTTGCTTTTCTATTTATATGATGATCCATTTTTCTTATTCATTCTTCGGTTTTGGTTTACCTTGTGTTTCCCGTCTTCTAATGGTCATTCTATAGGTGGACAAGATATGCTTCTTCGTCTACGGTCAAGTCCTAAACCTGTTGTCGCTGCCATTATGGGCCAATGTCTTGGTGGTGGTTTAGAAGTTGCCATGAATTGTCATTACCGAATCGCAGTTAAAGACAAGAAAACTGTGCTCGGTCTTCCGGAAGTCATGTTAGGCCTTTTACCAGGAGCAACTGGTACTCAACGATTACCTGCTTTGATCAATCTACCCGAAGCTTTAACTATGATGCTCACTGGAAAACAAGTTCGTGCTGATAAAGCCAAGAAATTAGGTTTAGTTGATCTTTTGGTTAATCCATTAGGTCCTGGAATCAAGTCACCAGAGATTATGACATTAGAATATTTAGAACAAGTTTCCGTTCAAATAGCTGAACAATTAGCTAAAGGAAAATTAACCCCCAACCGAAAGAGACCTTTACCTGAGAGTAAGTTCCAAGAAAGGAAAACCATTCACTAACAACTATTAATTATTCATCGTTTTTCCTTCATGCTTACAGGAATTCAAGCTTTATTGTTCAAAAATCAATATGTTCGGGATAACCTTGTATTTGCCAAAGCTAAACAAGGTGTCATGAAACAAACACAGGGACTTTACCCTGCACCTCTCAAGATTTTGGATGTTGTCAAAACGGGACTGGAAAAAGGTGAACACGCTGGACTGGAGGCCGAACGTCGAGGTTTCGGTGAATTAGCACAAACACCCCATTCAAAGGCTCTTATTGGTCTTTTCCGAGGTCAAACACTTTGTAAAAAAAATCGATTCGGTAAACCAGCTAAAGAACCTAAAACAATCAGTGTACTTGGTGCAGGTTTAATGGGTGCAGGTATCGCTGCGGTATCTTTAGATAAAGGATTTGATGTTGTTATGAAGGATATGAATGCCAATGGTTTAACTCGAGGTTCTCAACAAATAAGTAAAATCTATGATGGTTATGCGAAAAGAAAACGTATCACTCAATACGAGAAGGATGTTTATCTTTCTCGGCTTCAGCCCAGTTTGAACTATTCCGATATCTCCAAATCAGACATAGTTATCGAAGCCGTTTTCGAAGATATCAAAATCAAACATGCCGTTGTAAAGGAGGTTGAAAGTATCGTTCGACCTGATTGTGTTTTCGCATCTAATACATCAGCTTTACCCATTGCTCAAATTGCCGAAGCCTCTAAACGACCTGAAAATGTTGTAGGAATGCATTACTTTTCACCCGTTGATAAAATGCAACTTCTTGAAATCATCACAACCGATAAAACAACCAAAGAAGCCGCTTCACAGGCCGTTCAAGTTGGTCTTAAGCAAGGAAAGGTTGTAATCGTTGTTAAAGACGGTCCTGGTTTCTACACAACTCGAATTTTGTCCTTCACCATGTCGGAAGCTTTCCGACTTCTCCAAGAAGGTGTCGAACCCACAAAACTTGACAAACTTAGCAAAGCCTATGGTTGGCCTGTTGGAACTGCGACTCTCCTTGATGAGGTTGGAATGGATGTCGGTGCTCACATTGGTGTTTATCTCGAGGGTATTTTCAAGGAAAGACTCAACGGTGGCACTCGAGCATTAGGAGATGACATAATGGCCTCCGGATGTTATGGTGAATAATTTGTCTCTTATTTTCCCTTATTTTCCCCAACAATTTAACTATTTGATTGTTATCTTATTTACAATGCTTCATGGTTAAAGTTCAATTTGTTATCAATTCACTTATAAGAGTACTGATTAGGTACAGTCACTTTTAGACTTATAATCATCAATTAATTGTGTAATTACAACCTTTGGATTGCTCTTTGAATATTGTTCATAATCAACAGAGAGACCAATTTAATTACAGTTTTGCTAGGAAAGGGTATGAAAAGTGATTCTGAATAATCAAAACATTTAGATTTTAATTGTTGATCTCATCATCCATTAGGATCATTTTTTTACTACAAATTTTTACTTCTCATATGATTTATGGTCAATGTTTGATATTTTATTGTTAGTTTCCTAATTATCTTGTCATTCTTGATTGCTGCATATTCATAACGATTACGTGATCAAAAATGTAGCTCTCAGCAATCAAGATAAATTCAAAGACTTCAGTGTTTGGTTTTCTTGAGTAATTTTGATTTGTGTTTATCTGAATTCAAGAGCATAATCTGATAATAGACCGATTCAATTAGTAGATTAACTTGATAAATGACCAATGGTCATCATTGTCCATTAGTACAGAGACAAGAAAACCAGTTTTCTAGTCTCTTTTTCATATCCCAAATACAAATTAAATTGTACTTCAATAACTTCACCAGTAATTAAATTAATCAAGCCAATATTTAAACAACTCTCAGGTCGTAAGTCGGGTAAAGGTTGGTACCTTTACGACAGCTCCGTTAAAAAGGGTTCACCAAGGCCAATGAATCCCGTCATGTTGGATATCCTTAAGCGCCATTCCCTCACACCTAAATTAGAGTAAGTCAACAATAGCGAAACAACCAAATTAATAAATCAATTGCAATCTTTGTCTAATTTATTTTGTCATCTCTTGAACAATTAGAAACACTGATGAACAAATTCAAATGAGATTAGTTGTCCGGATGGTCAACGAAGCCATTTTGTGCCTACAAGAAGGTGTTCTTCACAATCCGGTAAGTTAATTAATTCAATCGCAATTTACTATCGATAAAAAAAAACTAATTAACCTTAAATACTAACGAAAATTAAATTTCTCAATACAGTTGGAAGGAGATGTTGGCGCTGTTTTCGGCCTTGGATTCCCTCCTTTCCATGGTGGACCATTCCGATTTGTTGACCATTATGGAGCTGGACGATTAGTGTCATTAATGGAAACCTTCCAGAACGCTTATGGCCCCGAGTTCGCCCCATGCCAATTACTACTCGACCACGCTAAAGACCCAACACTCCGATTCCATAAATGATGAAATATTTTTTTCTAAAACAACAACAGCAACAAAAAAAACACTCGAAACAATTAAGTATACATTTATTACTGAAACAAGAGGCTAAGATATTTTTTATTGTTTGTAAAAAAAAATCAATTTACAATAATTAAATGAACCACAATCAACTCTAAAACAATTTGGTGGATGAAAAAAAGACACAAATTTTAATGAAACTTAGTTAATCATAAATATTACATTGATTATCAAGCAAAAGTCAATCAATCAATACCAAGTAAATCAATTGAATCATTAAATTGTTTAGCTGGTCGACTGTCAACCTGATTATCGGTTGTCAAAGTTAACCCACCGAGCAATTCAGGAATCGCTTCCTCTCCTTCCTCTTCCTCTTCCTCTGCGTCATATTGATAAGGACTAACACCAAGATCGGGATAAGTGAAGGTACAAGTATGCGAGAGATCAATTTCTATTGGGGAAATTAAATTCTCCTTAATCAGTGAATGACATTCAACGTGTAATTTAGCAAAAGATGAGATTAATCGTTGCAGTTGATTCGCAATGTCCTGAACATGCTTCTGATCTAATAGCTCGAGTTTCTCAAGTACATCTGATCGCAATTTACCAAATCGCCTTCGAGCATCTTGTCGGCACCTTAGCACCAAACGGTACTCGTAATTTCCCGTCTCAATGCGATACAAAGGCTCTTGTAAGGTTTGGTATTGATACTCCTCATCGTCCATCTCTTTTACCTTTAAACAGTAAGACTTTGGGAAGGAAAACAATTAGCAATCAATCAGCTAATTGTCACAATCAATTGACTTACCAGATATTCAAATTTAACATCAGCATATTTTTTAATTGTCAACTTTGTATCGGGAACTGCTTTGTAAAGGAAAGTGTGTAAATCGCTGAGGACCTGGAATCAATTTAATGGATACAATTAACTGCCGAGTAATTGTTGAATTGTCAACTCACTAATTAACTTACAGGTTTAATTGTTTGTACCATTTCAATTGATTGTTTCTCAATGGATCGATGAGTCTCACCAAATTTGCTAAAATCTTCACTTGCTGATGGATTTGGTTCTCGAACACCAATCTCAGCAAATACATCACCAAAAGCTAAATTGTTGACAAACATTTGATTACAGTTAACAGTTAATTGTTAGGGTAACAACAATTTACCTTTGTAAACTTGACAAATGTCAAGATGTCCTTTTAATAGTGAGATTGTATAATCAATGATTCCTCGATACATTGATTCCATTTTTTCTAATTCTTCCAATTTCTTTAATAAACTATCTACAATTTGAAAGAATTAACTAATTAATCAGTGTGTCCAATTGTCTAATGAATTGGGTAATTGTTTGACTTACCATTGCAGAGAATGGCTCGACTCAGACCCAGTGCATCCGCCGTCGCCGAACTCATATTTTCAACCATTCGATGTTTAACTTTTTTCAATATGATGTCCAGCGACTTACCTTGTTTAGGGTCAGCGTGTAGTTTATTATAGTTAATTATCACTTGCGATTTAACTGATTGTATCATTTTAGCGACTTCTACTTTGGTCTTTCCCTTCATGGAGATACCATTGACCGTTACAATTTCATCGCCCGATTCAAGTGTCCCCTCAGACGAAGCTGGTGTGTCATCGAATACCTGAAAATACAATTAACAATCAATCAATTACTAGATTTACTCATCAATGGACAGGTAAACACTTACCTGGACAACATATAAACATGGACAATTAGGAGCACCTCCACCAATTGAAATACCAATCAGATTGTTTTCATCTTTGTCAATTTTAACCACACCGGATGTTACCTTCATCCCTCTGAGTGAAATTATCAAACAATTAACAGAAATAATTACAATCAATGAAAACATATTGTAAGATAATCAATTAAAAAGCTTTGATATTTTCCAAGCTTTCAGATTAACGGTAAATCTGACAGGGAAACAAAATCTTCCCACCACAATTAACTGAGTGTTTATACTTACAATTTATCCTCTTCAAAGAAAAATTCATCCTCCTCGGTCATCGTCAATTGTTTAAACAATTAAATGTCTCAACAATTAACTGAAACAATTAATAAACCAATCAAATAATAAACATGAATCAAATTCTGTTCATTCATTAATTTTGTCTCTTTTAACATGGTAACCCTACTGGCTCCTTCTGGTTATCATTTAGTTGATTAAATTATTGATTTTTCTAATTCTGGTCTTGATCGTAACAATTAACTTGCTCATTTGGGTTCATTTAAAAAGTTTTCATTCCAGAAAAGTCCAACTCATTGGGCTATAGGGTTCGTGAGGATAAACTGACCTTTTAATTGTTGGTCAACTTTTAAGATCTGATAGATGACCAGTGGTCAATAATATACGAAAACAAAATACCAAGAAACCGGTTCCTTGAGTTAATTAGTCTCTGGGAATTATTATTATCAAACAATCAACTTTCGACTTGTTAATTTGATTAAGATAATCAGTTAATTAGTTTGGACTTTTTTACTTATTTTCTTTGCATCAATTATCAATGTGATGGATTTTGTTTTGAAAAAACATCAACAATTTAAAAAGTTAATCAATTAGGTTCATCTTAATTGTCAATCAAACTGTTGATCGGATCCTTGGGAGTTTGTTAATCAGTTACAATCGCATCAAAATCAAGATAAAAATGATCTTCGGGTTGATCTATTTTTCCCTCTAATACTTTGAACGATTTGGACCTTTGACTTTTGGTCATTTCTCAAGGTCAAGTTCAAAGGTAATTATAATTGCCAAAGATTTTCACTCCAGTTAAATTTGATCTTAACTGATAATAACTGTGATTATCGTTTATGATACGAGTGTTAAATTATCGATAATCAATCAACCCATTCAATCACAGTTTTTAATCAGTGAAAATTATCATTGGAAAAAAGTTTTTTTCTTCAAAAAAAAGAGAAGAGAAAAAAATGATCGATACTCTCTAACCTTAGTGGTCAGTAGTGTAGTAGTGGTCAAAGATGGTGATGATTATGATGATGAGACTTTGGTTAAATTATTAGTTACCTGTGGTCACTTTGCAAGAAACAAAACTCAAAAACTAAAGACTAAGCGGAAAAGTTATCAAGATGAAAGGTCAACATTGAGGTGGACAATAACCAAGAAAGAAAGAAAGAAAGAAATAGAAAGAGAGAGAGAGAGAGAGAGAGAGAGGTCAGTTATTACCATAGCCTTAGGGCATTTCCCTAGACTATCAATTGATCGGTGGAAAAAAATATCAAAATTCTGTTTCAGTCAAAGACCTCACAGATTTTTCTTTATTTTTGTTTCTAATTTTCGTCATCCTCTTCTCTCTCATTAACTCTCACTTTCTTCCATCACTTATCATCCTCACAGGTGAGAGGGGAAGGTGACAAACGAGTGAGATAGAAATAAACTAAGTCGAAGAAAAAAGTTTCCTTCACAATTAACTGTGATTCTAACAGTTTAGTTTGATTCTTGGTAAAGTGAAAGTTACTTTCTAATAAAATTAAAATCGTTGAGAAAAAAAAGTTCAATATGAATTCATTGATTCTAATTGTTACCATTGCTTTAGCAGTTACAAGTTCTCAAGCTCGAACAGCTCGAAATGAGCAAATATCTTCCTCGACATCAACAAGCCTCCCAAAGGCGACAACCGAAACTGTCACCAAATCGACAACTCGTCCAACACCAACCACCGTTGCATCATCAACAACACCTTCCCCTCCAACACCAACACAAACAACAACCACAGCGACAACAGCATTAGCCCCACAATCAAGCAACACCAATAACAACACGATCACAAATCGTATTCAACTTTTATCAAATTCTGGTTCAACTTTGGCAAGTAATCTGATCAACAGTTTATCCAACAATTTGTCTCAATTATTCAACCAGTTAACTAATCGAATCAAGTTACCAATCAAAAGCACGCAAACGGTTAACAATTTATGGAGCTCAATTCGTCGAAGTGATTTAGTTCGGTCACCATTAACCCTTTCAGTGGCCGGTGTCACTTTCGCAGGGTTCATATCGTTAATCGCACTCTACACATTCCCGTCACTTCGAGAAGCATCAATCCCAATATTTAGTGATCGTAATCAAATTAAACTAATCGGTGAAATCGGCCGATCGATTGACCAAATCGCCGAAACAGTCGACGCTGCGATCGATAGCTATTCTCGAAGTGAATCCGATACTTGCATTAAGATTGCTCTTTGTACTCTTGGAAAGGCCAAAGAGGTATCACGAAGAAGTCGAGCTATCGATGCGGTCAACACAGTTCTAACGTAAGTAAATCAATTAATTGTCCGAATAAACAAGAAAACTAATCAATTAATCTAATCAACAGTTTCCCTGGACTCGATCAATACCTAATATCCAACAAGGAATGGCTCGAGTCTCATGCCTATGGAAGACAAGGAAACGATTGCGACACAATTAACTACAAGCAACAATGTCCCTTCAATTATGCCACTTGGAAGGTCTTGTTATCGAGTCTCAGTAAGGTCATTTAATCAACTAATTAGTTGATTCCAGCGTAATTTAATCAATCATCTTTTTCGTCTTCATTATTTTATATTTGCCTTTTCGCTAACGATTTACTTTTAATGGCTCCTTTTTTTTATCTGCCAAATAAATAATCAAAAAGTATTAATTGTATCGATTGATTTTGTCATTAATTTGTTTTTAAAATTGTCCATTGATTTGGTGTTTTTTTTGAATGTTTATTAACAGAGGAACTGGAATTTAAATTGTGTATTTGTTTGTTGGTGTGTGAATTGGTTTGTCAAGGTGATTGAGATACAAAAAGAAAGAAAAATTTGACAATTAAGAAATTCGATAAATAAAAGAGAGGTTATGTAGTAATAATTATATAATATAATTGATTGATTTTGTTTACAAATGATTTTTGATACCATTTCTTTGAATTTCTTTGTCATTTTGTGAGGTAACTTTTTTCTCTCTTTCTCTTTCTCTCTCTCACTCTTTCTCACTTTTTCTTATTTTTAAATATATGCAAATGGCCGGGAAAACAAAAAAAAATTGATGAAATCATCTGAAGAAATGATGGCGATAAACCAAAAGGTTAGAAAGAAAAAAAAATGAATTAAGTGATTTAAGCGAAGAGTGAGAGTGAGAAAGAAAGAAAGAGAGAGAGAAAAGAAAAAAATAATTGGCGAAATAGAAAATAAGTTTAAGCTTGTGGAGTGTTTTCCTGTTGAGTGGGTGATAATTTTGCTCTTTTAGCGGGCGATTGTTGGTGGAAGATTGTGGACACTAGAGGATCGCGATTTTTAGGGAAATTGCTCTTTTGAACTTCGTACTTTAGTTTGTATTTTTGAACCTCAGTGTCGGATAAATCTTTTCGAGCGTAAAAATGTTCCGGTGGGTTATCTACTCCGTGCCTGTGAAGCCAATGTTGCCTCATGTTACACGAACGATCTTTACCTATGTAGTAACATCGGTAACCACCATCACGGAAGAGACAAATTTTGTATTTATGGAGACCAGTTGGTTTAGGTGAGGCGGGATCACTGTTTCCATTGTTGGTGACAATGTTGTTAACATATTTTGATGAGGGTGGTACGGGAGGGGCTGGTGGTTTACGACTATATTGTCTCTTTGAAACTGAAGCATCACAGAAACGAGCAAATTGATTAACAATTTCTGAATCGGTTGTTAAATCAACAGGCAGTCCAGAACCATCTTCAATATGTGCATCTTCAACGTTTCTTTTGGTTAATTGGGCGAAACGTTCAGTTGCCAGACGTAATTGTTCAGCTGAACTATTCATCTCTTCACCGACAGCACTGATGCCGCCAATTTCATGATGACTAGGATCGACGGCTAGATTTCCATTATACAAATTGTTATGATGTTGATGATTGCGAGATGATAGTTCTTCATGATCGAATGTTTCATCTTCCTCATTTTCGTATTCATCTTCATTATCACCTTCACCATTATTGGCTATTGTCCGTTGTTGTTTTTGAAGAAACGAATGATGAGATTGAAGATGATGTTGATGATTTATTAGAGATAAATTGATCCCTGAGATTGATTGATCGCGCATAGAATATCCTTCGTTATTTAATGTCAGTCTTTCGTCACAATCACTTAATGTTCGAGTCAATTCATCGATAATCTTAAGCTTATTTTGCCACTCATTACGTAGTCCCTCGGCCATAATACTGTGAATTATGGAAAATTGTGGTAACATAAGTGATATAAATTCTGATTGTAGATGGCACAATTTACGTCTTCGACGTTCTTTATCTTCGATCATTTTGAAATATTGTCTACTGTAGGCATCTAGTTGACTTATTAGGTAGCGACGTTGGTCCGACGATTCAAGTGCTTCATATTCTTCCATTGTTCGAATGACAGGATTTCTGTCACCCACGGATCGGTGAACATAACTAACTGAACCATTTTTTTGGCATCCAAAGTCTTTAGTTACTTTTGAATGATGAGGCAGATGATTTGATAATGGAGGCACTTCTTCTTTTGATCGATAGGATGGTGGTGAATTATATGCAGAAGAGTTGAAAGTGCTAGCGCTTTCGGTACCTTCTTCGACAAGTTCTTGAATCGCTGAGCCCACTTTACGAAGACAGTCAAATAGTTTATCCATTTTATTTCTCTCCAAAAAGGCTTGATGGTCTTGTCTTGTCGGTTTTTCGCTTTGATTAACCTCATCAGAGTCACGTTGTGATGACATTTGAGAGGCTTGTGACAACAACATATTTGAAGGTGTTGTTGATAGAGGAGGAGGTGAGGGAGATGATGATGATGATAATGATGTAGTCGTTGATTGTGTCAGTACTAGTGGTTGTATTAATTGTGAAGAAGTAGAAATAGGAAGAGATGAAGGAGGTATCGATGCATCTTTTTCAAGGTGCCCATTAGGTTGATCGGTTTCTACGATTGGCTGGACTTTCATGGTTTTCGTTTTCGTTTTCAGGTAGATAGTTAATATGTATAAATCTTGAGTATATAAGTGTTCGTGGGTTATATATATACTGTGATGTAGAAATAGCTACCAAACGGCAATAAACTTTCACTCCTTTACTCAGGGATGAGTAAGAGAAACTTGACCATACAAGAAGAAGCAAATCAATTTGTTGTAGAATTTGCGGAAAAACATAAAAATCATGATAATAACCCACCAAAAGTAAAAGAAATGGAACCAATCTTTGGATAATTAGCTTTTGTACAAAAAAAACAGCAACTGGTGTATAATAGTAATTGATATCTAGGTAATATATTCCAAATATATGTGAGTGTTTGTTTGTAAATCTCGTAACCAAATTAAGTAAATCAAAAGAAATACAGAGTTTTGTAATAGCTTAATGATTTGATGATGTTGCAGTTTTAACTGGATGATGATGTTGATTGATAGAAAAGGATTAAGAGGATAATACGATGATTGAGGCGGGATGTCATCAAAATAAGTTTCTTCTATTTTTTTTGTACACTTGAAGTTGTGTATTTGTCACAAAACAACAATCCTAATCACATATGGATTCTGTGAGACAAAAGAAGAGAGAAGAAGAAAAAAAATAGAAAGAAACAATTAGAATCAATTAAAGACAAGAGATAGATAATGAGAGAGAAAACAAATAATAATTGTTTCAAATCAAACGACAAAGAGAACAACATGAAAGTTAATCCTCATAGAAAATAAAGAGAAAAGAGAAAATGGTGAAAAGAGAATAGAATATTTTTTTTTCTTCTCTCACTTACCTTGTTTATAGCTTATTCCATCTTTTAACATGAGATATATGGTCAGTTCTTAGACCATAATCATCATTATTGAGGTGGTTTTCTTTCAATTAATTACCTGTAATTTGTACAATAATTGCTCTTTTCCCAACCCAATTAAAATGACAAAGTAATCAAAACCAACTGAATAACAACAGGAAATCAAAACCAGGCAAATAGTCATGTTAACAAATGATACAAGAAGAGAGAGAGAGAGAGAGTAGCAAACAGTTATTATAACAAAAAAAAGAGTCATCATCATCTTCCAGATTTAAAATGATAATTTCTTCTTGACTTTACTTACCTTGACCTTGCTTGATTAACTTTTGATAATCACATCTGATGCTTGAATTACCTTTGCATCTAAACAATTATAATCACCAATCTAAAAAATTAAGAAGACGAGGAACCATAGAGGAAGATAATTAGAGAGACACAGAGAGAGAGAGAGAGAAAAAGAGAGACGAGCAAATAAGTAAACAAATTACTACAGAAATAACAAGATATTCAACAGAGAAAGAGAAGAAGATAAAATATAATAGTGAGAATAGAAAGAGAGAGAGAGAGTAAATATCAAAGGGGAGGGAGAATACATAGAGAAAAAAAGACAGAGAGAAAGAAAGAAAAAAAAAGATAGACAGAAATGGAGAAGAAGAGAAAAAGATAAACAATCTGTCATCAAACAAAGAAAACAAATCATCAGATTAATTAACTTACCTTTGTGGTTAATACCTTGATTGATCAATCGTGTAAGTGTTAATTAGCCAGGGAACAATTAAGTACTTGTTGTGAGAGAGTAGAAAAAAAGAAAACATAAAAATAGAAAGAGAGAGAAAGTGAGAGAGATTAACCCAAACAAAGTGAAAATTATTCTGACAGAAAAACAAGAGAAAAGAGAGAAAGTTAAACTCTACTGTCTATTTGATAGAAAGAGATGAAGACAGAAAATTATGATTATTGTCCAGTTTAATTAAATCTCTTTGGTTGATTAACCAAAGAGTTGACCCAAAACCTGAATCTCTGTGAAGTGTTTGTATTGATTGAAAAGATACAAAGAAAAATAATTGAAGCGAAAATTTTTTCCTTTTCAAACTCTTTAATTGTTAAAGAGATTATTGTAAACAAAAGTGTACATTTAATTATTTGATTGTGGTGGTTGTTGATTTACAGAGGCAAATTTAGATTAATTGACTAAAATAATCAGACTTTTCAGTTGTGGGCTTGATTGTGCACCATTTGCAAATTGATTGGAATGGGAATTGATTGTGCATTTACAAAATACTTAAATATAAGTTAATTAGTGAGAGGAAGATTGTATTGTAAATTAATTACAATTGGTCAAGTAATTGTTTAGAACAATTAAAAAGTGTATAATTAGTTGTTTCGTCAAAATTGAAATAAATTTTGTTCTTTCTGTTGATGTAATAGTCTTGAAATTGATGCTTATAATTCAAGATGAGATTTTCCTGATTGTTGAGTATTTGAGTTAATTGTTATTTGGTTTTCAATTGATGATGATTGGAGATATTTAACTCGCTCCTTGCGAACGTATTTAACTCCTTCCATAACTAGATTTATAAATTCGTTAACATCAAATCGATAATTGGTAAATTTTTGATGAGCACCTAAATTGGGATGATTACCTTCATCTTGTGGATATAATTTGTCTCTCGATGACCAAGTAATATATTTAAGGCCTCGTAGAGATGCTAAATCTTTGTAACAATTTTCATCATCACAATTATATAATTCAAATAGGACTCCCCAATTGGGTTGGAAAAGACAATGAGTTAATCCAGCTCCATGCATACCAATTAGTATATCAGAATTGTGACTAATTGTTAATTGATCCGAAAATGGCATTTGATGAGTAAATTCAACTCGTTGGACTTTGAAATTGTTAGATTTTTTCTTTAAATTATCCAATAATTCATCTTCGTTTAATATTTTTCGATATTTAGTTGACCGGGAGATTAGAGTTATTCTGATTGTCGATGGATCATCAATTTGGGTATAATTTTGGGTGATATTTAATTTGTAAAGAACGTGTTCATTGAATGCTTGGAATAATCGACTTTTACGACAACCAGGAACCAAAGGCATATTGTAGTATAAACCTAATTGGAGAAATTGAAAAAAAAAGAGAGAATTGATTAGATGATGATTAGATATTTTGAGGAAAATTAACTTACCGAAAACCATTCGAGGTAATAATGAGAAGAGAGCATCTTTAAAGCAAACCTTTTTCCCTTTGTAAAGGCTTAGGTTTAGAATTGGATTATTGGTAAAAGCTTTCCAAACAATACCGAAATTGGATCGATATGGATAAGTGTCCCAAATTAGGATGTTAATGTCCGTTGAGAAACTTTGATTAAGATGTAATGTTGCGTAAAGATTAACAAAATCACAGAAATGATGATACATATTAACTGTAGCATCTAATTTCATTATGTATGTTGGTTTGGTTATTGTTATATCACAGTTTGGTTTATTATCGTAAACATCGTAATGTTCAAGCTCATCGAACCAAGATTGTAACGGAGATTTGTGGGCACTTTCCTTTCTAATTGATAAAATATCACGATCACAATCCCATCCACCGATTTGTCCATTTTCAAGAATATCTGTACGATATTTAATTGGTTCTTTGAGTGTTTCCAGTCGCTTGAAATCAATCATAATACTTTTTCCCCGACAAAATCTAAAATATCGAGTACATTCAAGGCTTGAACTTTGTCCTAGAAGTTTCAATGGACTTCCAAAGGTCATTTTTGGTTTACAATAAGTAGTCAATTCTTTGGTTCGTTCCATAATGTAACCAAAATCTCCTTGGTTAAAAAAAGTTTCTCTTTGTTCACTTTCACTGTTGGGCCAACCATTGTTACTCTTTTCACAATCTATTGGAAGAAACGAGAAACAAAACACAAGACATTAAAACAATTTATCATACATAATAAACTGATTAGAATTAAATTTATATAAGAAAAATAAAAAGAAGAGATGATTAAGAGAATAAATTAAACCAAAGACAATTTGATCTTTTATCATAGAACAAAAAAAAAGAGAACTTGATAAAACGAATAAGTTAACATATTACAAACCTGTGATTCTTTCAACTTTATTTGAACAATTAACCCCAAAAGCAGATTCATAACCCCAACACTTAAGGCCAGTAGAATTAACATAATCACAGATCTTTTGTTCTTTAGGAATTAATTGTCTAGAAGATGAACACATTTTCTCAATTAAGTGATGATTACTCTGGAAAAAGAATGGATAATGAGACAAAGGTAAATCGGGTACCGGTTCATATTGTTGACTAAACCGAACGAACAAACATGTCAAATACAATATAATTAGACCAAAGTGAGAACGATCAATTAGACAACAATTAGAACTTATTGTCATCGCCATGATTAAGATAATTTATATATTCCAAAGTGAAAAAGGCACACCAACAATGGACGGCGGATGATCTTGATGAGCACTTTTGGTAACCCGACCTCAGAGAAAATCCCCTCATATGTTAGGCGAAGTTTAGAAAATCCAACAGATGTCACCAGTTGTTGTTCTTTCTTTTCTCTTTCTTTTCTCTGGTCTTTTCATCGATACAATCGATAGATTGAATTTTCTAATGGAAGAGCAAGTTTACTTTATAGAGAACGTTTTGTTTTTATTGTGTTTCGCTGATTAATTGATTGTGATTGTCTTTTTTTCCGTTGATTTGATTGTTGTCCAATATTCGTCGATATGGAAGTTGATGCTACACCGGTCACCCCATCGGCTCTTCAACAGTTTATTATCCTTTCAAAAACGAGTAAAGGTTTGGCGGCTGTTGAATTGATTAAAGAGGTTCTTAATCATCCACAAATCTATGTTTTTGGTGAGATATTGAGACAACCCAATATAAAAGAACTATCTAAATCGGAAGAATATTCTAAATATTATGATTTATTGGAACTGTTTGCTTATGGTAATTACAATGATTACAATCAACTCAAATATCCACAGTTAACTGGTCAAATGGTCACTAAATTGCGACATTTAACTATTATTAATTTGGCCAGTAAAAATAAGACCTTAAGCTATGAAAAATTGAATGAACAACTTGGAATTGTTAATTTAAGAGAATTGGAAAATCTTATCATTGATGTCATCTATTCAAATATAATCAAAGGTAAAATGGATCAAGAAAATGGATGGTTAGAGATAAGTTCAACAATTTCTCGGGACATTAAGGAGGAACAATTAGAGACCATAATTGATGTTTTATCCAATTGGACTTCTAATTGTGATAATGTCATCTCAGACATTGAAAGTCAAATAATTAAAGCAAATTCAACCAAAAGTGCTCATTCAAAAGAGAAACAAGAATTGGAGTCTCAAATATCATCAATTGAATTACATTTGAAAACCTCAGGTCAAGATATTGAATTTTCCCAGGACAATAATGATATGACCTTATTCATGAACCAAGGATCTAATATTGGTAAAAGTAAACGAACTCCTCGTCGATCAGAAAAAAACCGACCTGGGCCGTCAAGAGATTCAAGATCATTCGATTAGAAATGTATTTATAAAATCCAAATATTCCCAATTTTCTAATAATCATCAAATTATCATTCAAATGAAAACAAAAAAATTATTCCTTTGTAACAAACAACCTTAATATTGATCTGTATATCTAAATTGTGGTACTTTAATTGTGTTATTTAATCAACATTAACAGTTTTTTTCCAAACAAATCAATCCTCATGTGTCCCTCAAAATCATGTTCCAAGTAATTAATCAAAGTTAATTCAGAACAATTTGAGATAATAACGAGAAAGAATCATTTTGAAATCAAAATTTTCCTTAATTGATCAACAATCATATCGATCTGATTATCAAATCTAATTCAATAAGACATAATTAAACTACTTTTGTATTGTTGATCAATCAGATTACGAGCTCGTGGGCAGATTTGATGATTTACCTTAATTGTAATCTAGTCAATTGAATGATCAATAAAAATAGTTAAATTTTGTCATCTTAATTACTTACTATCAATATAAAGGGTTAAACAATTTACAATTAAGATGAAGGCTAATTAAGATTCACTTTAATCAATCAATTTAATATTAAGGTGAATGAGATTTAATCTAACACTTGATAATTATGATAACAATTAAGATAAATAAATGAAAACTAATCATGAAAATGATTGACAAAGTTAATTTTTTCACTGAAAAGATCAACAAAGTAACTAATTAAATGTTCATTTTAATTGTTGGCTTAATTTTCATTGGTTTAACCAACGGGAAAACTTTATCATCAGTAAATACAACTAATTTAACTCCATTGTCAAATGAAATAGTTGATTATGTCAATTCACTGAATACAACATGGAAAGTAAGTAATTAACAATTAAAACGATTAACCAATTAACCTAACTTGATAATATTAATTGTTACAATCAGGCTGGTACAAACTTTGATGATTTACAATACATCAAGAAACTTAATGGTACTTTAAAGGAGCCAGAAAATTTATTCAATTCAACAATTAACGAAACAATTACAATAACTAACGAGAAAATCAATTTACCTGAACATTTCGATGCTCGTGAAGTTTGGCCTAATTGTGATTCCATTGCAACAATTAGAGACCAAGGGGGTTGTGCAGCATGTTGGGCAGTTAATACAGTCTCAATTATGTCCGATCGACTTTGTATCAAATCAAATGGTACAATTAACGTCCAATTATCAGCTGAGGAAGTGTTGACATGTTGTCATAATTGTAGTAACGGTTGTGTCAACGGTGGATTTGCTCATAAGGCGTTTTCATATTGGATTGACCATGGAATCGTCACCGGTGGGTCTTACCAAGGTGGCGGGTGTTTACCTTATACAATTTACCCTTGCACCAGACAGGGAGATGGTCCAATTACTTGTAAACAATCAAATCTAATTCGACTATCAACCTGTAGAAACGAATGTGCCTCAGGGTATAACAAGAATTACACTGATGATAAATACTTTGGGAAAAATTCTTACAATTTGGTTGGTCCTAAATCGATCATGTTGGACATTATGACCAATGGTCCAGTCGCAGCTCGAATGAAACTTTACAATGATCTTTACAGTTACAAATCAGGTAAGAAAGTTAATCGATTATCTTTTCTCCTGTAACATTAGTTAATTGTCTTAATTTCTTACAGGTATTTATCAGCAAACTGTTAATGAAGATGATGGTTATCATACTGTCAAGTTAATCGGTTGGGGTAATGATCAAGGTGTCGATTATTGGTTAGCTGCTAATTCTTGGGGCACTTATTGGGGTGATAAAGGTAAACTGGTTAATTAATTAGTGATTGTTTTAATTTTCATAGAAAAATGTATCTGATTTAGTTAATTGTTAGACTAATTGTTTGCTTCTTGTTTCCTTGTCTTCAGGTTTTTTCAAAATCAAACGCGGTGAAAATGAATGTGAGATTGAAAATGAGGGAATTGCTGGATTGCCAAGAATTTAATTGATAAAATTAATCTCCAACTAATTAATTGTTAGTGATTAAGTCAATCAATTAACAATTGATTGACATTGCCAATCCTAAATTATTTATTCTAATTGTTATTGGTAATAAAAATTTTCATCTCAATCAATCTCATCTTATAGATGATGATTAATAATCAATCATTGATATTAAACTGACACAATCAACTTGATTAGATACTAAAATCTTGATCAATAATCATTTGATTTTAATTGAATCAACATTAAATCAAGATTCTCAATCAAATCATAACTGCTCATTATTTTGACATTTATGACCAGAGGAAAGTAAATCACAAAGCTCAATGATCATCATTAACAAATAGCAACAATTAAGCAGTCTATTGGCCTTAATTTTACAGTAATTAATAGAATCAATCAACGATTAACACAATTAAGGGACAAAGTTGAACAATTTCGAGGCTCGATAATAATTCACTCCTATTTATTATAAACATTTTCTATTATGAAATTAATAACAAATTCCCAATAGAAAACACCCTTCGAGCTGATTATCTCGTGAATTTTCATTTAAATCAATTTAAATTTGAAACAGAATTAAGTTGCTAATCAGTTCTAAACAAAGAAGACATCGAGTTGAACTGATCATAAAATCATTAAATTGTTACAATTAAATTAAACTTGATGGCGATGAAAGTTGCAATTGTTTTATTGTTTATCGTGAGTTTTACTTATGGAAAAAGTTTATCCTCGGACAATTTTGATTATACTTCAGATGATTTAATTGACTATGTTAACTCACTGAATACAACATGGAAAGTAAGTAATTAATTGAAACTATTAGACAATCAGTATATCGATATTGAGAAAATAATTAATTATTAGGCTGGTAAAATCTTCAACGATCAACTAATGAACCAAGGTGGTAGTTTGATGGCACCAGAAGACTTGATTAAATCAAAATCCAATCTGGTTAACAATCAAGATGTCGAAATTGATTTTCCTGAACATTTCGATGCTCGTGAAGTTTGGCCTAATTGTGATTCCATTGCAACAATTAGAGACCAAGGGGGCTGTGCAGCATGTTGGGCAGTTAATACAGTCTCGGTAATGTCTGATCGACTTTGTATCAAATCAAATGGTACAATTAACGTCCAATTATCAGCGGAAGAAGTGATCAGTTGTTGTGAAGATTGTAATTTAGGTTGTGGTAAAGGTGGATATGTCACCAAATCATTTTCGTACTGGATTAAACATGGAATCGTCACCGGTGGATCATATCATGGTGACGGTTGTTATCCTTATGAAATTAAACCTTGTTATAAATCAAAAACTGGCAAAATTGCTTGTGAAAAGACAACTCAGACTCCTGAATGCAGAAATGAATGTGCCTCAGGGTATAACAAGAATTTCACTCAAGACAAATACTTTGGTGAAAAGTTTGACAACTTATGGGGAATGAAATCCATCATGTTGGACATAATGACCAATGGTCCAGTTGTCGCTCAAATCAAACAATATCGTGATCTACGAAGTTATCAATCAGGTTTGGTTTCATCTCATTAAAGATTATTGGTTTTTGATTAATTGTTATCGTTAATTGTTAGGTATTTATCAACATGAAACTGGTGAAATGCTTGGTTATCATTCTGTCAAATTAATCGGTTGGGGTAATGATCAAGGTGTCGATTACTGGCTAGTTGCTAATTCTTGGGGAACTTATTGGGGTGAAAAAGGTAATTAGAAATTAATCTAATTTAGTTAATTGTCTCACTAATTGTTCATCTATTATTGTGTATCCTTAGGTTTTTTCAAAATCAAACGTGGTCACAATGAAGCTGATGTTGAACACAATGTATTTACTGGTTTACCTAAATTGTAATCTAATCAATTAAATTGTCATAGTAAAATTCAACAATCATAACAATTTTGGGCACTTGATTGTATTGTGTTTATAATTAAACAATAGTAATTTTTTGATTATGTTAAATCATTGTGGGTAATTGAATCAGCTGATCATTGAAAGTAGTTAATTAGACTTTGATCGCAATAGTAAATCAGATATGCAAAGATGAAGATATTGATTGTGAATATAAATAGAGACAAAAAATCAACAATGAGTATTTATTTTGATTGTTGTTTCTTTCATAATTAGTAAATTGTTTATTCAATTTTAAGAATGGATTATCATCCACTCAAAATGATCATTTTAATGTTAATTTTAGTTGGTTTAACTAACGGTAAAAGTATCGCACCTTTGACAAATGAAATGATTAATTATATCAATACATTGAATACAACATGGAAGGTAAGTAATCAACAATTAATTATCTCTTCAATTAAACGCTCAATTTTCAAAAAAAAAAGTTGATGAGAATAATTTCTAATTGTTACAATTAGGCTGGTAAAAATTTTCATGATTCCTCGTATGATTATGTGAAAAAATTAGCTGGCACACTAATTGAAACTGGGCAATTGATTAAACCGAAAAATTATCAAATTAAAAACAATGAGAATCAGATTGATATTGATTTACCTGAACATTTCGATGCTCGTAAAGTTTGGCCTAATTGTGATTCCATTGCAACAATTAGGGATCAAGGAGCTTGTGGGTCATGTTGGGCTGTTAATACAGTCTCGGTAATGTCCGATCGACTTTGTATCAAATCAAATGGTACAATTAACGTCCAACTATCAGCGGAAGAAGTGATCAGTTGCTGTGATTACTGTGGTGGTGGTTGTAGAAACGGCTACCCAATTATGGCCTTCGATTATTGGACTGAATATGGTATCGTTACCGGTGGTCAGTATCAGGGTGACGGTTGTTTACCTTATTCAATACCACCCTGTAGTCACAGTGTTAACGGATCTGCGTCTTCGTGTGAGGAAATAGGACTTTCGATGACTCCATCTTGTTCACAAGAGTGTATTTCTGGTTATGATAGAAAATTTGATTCTGATAAATTTTTCGGACAAAAATCTTATTCGTTTTTTGAACCTTACGATATAATGGTCGAGATAATGACCAATGGTCCAGTTGCTGCGAGCATGTTGATATATTCCGATTTTTACAATTATAAATCAGGTTCGTTTATTTCATCTGATGAAACCCAAAAGCAATTTACTAATTGTTATCATTTTAGGTGTTTATCAACATGAAACTGGTGAAAGGCTTGGTCATCATACTGTCAAGTTAATTGGTTGGGGTAATGATCAAGGTGTTGATTATTGGTTAGCTGCTAATTCCTGGAATACCGATTGGGGTGATGAAGGTAAATCAGTTGATTGTTAAATGAAAATCGTTCACTAATTGTTACCATTTCTGTCCATCAGGTTTCTTCAAAATTAAACGTGGTGAAGATGAATGTGAAATTGAAACTGATGTAATGGCTTCACTACCAAAACTATAATCTAATCAAAACTTGAACAATCAATCAAAGAGTCGAAACTACTGTTGAGACAATTAGTTAATTATCTAAGGTTTCACTGAGGTTTGTGCGCGAAACTTTGTGATAATTGTTTTAATTGTTGTGATTTACTTAATTAACTGTTTTTTACTATTAGTATTTTATTAAATGCATTGATATAAGCAAATGTTTATTTATTTATTAATAGTTGATTCAATTGTTCATTGAGGACAAGTCTCATTTCCTGGGTTGAGATATTTGAACTAGGAAGAGATTTAATTTAGTTTAAATTATTTAGTTTAAAAGTTCAGGTTAAGGTTAACAATCAGGAAAATGGTTTCTTTATGAACCAGATGAAGTTAATTTAGGTTAAAATTGTAACAATCAACTGATTCAGGGTCAAGTTCAGGGTAGTTCATTGCTTTTAAATTACCAGTCCAACAATTGCCTCACTTTTCAGACTGTCCAACAATTAACTTAAACAATCAAATTGAAAGTAATTTAATAAAACAAATTTCATTGATTTTGAAAGTGGCAAATCATCAAAATAACTTATCAGATATTTTTAATCATTTCTGATAATTGTTTTGATTGTTTCTTTAATCATAATGAACATTTTTTGTAACAATTAAAAAGGATTTTCATTTGATTCCAGACAATTAGATTAGATTAATGAAGATTATCTCATCTGAACGATGATGAAATCAATAACAATTAAAGGTAAATTGGTGACTTTTATTTTCATCTTTATCATCATTTAGATGATTTAATTTAATCTAATCAAGTTGGAAACAATTTACAAATTAACAAAGAGAAATGATTAAATTGGATTATTAATGGAAGTGTAATTAAAATGGAAACGTTAATTGTTTTATTGATTATCTTTGGGGTTTCATCTGGTAAAAGTTTTGAATTGTCAAGTGAATTAATTGATTATATCAACTCATTAGGAACAACATGGAAGGTAAGAAATTTTAATTGATAATCAGTCGCTTATTAAATTAAAATTAATTGTGATTTGAAGGCAGGTAAAAACTTTGAAGGTTACTCATTGAGCTTCGTTGACAATTTAGTCGGAACCTTAGAGGAACCAAAGGAATCAATCAAATCAAAATCCAATCAAATTAACAACAATGAGAATCAGATTGACATTGATTTACCTGAACATTTCGATGCTCGTGAAGTTTGGCCTAATTGTGATTCAATTGCAACAATTAGGGATCAAGGAGCTTGTGGATCATGTTGGGCAGTTAGTACAGTCTCTGTAATGTCCGATCGACTTTGTATCAAATCAAATGGTACAATTAACGTCCAATTATCATCAGCAGAAGTGATGAGTTGTTGTGGGTCAAATTGTGGACTTGGATGTCAAGGTGGTCGTCCTAAAGAAGCTTATAAATACTGGATTGACCAAGGTATCGTCACCGGTGGTCAGTATCAGGGTGGTGGGTGTTTACCTTATCCTATTCCACCTTGTGAACATCATATCAATGGATCTCGACCTTCATGTCAACAATTAGGCAAATCAGAGACTCCACCCTGTTCAAGACAATGTATCTCAGGTAATAATTTTACTTGTGACAAATATTATGGGTCAAAAGTTTACTCGGTCAAAGGTACTTTCCAAATAATGAACGAAATACTGACCAATGGTCCAGTTTCAGCTCAAATGCGCGTTGCAGATGATTTTTACAGTTACAAATCAGGTTTGTCATTAAATTGTCTTTCGCAATTATCCATTGATTAATTTTAAATTATCGACAATGAATGTTAGGTGTTTATCAATATACTATTGGTGAACCTCATGGATTTCATTCTGTCAAGTTAATTGGTTGGGGTAATGATCAAGGTGTTGATTATTGGTTAGCTGCTAATTCCTGGAATACTGATTGGGGTGATGACGGTAATTAATTAATTGTCAAGTTAATTGTCTTGATAATCATTCGTCTTTTTATTAACAGGTTACTTCAAAATTAAACGAGGCACTGATGAGTGTAGGATTGAAAGTGGTGTTGTTGCAGCTTTGCCTAAACTTTAATTGTTAACAATTAACTGATTTGATTGATAATAAATTTGATTAATTTGCTTTTGTCTGTTTTTTCTTGGTTAAATTTGAAGGACAAGTAATCACAGTTTAGGTTAAGTTTGATTTCCTTGGTCAGATTTGGTTGACCTTTAAAACTAGGAAGAGATTTAATTTAGTTTAAAAGTTCAAGTTCAGGTTAACAATCAGGAAAATGATTCCATCATGAACCAATTGAAGGTTAATTCAGGTTAAAAGTGTAACAATCAATCGATTCAAGGTCAGGGTGAAGACTAAATTATGTTAGGTAAAGACAATATTAGATTGAAATCTATTACCCATTGAAGACCAATTAATCAAATATGATGTAATTAAAATTTCTGCTAAAATAATTGAAAAACAAATCGATAGTTGTCAATAATTTCATTATTAATTGATTCCGATTAATTTAGATTCATCATCTGAAACAGTTGATAAGCTTTTCATTTAATTTCAAAAATTTATGATTAGTTTGTATTGATTCAAGTTTATTATTAGACAGTTGATTTGATGACAATCAAAACTAATTGTTAATATCGTAGTGTTATTTTTAGGCCAAGGTATAGGATGAGGTTTAATTTTAATTATTGAGTTTATAAGTTCAGGTTCAGGTTGATAATCAAGAGCAATATTGTTAATTTAGATCAGTTCAAGGTTAATCCAAGTCAAAAGTGTAACAATTAACTGTGTCAAGGGCAAGGTCAAGGCTTAATTGTGATAAAAGTAGTTACTTGATTTAAATAATAGTTCAATTAACTTGCGCAGTTTATGGTTGATAATTTGCACTGATTGTGATCAAATGAAAATATTATTATTGTTTTCTTGGATCGTGTTAATCAATCAAAATTAAACGATTAACAAAATTAACAAATTAGTTTAAAATTTACTCTATTATAGTTTTTATTGATAAATTTTTCTTGTATCTTTTTGTTGTTGTTAATTTGATGAATATAATTAACCGTTTCATTAGTAATTAAATTTCTCAAATCACAATTAACCCCGCAATTGAATAAAATTTTAACAAAAAATTATCTAATAGAAAATATTAATCAACAATTGTTTTAAAAAGTTGTACTTTGACAATTAAGTTGATTGTGAGAGCATCAGAATAGTTAATCGTACAAAAAGAAAACCTCTTCACCTAAGATAATCACAATTTAATTGATATTAAATTGTGTGAGAGGATTTGTTGATGCTTTTAATCTGGTCAATTGTTTTACTTTCGTTATTTCTAATTGTAGTTAAATTTATTCCGGTTTTTTATTTGCTGCTTCGATACATCGAGCAACAAATTTCTTTATATCATTTGCGGTCAGTTCGGGCTCTTCGAATGCAGCGAAATGTCCACCTCTTGGCATAATCTCGTAATGGACTAAATTCTCAGCGGCAATTTGAGCAGCAAACTTTGGTATCCTCAGAATTTCATGTTCAAAAACAGCAACACCAACGGGTACCTCTTTCTTAATAGGTGATCTAATAGACGATTAATGAGAAGAAATTGATTTAATTGATTGTAAAAAGATTGAAATCAATCAATTATTGTACAAACCTCAAAATAATATTTTCCGATCCCATGAGTTTGGGAAAAGTTTCTTTGTAAAATCGTTGGCTGGATACGATAGTTTCGCTTGTCCAATAGATCATAACGTTGGTTAAAAGTTCATCAATTGTGAATTTCTCAAATAAACCTCCATCGGGTTTATCAACGTAATTTTTATTAACCCAAGTTGAAAATTTTTCCAATATATAAGCAGCTAAACCAGCCGGACTATCATTCAAACCGGCTCCAACTGTATCTGGTTTGGTGGATTGAATATGTGCATACCCGGTTTCTTTAATCAAATAGGGAATTAATTGAAGTGTCAACATTTTCGACTCAGCTTCAGGGTGATCGTAAATGTAATTAGGTAGAAAATAACCAATTAGGGTTTTAATCAAAACACAGGGAGACATTGGTAAACCAGGTAATGTTGTGTGAAAACCTAGAAGACTGAAGACAAGAAAAAAAGAGAAAATAAATTGGATTAGATTGACAATTTAGATACATTATTGATCAAGATTCAGTAGAATTCAATTAACTTGAATTCTGCAATCAAGAAAAGTGGAAAACAATACCAGGTAAATAGCAGTTTCAAATTGAATCCATTTCTTTGATTGAAAAGGATGAACCAGTCAAGTTGGTAGAAAAAGATTATCTTAATCTGTACTGGAATTACTGACAATTTACCTAAATTACCCTTTAGATGAGTTGACATTAATCATCTGAATAAAATCAACTAGAATGTGATTACAAGAGAAGGAGAACTTGTCATTTACTTTCGGTTCCATTGTAATTAAATCAACGATGTAAATTGTTAATCAGATCATAAGTAATTTAAGGATAAGAATTGTAACTTCAGACTAAATATTTCAAGAGATAAACACTTTAAGTGCATAGAAACTAATTAATAGATGTATCTCTAGGAGAGAGGATTAAGATTAAGATGATGATGGCGATGATTAATTTACCTTTTTGGAAATAATTTAGCAGTATAATCGCCGATAACTGCTCCCCAATCTCCTCCATGGTAATAGAATTTATCATGACCCAAACGTTTCATTAATTTGACGAAAATTCTGGCAGCATGACCGGCATTGAATCCAGGTTTGTTTGGAATCTGAGAGAATCCATAACCAGGAATCGAGGGAATAATCAATTCAAAGACGACACCATTTTTAGGTGTTAAAAGAAGTGGAATGATTTTGTAAAATTCAACGAAACTACCAGGCCAACCATGGACAAGTATTAGTGGAACCACTTTATTGGAAGCAATTTCTTTCGGTTTAATGTGAACAAAATGAACTGAAAGGCCTTCAATTTGTGTCTTAAAATGATTATACTGATTGAGTGATTTTTCAACGGATCTCCAATCATATTGATTATTCCAGTAATCAACAAGCTTCTTCAAAATTTCACTATTAAAACCATATTCAAAATTAACACCATCCAATGAATCAGTTATCCGGCTTTTATTCAGTCTCTCTTTAAGGTCAATCAGCACGGAATCATCAATATTAATGGTAAATTTTTCAATCTTCACATTATCAGAAGGTAATTTATCTCCATCTACAAAGGTAATAGAATAGAAAACAGAATTAGAAAAGAAAATGGTAAACACATGAGAGATGATCAACATTGAAATGCATTATATTACAATAGAATTTAGGATTCAATCCAATTCTAAATTGACAATTTACAAGTTGTTGGTAATTAGAGAATAACAAAAAATGACCAAACCTTTTATCTTCTGGACACCAAAATAATGATCATCTAGATAGTGTTTGGGTAACTCTGTTTTCCTCCAATAAAGTGATAGATAAACAGCAATGGAAGCGATTATTGTAGCAACTAATAGACTTGATTTAGTTCCCATTATGATGACAATTAGTTGATGAAATTGAAAGGAGAGAAAGAGAAATTAATTAAAGTAAGAAAGAGAGAAAGAAAGTAAGTGAAAGAGACACGTTTCCCTTTTCTCTAACACATCAACACACAGGTAAGAATATTCAACAAATGAGGAAAGATGAGATTCTCTCTCTTATTTTTTTTTCTCTCTCTCTCTCTCTCTTTCTCCCTTTTTGTCTCTTTCTCTGAAAGGAAGATGATGGAAGATTTAACAGTCAAGGGGATGAAAAGATGTTCCAATGATATTAATTAGAATTTGAACTAATCAATTAACAAATTAGAGTAAAAAATTAACACGGAAATTGTTATGAGCTCATTTTTGTTTCTTCTTCCTCTTGTTTACCTGACTCATAATCTCTGTCACTTTATTATTATCCTTGAATTAGAAATTACAATTAGTCTCAACAAGGAAACAATTAGAAAACTATTCTATGGTAATATTAAGAATCTAAATTGCTCAAGGTTCATCTCAACTTGATCAACAAGTACAAACAACAACAATTTAAATTTTAAGTTAATTTTTTTTTCTTCTCATTATAAGTAAACGTAATTAGCTAATCAATTAACTTTCTGGTGATTTTTATGTTTACTTGTAATCATATTCATGTTTATTAATGTTTCTAGAATATGATTACTATCATTTGTAAGTTTGTTGCTATTTAATTAACTTGAATGGTTAACTTTTTTCGTAATTATCTTAATTGTGATTAGAATTTTGCGATTTTGAATTTGGCGCGTTCTAAGAAAAAGGCGGAGTTTGTTTTGAATTTTTCTTTTTTTTGTAAACAATAAATTCTGCTTTTAAAATCATCTCGAAATCATTTATTGTTTAGTTTTTAATTCAATTTAGTTTGTTTAGTTTTTTGATCATTTAGAATCTTTTTTTTTTTATAAGTTTAACTTGTTAATTTAGTGATGGATAAAACTAACTCTCAATTGAAACGTAGTATTGATAAGCCTTCGGATGAAGAGACATTAAAAAAACGTGCTGCCCGATTTGATATTTCAGCGGCAACCAAACAAGTGGGAATCGTTTCCTCTGGGGTTGATTGTGATGAAGAAACATTGAAGAAACGTGCTGCCCGATTTGCCATTTCAGAGTCAGCGAAAAAAGGTGATGTCATTTCCTCTGGTCTTGGTTTCGATGAAGAGACTTTAAAAAAACGAGCTGCCAGATTCGCGATCTCAGAATCGGCCAAAAAAGCTGGTATCATTTCCTCTGGTGTTGATTGTGATGAAGAAACATTAAAAAAACGAGCTGAACGATTTGGAGTCATTTCTGAATCGGTTAAAGAAATTGACGCTCAAGAGAAATTATTAAAACGACAAAAACGCTTTGGAGCTCTAGACGTGTCACAGAAATAATCTCATATTTTTTCATATTTCATCTTCGTTTTTTTTTGTTTCCATTTCATATTTCTATATACCGACCTACGGAAAAACAACACAAACACCTTAAGATCCAAAGTCCGTCGTTCTCACTTTCTCAAAACAAAACAAAAGGTAAAAAACAATGAAAATATTTATCAAAATCATTTATTGGAATTTGACTTTTTAATTGTATTTAATTGAATGCAAAAAAAGATAAATAAACTCTTTAAATTAGTATAAAAAAAGAGAATCGAAAAATAAACTTTACTCAGATTTTTCTTCTGCCACACTGAGGAAGAAAATTTGTATAAACTTGGTCACAGACTCTAAATTGTTGCAAGAGAAAAACAAAGGATAACAATTAGAATTAAGATAATTTAACCCAAAAATAGATAATCAATCGGACTTACCAATAAAATTTTTATAAATTGTTGGCTTATTTTGCCAGTAAATTGTTATCATATAAACTGGAATTCCCATCAAGGTGATTAAAGCCGCGATTCCTGTTTCAACGGGCTTGGTATAAGTTGGTAATAATACCAGGAATAGACAGACAACAAAGAAAACAATTGGCCAGATTAAATTAACCTAATTGATTGTAAATTGATTAGAAGTATAGATATTAGATTGATAATAATCGAATAAAATGTCAAATGATATTAGTCACACAAGTTGATGTTTAAAACTCTTGTTCGAGCCAAAATGGTGGAGGGACAGTTTAAATGGATTGTTTGATCATAGAGTTTTTTAATTTATCATAAATAAATTTTGTAGATTGATTGTTAGTTTCTTTTTTTTTATAATTTACCTTAATTGGTCGGGAAAGTTCAGGCTGTTTATATCTTAGCCAAAGAAGAGCAGCAACGGATAAGGTCGTGAAAAGTGATTCGATGAAAGATGCATAAGTGATTAACGAATACACTTTAGTTGTTGTTAAATATAACAAAGTTAATAAACCCTGTAAATAGAAAGAGAAATGTAAACAATTAAGCTTTTCTTCGGTCATTTGTAAAGTTTAATTGATTAATTACCAAGAAAATTAGTGAATTGACTGGTGTATAGTAGCGTATATTGACCATTGCGACAAAACTTGGCATGTGTCCATGTCGAGCTCCGACAAAAAATAGTCGTGAAGAGGCAAAAATGCCTCCGTTAAGGCCACCGAATGTGGATAAGGCCACGAAAAAAGGCATCGACCATCTGAATAATCCTAGAGTTTTATCTCCAAAGGTAACGGCAATTGCATCGGTAGCAAGAATTTCATCCGGAGTTAGAACCACGAAATAGGCCAAATTGGCAAGAATGTAAATGATGGTAACAAATGGTAACGAAATATTAATCGCTCGAGGTAAATTACGAAAAGGATCTTTCAATTCTTCGGTAACGAAATTAAGATAATTCCTGTGAGGGTAAAGATAAACCGAGAATATTAATTAGTGTTAATATTTTCATCAAATAATCAGATTAAGTTTCTTTCATTATCATGATTGTATTGTAAATATAAACATATCTCTTGTGTTTGTTTGAACTGGTTAATTTGATTTGGGTGTTAATCTAATCAATGAAAAACTAAGCTAAAAACTTGTTGATTGTCGAGTTAATTGTTTATGAATTGATTTCATTTTTCGTTGCTTTGGAGACTGAAGCTAAACACGCACCATGTGGATAAATTAATTCAATTATCTCTAATTGCAAACATAATCTAATCGTGATTGTCTTACCATCCAGCATAAGAAAATAAACCAGAGTAAAATGAAGCAGCAATTTTACCAGGATCGGTTGCAGTGTTTTCCCAAATGTTTGTTAAATTTTGAGTTTTTCCTGTAATAACAATTAAAAAAGAAATTAAAAAATTAAATTACCATTTAGAATCACATTTAAATTCATTGGATTGGTGATTAGTTATGATTCACAATTCGTCCATCTCTCTGTGTATAACTTGATTGATTGATTGAGAGACTTGATTATTACTATTAATTAGACAACCTTTCAAGTGGATTTAATATAAATTGTTAACACCCTAACAATCATTAAATCATTAAGATGAATCTTTTTTGATTGACTTTTAAGAGTAGGCGACGAAACTATTTTTAGGTGAGATCATTTATATAATAAATTGTAACAATCAACTGATGATGATCATTATAATAATATAACTTGTTGACCTAATAAACCAAATTGGTTATTTGTTGATAAACACTACAATCTAATTCATTTGAATGGCCATTTTAATTTAACACTGAATATAATCATTAATGAAAGTCTCAAGTACTTGATTATATTATATCAATATAACACAATCATAATCACCTTTCACCAACAATTAAGTTTAGCTAATTCATTAATTTGAAATCATTGATCATGAGAAAAGTTATCTAAAGTAGATTCAATTGCTATTAATAATATAATTTACTTCAAATTGTAATCAATATTCATATGGTGAAAAGTTAATAGTTAATTGTTATCAGTAGTTAACAATTAAAAGTAAATTACATAAGAAATCACTATCGACACGATGATAACTTTCAACAGACATTTAATTATGTACATTGATTTCTTAGCAATGGAACTCAATTCAATTATGTTTATAATCATTGATTGATTTATTGAGAGTTAATTAAACTTGGGAATAGAAGATTAATCAAGTGAAAACAGAATCAAATAAATCTACAAGTTAATCTCTTCACGGGAATAAAAGATTAACCTAAATTGAAGATGGTTAATCAACTGGTTCATTTGATTAAGTTGATTCAACTGCTATAATATTGATCACAATTAACTCAAGATGTAAATTGTTCAATCTTTTTTATGAAAACATATCCATGTAATGTAATTGAAACAGTTTAAATAGATAAATCAAATTAATATCTCCGCAATTAAGATATAGAAAGCAATCCAGACGAAAACAATTAAAGTTAAATGTTATAATCACTTTACAAGTTTTCCAACTACTTTGTTCACTCATGAGAGTAATTGAAAGTTTAAGATTAATTGTAATTTGATTGGATTGATTTTCAATTTTCGTTATTATCAAATTTATCAAAGGAATTAACTTTGATTGCTAACAATTGAAGTTGAAGAGTTAAATCAATCAGTATAACATGATCAATGACCTAATGAAAAAAAAAGAGATTAGTATGTTCAGGGTTTAAGAGGATTAATGGAATCGTAGACAATCAGGGAGAGACAATCAACAATTAATGGTTAAGGTTAATCATATATAATGTCAGAAACATGAGACAATCAACTTAATTTGATTTAATGTTCAAGTTTCACAGGTAAATGTACTCACAATGGCGCAATGTTAAGACTTGGGACAAAACTGATTCGATGATTAATTCTGGCAATTAATTAACTACTCGTTGTCGCCAAGATTAAATTGTGTTGTTAAAAAGTTAATTTTTCTCATTGAAATATATAAAAAAAAAAGTTTTAATCTTTTGATTCAGTTAACAGAAACCAAATTGTTTCAAGAATCAAGTCTTGGCAACATTTTTCAAAGTTAATCATGAAAAACTTACATGTAATAATATTAGTATCTCATGTTGACAAATAAACTTGAATTATAATTATTTAACCATGATAACTGGTAGAACTATCAAATTGTAGTTAGTAAACTGTCAGGAAATATAGTTAGTTAACTTAAATGTTTCTGTGACAATTTAAACGGAAATAGGATCAAGTTTCCGGTTAAAGTGTCGATATGTCACCAAGTGATGATTAAAGATTGTAAATGTTAATGATTAAGATTCTTGTTGAATTTAAATCAATCTAGACAACAATTAATTAGCTATTGATAGTGAATAAACATTTGATGACATAACTGAATTTAAATTTAAGCTGAATCAGATTAATTTGAATAGTAAAAATGAAAATGTTTCATGGTAATGAAAGTTAATTGTTACATGGAAAGTAAAGGTTAATCAGATTGTAATGATTGCAAGTCTCTCAATATTACAATTTGAATTGTAATTTGACCCCAACTTATCAATAATTAAAATACCAATTTGCACAATCATCACACACTAGGTAATAATACTAATGATAATAAACAATCAAAAGTTAATTGTTGATAAACAAACATGATTTAACAATAATTTTCCATCATCCAAGGGTAGAATCAATGAACCAATCAACAGTTATAATTTCAATTGTGAAAAAAATTAATCGTTCATTTTAATTTCCCATAACTAACCTGTGATTAGGTGAACAGCTCCAGTGATTATGATTATGATTAAGGCAATTATTTTGGAAACAGTGAAAATATCCTGGGTCCTTGTTGCCCATTTAACATTATAACAATTAACGAAGGTAAGAAAACCTATTAACAAGAAGAAGATAAAAATAATTAATCAAAAAGTTGAGAAGATAAAAATTGAAAGGTAATTAAAAGTTGAAAACAATCAATTGTTTGAACATATTTATAAATAAATGATTGTTACACTGATTAGTAAGCAATTAATACCATCATTGTACAGTCTATACATGTAATTTGATTAGATAACCTTGATTAGATTCCTTTCTCATATTGTCAGATTTCTTAGCATGTTAATTAAAACATAGAATAATTAATATTCTGTCAACAAATCTTATTGTTATTCACTTGATCCAAATTAGTTAACTTATTAAATTGACATCAACTCATGAATCCGCAAGGATAATTTAGACAATCAAACAAAAATGGATAAAGAAAATTATTGGTTTGATGTTAACCTTGTACAACCCGAACAATATAATTACAAATTGATGTAACTTTTTTTGAAGATGATTAATCACATGGTTAACTCATATAGAGAGAAAAAAGAAAAGAAATTTTTTTAAAAGAGAATAGAATTTAAGAAGAAAAAGAAGTTGAAAAATGTAGATTATGGGAAAAAGAGAAAATCACTTGAAATAAAAGGAGGGAAATGTAAGGTTTACATTAAAGTGAAAGAGAGAAAATTAAAGTTAATTAGTGAGAGAATTAAATAAGAAACTTACAAATCGCAGCAGCAGCAATTAATCTAACAGCATCATCGGGTGGGGAACAATTATACAATGGTTGAAGAAGATAATTGGCAAAGGTAATTGCAGCGATCGCATTACCGGCGGGCATGATAATAAACATGGCTACCCAAAGGAAAAGGAAGGCAGGTAAGGGTCCAAAGGCTTCCTTGATGTAGGCATAATCACCACCCGATTTGGGAACGGATGTTCCAAGCTCAGAATAACAGGTAGCACCGATTGTGGCCAGAATTCCACAAACAATCCAAACAATTAAAGATAATCCAATGGAACCGGCATCTTGTAGGACACCTTTGGGTGTTAAGAAGATTCCAGAGCCAACAATTATTCCGACGATTATTCCAACTCCATTTAGAAGACCGATTTCCTTTTTAAGGCCAATTGATGTATCACCGTTTAAACGTTGACCAGGATCAGAATCTGGAGATTCACAATTAACATAATCTTCTTTCATCTTAACCATCGTAATCATCATCATCGTTTGAAACAATTTCCATCTCTACAAAACTGTTACCTTTCTCTCTCTCTCTTTTCTCTTTCTTGCCCGCCTCTTCTCTTTCTTTTTTCTCTTTCTTTTCTTTTCTTTTCTACGAACGAATCAAGTGGCGACACTGTTGCTTTTTCGCATCAACTAAAAGAAAATCTTTTTCTCTTTTTATTTTAATTGTTGTTTTAATTATTTTTCTATTTTGTTTAGTTAATTTGATTTTTCTTTTTCTATTTCTATTTAAACTATTTTATCGTCGTAATTTTGATCTAATTGTTTTCCTTTGAACATTCGCTTTTCGGCTTGAAGACTATTTTTTCTTTTCTCTTTCGATTCCGTTATTTTTTCTTTTTTCTTTTTGTCACTTGTTTTCTATTCTTTTCTATGTGTTTATTGTATCATTTTGATCTCATTTTAGAGATTATTTCAATTAGAGCATCAATAATAATAGCAGATTAATCTGGTTGGATGAGCATTTTTGGTAATCTGGTTGAAAATTCATCATCTTTGGAATCACATTTTTTTCATGTCTATTGAACTTTCAATAGTATAAATCAAATTGTCGGTAATTTTGTTTTTCTACCAAATACATTTCTCTTTGCTGGTCAAAATTACTCTGCTCAATTTCAATTCCTGACTGAATTACTATTTACTCTTTCTGTGTACTACGAAATGTTTATTTCACCTTTTCTCATTACAAAGAAAAACAATCGACTAACAAACAAACCCAACAAACCAATAAGGATTATAATCAACATAACGTTTTACCATTTGTGTGAAAAACAATTCAAATGACTTCACCCACAAGAAAAAACTCATACACCATGAGAAACATGGTGAACATTTAATTCAACAATTGAAGAAAAAGTGAAAATCAAGTTTCCATTTCATTTCAAGTGAATCTTAAGATTATATCTCTCATCGTGTCTATAAAATATTTCACAATAAAATATAATAAAAACACAAGAACGATGTTGAAGAAAAGAGATAAATTCAAATCATCTCACAATTTAGCCCAATCAATGGTTAAAACATAAACCTCTACAACTATACAATCCACAAGAAACAATAGTAAACAACATTTATTATTCAAATGAGAATTAAATTAATTTGTAATCAATGTTATTTTCCGAGAGAAAAAGAAAAAACAAAAAAAAGAACAATTTGTTTTTCCATTCAATTTAAGCGCCAAAAGGAAAATGATAAGAGAGAGAAGGCGGGATCTCTTTCTTTCTTTTCTTTCTTTCTAGTGATCATCTTTTCCTTTCTCGTACCAATTTTTGAATGTTGTGTTTTCTTTTTTAACTTTGAATTAATTTGATTCAATGGAGACAATTAATTTTTCTAATGACGATCGGTTCCTAGGTTAATTCCTGGTTAACCTTGGTTCATGTCTCCTCAAGATAACAGGGCAAAGGGCAACATGGATGAACCGGATAAAAGTGAAAATGATGGTAACCCTTCAAGTAATGGTGACAACAAGGTATTGGAGATTTTTTTTTCTCTATTTTATTTTTTCTCTCTCTCTCTCTTTCTCTTTGTTTCTCGTTTTCTAATCGCATTTATTACTGTGTTTTCTTCTTCTTCTATGTGTGCGTGTGTTCATGTGTGTTTCTCAGTGTTCTCTTGATTGTGTGTGTATCTCTTTTTCTTCATATATGCTGGTTTGGTTGAAACATTTTCCCTCGTTTTTCTGTTTTTCTTTTCTTCATCTCTTTTTGTGTGTTCCAGTATTTTTGCTCATTCATGTATCTCTTTCAATTAATGTTTATCTAATTAACTTTTTATTCTTTTTATCTCTTCTCTACATTCTAGGTTATCCATGTTAAACCTGATCTCTTCAAAGGTGTTCAATTTTGCATTTGTGATGATGTTGATGCTGCTGAAGAGGTTAGTATGAGTTGTCTCGTTTCTACTAATCCATCTTTCCTCTATTACTATTGTATCTTGTGTTTCCTCTTCTTCTTCTTCTTCTTCTTCCTTCTCCATCTCTTTCATGCTCTTTCTCTATCCTCTTTCTTCTTTGGCTTTTTTTCTTGTGTACTTATGGATAACCACACTGACCTAAGTTTATCATCGATTGGAATGTCTTACTTGGCCATTTAATCTCGTTATGTTAACTCTTTGTTTGTCTTATTCTTTTCATCCTTTATTAGGTCAAAAAAATTCTGGTTGAAGGAGGTGGTAAACTTGTAAATTATCTCTCTGATATTGCCACTCATTTGATTGCCAATAATCCGGACCATCAGGATGTATGTCAAGCTGTAGAAATATATGAAAAACCTGTGGTTACTGTGAGTATCACAATCGCAAATGTTGTGTCAAAATCCTGACTTATGATTCTTATCTATTTTTTTATTGTTTTATGTAAACAGAGTCGTTGGGTCTGGTTAAGCGGTAAAGCAGGATGTCTTCTTCCGTATGTCTCAATTTTCGATTTCTTTTATTGCCTTTTTACTTTAATTATAACCTCTTTTCATTTTCTACCTCCAGGACTGCTGCTTTCTCTCCTCTCAAGAACAGACTGATGTCTAATATTATTGTCTGTCCCTCTAACCTTTCACGGGAAGATCTTGACTCTATTTGGAGTATGGTTACATACCATGGTGGATCATTTCAAATTGATTTAGACTCGAAGTGTACTCATCTGATTTCTTGTAAAACTGAAGGGATCAAATATGAAAAAGCTTTGTCCATGGGTGATAAGATTAAAATTGTTACTCCTGATTGGATTGTTGACAGTATTAAAGGTAAAAGGTTATATGAGGAGGGGTTATATCATCCTAAACTTATCATAACACCGGATTACAAGTCCGAATTAAAGACTGAAACCTCTATAATACCTGTATCAATTCAAGAAACGATGACTATTACTCCAACATCCACCATGGAACAAAATAACATCATGTCAACTTGTACATCAACAACTCAAGTCACTTTAAGAACTGTCTCTCTGCCTCCTTCTACCATGATTACCAGTGTCTCTGCTCCCCCTGGGCCCATGCAACAAGCTAGACCATTAAGAGTTTTGGTGCCTTCTCAAAACCAAGAAATGACTCCCGCTGTACCACAACAAAGTGGTCAACCTCGCCAAGTTTACTTGGCCCTCCAACAACCACAAATACGACAACAACAAGTTAATTTTGTTCAGGTTCGTCAACATACACCCCGAGGACAGGCCAATGAGGGTGTTCAAATGCCGGTTAAACCAATTATTTTACAACAAAGAATCCAGCCACCAGGTAATTTCATATTCACTTACATAATATGTATACCACTAGATTTATGTGTTAAATGTGATCAAATCTTTGGCTGACGCAAGTTTTTACGAATCGATGGTTTCTTTATCATCTATTTCTTAAGAATCGTTTTCTCTTTAAAAAAACTCTTTTGAACCATTATCGATTTCTCATAAAATTAATAATTTATCATATTCTAATTTAAACTTTATTTTTTGCTTTTTTTCAGCCTTACAACAAGTTCAACCTCAGCCTCAGCCTCAACAACAACAACAACAACAACAACAACAACAACAACAACAACAACAGCAGCAGCAACAACCACAACAGTCTCCTCAGTTACAAATACATCAACAAAACCATCAATCTGTCCACCAGATTCAATCATCTCAGCAGCAAATCCATCAACAACAAACACAAGTACAACACCCTCCTCAGCTTCAACATTTACAGCATCCTCAACATCCTCAGCAGCAATTACAACTCCCTCAACAGCAATATCAACAACAACAGCAACAGCAACACATCCAACAACATTATCCTCGTAAGAATTTTATTTTAATTGTAATGTTTTCGCTTTATTATTGCTAATAATTATTTTCTTATTTTCTTTTTAAATTTTTAGCATTGAAAGATGGGCAAACAGCGATCGTGCATTCCTCTTTTGTTCAGAATCAACAGCAAGCTCTTCATCCTCAACAACAAATCCAACAGCCCCACCAACCCCAGCAACAATTACAACAGCTTCAACATTCTCATTCACAAATCCCACATCAAATGCAACAACAACAGCAGCAACAACAGCAACAATCACAGCAGCAGCAACAACAACAATTTGCCCAGATTCAACAACAGCCTCACTTGAAACAGCAATATATTCAGAATCAACAATATCACTTACAAAACCAACAACCTATTCAAAATCAAGCGCAACAACAACCCAATCAGATTGCATTTAAAATGGTTGGACCACCAAACTATCCTGGTCCCACAGGCATGGTCTCACCTGGAGTTCAATATGTTAATACCTTAAATCAGAATCAAACCGTCCAAGACCCTAATCAACAAATTCGCTTTGTACAAGGTCAACAAATGATTCAGGTACAAAGACAAGTAGCTCCTATGCAACAACAACCGCAACAAAGGCCTCCTCACATGCAACAACTACAACCTGGTCAGCAAATGATGCGAGGGCCCATTCAACAAACTCAAGTTTTCGCTTCACCATCAAACAATCAAGATAGTTTAATGCAGGATATGCAACAATCAAACTCTGTTCGAATGGTTCAAAATCAACAATTCATTGAGATCCAAAGGCACAATGCACCACCACAAATGGTCAATATTAGCCAACACAATGGACCTCATTTAATCAGAACAGGTTCACAGCAACAGATTGTATACCAACAACACCTTGGGCAACCTCATCAAAGGCCAGTTATGCAAGGAGTACAACAAGTTATGGTAAGTTCGAGCAAAATGTTTACATATTCGCAGTTATTAATTTCGATTCTATTTACAGCAACCTGGGGCACCAATTTACAATCAACAAGGGCAACAAGTTGCTATTGGACCATCACAAGTCCAGAGAGTACCCCAATTGCGAATGCAACCAAACTTTCAGCAAATGCCCAGAGGTCAATTTCGAGGAGCAGTTCAAACTCAACAAATTGTTGCTGGTGGTCCACCACGAACTCTTATTAGACAAGGTGTAAGTATTTCAGAATATATTTTGATGTATTGAATTAATCCCAACCACTTTTTTTTTGCAATATTATTTTTATGTCTACTCAGATTCCAGTTCAGGGTCAATTGATACAAAGACAAGGTCCACCTCAAGTTCAATACTCACATTTTCAACAAGCTCCTCAAATGGTTGGAGTACAACAACAGCAGCAGCATCAACAACAACAAGCAGCTACACCGCAACAGTTACATGATCAACAACATGTTATTCCAACTCAAATTCCCTCTCAACATCCAGTACAACCTCCTCCTCCTGAACATTCTGGAGTACAGTTGGAACCTCATTCCGTACAAAAACCTAACCAGACATTAATTCGTGGTCAAGGTGGACCCAATTGGAATCAACAATGGGCTCCTACTCCAGAAAGTCCAATGATTCCAAGCCAACAACGTCCATTAATTAGATCTCCGTCCAATAATCTACTCACCGCTCAACAAAATGGTCCAGGCACACCACAGATATTACATACTCCTCAGCATGATGGAGCTAGGAAACAGTTACCCTTTGGAAACCAACATCACCCTGTCCGTATCATGCAGACCATTGGTCAACGTTTCCCTGTAGCTAATCAGGCGAGTGAACAATTGAAACAAACTGCAGCTTTAGCTTCATCCCTTAGCAATGTACGTTTACTCAGTACAACCCCTCCCTCATCAAATGCAGTTACTTGCATAAGTAACTGCATTAGCCCTAGTCCTAGCGCTTCTACCGCTTCAACTGCCTCAACCGTTGCCACTATCACCACACTAACAATCACCCATCCCTCAATCACAAGTACATGTACCTCAGCAGTAGTCACCCCAAAAACTAAAACCACATTAGCCAATTTTCTTAACACCCGATTACAAAACAATAATGCTTCAATTGTAGCTAATTTCAAGCCCTCAACTGAAGTTAGCACTCCTCCTCAAACCCCCTCTTCTCAATCTCATGCTGGTGACGGCTCTTCTACTTTTTCTTCTGTCTCAAATCTTCCAAACTCTGAGAGTACTTCGGTACCCATTGCTCAGAGTAAATCAGGATGCTCAGGAGCCTCTGGTGTGGTAAGCTCCACAAATTTCGGTGGCCTAAGCATGAACTTTTTGCATGAAAAATTTTCTCCCGAATAATTTTAACTAATCTTTTATTTTTTGTTTGTTTTTGTTTTCCCTAAAAAAAAATTCAATTCTCATACATATAAATATAGATGTTACCCAATGGAGAACTCATTCCTTCTGGTCCACCTCCGATAGAGCAGCTACCGGAAAGACTGTTTGGTCATGAACCTCGAATACTAGTTCCTCCATCTTTTTGTTTAGCTGGTTGTGTTTTCTTTTTTCTAGAAGCAGAGAAAAATATCTGCACTGTAAGTGATGAACGCATGGAAAGTTGTAAAAAAATAGTTCACAAATATGGAGGGGAGATGGAAAAAGTGTATACAGAGAAATGTACCCATGTAATATGTGAAACCCAACAGAATCCGGTGGTACAACAGGTAAAAAAAATTTTGTTCTCAATCTTTTCTTCACATTTTGTAAACCAGTTTTTCATCTAGAATTTAATTAACGTTCTTTTCCCGCTTTTTTCTTATACACAGGCATTAAAAGAAGGTAAAAGATGTGTCACATTGTTCTGGTTAAATGATGTTATCCTTGAGGGTAAAATGAGACCACCTTATAAGATTTGGCATTTGCCTCGAGCGTTTGATGGAGATTTTCTTCCATGTAGAGATCATATCATTACGTTGACCAATTTTGAAGGGAACGAGAGAGTATTTGTTAAAGAGTTGATTAAAGTTACAGGTGCTCAATATACCAATTACCTCAACCATAAAAATACAATTTTAATCTGTAAAAGGTAAATTGATCTTATTTATCTAATCTATTTATCTGTTGCAATCAAATTTAAACTATTTTTATTATCATCTTTACTTTAGGCTCGAGGGCTCCAAATTTAGAAAGGCTCTCCAATGGGACATGCCAGTCGTTAATTTAACATGGTTACAAGATATTCTGTTTGGCCATCATAACCAAGCTTTAAGTGCATTGCATAAATCTCAAAGATATACCAAGTTCGAGTCAAAAGATTGTTGTGAAATAGATTATAATTTAGTCAAGCCATTACTGGCTAGTTGGAAAGTGCCATTAAAAGTTCCAGAAGATCTGCCTCGAAGGATAATGGCTTTGAAGGAAGAAGATATAAGAAAAAAGCCTTCACCTCCTCCAACTCAACCATCTCCTGTACAAACACCAACATCATCGGTACTGCCTTCTCTCCCCCCACCACCACCACCACCTCCTCCATCAACAACATCAACTACTCAAATACAACCACCACCATCTCCTTCTACTTTGCAACAACAACCACCCCCACAGCTCCCACTTCAACAGCAACAACAACCTCAACCACCACCAACTTTACCACCTTTGGCTTCAACTTTAACAGTCGATTCAATGGAAGTTGATCAAATCCCAGATGCACCTAAACCTGTACCAACTTTAATTGCAAAAAAACCAGAAAACACTGTTTCTTCATTAGCAAATTTAGACATTAATGATAACAAAGATTGTTTATCAAATGAACCAACTATGAAAAAAGTGAAATTAGAGCCATCCAATGAAGGATCAACTAATGAAAATTTGACAGGAAATTTGCCACCACCACCTCCCCTGATGGTAGCACCTTTCGCCAATGCTAGTCCTGATAGAGCTGCTGTTAAAGTGATGTTCACCGGTTTTAATGATGTTACTTTATTAAGTGAACTAAAAGAGTACGCAAAGAAACTTGGATTAACATTAACCAATGAATTTAACAAATGCACCCACCTTATTGTAAATAGAATTGCGAGGACATCTAAATTCATGTGTGCCTTCAATTACGCGGACCATATATTAACTTCTGATTGGATTGTTGATAGTTTTAAACGCTCTCATTTACTTGACGAAAGTCAATATATTTTATCTGATCCCAAAGGTGAACATTTATATGGTTTTGATCTCAAAGAATCATTAGCACGACGAAAAGCCCGGAAAACGCCGCTTTTTAAAGATCATGTTTTTTACATTACCCGATCTTGTCTACCTTCATTTAAGATATTAAAAGAGATCGCTGAAAGTGCCGGAGCAATGGTTACCAAGAAAGGACCTTCACCTAAACAGTTGCATGCACTTAAAAAGGTAAACAATTTTCTATCTTCGCTTCATCAGTTTATCAGCTGATCTTTTAAGGATAAGGAGAACTAATTTTACTTTTTATCTTCCCATAGCGTCGTAACGATATAATTTTTGCAGTTATCACGAAAGAAGAAGACCTTCATACTTGTGACTTATTCTTTGAAAAAGAAACTCGTAAGTTTTTCTTCCTTAATGTTCACAATTTAATCTTTGATCGATCAACACGATGATTAATTATTCTTTTATCTTTGTTTTTCTCTTCTCAATTTCAGCGGTTCTCAACTCAGAATTCATATTACACAGCCTATTAAGACAAGAGATCGAATATGAGCCATACACTTTCAAGTCTCCATAATTATATTTTTTTCTTCATCTTTCTTTTCTCCCTCTGTCCATCTCCATCTCTTTCTCTCTCCCTCTTTCTCTCTCCCTTTCTCACTCCTTCTCCTCTCTTCAATATCAATTTTCTTATAAGTATTTTGTTTTAACGATGATTTTTTTTTCTTCATGCCATTTCAAAGACATTGAATCAGTCTTTATTTATCATTTGTTCATCGTCATCAAAAGCAAAGATTATTACTAAAACAAACTAATCAATGCAAAAGAAATAAAATTTCTTTCTCTTTATCATAATCAATCTAATCAAATTTAATCCATTCATATTTCTTTTTTTCTTTCATATTTACACAATTAACTTATCACAAGGCATTTTAATCCAACTCTATCAATAGATGTGAATAATTTTGTTATACCGTTTAAATGATTGAATAAATTGTTGCTCAACAAAATCGATTAACTCATTTTGATCCAAATTAAGATTATAATGATTAACTTTTCCAGGTATTCGAAATTGGGAGATTAAAATGTTTCCTTTACCATTGGAATATAATCGAGGGTATGATCTCTTATACCGTTGACCTTTCCGTTGACCATTAGTGTCTTGATTGTTGGGGATAATTGGGGTCACTTGAACTGCTTGATTTCTCATCATTAAGAGTATAAAAATTAATTCAATTAGGAAAAAAACTGCCAACGGAAGGACAATCGCACCAATTACGATCGGCAAAGCAGTCGCTAAAATTAAAGGCCAAAACCAAAGATTACGATCCCACCGGTCACCTAATCCGTTATCCGAATTGTCTTGAGCAGCAATTGTGTTAATTATACCATTTGATTGTCCGGCGGTCGCTAAATTAGTTGCAATTAAAATGGGGGCTGAAAGAGTTTCCATTTGTCTTCGGTTAATTGTTGCCGCTGATTCACTTGAATGCAAGGGATTAACTCGGTTAATTGTCGATGGCCAATAGAAATACTTAATTGTTGAATAAACTTGCTGTCCATTGTTGGAATCATAATTACGAAGCAATTTAGTTAATTGTGTTGATGACAATCGTCGAAGTCCATTTGAGTTAACCATTCTATTGGAAATTGTTGATTCAATTGTTATTGACACGATTAAAAAGTAAATTAAACAACTGATTAACTTTCTTCTAATCATTACCCATTATTGATAATCACTTGATTATTAAATTAAATTAACTAAATTTAGTTGTTACTAAATTTTGATAACATTAACTACTTGTTGTCTTCAACATTGCAATGACTGAATATTTGTAAGTTTTGATTGTGATTTTAACACAATTAACACTTGGTGATATTAAATTGTTGAGGTGTGAATTGATTGTTATGATTTAAGGAAGAAAAATGATTAATCTTAATTGTGACCACATCTCCAACAGAGATACTTGAATAACAATTAAAAGTCAACAATCTCAATCATCATGATCAAAGCTACAAACATTAAGATGTTAATCCAATTGGATCAAATTAATTTTTCTTTGTAATCAAATTTTTACAATGTTTAGGTGGAGTTGTTAATTGTTATCGTAACTTTTAATCATTTGAGGAAGTTAAATAATAATAATAGAAAATTAAATCTTGATTGATGTTTAATTTGTTTAAAATTTGTTTTTACAATTGAAAATCAAGTCAAAATATTTAAAGATAATTTTAGATTCAATTTAGTAAATTGCTATTTACATGAACATTTGATTGTTGTGAGTTGATTGTTAACAATCAACTGATTTAATGTTTCTCATTAATCTGATTTGTAAGCGATATTAACAGATCCATTACAGTCAGAGTCAATTGACAACGAATCGTCCGCTTTGATATTGGCCTCAAGATTTTTTATGTTCGGTGACTTTTGATCGGTCAGATGAGCCGATCGTCGTTTCCGCTCCTTTGACCTGAGATAAACAATATAAATAAATGCATAAGACGAGCCCGCTACGAGACAGGCCAAAGCGTAGACCTGATAAGCTCTACGGGAACCAAGGGAATCGAAAAGGTAACCACCGATAACGGAGCCCAAAGCCCGACCAATGGCGAAATGAAGAGCCGCCCAAACAGCCTGCATAGTGGCCAGTAAATCGTTGGTTGAAAGGAGAGCGGCATAAGTTGTTATGGTCAAGAGTATCAGAGTGGTCGTGATACCTTCGAGACTTTCAAAGGCCAGAACCACACTGGCCGTTGGTGCATACGAATAGCCAACTAAACGAATCGCATAGACCATCAGACCGATAATTAAGATGGACACATGTCCAATTTTACGTTCAATCGAACCCGCAAATATGGTAAAAGGTATTCCCGAAATTGCCGAGATCGACAAACTGAGGCCGATTAAAAATCGTGACGCTTGTAACTCTTCAAGATACCAAACAATAAAAGTCTCAATAAATCCCCATGTTGACCCCAGGAAGGCCACATAGAAAAGTAGAATGACCGTCTCCTTGTCCCGAAGTAATTTACCCAATTTGGTCCACACCGCGGCCACGGGCTGCTTCACGTTCAGGTCAATGAAAAAACTGACCACCGCCATGATCAACTTGAAGCTACAATAGACAACAAAACAAGGGATGAAAGCGTCAACATCACCTATTGAGAAAAAACAAGAATCGAATCAAATTAATCACAATTAAAATTGATTGTTAATAACAAGGAAATCACTTCATATCTAATTACAAGGAAAATAGATTTTGATTATTAGTTAATTGTTGTACTTTTGTTTGTGATGATTTAATGTTTCATTTTCTCTCTGTCTTTGAGTAAGGAAAAAATTTCAACAATTTCCATTTGTTGATTCCCAAATCAATTGATTGAGTTAATCAGATGATTGAAAATGGTTGACTGATTTTGATTGTCAGCTAAATAACAATATGACAACTTTAATTGTTTCATCATTTTAATCATCATCATCATGATAAACTTGGTTGATTGTAAACCCGGAGGTCTAAATCATCATCTAAATATCAAACTCAATAACTTTCAGATTGGCAAACGAATCACAACAATTAGAGATGATTTTTTATTCCAATCAATACTTTTTACAAGCTAATCAAATTATCAGATTGTTAATTGTTGTCACAAGCTAAATGTCTTGATAAGAATTTAAATTGGTAACAATTAAAAGAATGAAAAACTTTGATTGTCTCAAATTTTACTCTTCCTTTATTTTGGAATCAAAAACTTTTTCCTTTTCCCAATCAAGTTTTCCGATTCACAATCAACTAATTGATGATTATCCAAGTGATCAAGTTAATCCAATTGAATACCTGTGTTAATTAAACCATCAACTTGGTTAAATCATATCAACCTTGACAATTGTTGTTTCTTTATTCTAGTTAAAAAGCTGATACAATGATTAATTAATCCGCATCGGTTTTGATTGAAACCCTTAATCAGTGGTTAATCAATTAAACTAGTTTGAATGATTAAGTTACGGACAATCAGAATAACCAGAAAAAATTACTTAATTGATTGTCAATTGAAATGAAATCAAAAAAAAAGTTTTCTCCAAACAAATTAATAGTTTTGAATTTAATTTAATTTAATTTGCATTCGTAATTGTAACAATTAAGCTACTGGAACAATTTTTTTAATGATGTTTCAGTTAACTAATTGTTAAGCAAATAAATTGTAAACAAAGTCAACGATTAACTCGGTGTTGAAAAGGTTTGATGAAATTTAATCTAGTTAATTATTGTTGAAAAGTAAAAGGTAAAAAGGACATTTATGATAATGATTAAGTTAATTATGATTAAGATGATAATGATTAGGATGATGGTGAATAGACTGGTTTAAGGTCAAAGTCGTTATTTCCTGAACAATTAAACTTAATCCTTTTGTTAATTGTAGCTGATTAAACAATCAACATGATAATTTACCTTTTAGTTATATCCATTCATTGAAATGTTTACCTTTTTCATTATGATTAGTTAATTATAGTTAAACTAATTGCTGTTTTCAACAATATAATAATAATATATTGATCAAATGGATGATCAAAACTGATTAAATCATCAAGACTGATTGAAATGTCAATTGTAATTAAAAGCAATAATATTGATAAATCTATGTTATTGATACTAGTGATGATTTTTTTCACCAAATGATTAGTTAATTGTAAACATTTATCATAATAGAACTCAAAAATCTGACCTTCAAATCTTGATTGTAACAATCAAACTAATGTAAATATTAATATTTTGATTTGTTTTTTTTTCTTGAAAACCTTGAATTAATTTGATTGTGTGTGTGTGTGTGTTGATTTTGATCACAAGGCTGTACAATTTAATTAAAAAACACTAATTTCTACCAAATTAACTAATTGTTATAGCAAATAATCAATATATAATTAAGAAACGGAAACGAGACTGACAACAATTTAGTCTTGGCCTAAATGATAAGTTTCTAAGAAAAAAGTTAAATAAACTTTAAATGTGATCACCAAAAAAAGAGTAACAATTAGTCAATACAATTAATAGATTATTCCGGAAATCGTAATGTTAAATTGTCGGTACTAACCGCTTTTTTTGAGCTTATCCATGACAATTCCGACCAGGGGAGGTACGATGACAGCGGCTATCGATGACCAAAGCCTTTGGTATCCGTACTCAGAATTGTGTTTATCAACCAAGGTCAAAATCGCGGCTTTCAAGAGGCTCATCTCAGTGGCGATGACCACAATTAACGAGACTCTAAGGACGAGATACATCCAGAAAGTGACCCTTAATGAGCTTGGCTCTGGAATTGAGTTCTGTTTATAATGTGGTATCATTCCGGATTTAGTTAGTGGACAATCAACATAACAATTAGCCGATCCATTGGATTTACATGATAGATCAATATAAGTGTTACCATTGTAAGTGACCGTATGTAAAGTTGCATCCATCCGAGGTGTTGAATAGTTACCAATTAATTCAGAATTAGGATTTAATTTGATTACTAATGAATCAGATTTAAATTGTTTTGATGATGATGATCGTGGATCCAGATTGAAACAATAATTACCATCAGATTCATAATAGAGGCACAATGAACTACCAGCTGATGATGACGATAATGAAGATGAAGATGAGGATAAACTTTCACAAGTAACACTACAACCTGAGAAAATAATTGTCTCCATTGGCATTGTATTAGCTGGTTTAAAGTTACGATATTTACCATTGCCAATGGCTAATTCATTAGTTGATTCAGATGATTGACCGATTGGCTTTAAACATGAAGGTAAAGTTAATTCAAATGTACGATCACGATCATTAACCGCTTGAGTTTTGGGACAGTCCATACGAACCGATTGACCATGATGGACACACTCAAGGACCATTGAAACTTTGGGCACATAGAGAAGCAGAAAAGCGATACAAGCGCAAATAACTAAGGCCAAACTTAACATGCGACGGAAATTTCCCATTTTATCAGCTAAAAGTCCGATCAGCGGGGTAGCGATCAAAGTGGCCAGTGGAGTGACCGCAAATTGAATTCCAATATCAGTTAAACTGATACCAAGACTTTTCATGTGAAGGGTGAAAAATGGATACAAAGCCATGTCACCTTTGAGAAAAATCAATCAATTAAACAATTAGAATCGAGAACAATTAACCATCAACAGAATCGTAGTTAAAACTCATCCAAGTAACAATTAGTTTATTATTTTCTTGAGCTAAATTGTCACAATTAAGAGACATTGAAAAGTTAATTGTGAAACATTAACGATTTTAATTTCTTATTATTGTTTACAATTTAGTTTCAGATCAACAGGTACATATGTATGAGGATAGCGAGAGCATCAAACAATCAACTAATTGTTTAGCTAATTAACCGTTATTTAGACCTTGAAATGATCAAGTAACATCTTGATTTAATTTGAAAGTTTTCAAGTTAATCAATTAAATTAAGATTATTGTTGTTGTTCATTTGGATGGAAACGTTTTCTTTATTTTGAATAAAACTTTTTCTTTCAACTTAAACGTTAGTCTTAAAAGACAATTAACTAATTTAATTTTCTAGTAGAAAATTGATCAAGATGATATTTAAATTCTTACCTGCTGATTGTAGAAACAGCAAAAGCTTAATTGAAATTAATTCCTTAATTTTAATATCTTGTAGCAAAGAAATGGTTCCACCATTAGATTGAACTTTACCAGGATCTTTTTTATCAACACTTAATTCCTTTGGTGATTTAGAATCAATTATATCCTTTGATTTACCCATTTTTCAGGGTATTAATGATCAACAATTAGCCTGTTGACTAAAGTTAATTGTAGTTACACAGATGAACAATTAATACCATAGGAAAATGACACAACACACAATTGAAAATGAGATTGAAACAACAACAACAACAAATGAGTTTAGGTTAAAATGTAAAGGTAAAAATGAATTAAAACTTATCCAGTGTAACCGGTTTAAAGTTTCATTGATAATGATTAAACCTTTTTCTCAACAATCAACTAACTAACTGAATGAAGATGAAAATTAACCTTCTCACTCTTGAATAACTGTTACCAAAATGAGAGAGAGAGAGAGACAGAAAGAAAAGAAAGAGATGATAAAGATGACGACGAAAGAGAAGAAAGAGAAAAAAGAAACAGGTTTTAAGGTAATCACTCCTCTTTCTCATTCTCTCTCATAATCATCTCCATCTTCATCCTCATCATCACAATAATATCCTTCATCTTTTCATCATCTCTTGAGCCTAATCCATATCATCCAATGGGTTTATTGAATTTCCATCATATCGATTGGCTATTCTTGTCCAGAGTTTTGAATACAATTCTCATTTTCTTTTAATTTTTGTTGATTTTAAAGTTACATCATTGATTGTTGATCGTTAATTGTTGTTGTCATCGTTGATTGTTATCATTACTGTTTCCCTAATAGAGCATGAAATTACTTTTCATTTTTTGCTTCTTTCTGGTTACAATTTTTTATTCTGTTCATTTGATTGAAACGCGACGAAATTATTTTTTTTAATCATTTGCTTTTAATAACAATTAAAGTTAATTTTCTGCTATTAACCAAACTGATAAACTTATTATTTAATCAATATTATCGATAATTTGTTTAAAATAATTTATTACCTTAATTGTTTGCACTTTTTGTGTTTAATTGTCGAGAAAATTTAATTTTCATAAGAAAACTTTTTTTTCTCAACTTTGATTGTTCAGCCGAAAGTTTTTAATTCCAATTGAAAATTCATTTTAATTTGATTATGTTAATTGATCATGAAAGTGTTAATCAAATGGTTCACTAATTAACAATGAAATACAATAGTTAATCACTATTGTTACTAAGATCACAATTAATTAATTATCTCAATGAAGTTAATTGATTATAACAACAACAGTTACAATCAGTTTATAGTTAAAACAATTAAAGTTTTAAAAGAGTTACAATTAAATGATATTGATAACAAATTGATTATTATTATAATCAATTGAACACAATTAACAACGAAAAGTCAAATAAACTTTGGTTAATCATTGAAATGAATTAATTGTTTTAAAATCAAAAACAAATGACAATTAACGATCATGAAAACTTTTGTTTCGCTCGTTAATTGTTATTACCATTTACAACTGAATCACAATTAAATTCACATCAATTTTACTATCAAGTTAATAATAATAGAAAATCTAAATTGTAACAAGACAATTTAAGGTTCGTTGGGACAATCATAATAATAGTATCTCTTGATTGTTGTGATTAGTTTAAATCGTTTCAATGATTTTCTAATTGATGTTCAACCTAAAATAATGATGATCCTCATACACCTTGGATTTAAACAATTTACGGTTCAGGTAATTTAAAGGATGATAATATCTTCCGTGTTAATCATCATCACAACAGTGTCTTCTTCATCTTAATCATATTCTGACAATTAGTAAATTGTTTATGATTTACCTTCCATGAAGAGCAGAGATTCATTTGTGTTTATATCTCAGAGTGAAATTAATTTTTCAAAATTTCTTTTCAAATTTGAATGACAATTTAATGAGAATATAAAATCACTGAGATGATTAGTAATTCAATCAGTTGATTGTCTTCATCTACAAATCAGTATCCTAAATAAATGTTTCTAATCATCATCACAATTAATCTAGATTAACGGAGATTTAAAACTGATTGAAACCATTTTCTTAATTGTTGGTTTACTTATCGTTTGTTGTTCTTAATTGTTGTTGATTGTTGGTGGGAAAATGATTCCAATTGATTTGATTTTAAATTGTTTACTTTTTTTTAATGTAATTTTCTCTTGTCATTTAATTAAACTGATTTTCGTGTCTTTGAAAAGTTAATTATTATTGTCCCTTTATTTTTGGATACTAATCAAATTGGCTACAATTAGGTGATCATCAAACAATTTACGAACAAAGTAAATTGTTGTCATCAATATGATTAACCTGAACAAATGATTGAATTGAGTTAATTGTAATCAGTTCCCATGGGAGATAGGAAATGTAATCAAAAAAGACATGACATTGAACCGATTAACAATTAACGATAATCATTAACATGATTAGATAGCCAACTAGTTGATATAAATAAATAAGGACAAATTAATTGGATTGATTGTCAATCAGATGAAAAATTGATTAAGATTAAATTAAATTTTCCAATATTTGTTGTCATCTTTTAATTGTCACAATTTAGAGTCGAAAAGATTAATTCACTTGAGATTAGATTGAATTAATCAACCAGATCAAAGGGAAATCATGTCTTGGTCAAAGATTAACTTTCCTCTTGATGGACAAGCTAATTTCTTACAATTACAATTGTGTTTAAATTAATTGCTCTTTTATATTTTCGCTATTTGATATTTTAATTGTTCTCGATGTTTAATTAATTGATTGTTCAGACTTGGAAAGGAAAAGGGAAGGAAGACAAAAATTGGAATCAATTTATTTAGAGGTTGTTTAATGTTCACATATATGATGTTCACATGGATTTTTAACTCTAATCAACTAATTGTGGATGTAAATTGTGTTTAATTAACTCTTATAACCAAATTCAAGTGTTTTAATGGTCCAAAGTGATTTAGTTTTTAAAAGCCTTCGATTTTTTCAATCTTGTTGACCGATAGACTGAAGATTATTGGTAATTACCAATTGGCTTCAACGCGTTTTAAATCAACAATTTGACAGCAAATTTATTTCAAAGGTAAGTTACTGACCAAGTTGATGGTCAATCAGATTACTAATCAATGCGATAATTTCAATTTCTTTTTATAATCAGTGAAGAGTTTTAATCTCATCAAAGTGTAACTTGAAATGTCTCGAATAGGACCTGAGACATGGGAAGATGTTTTCAATTCCGATGGTGAACCGAATCTGATCAGTGATGATCTTTTGATGGAAATGCTGAAAACCGAACAAAGTAGATCACATTCTACCAATTATCGAAGTTCATTTTCCTTATGGGAGATGAGAACTTATCGTAAATTGATTGAATTCATTTACAGATTAATCAAAGTTCTTAAAATCGATAATGCTTATGTACGATACAATACCTGTGATTTATATGAACAATTTTTGGAAAAACACATCGAATCAACTAAAAGTGATCGATCAGAAAGTTCTGCTGTCGATGATTCAAATGTTCGATGTGAATTTAGAGATCGAGCTTTACTTCCTCTTCTCACCTGTATCATGTTATCAACGAAAATAAGTTCAATACATTCGATAAAAAATATCGACTTTTATTCGTTGACGATTAATAAAAAATACGGTTACGAATATTCAAAAGAAACTCTAATCAAATCAGAGTTGAACGTGATGAAAACTGTTGGCTATAAGATTGACCAGTGTCCACTTTACTCTATTTGTCCATTGTTGATATTGACTCTTGTCTACAATGAACCTTCAATCAATGGTAAATCACTTTACGAGATGTTGGACAAAACATTGGACTATTATTATTTAGCTAAGGCCGAAATTTTCACCAAATTGTTTGACCATCTCAAAGAATCAAGGAAAATCAATGACCAGTAAGTGGATTTAATTATTGGTAATTATTTTAAATTTTCTTGATTTTAATTAGCGTTTTCTTTATCAATCAAACAGAGATTTTAAATTGTTTGTTGGCGATTCAATGCTAATCAGCTGTGCAATTATCGTTGTTACAGCGATTCTAGTCGATGAACAATCAGGCCCTCAGGTAAATCTTTTTCGTCGACAATTAATTAATCAACTTTTCATTTAATTTCTCGATTCTCTAAATCATTTCTTCAGGTTCTTAAAGAATTGGTTTATATCACTTGTTGTGGTCAAAAAGATATCGAAATAATCAAAAATGCTATTCTAGAAGGAATTTCCGTCTAATCCAATTGGTCAAGATCAACAAAATTACCGAAAAACTATTTAATCATTTACAATTTATTTTTAATTTCTTATTATTTTAATAATTTCTTTTTTCTTAAAATCGATGGACATTGATCATGTAATCACTTATATCACCCATTATATTACAATAACACTATAAATATTATGTTTTAAAATAATCTTTTGAACTAATAAATGATAATTGATTTGCTTTTGAAAAGTTGTGATTATATCGATGCTCAATTTAATGAGACTTCAATTTGTTACAATTTAGTTTGACTAAATTAAGTTTCGAAATGGTTTAATTATATTCTAATAGATGACACCACTTTCCACGAAAAATATAATCGCAGTTAAATCAATCAAGCTGATTTGTATTTGGTAGATAATCAGTTTGAATTTAAGTCTTTACATTTCCTTGTCATTTCTAATTGTTAGCTTTGAGTCCGATCTCAAAACGATGACAATTGAAAAGACAAGAGACAATATTTCTCATTGAATTGATTGTGTGATTTTATTTGGTGTTAATTGTTGTTTGGTAAGATTTTTACATGAAAACTTTACATGATAGAATTGAATTTACTGATTTACTAAGAGGGATTATCCCCAGACTGATGGATGTAAAACACTGGCCGCTGACCCCCAGCCAGTTGAACTTGACCCTTGAACATCAGTAGCATCCCAACGAGAAGAGTCCATCCGATTTAACATTGGATTTCTCATTGGAACAGCAATTGGCACATATTGTACTTGACCCATTGATGGCCCACCACATACATTAGATGAGTATGAACACCCAGATGAACAGCCTCCACAACCTCCACCTCCACCACCACCACCGCCTTGCATTCCCCATCCACCTCCTTTATCATTTCCACCGCCACCGATGATAATTATCATTGGACTTCCACCTTTACCTTTGCTCTTTTTCTTGTCCTTTTTATCACCATCATCATCACCTCCTCCTCCCCCAATGACCATCATCGGCATCCCTACAAAATCAACGAAACAATTAACTTACAATTCCAATAGGAAATCAATCAACCATAATACTAACCTCCTCCACCCATAGACCAACCACCTCCCCAACCAGATCCTCCACCTCCGCCATTCATACCCCCTGATAAACCAAGTAATCAATTGAACAGTTAGCAAAGCAATTAACCAATTACACTAATTAACTCAATATTTGAAAGGTGACAATTAAATAGTCTTACCCGCTCCGATGATGATTATATTACCACCGCTCTCTTTGTCCCCTGAAAATGAATAAAAATCAGCAAAAACAAAAACAAAAACTTAATCAATTCAAATTCACTAATTAACATTGATTGTTAATCTAATCACCAAACAATTAACACAATTACCTTTAGCTTGATATCCCATGGACTTAGTGATGACGACAATTAAGCCAATCCAAATAACATCCATAATTAGAAACAATTTAACCTGAGAAAAACTTTGAACCAAATTAAAAATCAAATGATTCCAATGAAATTAACAAGCAATTTAAGTTGAATTTTTGGTTAATTACTGTACAACAATTTAATCAGAAACTCAACTAAATAAAATACAAACTGAAATAAGAAAAGTAAAACATGACAAACTAATTAATTGATATTCAACTGACCAAATTAATAGTTACCAACAATTAAAGTTATTGTTTAAACCATTCTTATTGTTCATTGCAATCAAATTTAATCATGAATTCATTTATTAATTGTATCGAAACTTTCAACATTTTTTTACTAATCAACAATTTTTATCAACAATAACAAATGATTAAGGTTAAATCACAACAATGAATTAACTAGACCAATTAACTAATAACGGTCAATGTAAATTAGATTCTGATCATGAATTAACTTATAGTTGACAATACAGATTAATAACTAATTGTATCAACTAATTTTGTAAGGCTGCATAAAAATCAATCAATTACTTTTCAAAATGATTAAAAATTAGCAAGTAATCAAGTAACCAAATTACAATTTGACAAAGAAAAAGTAACAATTAGATTAACAATTTATGATGAATAATAAAATGCTGCTAATCAATCATCAACATAACATATTGATTAACCAGGTAAGTAAATCAATTGGAGCAAAATTATCGAGTGTTAATCAAGTTAATCAGCTTACGATTTAATTGTAATTACAAAAATGAAATTTCTAAACTTTAAATTGTTCAATTTTTACACAATTATCTTCATCTCTTGTGGAATTGGCTCTTTAATTCAAGTTAATTATGTTTTCAATCTTTACCTGAGCTACAAATTTACTACACTAGTTAATTACTATTTACCTGAGACCACAATATTACCTGATATTGTTTTCTGCTTTGATTTATTTAAATTAATCAACAAAACGAAAGCAATTAGTTTATATCCACAGTTCGATATTTCATCTCGTTCAATTAACCAATCAATTTCAACGCTACTTGAGAGTAAATTGTTAAAATTTGATGATAACCCTACAACTCGCGAGAGATTGACAAAATACATTTACCATGATTTAATTAGCAAACAATTAACAATCAACGAGACAACCAGAATACTTTATGATCCAAATGAACTATTTGAATCGATTACATTTCACAACGTAAACGTTAATCGTTCAAGTGACTGTCGATTTCATAAATGTTATCGAAATGGTCGATTCTGTTTAATATTATCTTGTTCAATTAACTCACCAATTAGTGTTCGTCACACAATTAGTCAACTTTTCCCTGGTTTCCAATCATTAATTCACATTACTCTTAATCAACAGATCATATCAATGTTCAGTTTTATCCATGTGACTTTCATTGAGCCCAATACTCTTCCCTACGATCGTCGGCTGAAATGGGCTCACCTAAAGGTCTATAAGTCCCCGAAAGTTTACATAAATTCATTTTATCGATTTCGATCAATCTATTTACCGCCACCTTATACACCGTGCGTTAATTATTCAGAGCAAGGATTCACCGATCGAGCGGAAAAATTGAACAAATGTCTCAATTCGTTGGCGCGTAAAAAGTTTTCCAAACTTTTGATCTCACCTTTGGTTGAGGCGAACATCGATCTACATTTCTTACCGTTCTTTGGTCGAAACGGCGACGAAATCGACGAAATAGTTGCAGCATGTGAACGCATAACCAACCAATTCGATTGTGATACCAATGTGTTCATTGTCAAACAACGAGCACCAATAAGATCCTCAAATAATGAGACTCACTTCCTAATCGAGCCCTCTTCGTATCCCCATATCATTACGATCCATAAACCAAAGATCACCCGGTTGGATTGTATCATAATGATTGGTAGTATCTTTGGTTTTTGGTTTGGATTTGCGATTAATGTTCATATCCCAAAAGGATTAGAGTTAATTGTAATTAGATTAAAAAGAATCCGGAAAACAAATCAATATCCATCATCAATTAACCATAAACCAGTTTATATAATTGATGAAAGATTTTTATCAAAATGATGATGACAATTAACTTTTATGCTTACAGTTAATCTAACCCAATACATTAGATTATCTATTAATACATGTATGGTAATCTTTGGCTTATCCCATTGGATTTAGAGGTAAAATTTCAGGAAGGTAACATTAGTCTATCTGTTAGATTGATCAAAAGTTAACAAATTGTTGTATTAAATGTAATACAATTTATTAAATTGTGATGATGAAAAACTCACGTAAACCAAAAATACTTTCACTAGCCTGTACTAAAGTCGTAGGGCTACTTGCCTACTACCTGAATGGTCAATGACCAAAACAAATAACCTTCATCTTGGCCTTTTAATGAAACATGTTTTGGTTTAAGGTCAAATGATTTAATATCAAAATAACATTTAAACTTGATTATTGCACAATAATTGGGAAACCACTGTACATAAGATTAGCTTGATAAGTTTAAAGGTAATCTCAATATCTACTAGTAGTGTTTGAAAGTGAATCTATTTTCAGTTTGAATCAGTTGCTGGTTAATTGTGATACTAATCAATTTCACTCAAGTTCCAACAAATTATTTCCAATCCAATACTTAATTATGAGTATCAATTGTATGAGATAATCTTATAAATGACAAAGTGTAAAAAAAACCAACATTTAGTTTGTCAATTTGTTCACTTAATTGTTGTAACCCTTAACATTTCAAGTTCTCAATGGCCATGGACGATCAGGGCAATCAAGCAAAAGTTAACTCACAATTTAAAGTTCAATTTAATTTCTAGTGAAATTATCTAACATTCACAATCAGAATTTTACTTTAAATCGTCAATTTTTACGTTAATTTGTTACCATTGATGATTATTTCTCAACAATATAATCATCATCGTCATCGTCATCACCATCTCTTAATTTAAGTTAATCTAAAAATAGCTTTAACATTATCCACTGACCTCGACAATTAACCAAGAAAATAAACTAATTAACTTTCCTAATGTTTTACAATAAACAAACAAATCAAGGTGAACATGTTATTCATTGAAAAGGAGGATTCAATAAACAACAACAACAACAACAATTAAGGTAAGTTAACAATCAATATGATTAATAAATGAACGCAGGTAACCTGTTAGTTTTAATCAGAATATAATTAAGACCAATGACCATTTATTAATAGAAAATTTCACTAATTACAATCAATCGAATTCACTTTTCCTTTTTTTAATTTTCCGTTACCTTCAAGCAATTAAACGATAATCTTGTTGATTTATCTGTTTCTAACAAATATACTAAATATAATAAACAACAACAACGATATTTAATTAACTACGAATTTGAATTTGGAAAAAGCGAAAGTCAATTGCCCGTAGGGTCTATGGTATTTTTTTTTATCTACAAACTTGAATAAGATAAGCTCAAATTTTGGGTAAAGATTGTGCTCAAGATAAAAGGATTCTATGAGATGTTGAGGTACCAAAAAATAGAGCGGAAAATACTACAGTAGCGAAAAATAGTACGAAAAAATCTGAGTAGCCGTTCATGAAATTTGACTCAAAGATTTTATTGTACGCATGCAGTTGCGCTTCTAAACAGCGCATTTCAAAAGAAAGAGGAAGAAAACAGACAGAGAAAGAGATGAGAGACTAGAAAGAAAGAGAGAGGAGAGAAAAAGAGAGAAAGAGAAAGAGAGTAGTGAGAAAGAAAAAAAAATTTAGTTTTGAATTTTTCGATTAAAAAACGATTCCCATTTCAACAAATCACGGGTCCGGCAAACAAGTCCAAAAAACTTTCGTAAGAAAGTTTTTTCCCGCTTGTTTACTATTAATACAAATTGTATATTAAATTGTTAGTTTTTCCCATGTTGATTAGTCTCTTCCTATTTACGTTAATTGTTACCAATGATTTAGTTGAGATCTTAACTCTGCCCCAGTAACTTAAACAAGATCAAAGTAAACATAATTTTCCCTTGAATAGAAATCATTTAGTTTTAATTTTTGTATACCAAGTAATCAATAAGTTAATCATTCGAATCACTAATTAAAAAAAAACTTTTCTCTTCACTTGATTCAGTTTTGTTCATTACTACAAAGTCACCTTTACACACCAATGGTTACATTATTTTCATTCAATAATCAACATTGGTGAAAAAAGTTTTCTCTAAACGATTAACCAACAGTAACTGTCAATAATTAACTTAATTGTTACATTACTATTATCGTCTTTGCAAGTTAATCTCATCAACTGATTTACCTTAATAACTTTCGTTAAAATGTTACCTGATTTGGCCATTTATGGTCAAAGTGTTTCCCTAAGTTTAGGTAGTTATCTTGACCCAACTCCAATATTGACCAATTTACACTTGACCATCCCAAAGGGTTGTATTTACGGTCTAATTGGCCCCTCTGGATGTGGTAAAACAACATTACAAAAATGTATCATGGGTGTTTATAAGCCCGATCATGGTGTTATCTCAGTCTTTGGTTTACCACCGGGCTCACAAGGATCAACTGTTCCTGGTCCATCAGTGGGTTACATGCCTCAGGACATTGCTTTAGATAGTGAGTTAACTGTTCGTGAGCAATTAACTTTCCTTGGAAGAATCAATAATCTACCAAATGATTTGATTAATTCTCGAATTGATGAGATTACGACTACATTTGAGATTGGAGATCTTGATAAAAGATCAGGTGAGTTCAGTGGTGGTCAACAACGACGAATATCTTTGGCCTGTACATTGATCCATCAGCCGTCACTTTATCTTTTGGATGAACCAACGGTTGGATCGGATATCGTGTTGGTTCATAAGATTTGGAACTATTTGAAACACTTAAGGGACACGACGGGAGCGACGATCATTATATCAACTCATTACATTGAAGAAGTAAATTCAGCTGATCTGTTTGGGTTCATGTCGAAAGGAACGATAATAATTCAAGATTCGCCGAGTAATTTTGTCCAAATTTCTCAAACTCGAAGCCTCGAAGAGGCCATTCTCAAAGAGTACGTTCGAATATATTCTAAACGTCCAAATGGAAGACCAAGTTTCTTTCCCGAACAGTATATTGAAGAGGTTCCAGCTCGTCGAAGATCAATTCGAGCATCAATTGATAGTCTTCGTAAGCGATTATCTTTCTTCTGGACTCCGAAAAAAATAAAAGAAAAGGACATGATTGAATCAAACATGGAATCTCAATATAAATCACAACCTAAATCATTCTTCAATTATCCGATCATCTTATTAATTTATCGATATCTTCTTCGCTGGAGGATTTCAATGGTCATTCCGTTTATCGTTTTCACCACCATGACCTTTACAAGTTCCTTAATGATGTTCCAAGTCTATGGATTACCAATGAAACAATTATCTATCGGTGTAGTTAATTATGGTAACCATTCACACTATTTAAATAACATTACCAATTATTTGGGTTCTGATGATTTTAATTTACTCTTAATGCCTGATGAGATCGTCGCTCGTCAAGCAACGGAAAATGGTACAACAACGGCCTACATTGTAGTTCCTGATAATTGGGATGATTATTTGGACCAAAGAGTGACCAGTTTATTTTCAACCGATCCCAACGAATCGCTAATCAAGTTAAGTCAAGTTAAATTGTTCCAAGATACAACTCACGCTGGTAAAGTTCTAACAATTCAAAGTCGACTTTTCCAAGCAGTTGATTCATTGATGAAAAATATAACTCGAAATTCGGGACTGAATTCAAAATATAACGAATTTTTCGAGTCTCACCCTGTGTTCAAATCTCTCGATGAATCTGATCGACTTGCACCCAAGTACAATTTCATCATTCGATTATATGTTTTCTTCATGGAATCGTTCACAATGTTACTATTAACGGCCTGGTTTCTTCGAGAGTCAAATGAAACTGTCAACGAACGTTTAATATCATTAGGACTGAAACGCTATCAACTCTTGGCCTCACTGATGATCGTCGCCACCGTTTTTCTAACGATAGCGTTCGTAGGAATGTTCCTATCATTTTCGATTATATTGAAACTTCCATATCCAAGTTCGTGGCCTGCAGTCACCTTTTTAACGGCTTCCATAATAATCTGCGGTATTTGTAAGGCTCGTTTACTTGGGTCCAACGTAAAGTCGGACATTGGCTGTATGACCTTAATCATATTTTACAACGCGCTCTTATGGCTACTCGGATGTGTCGCATGGCCTTACGAAGGACTCGATTACTTTATGCAACCATTGACGATGATGGTGCCACATTTAGAACCAAGTACTTCGCTGATTCGAATGACGGTTTATGGGGACTCCGTTTTCACGCCTCAAGTATATCACGGAATCGGAGTTGGGGCCGTTTGGGCAGTGATTCATTTAATTGTTACTTTTGTTCTTGCTCGAAAATGGTAATTTATTTATGATCGAAATTCATTTTAATTTAATTGACCGTCATCACCATCATGTAAATACAATTCATCTCTTAGTTTAATCAACAATTTAATTTATATCTTCTTGATATGGTGACTAAATTTTTTGATTGATTCCAATTTGTTAATTATATTGTTATCTATCAAATAAAATTATTGGTAAATTGTCATTATAATAATTGATTAAGTTTTCTAATTCTTGAAGTCGAGTTTGCTTGCTAATCGATGTGAAAACGTGATTTCTAATCACAATTAACTTCAAGTCTTGTCCATTGAATTACATTAACCTTGAATTCTGAATATAAACAAACACAATCAACATCTTAATCAGTCAAATCAAAGGATTTTGATTAACTTGATTTCTCTAGGTAATCAAATGATCGACAACCATGTAAATTGTCAATCAATCTCATCAGTATTGTTTAAATACAATATTTTCATTCTTATCCTGATGAAATTCAAATTAATCTCAATAACCAAGATAGTTAATCAAATGTGATACTAATTAAGCTGATTGACAGGAAAGTACAATTAAACTTAAAATCCATTAGTGTTTCTTAAAACCTAAACTTTTGTAGCTCTTAGGTGATAATCGTTCAAATCAACATTAAGTTAATTACACTAATTCGCTAATTGTACTACAATACCAATTGACCTCGAATCTTAAATGAACAATCAGTTGATTTAATGATAGTTTTTTTGTCACTAGAAAAAAGGTTGACCAAAATACTCAAGGTAAACTTGTATGATTACAATGAAATCAAACAGGTAAATTGTAAATATCTATTTGATTTGATATGTAAATTATTATGTAACTAAAATCCAATGAAAATTTCACCTTAAACCAATATTTAACGTTAGATAATCAATCAAAATTTCACAATCAAATTGTTACTTAAGTTTTGAATCAACAACCTATGATTACATCTATGAAATAATCTCATCAATTTAATGATAAGTATTGATCAAAATGTTTATCAATGGACATTGATCATTTTCTGAGTTCTTTCTTGTATTATTATTGTGAGATTCTGGTTTATTGTTAATTTGTATTAGTGATTGGAAATGTTACCTGATTTTGCCATTTATGGTCAAAGTGTTTCCCTAAGTTTAGGTAGTTATCTTGACCCAACTCCAATATTGACCAATTTACACTTGACCATCCCAAAGGGTTGTATTTACGGTCTAATTGGCCCCTCTGGATGTGGTAAAACAACATTACAAAAATGTATCATGGGTGTTTATAAGCCCGATCATGGTGTTATCTCAGTCTTTGGTTTACCACCGGGCTCACAAGGATCAACTGTTCCTGGTCCATCAGTGGGTTACATGCCTCAGGACATTGCTTTAGATAGTGAGTTAACTGTTCGTGAGCAATTAACTTTCCTTGGAAGAATCAATAATCTACCAAATGATTTGATTAATTCTCGAATTGATGAGATTACGACTACACTTGAGATTGGAGATCTTGATAAAAGATCAGGTGAGTTCAGTGGTGGTCAACAACGACGAATATCTTTGGCCTGTACATTGATCCATCAGCCGTCACTTTATCTTTTGGATGAACCAACGGTTGGATCGGATATCGTATTGGTTCATAAGATTTGGAACTACTTGAAACACTTAAGGGACACGACGGGAGCGACGATCATTATATCAACTCATTACATTGAAGAAGTAAATTCAGCTGATCTGTTTGGGTTCATGTCGAAAGGAACGATAATAATTCAAGATTCGCCGAGTAATTTCAGAGAAATTTCAAAATCACGAACTCTCGAAGAGGCCATTCTCAAAGAATATACCAGACTCTATGCTCTGCCAAAACGCGAGCGAAGTAAATCTCTGTTGGCTCAAAATTACTCTTTCGAATCAACAAAGATTCGACCAATTGAACAATTATCATTCCATACAAAGGTTAATAGAATTGATATAAATTCTAATTCTGTCGAAGAAGCTTTTTCTATGACTAACGAACCACTAGAAATTCGTTCAGTAACTATTCTGCTTATGTGGCGATATTTACTTCGATGGAAAGTTCTAATGGTCATTCCTTTCGTCCTTTTCTATACACTGGCCATAACTGGTTCTTTAACTTTATTCAATGTTTATGGATTACCAATGAAACAATTATCTATTGGTGTAGTTAATCATGATAACCATTCAGAGTATTTAAATAATATTACCAATTTCTTGGCATCAGACGAATTTACATTTCATTTTATTCCAGATGAAATTATCGCTCGACAAACAGTCCAAAACGGCTCAACATCGGCCTACATCGTGATCCCCGATAACTGGGACTATTATTTAGATCAAAGAATCGTAAATTTTTTCCCAGCTGATCCGAACAGAGCTTTGGTTAAACGAAGTCAGATCACATTGTTCCAAGACACAACTCATGTTGGTAAAGTTCTGACGATCCAAAGTCGATTTTTCCAAGCGATCGATTCTCTTATGAAAAATGTGACCAGAACTTTCGGAATGAACTCAAAAATTCACCAATTTTTCGACACTTATCCAGTGTTCGAATCATTAGATCGATCGGAAATTCTGGCTCCAAGATTCAATTTCCTAATTCGCTTGTATCTCTTTTTCGTGGAAACATTCACGATTCTATTACTAACCGCATGGTTCCGGCACGAAATCAATGAACCAGTCAACGAGAGATTCATGGCCCTCGAGCTGAAGCCCTATCACTTTCTGATCGCGCTAATAGTTGTCGCAACTTTTTTCTTGACCATTTCATTTATTTGTATATTCTCATCATTTATTTTTATCCTTCATCTTCCAAGTCCAACTTCATGGTTTGCCGTTACTCTAATCACAATCTCTGTGATAATCTGTGGTATTTGTAAATCACGTTTCATCGGGATAAATGTCAAATCCATCATCGGATGTGTCACACTGATAAACGCTTATAATGCTTTCCTTTGGTTACTTGGATGTGTCGCTTGGCCTTATGAAGGAATAGCCTACTTTATGCAACCATTAACGATTATGATTCCACATCTTGACCCAGGTAATTCAATGATACGAATGACCATTTATGGCGATTCAATTTGGACACCACAAGTTTATCATGGAATTGGAGTCGCAACAATTTGGATGATTATTCATTTGATATTTACATTCATATTAGCACGAAAATGGTGATCTTATTGTAAATAACAATTTAAACCTACTTATTGTTATTCCCAATGTTAATTGTTGAAAATAATTTTTAATCAATGAAAAATTTTCCTGCTTGTATTTCGTAACTTCAATATTATTTATCACATTAAATTATGACGATTACTCAATATTAAGAGTAGAACGTCATTATGAGTATTTATATTCATAGAAAATACCGAAAAAAATTTCGTCGAAATTGTTTTCGATTCAATTTTCCTCAATGTCACCAGAGATCAAATCAATAAAATATGTAACTGAATTCGGTAGGGATTCTCATTTTCCCCACACTCTAAGCATCCAAATGAAGAAAAATCTTCTCAATTCTAATATTATTCAGATAATTTCAATTTCTCTTCGACCTTCATCTCGTCTTCGTGATTATCAGATTAGTTGACGTTTTATTTTCAATTCTAATAAAAGTTTGATTGTTTTCAAGTTCTAATTATCAATAAGTGTTGATAGCACAGAGAAAGTGGTTCCATCTATATTCACAGAATATGATCTCTATCAACTAATCACTTTTAATTAGTACAATTATAAAGTTTATTGATTTTCTCAATATCTTTGGGTGAAAATGGTTTGAAACATTGGTGAACCAACGTCGCTCCTTGTTTTTTGGGCACCATCGTTTTAAGGTCAGCGGAAATACTGAAAGCGGTATCACTGTAATGCATCAATGAGTCTAAATGATACAAATGAATGAGCGAGAAAAAAAAATTAATCAATTGTAATTCGATAATCAAATATGAAAGACAAGGGAAAATTTACCATAATCATAATCAGTTAGTAGTCGATTCTGTTCAGGTCTTAATTTGATAAATTGTGACCCTAATCCTGGGATAACGTTATTCAAATTAACGATAATAAAATCATCTCGATCTGAACGATTCTGTTCATGGTAGAAACCAATTGAATGCATAGTCTCATGAATTACTGTTCCTTGGCACCAACAACCATCACCAAGTGAAATTAATTGTTCACCACCCGATCGGCCAACATAAGAATAGCAACTAATTTAATAATTAGTTTCTCAATCAGTTAATTGTCACAATCAACTTACCCTTCATCATAAGTATACTTGATGTAATCACTTTCATCAGTCCGATATTTAAATCGGATACAAGTTTTTGATTGAATTAAAAGTAATGAATTGTAAATCAATTTGTAAGCATCACCTTAATTATTAACAATTTGATGATTAGTTGATTGTTTGTTTTTAGTTCAAGTTTTGATTTAGTTAACTTACTTAGATTGTCATCAATTTCAAATGGTATCAAATTGTTAGTCCATAGTTGATTGTTGTTTGTAATTGCGTTTTGAAGTGATTGCTAATTAATAAATTTTCACGATAATTAATGATCATCATTAGTTGATTACTTGATTTGATCATAACAATTAACTTACTTTGTTACCGGTTGATTTTGATTTGATTTTTATGTCACCAAGAAAGAGATTAGGATTTTCCAATGGATTAAATTGTTTCTCTGAAAGGTTAACTTTAATGTAAATTAAATACAATTAGTTGATCATCAATTGGATTTATTTTAATTTGTTCAGTTTATTAATTACCTGGAATTGAATTAATAAAATTCAATTGTGTTGAAAAAATCACAATCAGACTAAACAATTTAATCATAACTTTTATCAACAATTGAAACTTAAATCATAGTAAATTGTAACAATTTAGTCAATTGAAAAGCGTAATTAGTCAACTGTTAACTAATTTGTCTCATTAACTTAATCCCTTGATTGTTGATTAAAAATTATCTCAGTTCCATATAACAAAAATTGCGTAGTTGATTAAATTGTTGATCACAATTAAATCTCATAAATTACTCATTCCTTTTATTATACTTTTAATTATCCTTTGATCCAGTTAATTTATACATAAACAATTAATATTAATCTCTAATTGTCATTGAATATTTTCTGGTGTCTCCTTAATTGTTTCAAATTAACACAATTATTTGATGACAAGATTGAAAGATATTTCAAGTTAACAAAACTTTCAAGGATCATCTTAAAAATAAAAGATCAGATAACAATTAAAATTAAATTCTTATCAAGATTAAATTGTTAATTTCTTTTCTATGAATTAATTACGAGTAATTGCATTGAAGTTAATTACTATCTACTTTAATTGCTCTTTAACTGTTAACAAAAACATTCATAACTGAATCAGTTACATGATTTGGTGGCTCTGTTATTATAATAACAATCAGTTAATCCATTGAATAATTGGTGTTAATTGAAATTGAATTACTATGACAATGATTGTCAAAATTAAGAATCAACTTGGTGACAATTAATTTATCATACACTTATTATAATTGAAATTTTCGAGATGATGAAAGCGAGTTAACTCAAGTAATTCAAGGACGAAAGATTTGATTGCAATCAAATCTGAGGGATGGATTGAAGATAATCGATAATTAAATCACAATTTAAAGCCCACAGAGTTAATCTGATAATCAAGATAGATTTTTACACTGATTGTATTTATGTATTCAATTGAAATAACCGATGATTTAACGTATAAGATAAAGAATAGCATGTGATCAGTAAATTGGATGAGAGCGATTGAACAATTCCCTTCGGCAAAGATTAATGAATTGATAATGAATCGAAACAGAAAGTTAGTATAAACATAAGAAGTGACGATTAATTAGACTTTATTTATTACGATTTGTTAGTAGAACCAGAATTAAATGAACGAGAACCATTACCGATATGAACAAATAGCCTTTGATAACTTTCGGGTGGATGATGTCACCATAGACTATTATTCTGATCACAGCCTCAGATGAAACATGGTTAGGGAACAAGTAGGTCAAGGGTTGAATGAAATAATAGACTGACTCGTAAGGCCAAGCAATACAACCATAGGCCCACGTAACTCCCGAGTAAAAGAGGTTGAGAATGAAACAGGTCACATCGGATTCGATCAATGACCCAAGTAATATGGCCTTGAAAATTCCACAAAGGACACAACCAACAATTATCGGAACGATGAGCACTAGATGACCTTTATTTGGAATATCAAAAAGTGGAATGAAAACTGCAAACATTCCGAAATAGGCTAGAGACAAGGCAAAAGTCGCTAAAAGTGTAGCGGTGCCTTTTAGATGGTAGTTCGTAATTCCCAAAGATGAGAGCCGCTCATTCATTGGTTCATGTGATTCTTTAGTAACCCAATAAGTAAACATCATCATGGAATAAGATTCGACAAAGAAGGTCAATAAACGGATGAGAAACAAAGGCATAGACACGAACAATTCTGGGTCATCAGTTCGTTCAATTACACCTTGAATGCTGAAGTACTCAAGTCGATTTCCAATTAGACCTTTCGATGAGACAATTGAATCCATAATATCGATCAAGGCTTCATAGAGCTCTTTCACAATTGTCTCAGAGATGATTATGTGCGATTTATCCTGATACATTGTGATTCGTCCAGCGAGTTGAAGAGCTTCATCTGCGTTTGTACTGAGAGCGGAAGCGACTCGAGTTTCAAGACCGAGATCAAACTCTTGCGGGACAATAAAATAAGCCGCAGCTTGACCGTTTTCAACCATTTTCCGTCCAATAATCTCATCGGGTACATTAACCAAATTAATATCACGACTGACGAGATATTCATTGAGTTTAGAAATGTATACTGATGAATTAGCTAAGTTTACATAAGCTACTGTGAGGTCAACCATTGGACGGCCAAAAAAGTTGGTCATAAAGTAACCGATAAACACAGATGAGATACACAATAGTAGGTAAGGATATAGTAAAGTCGCTTTCCAACGAAGCAAATATCTCCAAAGTAACAGAGTAAGTGAATAAAATCTACTGATTTTTGGTTTGAAAACCGATGAAGATTCGGTTGATGTTGATTGTCGTTGTTCAATTTGATTTAATTGGTTTCCATTAGTTAGTTCATCTTTTGTTAACATCTTTTTATCATTGTTAAGTGAATTATATTTTATAAGAATCGCTTCTTCAAAAGTAACAGCACCAACTGACCTCATGAAATCTTTTGGTTTCCCTTGGAACTTAATTTCCCCGTTCGCCATGAAACCGAAATAATCAGTCCGAGTTACCTCTTCAAGATAATGAGTTGTAATCACTATTGTTGTACCAACAGTTTCATTCAATTTTCGAAGGTAAGTCCAAATTTTATGGACTAGAACAATGTCCGAACCTACAGTTGGTTCGTCAAGAAGTAACAATTCAGGTGAATGAATCAACGAACAGGCCAACGAGATTCGTCTTCGTTGTCCAGTCGAAAATTGTGTTGACTTTTTTGATGGATCGGCAATGGACATGATGGATAATATTTCACAACACTTAGACTTAATTGTTTCATTTGATAGACCAGCTAATCGACCCAAGAAAGTTAATTGTTCACTCACAGTTAACTCATCATCAAGAGCAATTTCTTGAGGCATATAACCAATCAAAGGACCAGGAATATTTGATCCTTTCGAGTTAGGAATTTGATTAAACACTTTTAACGAACCATAATCAGGTTTTCTCAGGCCAATTATCGTCCGTTGTAAAGTGGTCTTACCACAACCTGATGGACCAATCAATCCATAAATACATCCTTTTGGTATTGAGATGAACAATTTATTAAGCACAAAATTAGGCCTCGAAAGTGAACCGAGATTTACTGATATATTTTCACCATAAACAGCAAATTGGTCAGAATTTAACAGAACATTATTATTATTATTGTTGATTCCATTCATACCAAGAGTTGTCAACATGTTAAGTCTTAATTGTTAACTAAATGCTCAACGATTCTAGCATTCAAACTATTTTGCCACTAATTCACTAGAAGATCTTGTTTTCAGTAAATTCTGAATTAAATTATAAACCAGATTCATAGAAATGTTATTTCGTAATTTTATCATGTTTACACTGCGATAACAGATGCAGTCAAGTGGATAAAAGTCACATTAATTTGAAGACGAGATCCCGACGAGATTGTCGAATTAAAATTCAAACTACAAATGAAAGAAAAGCCTCAAGTTAACGTTTATTTCGATCTGCGGTTCGCAATTAACTCATTTTGTTGAGAGAATAAAAATAAATAAGATCACACTGGTCATCTGTTGTATAAAATTTATTGTTCCATCTTGACTAGAAGATACCAAAGCACGAAATGTCTTTTCTTGACCGGAAGCAGATCTCCCATTTCCAGTCCAGAGGCGTATGGTTTCAGACTTCTCTATGGTAAAAAAAAGGTTAGAATCAAAATCTCCGAAAATATCACATGAAAAGCACAAACCTAACTATTAATAGTTATCTTAGACAATGAACGTTTATGAATGTGAAGTTTTTAATGAACAATTTTCAAGTTGATTGTTCCTTTCATAGAAATGGGTAAATTGTTTTTATTAGCAAGGTCCAAGTTTCAATGAGCAGTTACAATGTAACTTTTTATGCAAATAAACATTCAACCTCAAAAAGTCCAATTTTGCGATTTAATAAAAAAAACTCGCTAACTCGAAAATTCACTAGAGAAGGTCTGATACAGTGAATTCTGAATTATACAGCCACGAAAAATGAGATGAGAACAAAAATTATATCAATTGCGCATAAAGAGATAATTTAATCAAATTTAAAAGAGAAATTGTATTGATTTAGATGGAAAGTAATAGAAAAATGTAATCACAATTAGAAAAAAATTATCTCTCTATGCTTATAAGTCACAATTTTTGTTCTCATCTCATTTTTCGTGGCTGTATTATAAACCGAATTCATAGTAAAATTATTCAACCAATGACTGATCGTTAGCAGAAAAGTTCAACGTGCTTCTCAAACTACAGAGTTTGGTTATCACTCTTCAAGATTATCAAGCTTATCTTCGAGGGTATCTCAGCATTTGATATCATCAGGATGAGAAAAAAGTGGGTGTAGGAAACTCAGTTCTTTCATTAGATTCAGAAAATTGAATAAAAATTCACATCGATGAAAAAAATCATGAACCATAAATGAATTTCAAAATTAAATTCATCAGAAATAATCAGAAAAAAAGCCTCTAATGAACAATGATGAATTTTTTTCTAAAATTTTAATTTCGAATAGTACATACATATGATCATGTCAAAAAGAAAAGTTCAGTCTCTCAACTTTTTTAACTTCGGTTTTATTGAGGTCGAAACTCGCCGAAAGTTTTACTTGAGTCATATTTTCCCATTCATCTCCATACTAATTTTATAATGGAGGAGAAAGGTTTTCGAAAAAACGAAAAAACCTAAAATTTCTTTTTCGATTATCTCCAGCGTTGCTTTATTTTAGACCTTGAAATGACCATTTTTAGATCACTTTTCTATGAACTTTTCAATGAAGTTAGTTTCATTTAAATCAGACTTTTTTTTGAAAAGATACAGAATTTTTCTTTTTGACATAATTATATAACGATTTTTGCAAAGAGTCTCATCTTTTCTGGCCATAGGTTAGGACAATAAAATTGAGCATCAGCTTGAACGTTTTCAATCATTTTTCGTCCAATAATATCATCGGGTACATTAACCAAATTAATATCTCGACTAACTAGATATTCATTAAGTTTAGAAATGTATACTGATGAATGAAATGATTAGCTGGTCAATTTTTTGAATAAAGATTAAGTTTTATTATAATAAATCATATATATATTTAAGTATTAAATTGATTAAATTGATTAAAGGGATTATCCAAGAGTCCGAGTTCCTTATTGTGTCCAGTCTGGTCAAGGTTGTCAACAATAAACACTTTTGATCCGTCTGATATTTAACCATGGAGTTTGATCTTGGGTTAGTGTTCTTGTAAATCTTTTTCCCCATGAATCTACCAGGCGAATTCAATGCGTGTCCACCATTAACTACATGGAATTAAAAATATGAATTGACTGTAGATAAAAGTTCAGGAAAAAAGATGAAAAAACAATCGAAATTCTTACTTTAAATATTGTCGAGATGAGAACAACAATAGTACTCGTTGTTGATTGTATAGACATCGTCAGATGACAATTGAGCATTTTCGCAATCTTCGGATATGACTAGAAGAAAAGAGAACAATCAATTGATCAGAATTCATTTTGATTCATAACAACGAATCATTTACCTGGAACACTAGGAACCTTGAGTGCAGCCATCACATAGTGAATAATGTGACTCTTACATTCACAAAGAGGTGTCAACAGAATTTCGTCTCCATTAACTGTACACCTAAAGTAATTGAATTAATTACAATTAGATTTAATTCAATTGAAGTTGACATTAGTTGAACTTACTCAAAATGATCACGTCTGAATAAGAAACGGACATTACTATCGTCCTCTTCAGGAATGAATTCCAAGTTTGTTTTTTCATTGAACTCTTGTAACGTTGTCTCAATCAGTTGTTGCGAATGGGCTACAATAAAAATTAGGAATAAAACTGGTTCGAAATTTTAATTGATCACAATTTAACTTTAATTTACTTACCCAATGAAGAATCGATCTTGTATTTGATTACATGCTTCGGACATCCATTTTGGGCCGAAACTATTGAACCATTTAACTGACTACAAATCAACACAGTTAAAATTAAGTTTACGATTGTAATTGGAGACATTGTTGATTTCAAATTGTTTAGGTTTAATTATTAGTTAATCAAGAAACTTGTAATAATTATTTTCTTTCAAAACAATTTAATCAAGTTGATTGTAAGTTTAGATGAAGACAATTGAATTTACTTGGTTGAGCTGTTTCCCTTTTTAAACTTAATTTTTAATTGTTAATCAAGTGATAATCACTTTCAATTGTTAATCCTTCATATTGGTGATAAAAGTTAATTATTTTTATTAATTTAGCAGTTGATTGTTTCATTGGTCATCAAATGCTCACATTAATTAGTTAAATCTCAATTATTTGATAACAATTAGACACAAATAGACACAGATAAAAATAATTAAAATTCAATGATAAATGTTAATTTTGTCATCTAATTATACTAATTATCTAACCAAATTGCTAATTATTTATACAATAAATCTTTATCGTTAAAACTACAATGTTAATTATGATTATAACACATCAGTTTAATGACAATTTATTAATTGGTTGTCAAAACAAGGATTTAATCATAACAATTAAGTTAATCGATTATCTTATTTACATTTTTTATTTTACTTTTTACAGAATCTTTTGCTTCGGAAACTCGAACTTCGAACTAGTTCATGTTCAAAGAATCGACAAGCTCAAGATCTTCTCGAGTCTCATCTTAAAGTTATCTTATGTTTACAAGGATATTAAATCTTGATTAGTCTGGTTATCGTCTATGAATTCAACTCCAATCAGACAGTATCAATAGTTTTCTTTGTGAGATTAATGAGATATTGGTTGCGATGGAGCTCTCGTTTAGTTTATGTCCATCATGAAACTTTTCCACACTTTTTCTTTATTCTTGAACTTTTCCAATATCCGTTGCGTCGTATCGATAATTATTGGAATAACATTTTGCGTCTTCTGCCATTGGATCCCAATCATCAGGAATCTCCTCTAAAGATGACAACCGCCTCATCTAATCAACAGCGAGCGAGAAATTTAATGATTCACTTAACAATTACAATCTAAATTAGCTAATAATAGCCAATTAATTATAGCGATTGGTTAAGATACAAAGAGTTACAGTTAAAAGTTATACTTAAAATTATGTCACTGATTGAGATTAAAAAAACATGGTGACTACTATGTACAGAGATTTAAAAAAACAGCCAAGGTTAAAGGATCACTGGAACAATTAAAATGAAATTAAAACTAACGTTGACACTTTTATATGGTCCATCAGGTATTGTCTTTCCCTCTCTGTTGATATAATTACCATAGATATTAAAAAGAAGCGGTAAAATTAAGCAACTACGAACTACCTGTATGCAAATTACTCGTTATGTACAAATCGATTGTATTTGAGACTTACCTTTGTCTCATTGTCACTACGATCATCTTTTTTTAAATTACCGTTAATTGTTGATTTGTGACCATTAATTTGAACATTTATCCCCATTGAAGACAATTGATCAGTGATTGAGTAAAACGATTCATTGGAAATTGAATTAACTTTGTTAAGGTTTCGATCGGAATTAAGTTGAATTAATTTCTCGGCCACTGCAATACAAGACTCTCTGGTTTCAAAGTCACTGATTAACGGGTGAATATAAATACAATCAGGAATACCAGTAATAGTCAATATCAAAAAGCTAAATACAAACAAATATGTAACTTAATTTTCATTGTATCCTCTGTAAGTAATGAGAATTTTGTTTAGAACTTTAATGATGAGAGAGGTTTTATTGAATGCTCTATCATGATCAGAGTAAATTGCATGAGAACAATTTAATAATTCCCTTCAGAAAAATACATTTAAATGCCTTGATAATGAAAAGCAAAGAAAATTTAATACAATTATGAAAATGACGATTGATTAAAGATTTGATTTATTACGATTTGTAAGTAGAACCAGAATTAAATGAATGAGAACCATTGCCGATATGAACAAATAGCCTTTGATAACTTTCGGGTGGATCATGTCACCATAGACTATGATTCTGATCACAGCCTCATTTGAAACATGGTTAGGGAACAAGTAGGTCAAGGGTTGAATGAAATAATAGACTGACTCGTAAGGCCAAGCAATACAACCATAGGCCCACGTAATTCCTGAGTAAAAGAGGTTGAGAATGAAACAGGTCACATCGGATTCGATCAATGACCCAAGTAATATGGCCTTGAAAATGCCACAAAGGACACAACCAACAATTATCGGAATGATGAGCACTAGATGACCTTTATTTGGAATATCAAAAAGCGGAATGAAAACTACAAACAATCCGAAATAGGCTAGAGATAAGGCAAAAGTCGCTAAAAGTGTAGCGGTGCCTTTGAGATGGTAGTTCGTAATTCCCAAAGATGAGAGTCGCTCATTCATTGGTTCATGTGATTCTTTAGTAACCCAATAAGTAAACATCATCATGGAATAAGCTTCACAAAAATAAGTCAATATACCGATGAGAAACAAGGGCATAGACACGAATAATTCTGGATCATCAGTTCGTTCAATTACACCTTGAATGCTGAAGTACTCAAGTCGATTTCCAATTAGACCTTTCGATGAGACAATTGAATTCATAATATCGGTCAAGGCTTCGTATAACTCTTTCACAATTGTCTCAGAGATGATTATGTGCGATTTATCCTGATACATTGTGATTCGTCCAGCGAGTTGAAGAGCTTCATCTGCGTTTGAACTGAGAGAGGAAGCGACTCGAGTTTCAAGACCGAGATCAAACTCTTGAGGGACAATAAAATAAGCCGCAGCTTGACCGTTTTCAACCATTTTACGTCCAATAATCTCATCGGCTACATTAACCAAATTAATATCACGACTGACGAGATATTCATTGAGTTTAGAAATGTATACTGATGAATTAGCTAAGTTTACATAAGCTACTGTGAGGTCAACCATTGGACGGCCAAAAAAGTTGGTAAGAAAGTAGCCAACAAATACTGAGGAAATGCACACGAGTAGGTAAGGATATAGTAAAGTCGTTTTCCAACGAAGCAAATATCTCCAAAGCAGCAAAACAATTAAATAATAGCTACTGATTTTTGGTTTGAAAACTGAAGAGATTGATATTGAAGTTGATGATGATGATGATGATGATGATGATTCGGTTGTCGTTGATTGAGTTGTGGTTGATTGTTGTTCGATTTGTTTTAATTTGATTTCATCTATTGGATCATCGTCAAAGATCGTCTTTGTATCTTTCTTTCTCGAATTGTATTTTATAAGAATCGCTTCTTCAAAAGTAACAGCATCAACTGACCTCATGAAATCTTTTGGTTTCCCTTGGAACTTAATTTCCCCGTTCGCCATGAAACCGAAATAATCAGTCCGAGTTACCTCTTCAAGATAATGAGTTGTAATCACTATTGTTGTACCAACAGTTTCATTCAATTGTCGAAGGTAAGTCCAAATTTTATGGACTAAAACAATGTCCGAACCTACAGTTGGTTCGTCAAGAAGTAACAATTCAGGCGAATGAATCAACGAACAGGCCAACGAGATTCGCCTTCGTTGTCCAGTCGAAAATTGTGTTGACTTTTTTGATGGATCGGCAATGGACATGATGGATAATATTTCACTACACTTAGACTTAATTGTTTCATTTGATAGACCAGCTAATCGACCCAAGAAAGTTAATTGTTCACTCACAGTTAACTCATCATCAAGAGCAATTTCTTGAGGCATATAACCAATCAAAGGACCAGGAATATTTGATCCTTTCGAGTTAGGAATTTGATTAAACACTTTTAACGAACCATAATCAGGTTTTCTCAGGCCAATTATCGTCCGTTGTAAAGTGGTCTTACCACAACCTGATGGACCAATCAATCCATAAATACATCCTTTTGGTATTGAGATGAACAATTTATTAAGCACAAAATTAGGCCTCGAAAGTGAACCGAGATTTACTGATATATTTTCACCATAAACAGCAAATTGGCCAGAATTTAACAGAACATTATTATTATTATTGTTGATTCCATTCATATCAAGAGTTGTCAACATCTTAAGTCTTAATTGTTAACTAAATGCTCAACGATTCTAGCACTCAAACTATTTTGCCACCGACTCACTAGAAGATCTTGTTTTCAGTAAATTCTGAATTAAATTATAAACCGGATTCATAAAAAACTTATTCAAACAAGGACTGATCGTTAGCAGAAAAGTTCAACGTTTTCCTTCACCCAGTTTAGTTATTACTCTCCAAGATTATCAAGTTTATATCCCAGGATAACTGAACATCTGATATCTTGATTTAAATCATCAGCATTGAAAAAGTGGATGTAAGAGACTCAGTCTATCCAGTAGATTCAGAAAATTGAATAAAAAGCCACATCGATTTGAAGACGAGATTCCGTTCGGTCAAAATTAAATTCACCAGAAATAATCAGAAAAATGTCTTTAATTAATTTTGATTTTATTCTACTGAAACTTTTTTTTATCGAAAATAAAAATGAACAACTATTGCTCCATCTTGATTAGAAGATACCAACGCACGAAAATGTCTTTTCTTGACCGGAAGCAGATCTCCCATTTCCGGTCCAGAGGCGTGTGGTTTCTTACTACTTTATCAAATTTTACAAATTGTACGAATATTATGAAGTTTCATATGAATGATATTCGTGAATATTGAGGACAACATTTGAAATTTATTAAGATCACAATAGCAAATTAGCTAATTGTTATCCCAATGGCTTGATTGTTAAGGATAAAATGAATTGTAAATTAACTTAACTTCAATGGGATCACTGAGTAACCAACTCTAGCTAATTATCTTACTTACGCAATCAATGCCTCAGGCAATTTTTAATAAACAATTTTCAAGATGATTTTTCCTTTCATAAAAATGGTTAAATTGTTATTATTAATATTAGCAAGGTCCAAGTTTCAATGAGCAATTAACTTCAATATCTCTCTCTCTCTCTTATCATTACTATCAATTAAAAATTAAATCTCTCTGTTTGATATAAGAACACTTTTGTTTGATTATCTTTCAACGGTTAACATTGTAAATGAACATCGCCCGCGGAAATCAGTTATCAGATCATCAAGATAAATGTAACTGAATCTGTTGAAAAAATCTCAAGGATGTTGAAAAAAAGGATAAAAAATGATGAAAGGTAGAATTTAATTAGAATATACATAATGTAGAATAATATTATAAAGGGATATGATAAGAAAATAACAGGTAAAAGGTCAGATCAGATACTTTCTTTCTTACCTTTGCCTTGTTATTTTTTATCTCTCTATGGAAGTTTTTTTTAAAGTAAACACCCTTTAGAATTAAAATCAGATAAAATTTTCTTAAATTTCATAGAAAAATAATTAACATTTATCATGTTTTCATTTGAACAGTTTCAACGATTCACCATCAGAACCAGAATAAAGTGAATGACAACCATGAGGGTTATACATGTATAAAAATAGCCTGAGTAAACGATTGGGTGAGAAATGTTATCTGCATAAATGATGATTCTGATTATCGCCTCAGAGGGAATGCAACAAGGAGATAAGTAGGTCAATGGCTGAATGAAATAAACGACCGATTCACAAGGCCAAGAAATATAACCATAGGCATGAGTGGTTGCAGAGTAAAACAAGTTGGTTATATGACAGGTCACATCAGACTCGATTAGCGATCTCAATATAATTCCCTTGCAAAGGCCACAAAGAACGCAGCCAAGGATCATCGGGAGTATTAGTTGACCATTAACATTGGATAAGTTTCAACGTGAAGGTCAACAAACGAATTAGATACGAGGGTATGGAAACAAATAATTCTGGGTCAACAGGTCGTTCAATTACACCTTGAATGCTGAAGTACTCAAGTCGATTTCCAATTAGACCTTTCGATGCGACAATTGAATTCATAATATTGATCAAGATTAAGTTTACATAAGCCACCGTTAGATCAATCATTGGACGGCCGATAAAGTTTGCCATAAAATAGCCAATAAATATTACAGATGTGACCAGTACGATGAAAGGTACGAGTAAGGTTACTTTCCAACGGGTAAATATTGCCAGATTCGTCTTCGTTGTCCAGTCGAAAATTGTGTTGACTTTTTTGATGGATCGGTAATGGACATGATGGATAATATTTCACGACACTTAGACTTAATTGTTTCATTTGATAGACCAGCTAATCGACTCAAGAAAGTTAATTGTTCACTCACAGTTAACTCATTATCAAGAGCAATTTCTTGAGGCATATAACCAATCAAAGGACCAGGAATATTTGATCCTTTCGAGTTAGGAATTTGATTGAACACTTTTAACGAACCATAATCAGGTTTTCTCAGGCCAATTATCGTCCGTTGTAAAGTGGTCTTACCACAACCTGATGGACCAATCAATCCATAAAGTAATATCCAATATAAATAATCCAATATTCAGAATTTAATTGAACATTTTTTTATTGTTGATTCCATTCATATCAAGAATTGTTAACATCTTAAGTCTTAATTGTTAATTAAAATTGTCTCTCAAGTAATTTTAATTTAAAATATGTTAAATTGAAGTTTTGTCTCTTGTCTTAGACTCAATTCAATGATTAATAGAAACCAGATTACTAGAAAACTATTAATTGCAATTCGTGAGTTTAGTGTGTTGTTGATGTGCTGATGCTTCATGTGATTATCAACATCACACATTCAATATCATATTCAAATCCAAGGAGCAATTTAAATATCTGTCGCTTTACACACTGCAATTAACAAGAGACTGTAATTAATTGTATTGGGAAGAAATTTATTATAATGCCAGATTTTATCTCGTCAGAAAGTGACCTTGATTTATGAAATAAGTTTTATCTGAATAAATTTCTTTTCGACTTATTTGATTATTAAATATTATTCTTATTTGGTTCGTTCAACGGAAGAGCTTAATTGGTAATTTATCGTCTTTGAATTGAATTCCAAGTGAATTAAATTAGAATCCTTCCTGGATTTGTCTTAGTTGATTCTCCCGAAATTGATCAGATCACTTTCTTTACCATCCAAATTTAATGAGGCTTAAGTAAAATTCATCCGATTAATTTTAATTGTCAACACGTTAATATTAACCAGTGGTTTTTTATGCTAATCAGTAATTAACGGTTTGAGTGGTGTTTTTGATTTATGGAGATAATTAAAAACCTGATTGTTTGATTTTTATGATACTCACAATGATTTATTTCAGTTGAGTTTGGTATTAAAACAAACAAGAAATCATGTTGATTCATGTGATCATCAATTAACGGTCACGATTTAATATCAGTCTAACTGTACTAATCGTTGTTGATTATTTCACAACAATTCAATTAAAGTGATTAATTAAATGCATATTAATGAATGAGAGTCACAAGTTTGAAATTAATTGATTTATGATATTTACCTTTGTGAAAAAGTGACCATACCTTTTATTACACTGGTCATTCTAGTAATTACGAGCAATCATTTGCTTTATAATCAGAGCTTGACCACTCTCATTGTTATTCAAACGTGGGTGTTTTGACCGTATTTGAGATTATTAATATGACCGAACAATCAAAGGTCCAATGAAATGATTAGCTGGTCAATTTTTTGAATAAAGATTAAGTTTTATTATAATATTTATTTTATATTTTATATATTTAAGTATTATTAATAAATTGATTAAATATGAAAGGGATTATCCAAAGTCCGAGTTCCTTATTGTGTCCAGTCTGGTCAAGGTTGTCAACAATAAACACTTTTAATCCGTCTGATATTTGCCCCATGGAGTTTGATCTTAGGTTAGTGTTCTTGTAAATCTTGTTCCTTATAAATCTACCAGGCGAATTCAATGCGTGTCCATCATTAGCTACATGGAATTAAAAATATGAATTGACTGTAGATAAAAGTTCAGGAAAAAAGATGAAAAAACAATCGAAATTCTTACTTTAAATATTGTCGAGATGAGAACAACAATAGTACTTGCTGTTGATTGTATAGACATCGTCAGATGACAATTCAGCATTTTCGCAATCTTCGGATATGACTATAAGAAAAGAGAACAATCAATTGATCAGAATTCATTTAGATTCATAATAACGAATCATTTACCTGGAACATTATCAACTTCGAGTGCAGCCATCACATAGTGAATAATGTGACTCTTACATTCACAAGAAGGTGTCAACAGAATTTCGTCTCCATTAACTGTACACCTAAAGTAATCGAAGTAATTACAATTAGATTTAATTCAATTTAGATTAATATTAATTAGACTTACTCAAAATGATCATGTCTGAATAAGAAACCGACATTACTATCATCTTCTTCAGGAATGAATTCCAAGTTTGTTTTTTCGTTGAACTCTTGTAACGTTGTCTCAATCAGTTGTTGCGAATGGGCTACAATAAAAATTAGGAATGAAACTGGTTCGAAATTTTAATTGATCACAATTTAACTTTAATTAACTTACCCAATGAAGAATCGATCTTGTATTTGATTACATGCTTCGGACATCCATTTTGGGCCGAAACTATTGAACCATTTAACTGGCTACAAATCAACACAGTTAAAATTAAGTTTACGATGGTGATTGGAGACATTGTTGATTTCAAATTGTTTGGGTTCAATTATTAGTTAATCAAAAAAACTTGGGGTGCAATTAGTTAACTAAGGAAATTGTAATAATTATTTTCTTTCAAAACAATTTAATCAAGTTGATTGTAAGTTTAGATGAAGACAATTGAATTTACTTGGTTGAGCTGTTTCCCTTTTTAAACATAATTTTTAATTGTTAATCAAGTGATAATCACTTTCAATTGTTAATCCTTGATATTGGTGATAAAAATTAATTATTTTTATTAATTTAGCAGTCGATTGTTGTATTGGTTATCAAATGCTCACATTAATTACCGGTAGTTAAATCTCAATTATTTGATATCAATTAGACACAAATAGACACAGATAAAAATAATTAAAATTCAATGATAAATGTTAATTTTGTCATCAAATTAATAACTTGATAAATCAGTTGCGTGTCTCAAACCAATTATCTAACCAAATTGCTAATTATTTATACAATGAATCTTTATCGTTAAAACTACAATGTTAATTATGATTATAACACACCAGTTCAGTGACAATTTATATATTGATTGTCAAAACAATGATTTAATCATGACAATTAACTTGTGACATTGAAAAATGAGAAAAAATCATTTGAGTCAGCGATTAATCAATCGTTAATTAACTGATTACGAAGCAAAGAAAATCTCAAGTATCAATGTTGTAATCAAACTCTATTAGAATTTGAATGCTGATCAATTCAGATTTAAATCGTTCTGATTAATTAACATAATCGAAAATCGTTGCAAGTTAATCGTTTATCTTATTTACATTTTATTTTATTTTACTTTTTACAGAATCTTTTGATTCGGGAACTCGAACCTCGAATCAACTAGTTTATGTTCAAAGAATCGACAAGCTCAAGATCTTCTCGAGTCTCATCTTAAAGTTATCTTATGTTTACAAGGGTATTAAATCTTGATTGGTTTGGGTATCGTCTATGAATTCAATTCCAATGAGATACCACCATTTCTCTGTTGAACAATGGATATTATTGGAGATTAATGAGATATTGGTTTAGATGGAGCTCTTGTTTAATTTACGTCCATTATGAAACCAGTAAGCCGGTTAAGTATATCATATCAGAGTGTTCTAAAAGAACTTCTTCTTTGTCGAGGAGTTGAACTATCAAAAGAAAAATAATTTGAGACCAACTTTAACTAAACGAACTCTCGATCGATGATTGATTAACTCACGTTCATGAGGTGTAACGTGTTTATGAACACAACCAGCACCATATTTACATTGACCTCTCAAAAAATGATGACATATCCCAGTATAATCTTTGGTTTTAAATCCTTGGACAACGTTTCCAATATCCGTTGGGTCGTATTGATAATTATTGGAATAACATTTTGCAAGTCACTGATTAACGGGTGAATATAAATACAATTAGATTTTATTATCAAATTTCAGTTTACTAAACTTTAATCTAATAAGATTAATAACTTAATTGAAAAATTTTTTCTGGCTATTCTACTTTATTTCATTTTTATTTTACATTTATTTTTCTTGCTTTACACTAGCAACTGGTTCAACTCGTTCAGCACGCAACTTGTGCAACTGATCCTGGATCATTTCAAAGTCTTCCTCAATGGATGTCAGCTCCGCAGCTGCTTCTCTAAACTTGTGTCGCAGCTTACGCCGTTTAACCAGCAGCTTTACTCGCTTGGCTTTCAGCTGTGCTAGCTTGGCTTGCTCTTCGTAATGCTGCTTATCCCGTTTAACCATCAGCTTAGCTTGCTTGGCTTCCAACTTGGCACGCTCAACCTCCAGATCGTCTTCGTCCATATCGACGTTGCCAGTCAATGAAGCCAAGAACTTTGCTACGTTTTTTTCAGCCATTTATACCTGTAATGGAAAGAGAAGAAAAGAATCGATTAGTACTTGAACTCGGAACCTTAATCTTCTTAAACAAATAACATTTAAGCAGACGTCTTAACACTTAGGCCACGATTTAAGCGAAATTTGATCGTGTTAAAAGCGTATAAGTTTATTGGATTTATGTAATATCTTGATTTGATCATTTTATTATTGTGATTATAATCACAAATTTGAAATACCAAATCCGAAATTTGAATATATGTAAATTTATAATTTTAGTAATCCAAAGATCTTAAAATTAACGATAAACATAATACGATAATGATAAACAATTTTTCTAATTATGATTGAGTAGCTCGAACGTTCAGTTGAAACATTAATATGGAACTATTAATATTAGGTAGAACGATTTGGATTCCCATAGTGAATCAATGGGTGAATATAAATTGATCAAATAAAAGGCATTTCAGGCGATTTATGGGATTTGGAAATCCATCAACTTACTAAGATCGAAGATCTTACGAAGTTAGTCAAAAAACAAAAATCGAAAAAAATCTCTCCTTCATGGTAAAAAATGGATTTTTATGAAAAATCCTAATTATATGAAAACTACAAGTCCGATTTTGTCGCAACCAAGACTATAAGATTTTACTTATCTAATTACATAAGATTCACAACAACTTGATTTGAAAAAATTCATAATTCTTCATTGGGAATTTATCGTCACTGAATTGATTCCCAAGTGAATTAAATTAGAATCCTTCCTGGATTTGTCTTTGTTGATTCTCCAGAAATTGATCAGATCACTTTCTTTACCATCCAAATTTAATGAGACTTAAGTAAAATTCATCCGATTAATTTTAATTGTCAACACGTTAATATTAATCAGTTGTTTTTTATGCTAATCAGTAATTAACGGTTTGAGTGCTAGTTTTTGATTTATGGAGATAATTAAAAACCAGATTGTTTGATTTTTAAGATACTCACAATGATTTATTTCAGTTGAGTTCGGTATTAAAACAAACAAGAAATCAACAGAAACAAGAAATAAATTGACCACTTTCCTTGTTATTACAACATCCGTTTGGGTGTTTTGACCGTATATAAGATGATCAATACTACCGAATAATCAAAGGTCCAATGAAATGATTAGCTGATCAGCTGGTTTTCTGAATAAAGATTAAGTTTTATTATAATAATTCATAAATATTTTTAAGTATTAAATTGATTAAAGGGATTATCCAAGAGTCCGAGTTCCTTATTGTGTCGTCTGGTCAAGATTGTCAACATTAAACACGATTGATCCGTCTAATATTCACCTCATGGATTTGGATCTTAATGTTCTTGTGAATCTTGTTCCTTTTAAAGCCACCAAGCGAATTCAATGAGTGTCCACCATTAGCTATATGGAATTAAAAAACCGAATTGATTGTAGATAAAAGTTCAGGAAAAAGATAAAAAACATTCGAAATTCTTACATGGAATATAGTCGAAATCACACGTACAATAGTACTTGTTGTTGATTGTATAGACATCGTCAGATGACAATTGAGCATTTTCGCAATCTTCGGATATGACTAGAAGAAAAGAGAACAATCAATTGATCAGAATTCATTTAGATTCATAATTGCGAATCATTTACCTGGAACATTATCAACTTCGAGTGCAGCCATCACATAGTGAATAATGTGACTCTTACATTCACAAGAAGGTGTCAACAGAATTACGTCTCCATTAACTGTACACCTAAAGTAATCAAAGTTATTACAATTAGATTGTATTCAATTCAAGTTGATATTAATTGAACTTACTCAAAATGATCATGTCTGAATAAGAAACGGACATTACTATCGTCCTCTTCAGGAATGAATTCCAAGTTTGTTTTTTCGTTGAACTCTTGTAACGTTGTCTCAATCAGTTGTTGCGAATGGGCTACAATAAAAATTAGGAATAAAACTGGTTCGAAATTTTAATTTCTCACAATTAAACTTTAATTAACTTACCCAATGAAGAATCGATCTTGTATTTGATTACATGCTTCGGACATCCATTTTGGGCCGAAACTATTGAACCATTTAACTGACTACAAATCAACACAGTTAAAATTAAGTTTACGATGGTGATTGGAGACATTGTTGATTTCAAATTGTTTGGGTTTAATTATTAGTTAATCAAGAAACTTGTAATAATTATTTTCTTTTGTAACAATTTAATCAAGTTGATTGTAAGTTTAGATGAAGACAATTGAATTTACTTGGTTGAATTGTTTCCCTTTTTAAACTTAATTTTTAATTGTTAATCAAGTGATAATCACGATCAATTATGATTTTAACATCATTTTAATGCCAATTTATTAGTAGATTGTCAAAGCAATGATTTAATCATGACAATTAACTTGTGACATTGAAAAATGAGAAAAAACCTATCGGTTCAATCATTGGAGTCAACGATTAATCAATCGTTAATTAGCTTATTATGAAGCAAAGAAAATCTCAAGTATCAATATTGTTTCAACTCTATTATCTGGGAATTTATCACATTTGAATTGATTTCCTAGTGAATTTGTTTAGAATCCTTCCTGGATTTGATTTAGTTGATTCTCGTGAAATTGATCAGATTAATTCCCTTCCTTAACCGCCCAAATTTAATGAGACTTAACCAAAATTCACCCGATTAATTTTAATTGTCAACACGTTAATATTAATCAGTGGTTTTTTATGCTAATCAGTAATTAACGGTTTGAGTGGTGTTTTTGATTTATGGAGATAATTAAAAACCTGATTGTTTGATTTTAAGATACTCACAATGATTTATTTCAGTTGAGTTTGGTATTAAAACAAACGAGAAATCATGTTGATTTATTAACAATTAACGGTCACGATTTAATATCAGTCTAACTGTACTAATCGTTGTTGATTATTTCACAACAATTCAATTAAAGTGATTAATTAAGTGCATATTAATGAATGAGAGTCACAAGTTTGTAATTAATTGTCTTATTGATGTTTACCTTTGTGAAAAAGTGACCATACCTTTTATTACACTGGTCATTTTAGTAACAACGAGCAATCATTTGCTTTATAATCAGAGCTTGACCACTCTCATTGCTATTCAAACGTGGTTTTTTGACCGTATTTGAGATGATCAATACTACCGAATAATCAAAGGTCCAATGAAATGATTAGCTGGTAAATTTTTTGAATAAAGATTAAGTTTTATTATAATAATTCATATATATTTAAGTATTAAATTGATTGAAGGGATTATCCAAGAGTCCGAGTTCCTTATTGTGTCCAGTCTGGTCAAGGTTGTCAACAATAAACACTATCGATCCGTCTAATATTTAGAAATGACAATTCACCAGGTTCGCAAGGCCGTCGTATAGCTGAAAATATGAAAAGTGTATCAATTAGTACCAACGATTGATTGATTAGTTGACAATTTGAATAAGTTACTAATAATTACAATGTTCAGCAAGGGAAAAACCAATTGTATGAATTAATTCATGCACGATTCGACTTTTACATTCGTAACATTCAAAGGACAGTTCGATTGGTTGTTCACCGTTAATTTTTCCAATTAAAGATTTGCAACTTAATTAAGAAAATTGAGAAAAAATTGATTAGTAAGATAATTAATCTAATCATCTCCAACTTACCTATCGCCTTTCTTGAATACGATGTAATCAGATTCATTTTCTCGAAGCTTGAATTTCAAGCAAGTTTTCTGATTAAACTCTTCGATCGCTTCCATGATGGTTGATGTTGAATTAACTATTAACACAATTAATAAACAATTAACCAAAAATATGAACGAATTTCATTGACTTACTTAATGAGTCGTCGATAAGATAAGCAATCGATGAATCAGTCCAGATATTTTCGGCTCCTATCATTAGAGTTTAGACCTTATAATTATTCAAATTCGGAGAAAAAAAATTGACGAATTGATCTGTATAGTTCTTACCCCATGGATTTCTAGCGTTTTGAGTTGATTTCTTTGTAAATCCACTAAGTGAATTCAATGCGTGTCCACCATTAACTACATGGAATTAAAAATCGAATTGATTGTTGATAAAAGTTCAGGAAAAGATCGAAATTCTTACATAGAATATTATCGTAATGAGAACAACAATAGTACTTGCTGTTGATTGTATAGACATCGTCAGATGACAATTGAGCATTTTCGCAATCTTCGGATATGACTAGAAGAAAATAGAACAATCAATTGATCAGAATTCATTTAGATTCATAATTGCGAATCATTTACCTGGAACACTAGGAACCTCGAGTGCAGCCATCACATAGCGAATAATGTGACTCTTACATTCACATAAAGGTGTCAACAGAATTAAGTCTTCAAAAACTGTACACCTAAAGTAATCAAAGTTATTACAATTAGATTTAATTCAATTCAAGTTGATGTTAATTGAACTTACTCAAAATTATCACGTCTGAATAAGAAACGGACATTACTATCGTCAGGAATATATCCATATTCAGGAATGAATTCCAAGTTTGTTTTTTCGTTGAACTCTTGTAACGTTGTCTCAATCAGTTGTTGCGAATGGGCTACAATAACAATTAGAAATAAAACTGGTTCGAAATTTTAATTGATCACAATTAAACTTTAATTAACTTACCCAATGAAGAATGGATCTTGTATTTGATTACATGCTTCGGACATCCATTTTGGGCCGAAACTATTGAACCATTTAACTGACTACAAATCAACACAGTTAAAATTAAGTTTACGATGGTGATTGGAGACATTGTTGATTTCAAATTGTTTGGGTTCAATTAGTTAATCAAGGAACTTGTAATAATTATTATTAATATTTTCTTTCAAAACAATTTAATCAAGATGATTGTGAGTTTAGATGAAGACAATTGAATTTACTTGGTTGAATTGTTTCCCTTTTTAAACTTAATTTTTAATTGTTAATCAAGTGATAAGCACTTTCAATTGTTAATCCTTCATATTAGTGATAAAAATTAATTGTTTTGATTAATTTAACAGTTAATTGTTTCATTGGTCATCAAATGCTCATATTATTAGTTATAATAATTAGTTAAATCTCAATTATTTGATAGCAATTAGACACAAATAGACACAGATAAAAATAATTAATGATAAATGTTAATTTTTCATCTAATTAACAACTTGATTAATCATTTAATTGCATCAGGCCAATTATTTAACCAAATTGCTAATTATTTATACAATGAATCTTTATGGTTAAAATTACAATGTCAGTTATGATTATAACACATCAGTTTAATGACAATTTATTGATTGTCAAAACAATCATTACAATCAACTTGTGACATTTAAAGATGAGAAAAAAATCTATCGATCCAATCATTGGAGTCAACGATTAATCAATCGTTAATTAACTGATTACGAAGTAAAGAAAATCTCAAGTATCAATATTGTTTCAACTCTATTAGAATTTAAATTTTGATCAATTCAGATTTAAATCGTTTATCTTATTTACATTTTATTTTATTTTACTTTTTACAGAATCTTTTGATTCGGGAACTTGAACCTCGAATCAACTAGTTTATGTTCAAAGAATCGACAAGCTCAAGATCTTCTCGAGTCTCATCTTAAAGTTTTCTTATGTTTACAAGGGTATTAAATTTTGATTAGTTTGATTGTCGTCTATGAATTCAATTCCAATGAGATACCACTATTTCTCTCTGTTGAATGATGAATATTATGGAGATTAATGAGATATTGGTTTAGATGGAGCTCTCGTTTAATTTATGTCCATCATGAGACCAGAAAGCCTGATAAGTAGATCATATCGATAGTCGATTGATGTCTGAAAAACGAGATGATTGTTGATAATAATTAAATAATTCGATGCTGATTTGAAAGATCTTATGTTTGAATCAAATGTCAACTTGCATCATTTAAGGTTGACGGTTAATCATTCAAATCGGTTATCAATATAGTACTTACCACACGTTGGGTTTATATTATGACCTTTTGTCCTTCAGAGTGAAAGAGGTCAACCCTGAATCTCCCTGCCATGTCCCTGAGGATGAAAAAAATTCGTCAGGCTGAACCAGAGGTCGCAAGTTAACTATAAAAGTAACTCACCTTTCCTTGAAGTGCGCTTTGAATGTTTGCCCGAGTACTAATTCACTAAAATTACTCCTAAAAGAAATTAAATGAAATCATAATTTCAACTGAATTGATTGTGAAGATAATTGAATGAAAATCATCGGTACTTACATGACTTCATCAGTGACACAAAATCCTGATGGCACTTCCATGGCACAGTGGACTGCGAATGCTGGTAAGGTCGCAAATTTTGGCTTGAGAGTGAAAACATCACGTCTTTCAACAATCAACTCGACACCAGTGTCGATATTCATCACTGTCAAATCATCTTCATCAAGACTCATATCGATGACTCTTGCTCGGAAAATGGCTCAGCCCGAACAGCAATAAGACTTCCTATTGCAGGGAAAACAATCATATTTTCAATATTTTCGGGCTTTCGATAAAATTCTGCCATTTCTCCCATCAAAATGAGAAGATTTTTCTGAGTTGGATCAATGAAATCGTAATTCCTTCCAACTCTCGAGTCAAAGGATTGTTGATGAATTATGTCTTCGGCTGGTACGACATAAAATGAATATGGACTTCGACAACTGGTAACCGTTACATTCAATTTCAACCCTTCCTTGACGATATTTCGTTCGAGAGTTTCTAAAAGAACTTCTTCTTTGTCGAGGAGTTGAACTATCAAAAGAAAAATAATTTAATACTAACTTAAACTAAACGAACTCGCGACCAATGATTGATTAACTCACGTTCATGAGGTGTAACGTGTTTATGAACACAACCAGCACCGTATTTACATTGGCCTCTCAAAAAATGATGACATATCCCAGTATAATCTTTGGTTTTAAATCCTTGGACAACGTTTCCAATATCCGTTGGGTCGTATTGATAATTATTGGAATAACATTTTGCGTCTTCTGCCATTGGATCCCAATCATCAGGAATCTCCTCTAAAGATGACAATCGCCTCATCTAATCAATAGCGAGCGAGAAATTTAATGATTCACTTAACAATTACAATCTAAATTAGCTAATAATAGCCAATTAATTATAGCGATTGGTTAAGATACAAAGAGTTACAGTTAAAAGTTATACTTAAAATTATGTCACTGATTGAGATTAAAAAAACATGGTGACTACTATGTACAGAGATTTAAAAAAACAGCCAAGGTTAAATGATCACTGGAACAATTAAAATGAAATTAAAACTAACGTTGACACTTTTATATGGTCCATCAGGTATTGTCTTTCCCTCTCTGTTGATATAATTACCATAGATATTAAAAAGAAGCGGTAAAACTAAGCAACTACGAACTACCTGTATGCAAATTACTCGTGATGTACAAATCGATTGGATTTGAGACTTACCTTTGTCTCATTGTCACTACGATCATCTTTTTTTAAATTACCGTTAATTGTTGATTTGTGTCCATTAATTTGAACATTTATCCCCATTGAAGACAATTGATCAGTGATTGAGTAAAACGATTCATTGGAAATTGAATTAGCTTTGTTGAGGTTTCGATCGGAATTAAGTTGAATTAATTTCTCGGCCACTGCAATACAAGACTCTCTGGTTTCAAAGTCACTGATTAACGGGTGAATATAAATACAATCAGGAATACCAGTAATCTCACAAAAAGCTGAATAACTTAATCCATGCCAATTAGGCTGAAAAGGAATACGAAGCTCATCTAGTGAATAAGTTCGGGGGACACAAGATAATCTCCAAGTCCCTGAGACATCATAGAAAATGGCGAACTTGATTTTCCCTTCAATATTCAATTCTTTCTCGATGTTAATCAAATGCTCGATCCATGGGCTCTCTCCCAATTGGCTTAGATCGATAATTTCTCCGGAAGATTGTACCTTCTTACAATTAAGAAACGCTTTTTTGACTAATATTCTCGCTGGAAGCCAAACTTTACAATAGTATTTAACAATCTCTTCAAATTCACTTCCCACCAGATCAATTGCTTCCATAAATCTAATCGAAAGAATAAAAAAATTCTCAATAAACATTAGTTTCTACGAGGATCTTACAAAATCTTCAACAGTTACCTTTCAGTTTGGAGATGATCGTTAATCTGATCAGTCCAATTAGGCCGCAATCGGGAGACTCGAGAAGTTAAATCTGTGTTTATCTTGAAAGCCGATTTCCCTTTATTAAAACTAGTATCATTTGCTATTGCATCAATTTCTGAAACGAAATTTTCATAAATAGCATCGAAAATAGTTTCGATTAGTTCATCGTCATCGAATTTTGATAACAATTGATAATCAGATGTCGAATTGAGTATTTTTTTGATAACTCGGCGTCCATAGTGATGATAAACAAGTCCAGCACAGCTCAGCTTTATGGTGAATGGTTTCCTTGGATCGAGACATTTCAATGTTGTATCCTTGAAGCTACTTTGATGATAATCATATAAACCCCTGAAGTGATCATAAACTAAACCGAAACCAATCACACAATCACTTTCCTCAATCAGACTGGAATCAAGAGTACGAACTATTTTCGCACCCAAACCACCAAGCTTTCGGAGTAAATAACAGGCGAAAATTTGATCACAATGAAAGTCACCAGGATAAGTACAGATCGTTAATTGTACTTGATCAACTGCTCCATCTTCTTGGTCACCTCGATCTTCAAATGTCTCTGATTGATTTTGAGAACCAGATGAATCTAAGTTATTCATTGATTGTACTTCATCAGCTTCCCAAAAACCCCAAGAATTACTTCCGTTGGTATCGCCGTTGTCACTCCAGGTTGCTCTAGGTCGATTGGTTTGTGACCTGATCTCTACCACTCTCAAGCAGTGAATGCCAATACAAATCGGCTAAAATAGAGTAAAATTAATTAGTAAAACAAGACAAGACTATTGACTAAATGAATACTTACTCTCATAGAAAGGACTTTCTTCACAATTGATGGATCATTGAAAATGACGAATCCATAGTTCAGAGCTTTTCCTCTCTTATGGTTTCGATTTAACTTTAGATCAACAATGTTACCATAGTTCGAGAATAAATTACGAAGCTGATTCTCGGTAATATCGTGAGGAATATTACCCACGAATACTCCCTGTTCATCTGTGAACCGTCTGGGCGACATTGAGAAATACCTTTTAGAATGGTTCAAGTATTATTAATATTTTGAACGAAAATCTTTGAAAATCAATATATTAATAATTCACCAATAGAATTCAATAAACGATCATATGGTAAAAGAGAAGGCAAAATTTACCTTCTATTCCTTTGAGCTGGTGTGAGAAACAATCACAATTAAACAAGTTGTTACTTTGATTAGAATGTAATATGTAAATCTAACGTTAATATGAATACAAGCACGGAGACAATTAGAACCAGAGAGATAATTAAGATACAATTTTGTTTGTTGATCTAAATTAAGATGGAAAACTTAATGATTTTGATTAGAACACAATTAAAGTTTAAAATGAAATGAGGAAGAAAAGCTTTTAGAAAAAGGAAATAAACAATTTGTCTAATTACCATAACCCCATCTATTAGATTTCATAACAATAGACTCACAATTAGAGTACTGGTCAGTGAATTGGCGCTTGATTATGATTAGTTAAACAATTAATTTTCGAATTTTTTTATTACCAATTTAGAGCCCGATCATTTTATTATAGCGAAGCTTTAATCAACTCACTCTTTTCTCTCTCTTTCTCTTTCAAACACATGACACGATTGATCTCATTTATTATTGAGCTTCGTTTCCGTTTCCGTCTTTTCAATTTCTAATTTTATTGTTCACAAATTTATTCTATTATCAACACAAATTAACTGTTTAAACAAATGTCTTCATAATAACACTGAGCTTATTTAAAATGTCAAAGTAATTGTTTGATCATTTAATCAAATAGAATAATTGATCTTATTGATTGATTGGAATAAAAAGAAGTTTTATTTCATCTAATTAATCTTCAACTTGATAGTTTCATGATAAGTTCCAATCAGTTAATTGTCGAGGTGAAAAAGTATAATCATGTTGACCAGTGATCTAAATTTCACCGAAAAATCTTTTATCAATTTGATTGCGATTCTATTGAGTTTTTTTCGTGGTGAAGAACTTTTCGATTATATTAAATATCTATTGGATTTCATAACAATAGACTCACAATTAGAGTACTGGTCAGTGAATTGGCGCTTAATTATGATTAGTTAAACAATTAATTTTCGAATTTTTTTATTACCAATTTAGAGCGCGATCATTTTATTATATCGGGTGACCGAAAATGAGTGAGCATCTCAAGAATGGTAGGTCCTAGAATAAAATTTCAAACGTCATTGAAAGCGCCATCGATCAAATATAAATGATGAATTTTTTCAGAATTTTCGAAGTTCAAGTGCAACTGTGGTTCTTATTTAAAGGCCAAAATCGCGATTTTCTCTATGAGAAATTTATAATGGGAAAGTTAGAGAGCAATTTTCGTTGATTTCGGCCATGTTGGATCTCAATAACCTTACTTCAGATAATGATGAGCTTAGGTATATAAGATAATAGGTCAAAAAGAATAACTTTTGACCAAAAATTTTGAGTCCAAAGTTGGTTAACTTTGTTCGCTTTGTCAGGCCACTCGATTTCTCGAGAACCGTGCGTCCTAGAAAAAAAAGTCGAACATTTTTGGACTCAGCGTCAAATTTACTTTCTTAAAATGTATAGAAACGTGGGTCCAAAACTTAAGGTTCGTGAGATGCTCACTCATTTTCGGTCACCCGATAATATAATAATAAACTCACTCTTTTCTCTCTTTCTCTTTCTCTTTCAAACACATGACAAAATTGATCTCATTTAATATTGAGCTTCGTTTCCGTTTCCGTCTTTCCAATTTCTAATTTAATTGTACACAAATTTATTCTATTATCAACACAAATTAACTGTTAAAATAAATGTTCATAATAACACTGAGCTTATTTAAACTGTCAAGGCAAATGTTTGATCAGTTTAATTAAATAGAATAATTGATCTTATTGATTGATTGGAATAAAAAGAATACGCAGTTTTATTTAACCCAATCAATCTTCAACTTGATAGTTTCATGATAAGTTCCAATCAGTTAATTGTCGAGGTGAAAAAGTATAATCATGTTGACCAGTGATATAAATTTCACCGAAAAATCTTTTATCAATTTGATTGCGATTCTATTGAGTTTTTTCGTGGTGAAAAAACTTTTCGATCATATTAAATATCTGAGTTACTTTTTTAAACTTCCAAAAGATCCCGAGTGTTCATTTGTGTTTGGTGATTTACTCAAATTCAGATCTGCGTTTTGGGATAAAAAATTTTCATCAAGTAAGTTGAGAGTTTCCCTTAATCATAAACAGCTAATCACAATCGGCAATTTACTTGAGCTTTATAAATTGTAATCTCCAATCAACAGTTAATTTAACCAATTTTGTCACTTCGAATGCTTCAAATTACCAAATCGAATCGGGTTTACATGCACTTTGGATGGAGGCCCAGTGTTGTCCTTAACGATTATAAATCCATTGAGGTGAATACAACAATTGTGACGATTTCTTATTTAATAATCTTTTTCTTTTTATTCTTAGGCATTGATTAGTAAAAGTAATATTACTAAGCCCACTTTCTATAGATTTATTGGACTGAGCGAGGGTTTGGTCACTTCAAGTGGTGAAAAATGGAAAATGAGACGAAAAATGATTGAACCTTTTTATGTTAGTAAACAACAGAAAAGATTCGCATTAACCATTGACGAAGTATTCGATTCGTTGGTAAATGAAGAATTAGTCGATCTTTCTAACCAGAGAAAATATTCAACTTTATCTGATCAAATTCGTTTATCAACATTCAATATCATCTGTAAGCTCACTGGTGATGTGCCGATAGATTCAGAGAGAGAGGAAAAACTTTTTGCGATGCAAGTTGTCGAACTGTTCGAGACGATTACGATAACAAGGATGTGTAATCCACTTTATTGGAGTGATACAATTTTCTTTTCAACAGAATTCGGTAAAAATTGCCAAAATGGCCACTCGATGTTACAAATTCGTCGAAAATTTCGTTATCAAAAGTGTTGACGAAAATTTTAAAGCAATTTCTCAGTCTAATGAGCCAATCACCAACCAATTTTGTCACTATGCTCGCTGGTTCTAACAGAGGTACAATCGATTCAAAAGGAATCATTGAAGAGCTGATTACAACGGCTGCAGCGGGACACGAAAGCACGGCCAGTTCCCTCAACTGGACAATGTTCATATTAGGTAAGGTTACTTTGCAGTCGTCGAAAGTTTTAAAACTTATAAATGATATTCTGTCCACTTTTGTAGGGAATCGTCTTGATATTCAAGAAAAGTTATACCAAGAAATTTCATCGGTGTTTGAGGACAACGAATCTGTGAATGATATTGAAAAGATTAAGAGTTGTGATTACCTCGATAAGTGTATCAAAGAGTCGATGAGACTTTATCCACCAATACCATTGATTGCAAGAGAACTGGATGAGCCAATGGAGATTAATGGTTACAATTTACCAAAAGGATCAATAGTTTTATGCAGCATTCTGAGTATCCATCGGGATCCTAGAATTTATCCTAATCCAACCGAATATGATCCAGAGCGTTTCGATTCATCAAATTTACCAAATATTCCTAAAGAAGCTTATATACCTTTCGGTATAGCACCAAGAGCTTGTATTGGGTCTCGATTTTCATTAATCGAAATGAAAATTTTCTTAATTCATTTGATAAGAAGATATGAAATTTTCTCAGCCAAGAAACTCGAAGAAGTTTCTTTCAAAATGGAATTCAATTAAAACCTTTATGTCCTTTGGAAATTATGCTGCGAAAACGGAAGATCGATCAAAAATGTACAATCGACAATCACAGTACAGGAAAATGACCAATCTGATTCAGTTCGAGGATAATGATGAAAACTCTTGACGTTGTAATGACCAGAAAAAAAGATCAAATTGAAAATAAAGTTGTTGTTTATTTCGTTACTTCGCTCAATCCAAATAATGTTTTTCGTTCATTTCACAATTAAGATCAACTAATTTCAATCAAACAAATTGAACAAAATTCTACAGGGGCCAAAAATAGTACGAACAAAATCTGAGTACCTCTAAATTCTGACTCAAAGTTATTAACACACGAAAATTGAGTGGATAGCGAGAGAAAAACGTAACTGAAGGAAAGAAACAAACATCGTCAGTTAATTCACTCGCTTCATTATCCCAACAATTAACCTTAATTGTTGACACATCTTAAAAAATCTAATCAAATTTGAGCAACCAAACAACAAATTCAAAATTTAAATTGCCTCAAACTGCTTTAACTGTCAAAATCTTTAATACACTTAATTGGTAAATTACCCTTGCAATTAACCAGGTTCTGTTTGATTGTAATCCAATTTAAGGCATAAAACTTAATTGGTACCTGTTAATTATCAACTTTAAACATTATTTGGATTACGCCAATTCAATACTAAATATGGTTAATATTTAAATGTCAATAAAACTGAAAAAAGTAAATAATCTTATCAATGAAAAACAAAGATTACAATACTTGAATTTGCATTAGTTTAATTTGACTAGCAATCAATAGTAACAATTAATGTCATGATTAACTTGATTAAAGTCAATTTTGGCTATCAGTGTCTATGATTGTTTTGATTGTTATTGTTGATAAAAAAATGATTAATATAAATAACAATATTTGGTGTTTGTCAGTTTGTCAATTGAAACAAGTAAAGTTGCTTTTATCAATTAATTAGTTATAATGTCACTTAAATTAATTTATTTGTCAATAGTGATTGGAATCAGTGTTTCAGTTGATCAGGTAACCTCAGGTAAGTGACAACGATAACTATCTTAATCTTAATTAACTACCATAAACTTTTCCATTTCCAATAACCCAATACAATTTAATCATGAAACAATTAAGACTATGATATTTATAAATATCCGATGGAAATGGATCCAGGCAATTGGATAATCAAAGCGATATTAACGGACGAGGTAAATACGGATTAATTGTTCAGTAATCAATTGAATCCTTGAATTTGTTACATGATATTTATTTTAACTGTTGTTTTAATTAGAGTCGTGGTCAAGTATTCAAACTGGAAGAATCGATTTCATCTGGTAAAGTAATTCGAGGTAAAATTATTACGAAATCTAATGGATACGATGAAAGGATTTACTATTCAAGTGAATATCCAGCTGAACGTTACGCTATTGACAATGGTGAGATAAATTGTTCGAGCCTTAAACTTATTACTATCAATTGGAAATTCATTTTCTATTTATCGAAGATGATACCAGTAGATGCTGGAAACTGACCTTCACCACGGAATGGAATTTGCGACTGGCCCAAACTCAGATTAATTTAGTTAGTTACTTCTTAATAGCTGGACCTTCAATCGTATTTAGACTGAAAAATCAACCAATTCAATGGGTATTTACTAATTGTTGACCATTGACAATCAGTCATAATAGTGTTTTGTTTTTCCCTAGAATCAAACAGCTGATGTTAAAGTCCGAGGTGTTTCTCATCATGTCTATGAATCTCTTTTAACACCAGAAATTGCAATCAAATATTATTACAAAGGTGAGAATTTGGTGAGATCAATGAGTGCAATGAGTGCAATAAGATTAATATACTGATTGTGATTAATTAGCAAGCAAAGGTGATTTCGAGACGTCATTTCCGTCTTCAGTTTTGTTCAAAGGAAGTTCAAATGTGAGAATGGACATTTACTCAGTCAAGAAGGTTGATCAACACCTCGATTCCTTTGTAACGGTAGTTAACCCAAAAAATTAATGAACTTGCAGTTTACTGACAAACATTATTAATAATTGACAGTTGACAGAAAAATTTTGTGACAGCTTTTTAACGAAAGGATTAGATTATAACGAATCGCCGATTCCCAAGGTTGAAACACAATATAAACACTACGTAGCGATTGAAACGATTTCCAGTGATAAAAATCAACTGATACAAAAAGAGGTGAACATCATCGTGATTAGTTGATTCACTGATTAATTATTTGTTTGAATTTGAATTTTATTAGGTTTTTTCTGACGAAAAATTTCAAATGGTTGATATTAAAACAACAATTAAATTTCATGTAAACCAAATCGAGAAAAAAACCGAAAAAGTTTACGATTATACCTTAGGTTTGGTGTACGAATTGAATCATGAGGATGGACAAAGAAAATGTCAAATGTCTCCAATGGATTCATCAGCTCCTGGATTAATAATAGACAAAACTAATCCAAGTTTCTCATTAAATCAACAATTTGACTTAAATGGTCAATACTATTACATGGGCCCAGTGAATTATGTGAGTAAAGATGAATAGTTTTCATTCATTGGCTCAATAGTTAATACAATCATTACCAATCAATAGATGAACCTATTTAACACACAATCAAAGGTTGAAGGTTGGCAAGCAAACATTAAAAACGGCAAAATCGATGATATTAATTACGATCTCGTAATCGCAACTCAATATATTTTACCTCAGGTAAGTTGATAAGTAAACTACATTTTTATATTCGTAACCTATTGTAATGTACTTTTACCGTTAGACAGTGACAAATGATGTAAAAGATACGGTGATGATTGGAACCACTTTTGATGGATACGCGAAAACGGTAGGGTTGAATCAATATAAAGAGCATTTAAAGTACGAATATTAATTATTGGAATCATTGACAGGATGGAAAACGATCAATTCGAAAGAAAATTGATTATCAAATAATTTCCACTGAACTTGATGATTCTAAAGACAAATTCCGTATAGTTGATTGCTACCCTGATCCAGAATCACGGAAAACATTAGAACTCCGTTTCTCCTGCAAAGGTTTGATTATCTATTAGCTGAAAATTTCTCATATTTAATAACTTATAAATCCTTACGTTTATTTATTAGATGAAAACTGTGGCCATTTTACTCGAAATCATCATAAACAATTTACGATTAAACTGAAAGAGTCCATTTTCGGCATGGAAACGATTACAATCTCTCGAGTCTCAGATATTAAGCTTACCTTCAAATTATATGAAACAATCGCTCAAATCACAGTCTTAGAATCTCCTGATATTATGGGTAAGCAGATTTAAAGGAAATTCGTTAATCTGATCTTTTCACTAATTCGTTGGTTATATTTGAATCAATTACAGATTCTTTTGAACATAAAGAAATTCGCATTGCAGAAAAATCAAAGCCAATGACAAGTTATTATGGTATCAAAAATCATCGCGAATGTTTAATCTCAAGTGCCAATATTGCTGATCGTTTCGAGTAAGTTGATTAGCTATTAACATGAAATAATTACAGATTAACATGATTTCTCAATTAATTTACAGAGCAATTGCTTATTGCGAAGGAAAAGAAGAAAATATTTGTGGCCATTTCAGAAAATTTTCTGATATAATTGAGGACAAATTCTCTGGAACTTTTTGTAAAGTTACGGCCATTCCTCTTCAAAATATTCATCGATATAGTCGAGAACTACCATTGGCCGATCTCCCGGAGAAACTATTACTAAATGGAATATCATTCAAGTTATCTGATGGATCGATAACTTCTGAGTATAAAGTTTACCAAGTGAATGACATTTCAATCAAGGAAACGGAAATCGAACCTTTTTACCGAAAAGTTGTCACATCATCTAAATTAGTAGATAATTCTGACTCAGTTACTAGAATTGAAAGTGTTCCTGATTTCGGTTCATGTTATCAACTTTGCTCTCATTCATCCGATGTGGATTGCAGATCATTTTCTTATTGCAAATATCTCGATAGATCTGAATGTTTAATAGCAAATTCACCAATTAGCTCAGAAAATACGATCAATGATACTTATTGTTCAACAAATGAGATTAATTTGTTAAAGAGATTCGATAAGATTGAATCTCGAAAATTCATCAAATCAACATCGATTCCCACCGATAATGATCCTGAGAATTGTGCTCAACGCTGTTCAGATTTCGACGAATGTAAATCGTTTCAATATTGTTCTGATTCTGGATCATGTACATTGGAAGGTTATTACACCGATTCATCAACTGATTTCCATCCCAATTGTGACATTTACATTCGTAAGTATTGGTAATTACAAAAGAACCTTTGATACTTGGTAGTTTTTTTAATTAATTCTAATATTGCTCCAATTTTTGCTTAATTGCAGCAAAAGTAATCGACAAATTTAGAATGACCGGTAAGCAGATAATTTCGGACACATTTCATACAGAATTAAGTGTAACTGTGGATCAATGTGCTGCTCTTTGTTACGATTGGAGTGACGGCAAAGGCTCGAAATCCTGTTTATCGTTTAATTTTTGTTCTACAGATGGGAAAACCTCGAGCATTTGTCATCTTTCGAGGTATGATTTTGACGATGTTTCCAGAGAGAAAAGTGGTAAAGTAGAATTGATCCATGAAGATAATTGTCTTAATTACAATCGAATTAAAAAGAAAACACAATCAGGAACAATAAACGATTCGGTTGTATTGAGAAGCTCTTTTAATTTATCAGGATCACTTTTCATTGTATTTTTATTCATAATCTCTGGTCTAATCATTGGATTTGTCGTAAATACAATTTATGCCAAAGTGATAAAACGAAAATCGGCTGATAAATCGATCTCATCCACATTTAATCGAAACACATTCAGTTGGACTCGACAATTAAACGATGAAAGACAATCAACTCTTCGACAATCGACAATTACAGTACAAGAAAATGACGAGACTGATTCAGTTTGAGGATCATGATGAAAACTCTTGACGTTGTAATGACCAGAAAAAAAGATCAAATTGAAAATAAAGTTGTTGTTTATTTCGTTACTTCGCTCAATCCAAATAATGTTTTTCGTTCATTTCACAATTAAGATTAACTAATTCAAATGAAAAAATCACGTTGAAAATGACCTTAAATTTAGCTACGGCCTTTCATTGGTAACCCAGTGAAGATTATTATTATAACGTTACTTGGATTTTGACCTTCAAATATTTTGAACTTACATACTTGTATTTATTTTTTTCTGATCTGATCAGTTTAGGAGAAAATCGAGTTCGAAGTTAAAACTTCAGGTCGCTTTTTCTCAGCAACGATAAGTTTTTAAATCATGAAATTTTTATTTTATCGACAACTTTTCATGCCCTTACAGAAAATTAAAAAAAAAAAAAAGTTTTGGTAAAAAAATATCCAAAGTGCTCCGGCCACAATTCCGTTGTATTTAAATAAATGGACGGTGATTAGTCCCAAGTGTCGAAAATGATCTGAAACTTATTTTTGAGACTATCCTAGTATTGGCCAACATCGTGGATCGAGCACTTTTTCCATTTGATCAACAGTTTTACCGGAATGAGAGAGTGGCCTTTGATCTTCGTCGGCTAATATCTCCGAAACTACAATACTTAGAAATATCTGAATAAGTCAAATCATCGTCATTTAATCAGGGCTATAAAATAACGATCAATTTTTTTGATCAGTTATTTGACAGAACCGTGGATTTAGGATACAGAAATAGGAATTTCGACTGCAAACCCCGTTTTCCGAAATGAGAAACATGTTGACTCGAATGCGAAAGTTGAAAGGATTATCTTTTGACCCTAAAGGGATAATAACTCTTCTGCAAATCATGTTTTTTCACAAGCAAAAGAAGGTGAATTCAAATGGAAAACACTTTATACACCGTTAATGTAATGTAATTATCATGGAGAATTAGACTTACTCCGAGTCCAGTTGAATTTAAAAGACCGATAACATCACCAGAGATGAACATACGAAAATCTTGAATGAATCCCCCGCAGTGAAAGGCCTCGAGGTATCCGTCGCCTTGGGATCGACGATGAACTGTTCAACTTACGATTCGATTGACCAAAGTTAAATCTATCAATGGGACGAGTGAAATTTATTGGATGTAAAGGTCGGACGATTGGTCGACGCTTAATGGTCTAAGGTAGACAAATTTCTCAACCCTGATCGAGTAGATCATTTAAAAAAATTGAAATCTCACAAAGGTCCAACATTTTATCCAGATTATCACATAGAATACTTTCAACGTCGACTGGTTTGTTAATCGTAACATACTGATATGAACAAAATCGCGATCGATGGACCAGATTAAGATTACAAATCGTTACCGCTGGAAAAGGTAACACTCGACTATCGGCAATAATAATTAGGGTTAATATCATTGCAATTGCGACAATTTGACAGCGGTTTTCATTTCTTTAAAACCTCTTGTGCTCTTGCTAAATCGTCGACATCAAATGTTATCTTCTCGTTGCTTGGTGTTTGTCTTGAATCGTTAAGCGATGATATAAATGCTCGACAGGCTCACATAACCGCTACAAAGAATTTGGAGCGAATGGTTAATTTTTCTCCAATTCCATTGATTAATTATGCTATTTATCTTTACAATAAAGATCAAGATGAGTGTAAAGACATGATCATGGAGCTTCTGATGACATTGGAACAGTTTTGGTTAAACAAAAAGCAACAACAGCAACAGGGAAACACTAATTCTAGTAACAATTCAAGTGGATCATTAAACGAGTTTGAAGAGCCTTTCATGTCAACGACTAATAAATTGTCAAAATTGCTTAATATTAAGTCTCATATGGCCTGGGCAAGAAAAGATGAAGTAGAATCAGTGATTACTTGAATCATTTGTGCTAATGAATTATCCTAAAGTATCAATTTTTTATGTATCCAAATATGTTACCAAACATTGATACAACTAAATAAATTTCAATTCTGATTATTATTACCGAAAAAAACTTTTTCAATCAACCTGAACACACTCAGTGATCAAAACATTGATTTAGAGCTATGAATTCGAACAGCGAATCTTTGGTTGACGCTCGAACGCTTAGTGATGATAAGATAGCCTGTTGGTGATAATTATTTTGATAAAGGATGTTACAGATAAAGTGTTTAGAATAGCAGGATTTGTTTATTAAGGACGTGGTCCATTTCTGACCCCAATTCCGATTTTCGATTAAATTTGCACAATAATAGAACGATAAATGAGATGCAGTTTGGTTTGATTTTTTCTCTCAGGTCTTAGGTCTTATACTTTTCGAGTTGAACGGGTTTTTCGACGGATGTTTTTTGTACTCGTTTCATGGCTAAACTTACAGTAGTTCGGCCGGAAAGAAATCAATTACATCAATCGGTAGATGACTTTTTTTTTTCTTTATTATATCAATATTTTTGTTCATAGAGATCCTCGAATTTATCCAAATCCGACTCAATATGATCCAGAGCGTTTGACCCATCAAATATTCCTAAAGAAGCTTACACCTTTCGGGATAACACCAAGAGTTTTTATCGGTTATCGATTTGCATTAATCGGAATGAAATTTTTTCTCATTCATTTGATAAGAAGATATGAAATTTTCTCAGCCAAGAAACTCGATTTATAAATTGCGCAAAATGAGCTATCAAAATATGAAAAAACATTATTGAATTGCCAAACAAAGGATGTAAATAGTCATTAAAATATCATTTGATCATTAATCTTGGAAATCACATCAACTTTTATAATCATTAATTACAATGATAATTGTGTTTACTAAGCGTATTTTAAATGCTGATATTTGTATTTTGTGCCCACCTTATAACCTTGTGATTGTGATTAAGTTCAGTTTGGTTTCAATGAACAATTACTTTCATAGTTTATTAATAATTCACTAATTGTGTTCCTATTGAAAAAGATGATTAAACTATGTTTTCTGTTGATTTACACTGATTTGACTGATTTGACTGATTGACTGATTGACACTTTACACTTGATTTGGTACAAATCGATCAGCTTCGGCGATTAGCTTTGGGAAATTTTCAGCTGATAATATTAGTAATAGTAACCGTTTCCCTTAGCTCAATTTGACCAAATTGGTTATGGCCATTTTTCGAGTTTCACAATTATCGAAACTTATTGAAAACTTCGAACTGTTCGAATGGTTATTCAATATATTTCTAGTAGCCAAGAATGACTAACTATTATCTAATCTGTTCTTCCAATCAATTAGACAATTTTACTTCAAGGTCGATATACATAAATACGAACTAGAGGTTCTAATCGTTTCGATTTCATATTTATTTCGTTTTCGGCTTTAATATCGAAAATATCATCATGTTTCATGTTGAGATGAATTTCCCTTATAAACTTTTCATCGATTTAATTGTAGCTTTGCTAATTGTGCTTACGATAAAGAAACTTGTCGATTTCATTAAATATTATAACTGTTTCTTGAAACTTCCAAAGGATCTAATTGTACATTCTTATTGGGCGATTTACTTCACTTCATACCTGCTATTTGGGATCAGAAATTTTCTTCGGGTAAGTTTACTTATATTTTTTAATAGATTTGTTTTATTACAATAATGTGTAACAATCAAATCGACAATTATTCTTAATGTTAAATTAACCAACAGCTGCTGTGACCACTTATATGACGAAAAATGCTTCTCATCATCAAATCAAATCGGGTATACATGGAGGTTGGCTTGGTTGGTGGCCTATTATGATTCTACATGATTATAAAGCCACCGAGGTAAGTTAAGGTTTTCAGTTTATCCACGAACAGGTAACCGACAATAAACGAGATTAGCCGCACAGATTAAGTACCTAATCCACAAAAAAACTTGACTAGAAAGAAAGCTCATTGCTTATGTAAGGGGTCGACACTTCTCTCCTCTACTCTTATCTCTCTCTCACCCTAGTGGTCATCTTAATCTCTCTCTCTTCCACTCACACACACTTATCATCATTTCCTTTTCCTCTTTCTCACATATAAAAATTGTTGTTTTCTCTTCTCTCTTCAGTTAGTGTTTTCACCCTCTTCTCTTGATTAATTAATTAGAATTAATTGATGGGATAGTGAGCTTCGCTCCTAACCCGGTTAACCCTAATTAATATTGTGTTTCTTAATTACCCTAATTGTGCTTCTTTATTTATCTATTGATTTGTTTATTTCCGTTGTAAGTTAATTACTATTTTTGAGATAAGTCTCTTTGTGCATCTTAATTAATTAAAAATATTAAGTGTGGTAATTGTGTTGGTTATCTATCTCATTTTTATTCGTGTTAATTAATTCAAGTGTAGAGGTTGACATCGATAATTGAGCTTCGCTCTTATCGTTGTCAATGCTCATTTTGTGACCTTAACTTCATCCCCGTTGAGACCTCACACTTAGAGTGAAACTAACTAGATTAGTTTTTTATTCTCAGGTACTGGTTAGAGATAATGTTATACATAAACCCGTATTCTACAAATTCACTGGACTCAGAGAGGGTTTGATCTCTTCGGTTGGACGCAAATGGAAAATGAGACGAAAAATGATTGAACCTTTTTTCGTTAGCAAAAAGACAAAAGAGTTTGCAATGATTTCTGACAGTGTTTTTGCTCCAATGATAAACGGAAACGATTTCTGCGAAGAGGGAAAATATCTAACACTCGTCGAAAAACTTCATTCATCAACAGGTAACATTATTCTCAATGCCACCGCAGGTGTACCGATAGAAAAAGAACAAGAAGAGAAAAATTTTCTTAACAAGACTATGCACCTAATGGAAACGAACACGATGGCAAGAATATGCAATCCACCTTTATGGTTCGATTGGATTTTCAATGTAACCAAAGCAGGTAGAAAAACCGCCAAGTCGATGGCCAGATTGTATAAATTTCTTGATCGTTGTATCATACGGAATATTGACAATTCGAATGAGATTGATAAATATTATCAATCGGACTCGTCATCTTTAAATTTAGTCAAAATTCTGCTCACATCTAACAAAGGAAAAATCGATTTAGAAGGAATCAATGAAGAGCTGTTGACCGCAGTATCCGCTGGCTAGTGTTGCGATACCGATAGAAAGTATTGATTGAACATTATCGGTATTGTTGACAAAGTATCGATAATATTTTCAATATAATATTGAAAATATCGAAAAGTATCAACAATACAGGTATTGAACAGTATTGCTAATATTTTTGATTTTCTGATTCTATTTGGTAAATTTCTACATATTCTCAATTTTTCATTTTCTGAGTCAAATTCCTTTCAATTGCCTGGAAAAGTACTCGATACCGTTCACAAATTATCGAGTAATATCAATATCGATAATATTACTCGTTAAAAAAGTATCAGCGCAACACTACGCTGGACATGATAGTTCAGCTTTAACTCTAAACACTTTGTTGTTCATTTTGGGTAAGAAAAACGAATTGCATTCTATGAATAAGTATTTAATGTTGTTTCTTTTGTTTTTCCATTTCCCTTGTAGGAAACTATCCCGATATCCAAGAAAAACTGTACCAAGAGATTTCATCAATGTATGAAAAAAATGAATCGGTTAATGACATTGAAAAGGTTAAACATTGCGAGTATCTTGATAAGTGTCTCAAAGAATCAATGAGACTTTATCCTGTTATACCTTTGATAGCAAGAGAACTGGAGGAACCAATTGAGATAAATGGTTACAATTTGCCAAAAGGATCAATAATAATATGTAATATTTTAATGTTCATCGAGATCCTCGAATTTATCCCAATCCGACTCAATATGATCCAGAGCGTTTCGATTCATCAAATTTACCAAATATTCCTAAAGAAGCTTATATACCTTTCGGGATAACACCAAGAGTTTGTATCGGGTCTCGATTTGCATTAATCGAAATGAAAATTTTTCTAATTCATCTGATAAGAAAATATAAAATTTTCTCATCCAAGAAACTTGAAGATGTTTCTTTCGAAATGGATTTAACTTTAAAGCCTTCAAGCCCATTGGAAATTATGCTTCGTAAGCGAACCAACTGATCAATTTATCTTAATTAACAGTGAAATCCCCTAATCATCTTTTAAGTAAATAAGAAAATACATACAGCCATGTATAGTATATTCTCTCTGATTTTTGTCGTTCAATTTATTAAATACAAAAACTTATTGGTCAATTTATTTAGTAAAAAATAAACCAGGTAACAAAAAACGTTACGTTGTCTTATCCTTTTTTAAGATTTCAATTCATAATATGAATAATTAACTGTTTGAAATGAGCAATCAAAATATGAAAGAAACATTATTGAAAATCAGTTAAAAAATGAGGAGTCATTAAAATATCATTTAATCAAGATTCATGGAGATGACTGAAATACTTTTAAGATCAACAACTAATTTATAATTTGACTTTTGATTTGATTTTTTATAATGAATTTCCAACTTCTCTATCTCACTCAGTGATCAAAACATTGATTCAGAACTATGAATTCGAACGGTTAACCTTTGGATGACGCTGCAACTTATTAGTCATGATTAGACGCCATGTTAATGATAATTATTTTGATAAAATCATTAAAATATTCATTATTGTTTTTCGATCTTCAATCTTAAACATTGAAGTTAACAAATTAGCGATGATCACCAGTAAAAGTATTTACCTTATCCCAAGGTAATAGTTAGAAAAAAACAGTGAAAAAATAATTTTCAACTATTTAGAAGACAATCCTGTAAATTTGAGCGCTATAGAACTTAAGGCCTTTTAACGACAATAATTCAAAGTCAAAATGGCAACCGCTGAACAAGAGATATGGTCGAGTTTTCGTAGCTCGTTTTTTTTTATAAATGACCTCAAAAATAGCTGTAAACGAATCGAATTTTCTCTCTCGTCTAGATAAGTTCCCTAGTAATTGATAATCTTTATCATCAGTGATAAAACTTAGGTGATTTACTCATTGATTTTTCTTATCTTGATTGTTAATTTTAACCACTACCTGCGCGAATGATTAAAAACCATTCGAAACTCATTTTTCACGACTGTATACCTTTCGGAGTAGTTGCGAGAAACTGTATGTATGTAAACTGTAACAGTTAACTTTTAATTTACTTTAGTTTTGGCTAGATCATTAATTTTAAACATCGTAAATTGGTTGTTTTTATAGCCTTGATTAAATGATGATGATTTGACTTATTCAGATATTTCTAAGTATTGTAGTTTCGGAGATATTAGCCGACGAAGATCAAAGGCCACTCTCTCATTCCGGTAAAACTGTTGATCAAATGGAAAAAGTGCTCGATCCACGATGTTGGCCAATACTAGGATAGTCTCAAAAATAAGTTTCAGATCATTTTCGACACTTGGGACTAATCACCGTCCATTTATTTAAATACAACGGAATTGTGGCCGGAGCACTTTGGATATTTTTTTACCAAAACAAATTTAATTTTCTGTAAGGGCATGAAAAGTTGTCGATAAAATAAAATTCGGAATCCAATGTTCACCTCTTAACTCAAAACTAAAATTCGGTGACCATCCTCCTTATCGATTATTTCAACATAAATCAAGAGTCTAATTCATATTCTAATTGCTATGAATTATCTAATGTACAATCTAATTGTTGATCTTCCCCTCAGACAATCAAATCTAATCATATAAAAATCAATATCTATCAATCTACTTAAACTAATTGTTTTGAAAAAGTTTATCAATTTTATCAATACGATGTAAAATTTGTCACTAATGATTAAGAAAGTTAATTGTTCAGAAGCTAAATAACATGATTAATGTGTGGTGATTAATTAATTAAACGTGATTACAGTAACGAAAAGATGGTAAGATTTAAATTGCTGTTATTTGACAATTAAAAGAGTGAGAAACTTGACATCCAACCATTTAATCAACATACATGTAATAACAATAATATTGACAATCACATTCAAACAATATAGTCGTCATCTTTTTCTTACCTTTTTGTCAAGTAATTGTTGATAATTTAATTTCATGTTCATTTAATATGGTAAGTTAATTTAGTTAAGGCATTTTTAGAGTAAGAGTAACATTAATTAAGTACAAAACGTGTAAAACAGTGACACTGACAATTAACCTAATCAAACGTAGTATTTAAATTAATTGTCACTGTTTTTTTCGCTGTTAATTTAATCTTAAGCTTTCAATTTTTCATTTGTTTAATTAAATCATGATTAACTTACCTTTGATTACGTTTATATTTTTGATTATATCAACAAGCACAATCAACTCACTTCCAGGTAAATGGGCACTAATCAAATCAATGAATATGGTTACAATTAAGGTAAACAATTAAATTTTCTTTTAATTTTGTTTCTATTTATTTGTTTGTTAATAGTGATTAATGAGATAGACAATGATGTTAATGATGATCAGTTAATTACTGAAGTGATTACAAGTCAACAATCAAGTAAACCAATGGAGGATTTAAATCTATTTCTAGGAGATATTAAATTGCGAGCAAAAAATGATGATGATGATAAGGTAAGTCGACAATTAGATTTAATTGTTATCCAATACGAAATTATCATCATACATGTATAATATAACAAATTGATTCGTTGATTGTTTATGATTAGACATTACTTAGAAACGCAATTGTATTTGATGATAATATTTGGTCTAACGCTTATGTACCAATTGAAATTGATCCAAAACTAGGTTAGTTTATATTGTGTGATACGTAAAGTTAATCAACAACAATTAACTGATTTTCTATTCGAAACAATTTAGATGCAATATCGTCAATGATTGAAGAGGCACTAGATGAGTTCCATCAGAAAACTTGTATACGATTTAAGACTCGAATCGCTGAACATGCTTATGTTAAATTCATTTTCGGTGAAGGGTAAGTGATTCAAGTAATTTGTTAATTTTTTCAATCTAAATGTGAATCATTCTATGATTAGTTGCTATTCATTTGTTGGGAAAATTGGAGGACTTCAGGCAATTTCATTAGGTGATGGTTGTCATTGTAAAGGAATCATAATTCATGAGGCCATGCATGCTCTTGGATTTTACCATGAACACAACAGATCAGATCGAGATGATTATGTAACAGTTAACTACGATAATATACAATCAGGAGCTGAGTTTGCGTTCATTAAACTGAATCCACATGAGAATCGGCTCTACACAACTTACGATTATGGTGAGAGTTTACATTTGACTTAATTGTTAGAACCTTTTTTTCTTATATTTATCTTAATTGTTACAGAATCAATTATGCATTATGATGGAGCAGCATTCAGTAAATCAGCTAATCTATTAACTATGGTTCCCAAACAGGAAGGAGTTAATTTGGTTCATGCTTGCTATAAACCATTTCTATCAGTAAAAGACGTTGAGAAATTAAATCAACTTTATAAGTGTTCAAATTAGATTCTAATTGTAACAGCAATTAACTCTAAATACTTGTCTATGGGCCTATTTTTTACATTGACAACTTTAATTTAAATACTATTACTATTAATATTGATTGCTAATCTTTTATCTAATGATTTAATGTCCAATTAAAAGTTAATCAATTTTTTTGCATCAACATTTGTTTTTTACCAAATTACATTGTGTTTTAATTGTTGTGACGGTTGGTGAAGTAATTGTTACAATTTTTGCGTTTAATAGTTAATTAAATTATATTAGTTTAATTTTTTGGGTATTTTCTCAATGAAATTTCAGAATTAATTGTTTTTTCTCTCTGTTAATTGTTAAATAAATGATTAGATTTGATGATGATTTGTTTTTGCTCTCAACGCTCTGAATCCGGTTACATTAATATCAACCATTTGAATTGATCGTCCGCTGATTGTTTTAATTGTTGATGGTTGAAGTTGATGATTAAGATGATTAATATGATCATGATGTTCAGTCTTTTTTTTACCACAATTAGACATGGTAAATGTTGATTTAACGAGATCTCGGTCACGGGTTTGTCCATAGGCTCCTCCAACGTTTCCATTGTGACCATTGCCATTGGTCACTCGACGAGATCGTGAAGATGAACTGTCCAATCTTAAGAACCAGGAAAGTTTTGGATAAAGTAAACAAATGGCTTTACGAAATGAACCATTAGTTATCCCATAGATTAATGGATTAAGAGCTGAATTAGCCGATGCGAAAACTTGAGCCCAAAATTTAGCCTCCTCGTTCCAGGGTTTAACCTTTAAACAGTCAACGAAGAGAAATGTATTTAGACAATTAGTTAATCGTCAATCAACAACAATCAAAATAATATATATAGTTACCGAATCGACTGATTTGAATGCAATGAAACGGTAAAAAACGATAACTTGTAATGGACTCCAACAAATGGCCGAAGTGATTAGATAGATGAATAACATTAAGATCACTTTCCGTCGGTGTTTAATTTTGATACTATTCTCATCGGTGCTTATTTTATTCTCAAAGTTTTTCATCTTAGCGATAACCAGGCAATAAGAAAAGGTCATTATGAAGAGCGGTATATAAACCATAAACGCTAAAAGGACAAACATGTAAACATCAATTTTCCGACCATCGGTTTTACACCAAATCTAAATGATAATCAGAATGAAAAAAATTTCTCAGTTAATTGTCAAGTCTTTAATTGATTAAGAACAATTGATCGGCACCTCTAAGTAGTCACACCATTGACGGGTACGATATTCACGCCAAAATTAAAAGGGAATCCCGATAACGAAGGATAAAAGCCAAATAAAGGCCATAACGGCAACGGCTCGAGTTTTTTTCATCGGGTTTCTAAAAGGTTTGATTATCCCGATTAGACGATCACACGAAATCCATGTTAATGAGAAAACACTGCTGAAAAGATGATTCAAATTAATTCCGTACATTGATCAATCTTGATTATCCCCCAATGAATATTTTGAGTAATAATAATGATGATTTTTAAATTGTTACCAATTCGTTAACTATAATAACCTTTCAATTAAATTGATTTAATCAATTAGTTTGCATGTGAGATTGTCTCATATGAACATTTAACTGATTTAATTGATTACTCATGTAATTGTGTTTCTAATCAAATGTCTCCTTCGATTGATTGCGAGAATGAGAGTTAATTGTTGGTGAGAGAGAAAAAAGGTAAATCAAATTGAAAGATGAATAATTGATGAGCAATTTAAAACAAAAAGAAATCAACTAATCAACTAATCAACAGAAATGATTTAGTAAATTAAAAATAGACCAACAAGGTTGACACCAGATAAATGAGTTAACTATTATCACCCGGAGTCTGATGACGTAAATCTAACAGGTAAGTCTCATTAAGTTACACCAGTGTGAGTTAATTGTTAATTAAAACTAAATTAAAATGATCAACATTCACTTACCTTTAGCTGAGGTTTCAATTTTACAGAAAATTGGACCAAGAACATAATTTTGATAAAGATTTTCAATCAACGAAGCCCATGCAAACATTAGAGTGGTCAACAGGTCAGCAATTGCCATGTTACAGATAAACAGGTTGGTACAATTTCGAGAATTTTTGAACTTAATTATAACCATGACAATTAGATAATTACCAATGCAAGAGACGCCAATTATGATTAAGAAAATCAATGCCTTCAGGCTCATCTCTAGATACGTTTTGTGAACCCAAACAGTTTGCTGGCTTTGGTAAGAGATTATCGTTGTATTGTGAAGCCAATCCTCTGGACTCCCGGTAGCAAGGAAATCTAAACATTTGAATGGTGTTGATGATGATGATGATAAAGATGAGGATGAAGATGAGGATGAGTAAAGATCGAGATCGGTCAAGAGATCGTCCGAGTTCATTTAGGAATCAATGTTCCTAAGGTTCAGCGAAAAAAGTTTCCATATTCTTGATGAAAGGGAAACAATTAAGATTATTGTTCAACCCTTTTATTTGATTTTTGTTTTACTCGAAATTTAAATCAACAATTAGTTTAAATTGTTAATTCTTAAAATGCTGTTAACAGAAATAAACAATCCACACAAATTAGTAACAATTAAATACAATCAATAACGTTAGACAAAAATTAACATGAAAAAAGTTTAACTGAATCACATATTAAACACATTGATTAACTTTTCATTGGTTGATCAGGATCAATTGATTAAATTGCTTCAAGTGATCCGTTAATCCGTTTGGTATTATTATTATTATTATTATTATTATTATTAATTGTAACCAATGTTTAACAAATAGAAATAAAAATCAATACACTAATTACAATTAATAGTTGCACTTTTAGGTTTTAGATTTTAGTTGCTGTTGTATTTTGATGGTTTGTTTATTTCTGATTATTATTATTACTACAACAATTATCATTTGCTCATTGATTGATTATCGGGAATTCAAACCATGGGAGGGATGGGAGAGAGAGAGATAATTAGATTAGATTAATTGATTCAATTGCAATTTTTACAGGTATTACAATGGCACTTGATTCTAATTGCTAATCTAATCTATCTCTTATGTTAACTCTCTGGCTTTTAATCATTTTCTCGCTCTCTTCTAGTGATTAGTGATTAAATTTACCAGATTTTCATTGATTCCATATTATTAACATATCGTTGAAAGGTTTGGTTGGTTAATAACATTTGTAACAATTAATATAATTGATTTCTGATTGAATTTAAGTTTACAAGTATTACATAAAACAAAATTGATTTTCATTTTTCATTTGACATTATTAACTTAATAATTAGCAAATTTGTTTCTATAATATTTACATATGTTGATTATATTAATTGGTTAATCAATATTTAAGTTTTCTTTGTGGCAATTAGATTAATCAATTGATTTTGATCAAACATTACTCTTTCTAAATACTCTGCTGCATTGACTCGTTTCTCATATTTTCTTTCTCGAAGTATCATAATTAATAATCTATTGATTGATTTCTCGAGAAATTGTAAAATTTGATTAGCATGTTCCTGCTCATATGGAAAGCAAACAAATGAATTAAGTGTTGCTCGTAGTGTGATTGATGTTTCAAGTAATTGTTGATCAAGATGATTAACAAGAGTTATATTTTCAACGGCTCGGATCCTTTTAAGTGCATCAATTAGTTGGCCATCATTTAATTCATTTGAACATATTGTTATTCGAGTTGATTTAAATTGTTCTTTATCCAGATTACAAGTTTTCTTGTAATTACCAAGTATCCGTCCAATTTCACGGAAAACGTCCATTGAATGATTAAGTGATGGATCAGCAAATTGTGAGAAATAATTAACATCAGGAAACTTTTCATTCAAAATACTTGAGAGGTTAAATTGTTTAGATGATGAGGATGATTGATGCTTGTTAAATCTTTGGTATAACTCTTCAGTTACAAAAGGAATCAGTGGATGCATAGCAATTAAAGTTGATCGTATCAATTGGCCGCAAATTGCATGTGAAAGTGGATCAATAGGTAAATTGTTTCGAGGCTTAATCACTTCAATGTAAATATCGCAGAAACATTTAACCCAAAATTCAAAGAAATTACGATAAATATTACTTTGAGTAAAATTCTCGATATTTGAATGAAAATCTTTGATAAGAAGATAAAATTGACCCAAAATCCATTTGTCAAAGGGATTCATTTGATCCAAGTAATTAACTAAATCTAATTCCGAATTAACCTGGATTGATAAGTTTCCATGGGAAGTTTTTTCTTCCGAATGGATTAGATAAAATCTAAATGCTTGCCAAATTTTGTTAACCATATGACGATTAGATTCCAAATAATTAACACCGAATGATATTTTCTCAGAGGTTGCATTATATTCATATAAACTGAATCTTAATCCATCGGAACCACAGGGAGCGATTCCTTTAGGGAATAATGATTCTTGTGTTGTTAAAGCATTTTCATATTCTTCCTGATTCAGAATTCCTTGTTGATATAATTTCTTTGATTCAGATTGTAATGATTTTAAAGTAGTTCCATCGATAACATCAATTGGATTGATAACATTTCCTTTGCTTTTGCTCATCTTTCGTCCTTTACCATCACAAACCATTCCATGTAAATGAACCTTTGGAAAGGGTAATTGTCCAGTAAGATAGAGTGACAAAAGAGCCATTTTCATGACCCAAAAAGTGATTATATCAAATCCAGTTTCCATTAAGGTTAAAGGATAAAACTTTTGAAAATAAAGTGACTCTTTATCAGGCCAACCAAGAGCGGAAAGTGGAAGTAGTGCCGATGAAAACCAGGTATCTAGTACATCGTTGTCTTGTTTAAGGTCAATTTCATTTGTACCAAAATGTTGAGATGCTTTGAGAAACGCTTCTTCCTTGTTTGTACCAATAAACCAAATTGTCGAGCCTTCGGAAGGTGAAACTGACCAGGCAGGAATACGATGACCAAAAGGTATTTGTCTTGAAAGGCACCAATCTCGCTTCTTGTCAAACCATTCGGTTAACAGTTTCACCTTTTTTGGTGGAAAAATTTTGAAAGATTGATTGTCAATATGATCTCGCAACATATCGTAACCTGGTTTAACATTTAGAAACCATTGAGGCATAATACGATGTTCGATAACGTCCTCAGATCGTTTACAAAAAGGTACAATTGTTGCTTGTTTTTCACAGCCGGCATATAAATTTGCGCCCTTCAATACATTGATTATCTCACGAGCGAGATCATAACGATGTGAACATTTATATAATTGATCAAATTGCGGTGAAATTGTCCCTTCTATTAAGGTTCCAGTTGGAGACATGAAATTTTCTATTGGAAGATTATATTTGCAAGCCAGTTCATAATCGGTGAAACATGATGAAGGAGTAATTTTAACAGCACCAGTACCGAAATCAATGCGTGCATGTTTGTCGGTAATAATGGGAATTGGTTGACCTGTTATGGGATTCAAAACTTTCTTTCCGTGATATTTAGTATATCTAGAGTCTTCCGGGTGGACAATAATTGCTACATCTCCTGGAATCGTGTAGATGTTCATGGTTGACACTGAAATCGATTCCCCTGGATTACCATCGACAACAGGATACATGACAGTGTGGAAAAGACCAAAATCAACCTTATCAGGATAACCAGGTATCGATAATTTCGTTCCACCTTCAATAGGGCGGAAGTTCACCTCTAAATCAGATAGAGCAGATTGCATAAAGTACGACCAGTTAACTGGGAGATTGGAACGATAGATCAACCCCTTTTCGTGTAGAATTGAAAATGCTTTATTAACGGCACTGGAAAGATTAGAATCCAATGTAAAATACTCTTTTCCATAATCGAGAGAAGATCCCAAGCGATCTAGTTGACCTTTAATTCCAGCGATTCGATCAATTTTCCATGAAGAGAAGATAGCTGAAAATTCATCTTCACTTAATTCACTGATGCTTTTACCTGAATTCAAGGAGAAATGGTGTTAATTTGCATTATATTCTCTGTCATAATTATATAATTTACCCATTGATTTACGGACAGTTTTATCCAAAACAAGGTAGGTAGATATTCCAGCATGATCGAAACCAGGAATAAATGTTATATCGGCATCAGAGAACATCCGTTGATGGCGGATAAACGAATCTTGTAAGGCCACAGTTAAGGCATGTCCTAAATGTAATTGACCAGTTATATTAGGCGGTGGAAAGAGTAGTGAAAATGATTGACCAGATGAATTACCAGATGATCTGGTAGCTGATAAATTGTTTACTTTCCAATAGGTTGACCATATCTCCTCATATTCTTGAGGATTAGGAGTTAATCTTAAAGGTTTATCAAGATCTAAACAAAAAGAAAATTAGAAAAAGAAGACAGAGAGACAAATTAATCGCAACAAATAACTCTAAATAATTAGTAAAAGAATAAAATTTTTCTTCTCAAATTAAGATTAACACACATTCTAATATGTACTCACATTGATGAATAAATTGATTAAAATCATGGATTGACGATGATAGAAAACGTTGACAGTAAATTGTACGAAAAGGTAATCTAAATCTAACCGACTGTCGCCCTCCAAGACAACAAACACTAATCATGATGGTAACAATTAACTCACAATCAACATCAACATCAGTTCAATTCCCAATCACATGTAAGTTGTTTACATGACCAACACAGTTTATCCTCGGCGCCATTTTTAACTTGACCAGATCATTTCGGTTAACCGATAAAAGATCAATTCCAAATCTAAAGTGTAACCATAAAAAGCAACCATATTCAATAACCACAAAGTTATCATGAAACAATTAAATTATTCTAAACAATTAGTTGATTCCAATTAGAAATGTAAATCATATCTTACAACCAAAAAAAAGACCAGAAAACTTTTGCGCATGCGCAAAGTTTGTTTTTATCAATTTGTTTGTCAATTTTTTCATATTTTCTTAGTGTTGTCAATGTTTATCTTTATATTTCGTTTAATTGTTTTCGACGATTTTTAATCACTTTTAACTAATTGTTAGTCTAATTCTTTTTTAGAATTGAAATCTCTAAACTGTTAATCAAATGTGTTTCTTTAGTCAAGTTGGATTTGTTTTTATCCATTCACGTAATCTGAGAATTTTGTTTCATTCTCTTCAACGTTAATCGTTACATGTTTGTTGTTGCTGTTAAATTGTTGTTTCTTCTTGACAATTTAATCTAATCTACTTTGATTTAATTTTCTATTTTAATTAAATCAATAGCAATAACAATTATGTCTACTTTATGATTCCAAGAAAACGAGATTTTATCTCCTCCTTGGTAAGTTTGTTTCTATTTCTTTATATCTTAATGTCAACTGATTTTCTTTTTTTTGTTTTGAGAAAATTTTCTTATTCAACCGGCTAAGTTTTATAATAGATTTTAATTCAATTTGATTTATTAATTTGGACTTTTTTTTCATACCTTTTGTTGATTATTATTAAATCATTTTCTTTGTCTTGGTGTAATTATTGGGTTTCTTTCACCAGATATTTTTCATTCAAACATCCACAGGAAACTGGTTCTAATTAATACTTTTGACAGTAATACCTTTGATTAGGTTGAAAGAGGAAGTTCAATTTTTTGATTGTTCATCAGCTTAATGATCATATTTCTGAAAATGGTTGAAATTTAGCTTAACGATTCACTGGATGAGCAGCTTATCATGTTAATCTTGTATTCGTGTGTTTATTGAATAATTTAAGTTACTAATTAGCTGATGGATAGTTAATGAGGTATTAAAAATATTACCTGGAAATCAAATTGTCTCAATTGTAATAATGATTTTATTTTCTTCCTCATCTTTAGGCTACTATTTGGTTCCATGGTGAAATTTTCCTGACGATTGGATAAGACTCTTGATAATCTTTATGAACTTATTATAATTTATCAATATAAATATTCCAAGATGTCACCTATTAGTATTCGTTCTCACCACGGTTCGATTAATTGTTCGGCTTCCAGAGAAATGGATCACATAATTAGTCGATTGGAACAAGGATCAATGTTAACTAAATTCTATCCCAAAGGTAAACCTGAGAAAAGGTTTTTCTGTTTACGTCGAAATACTCGAGAACTTGTTTGGTTCAAGTCCGTTACTGAACGAAATATTGAAAATTATATTGACCTGAGACACGTTAAAGAGGTCAGAATTGGACCAGTGCCAAAGATATTTGAACGTTGGCAAGCTGATGCTCGTAATTGGCAAAAGGGTCAGTGTTTGGTTATCCTTTATGGTCAACGATTTAGGTTGAAAAATCTTTCCTGTGTTGCCATGTCCATAAGTGAATGTGAACAATGGGCTCGAGGGATTCGCTATTTAACCGAAGAAACTCAGAATAGTTCATATTTGATCCACATAAATACCTGGTTAAATCGTGAATTCACCTCACTGGTCGGCCGTCAAGCAGCTCTAACACTCAACAAAGATCTCAAACCTTTTCTATCAAAAATCAGCTGTAAGGTTTCAACCGATGAATTAAAAAGATACTTCACCCAAGTTGATCTACAATCGTCAAGTGAAATATCATTTGGCTCATTCTGTAAACTATATCGAGCCATGATTGACCAACGGCGCATCTTTGACAGATATTTTTCCAAATACTCACTTGATTCTCGGACAATTGGTATCAAAGAGTTTGTACAATTTGTAAATGACCAATGGCTACCAGAGACTGATGATCGTATCGATGAGAAAATAGGTTCACTAATTATGAGGGAATTTCTTTCAAATGCTCCAAGAAACCATGATAATCAATCCTCAACACCTTCATCATCCCAGTCACAATCTTTTCCCCATCATCATCATCGCCATTCATCCAAAAATAAACAATCAACAAACCAACAATCAGAAGAAATTTACTTTTCTATCGATGAATTTATGAATTATGTTTTCTCCAAACATAATCAACTTTGGGATAAAAAATATGATCAAATTCACCATGACATGAATCGCCCATTGACTCATTATTGGATCGCTTCATCTCATAATACTTACCTGACCGGCGATCAGATCAGAAGCGAATCGTCAATCGATGCTTATGCTCGTTGTCTACGAATGGGCTGTCGTAGTATCGAACGTGAGTTTTCAACAATTAACTAATAGATTCAAATATTTACTTGTTCTTTTTCAATCAAATTTTCTCCTCATAGTCGATTGCTGGGATGGACCAGATGGACTACCGTTAATTTATCATGGACACACAATCACCACTCGAATTAAGTTCACCGATGCCGTTCAAACAATCAGAGATCATGCTTTCGTTAAATCTGATTATCCGGTTGTCTTATCCATAGAAAATCATTGTTCACTCTCACAGCAAAGGAAAATGGCTCAAGTTTTCATTGAAATACTCGGAGGTATAATTAAATATCTATACACTCATTATCAAATCGCAACAATTAGCTGACAATTAAATAATTTCCATTTTCAGATCATCTACTTACTCAACCAATCAACAAAGATGAAACCAAAATGCCATCGCCTAATCAATTGAAACGGAAATTTATCATCAAGGTTTGATTGTTTTATTTTTTCAAGTTCGATTGATTTTCTAATTATCTAATTTAATTATCAACTCCTATTATCAGCACAAAAAACTATCAGACAATGGAGAGCCTAATCTATCACTGAAAAGTTCCGATAATAATAATCAAGATATCGACGTTAATACATCAATTAAAAGTGGAATCTTATATCTCATGGATGATTCATCGAATCGGGTAGGTGTGTAGGGACTTTAGAATTGGTTATATTAATATTTTCAATCACAATTAGATGATTAATATGCTAAGTATCGTAATTATTTTTATCTTGTTAATTGTTACCACAGGAATGGAAACCTTACCTATTCATGTTAACCAATACGAAAATGTATTATGCTCAATGTGAGCAAAATGCTGACGATGAAGATGAAGGTGAGGATCGATTATCAAATAAAATTGATTCTTCTGGACCAAAATCAAATGATGAGCTTCATTTTGGTGAGAGATGGTACCATGGACGATTACAGGGAGGTCGACAACAAGCTGGTGATTTACTTGAGAAGTATTCACATTTCGGTGATGGTACTTTCCTTGTTCGAGACAGTGACACTTACAATGGTGATTATTCATTATCTTTCTGTTGGAAAGGAAGAGTTAACCATTGTCACATTAAAACTCGCCAAGAGAATACATTTAAAAAGTATCGGTTAACCGATGATATTGAATTTGATTCATTGTATAGTTTAATTACTCACTATCAATCGCAACCCTTAAGCTGTAAAACAGAAACACTTTTCCTAACCGAACCGGTACCTCAGTTAAAAGGTCACGAAAGTAAAGATTGGTACCATTCATCGATAACCCGACCCAAAGCGGAAGAGCTTTTGAAACAAATTCAAGTTGATGGATTATTTTTGGTTCGGCCAAGTGAGAAAGAGGACTCATGTTTTGCCATTTCCTTTCGAGCGGAAGATAAAATCAAACACTGTCGCATACGACAAGAGGGACGCTTGTTTATCATGGGAAGTGCGAAATTTGAAACACTGGAAGAGTTGATTAAATGGTATCAAAAGTATCCCTTATACAAGAACGTCAAACTTAAATATCCAATTAGCGATGATTTTAAAAACGGTTTCAAGGTAAATCTCAAAGTAAATTGTAATCGTTTCAATCAACTAATGTTAACTTTACAGAATACAGAAAGTGGACTCATGTATGGATCTGAAGGATGTTATTTAGACCCGAAAAATTGTTCGTCGGGTTTAACAGTTAAAGCTCTATTTGATTACCACGCTCAGAAAGAAGATGAACTTTCATTTTGTAAACACGCGATCATTACGAACGTTGTAAAAGCGGATCCCTGTTGGTGGAAAGGTGATTATGGTGGCCATGAGAATCACTGGTTTCCAGCTAATTTTGTTGAAGAAATCGAACCCAATGATAATGTGAGTTCTATGCGATATTTGATTGCTTTTCTTACTAATTGTCTCGATTTTAACTCAGTGTGAGGAATCGATGCCTATTGGAAGTTTACAAAAGGGCAGTATCGATATTGTTGAATGTTCGGTAACTGCATCATCGTCGCCCGTTAATGGGAAAGAATGGGTATTCAAATTTGTTTCACCTTCGCAAGTTGAACCGATTGAAATTTCGGCCTCATCAAGGGAGGAAATGATTGACTGGATTCAATGTATTCGTGAAACTGCTCAATTGACTCATCAAAAGGTATTGAGTCTTTTTCTTCACCTTTGATTGTTCACCTTTAATTGTTATTTATATTTTTATTATTTAAGATTTGCCAAAGTAAAGAGATTGAAAGAAAGGAAAGAATCGCCCAAGAATTGTCCAATTTAATCATTTATTGTCGATCAGTTCCCTTTGTGCCTGAAAGTAAGTTTCTAATTGTGACAATTTAATTGTTGGTATTAACTTATTTTTCTATTATTTTTCAATTCCAGAAATTGGCAATTTTACCGAAATGTCTTCTTATCCAGAGACAAAGGTCGAAAAGTGGCTTAGTCCACAGAACTATGTGTTCTTTAATGGACTCAATCGAACACAATTTAGTCGAGTCTATCCTGGCATGAGACGAATTGACTCATCTAATTACGATCCAGTTCGTATTTGGAATGCGGGTGTTCAAATGGCTGCTCTTAATTATCAAACACCCGATCGTCCCATGCAACTGAATCAAGGTAAATTTCTGGAAAATGGAGGTTCTGGTTACTTGTTAAGGCCAGAATTTATGTTCGAGGAAGGTTTCGATATTTACAAGGCACCGAAAATAAATCCTGTCACATTGACTATTCGAGTGAGTTGTAATAATATAATTAATAACTCGATAAAACTTTGAATATAATCAATTTTATCTCATTCAATTAGATTATCGGTGCTCGACATTTAATGAAAAATAATCGAGGAAACATCAGTCCGTTCATTGAGGTTGAAGTTATCGGTGCTGATCATGATTGTCATAAAGTTAAAACTCTAACATGTCGTAAGTAAATCAATCAATTAACTAATCAACGATCTAACTAAAAGTTAATTACTTTCTTTAAGCTGATAATGGTCTCAATCCTTGTTGGGAGGAAAGTTTCGTCTTTGATGTTTCGTGTCCAGATTTGGCCTTAATACGATTCGTTGCTTATGACGAGGACAGTTTTGGTGATCCTAATTTCGTCGGTCAGGCCACTTATCCGTTCAATTGTTTACGAAGTGGATTCCGAAGTGTTCCCCTCAAAAATGAATACAGTGAAGAGCTTGATTTATCATCTTTGTTAATTCATTTGGAAAAAAATGCAAACGAATTGGCTCATTAACCAGGATTCATTTAATTCAACAATCAATCACCAATAAGCATTTCCAATCTGATTTAGATTATTTATAAACAATCAACTCAAATGATTCCTTGGATGGTTAAAATAACTGTACTTTCCAAATATTAGATTGTCCATTTAACCTTCCAACAAATTGATTAATTATTTTCCCCACAAAAGTGACGATAAACTTGTTGAAAGATATTTGAAAACTTTTATTCACATAAACAATTAAACTAAATTAATTGATTTTAATACTTTGAAACAATTTATTAGCTCATTTATTTACAGATGATTGTACAAGATTTTTTTTCACCTCTAATGGAAGCTATTTAATAGTTAAGCAAACCCAAAAGGAATTGAATTAAAGAGATCAATTTGATTTTGATTGGCTAGAGAGCTTGATTAGGACATGATTAGTAATTAATTAGAGATATAATTTAGAATGAGAGAGGGAGAGAGAATCAACTTGGAGAGATAAAGAGGCAGCTAAGAGATAAATAGATAAAATTTCCAGATTCAATTAGATGAATCACTTAATTGTTTGTGGGTTTCGATTCTTTTAGTTTTCATCTTTGTCATGTAATAGTTTCAAATTTAAATTTCCTAGATAATTAAATAGATGTCTGAGCTTGTACATCCTTTATAATGTATTCAACAACATCGGTTGTGTTGTAGGTTCCACCAAGATCGGGTGTATGAATTTTCTCAATGTTCAGAACTTTGTGAATAGAATTGCGTATCACAGTTGCATGATAATCTAATCCCAAGAATTCAAGTAGATCAGCAGAAGCGTTTATCATGGCCAAAGGGTTAGCGACATTTTTACCAGCCACCGATTTACCAGTGTTTCGGGTTCCAGTTTCAAAGACTGCATGTTCAACGCCGTAATTACGACCTGAAGTTATTCCTGGACCACCGACAAGTCCACAAGCGATATTGGTGAGGATGTTACCGTAAAGGTTTGGCAGAAGAAGAACATCAAATTTATGAGGATTCGAAACCAACTGAAAATTGAAGAGAAACACAAATAGATTAAGATTTTTCCTAATGAATCGAGAATAGAATTTTCTTTTTTTGTTTCTTTTATAATCTAATAGATGTTTACCTGCATGGAACAATTGTCGATAATAATGTTGTCGAACATGATATCGGGATATTCTTTAGCAATTTCGGAACAAGTGTTCAGAAATAGACCATCGGAAAGTTTCATGATGTTCGCCTTGTGAACTGCAGTTACTTTTTTACGATTATTTTTTCGAGCATAATCGAAAGCATAACGGGCAATTTGTTCTGATTTATTGGTGGTGATAATTTTTAGACTTTCAACCACACCTTTAACATTCTCATGTTCTAAACAACTGTATTCACCTTCAGTGTTTTGACGAATCAGAACAATATCAATATTCTTGTGGCGCGTATTGATTCCGGGTTGACTTCGACAGTGAATAACATTGGCAAACAGGTTCAATCTTAATCGAAGTTCAACATTACGAGATCTAAAATTTCGACTATGTTCACGGGTTTCAATGTTCCCTTTTAGAGCGACACCATTTCGTTTGATTGCGATAACAGCTTCATTGATATGCTCAATATCTTCATGAGTAGAATCTAGATTGAGCTCTTCAAAGTCAACTGGAATTCCACCAGCCCTTTAATAAATAGGAACAAAGAAACACAAAAAAATTAACCTTAAACAATCAGATTAATTGAATTACAAGCTAAAATCTCACTTGAATATCGTTTTGACATAAGACATCATCTCAGGGCCAATTCCATCACCAGGAAGCATAGTAACCATAAATCTACCCCCATACTTGGCTTTATAGTTATTACTATTTGTAGATTGGAAACATTTTTGTTGGCACTGTGTTCCTACAATAGCACCAGGTAACTAATAATAATTATAAATATAGAGAAATTAATTAATCACAGAAACGAAATGAAAATCAAAATGAAAATAAAATAAAAAAGGAAAGAGGACAAATTGAAGGTTCTCTTAACTTACCTTTAGAATACCATTTGATGGTAGGCTTTTAAAACTATTCACTAAACCTCCGGAAAAACAATGTTTTAACAATGACATTTTTAATTTTGTCTACTAATTAACTTTTAAATAACAACAATCTAATACTAACAACGAAAATAACAAAACAAAAACAAAAATTTTTTCCAATTCCAAAGTCACTTAGGAAAACAATCCAATCCAAGATACTTGGATATCTGATCCTGGAAAAAGTAAAAATCCCAAGGAGGGAAAACTGAGAATTCGGATCAGCCAAAAGTAATCAAATTAACTAATTAAAGATTAACTGATCAACTTAATCACTTTCCTCACATTCGAAATTAAATCACTAACCAAGTAGAAAGAGGTAAAGATTTTCATACTCTCTAGAGTATCTGAATCCATTGGAAATTAGTTAAGAGTTGATTGTTTAATTGTTTAAAAATCTCGAAATTGATTAATCAATTTTTTCTTATTTTTTTTTTAATTGTAATTATAATTATCGAAATGGAAAAATGAGTATAATGATCGTTTTATTGATGAGAAATGAATAGTTGTCTTTGGGAGTTGGAAGGAAATTAATTAGATCAACAATTAGAAATTGAATTCAATTATTTGAAAAGTAATTTTAATGATTTATTTACATGAGAGATTTTGAAACAATTGATTTTCAATGAAACTTTTTGCTAGGATATGAATGGATAAATGAAATGACAGAGAAAAGCAATTAACGAGGGAATGCTAATTTGTTGAATTACTAATAGAAAATAATACAAAAAGAAACAATTAGCATCCCAATTAAACTTTCTCTCTTGATTAATGTTAATTTCATAGTCTTAATTGTCGGAAGGATGGAGCAAAAAATGACCACAAATTTTTGCTCTAAAAAATGTTACAAACGGTTTTCCTTTTCTTTTTATCATTCTTATTGTTAATTGTTGGATTTGTGGTTGATTGAGTTCGTTTCTTTTTGTAAATCTCTTTCATTAGGTAATAAAATATCGTATCGACGTTGGCGCGAGTCTTAGCACTTGTTTCAAGATATGGCACATTCCAGGAATCGGCTAACGCTTGAGCCTCTTCTTTGGACACATTTCGCTTCTCATCAAGATCGGCCTTATTTCCGACCAGAAGAAAAGGTATCGATGATTCATCACCTTTAACTCGAAGTATTTGTTCACGAAATTCGTGTGTGGCAGCGAAAGATTCACTTTCCGTTATTGAGAAAACACAAAGAAAACCTTCACCCGAGCGGAAGTAATTGTCTCGTATCGCTGCATAATCTTCTTGACCAGCGGTGTCCAGTATATCGACCATAACAGTTTCGTCATCTACATGAGCCTGTTTTCGATAAGTATCAGCTTTGGTCGGCTCATAATCTTCAACAAACTGAAAAAATAGAGAAAAAAGAAACAATTAGTTAATCAAATGAGATGATTTCGAAAATTTCTCCAACAATTTAAACTCATAGTTAATTCCTCTCACTGGAATTGATTGATTGATTGATTGATTGAGGATTAGAACTTCAATTGTTTCAACTGATTGTTGATGGAACATAATTTTCACAATCAAATTGCTTTTCCTTTGTAATCATCATCTTAATATCATATTTAGCTTAATAATCAAATTGTTAATGTATAATTTAAATTGTGAAAAAGTTAATCTTCTCAGTGATGATGATATGATTATGATAATTAAAACACTCCCTTAATCACTGGACTATAATTTATAAATAGTTGATCATTTAAACTTAAATAACTTGATAATCAAGTGATTATCTGTTAATCAGATTGTTGCTGATTAATTTACATTATTCAACCAAACAAATCATCATTATAAAATGAATACATTGATTATCTAAATTTGATTAGTCAAGTCATCGTTAATCAATACTGATCATGATAATTGAATTATCTTCTCAACATTTAACTGACCTGATTTAATTTAAGCACAAATCATGATTGAAATTAAATTTCCCTTTTATCGCCAACAATTTATTTCCAATGTTTTTAATTGTGTAATAAGATAATCATAATACAAATTAAACAGTTAATTTTAATTGTCATGATTATCATTAACCTTTTTTTTTACTCCTAAATTGTTAATCTAATGCTAATCTATTTAAAGATACAACAATTTAAGTGTAGTGATTAACATGTTGATTAAATTTTCTGGTTTAAGTGACTTTCAATTTCAAGTTAATTCAGTTAACAAATTTAAATGAAAAAGTTAATTTTTTTTATTCATTATGATGATCTAGGCTAATTAGAGTTAATTATGATTAGTCTCCCATGAAATGAATAAACAGTTAACTAAATCACATTTAGTTGATTGTTGTTTAACCAACGTAAATGTTAATTTGATTGAAAATAACTAAATCAACAAATACAGAAAGACAAACGGAAAAGTAATCAAAGTTAATTGTTATTCAATATTGTGAATACAGTTAAATGAATGACCATTGAATAAGTTGATTATAATTAACTGGTTAATCCATTAATTGTTAACGTACAAAGTTTTTGAGACAAATGAGAAGCACAATTTAATGAAAGGGCAGAAAACAATTAAACTGATTGGGATGAACACAATTTGTTAATGATGAATGATTGATGAAAATTGATTTACAGTTGATCATTGTTATCGTTAATTGTTACCGTTGAGACAATTGAATCTTTCTTGATCACTTGCGATTCTAAAGGTATATTCATTTGGGTTGGACGACGAGGTCGTTGATTAATAACATCGTAATTAAACAATGATGATGTTGATTTAATTGTTTCATCGGCTAATGATGAAACTTGATCATCGTTTTTATCACAACCAAATAGGATGTAAAAAAAGTAACAACATCCGAAACAATCAACACAATTAAATCCAGGCCAAACTGGCTTCCATTTTGATGATCTTCTTGATTTAATTGTTTCAGGCTCATGATTAACTTCATCTTCATTATCATCATCATCTTCCTCATCCTTAATTTCATCACCATCATCATGATAATCATTGGCACTTGGACACTTATCGTTTAATTGTTCATTACACTGATCCATTGATTAAACTTTCTGATGGTTGCCAGTTAATTTGGACAATTAAAACCACTATTTTGATCACTATCTTGATTATATTGTTCACAATCAACTGTTGATTATCAAATGGTAACACTATCAAACTATTGTAACATAATGGGTGTAAAGATAATTGTGTAATTAATCAATTAATTATATTGTTTGTCATATTTAGGACTCAAATAATATAACAGGAATCAGGAGGGAAAATGTCAAATCATTTAATGGTTAATTTTTCACAATTTAATTTAATTTAATTTACAACTGTGAAAATGTCAATGTAATCTATGTATTAGAGGGCAACAATTAGTTAATCATTACCTTTCTTGTGATTAGCAAGTTAATCATATTGATGATTCTCAATCGCCAATAGGAAATGTAAATTGTTTCCTTGATCAGTTAATCAGTTGAAAGATTAATAAAAAAGATTTGATTAACTATCGAAATTGAAAAAAAAAGTTTTAATCGAATTTTTTTTTGTTCTAAATTTTCAATAGATTATAGAAACAATTAAATTTGATTGTTATCTATTAACATTCTTTTATTATAAAGAATTAAATTGTTGTTAATTGTTGTTTTCGTTTCCACCGTTATCATAGTACAATCAACAGTTTGATTAATCGTGAATTTAATTTCAATAGATAATGAGTTTAACTAATCATAGAAAAGGAAATGATTGATATTAATTGTTGAGAGTTTTTTTTATTAATTGTAAATTCAGATTGAATAAGTGGTTTATCACTCCACCCTTAAATTGTGATCAATAAATTGCTCTGATCATTAACTAAATCACACCTAACACACCTAATCAAAATTAAGGTGAAATCTTTTCATTACAATCAACAATTTATTAACTTAAACACTCAACCTTTGATTAGATTTTGATTTCTTTATCTGATAATCAACCTTCACTTAATTGTTGGGTAAAAGTTTCAAATGATTAACTCAATGGATAATGATTAGGTCAAGAAACGTTGTCACAAAAAGAGTTAATTAACAACACAATTAACTTCCTGGTGAATTTGCCAAACACAAATTAATCAACAATCAAGGATCAGAATCGTTTGATTTTCATCACAATTGAATCTTTTCAAATCAAACAAGAATCACAATCAATTTGATTATGTTACAACTGTTAATTGCTGTATGAGAAAGACAGAAAATAAAGTTGATTGTTTCAAGACAATTAGTCAACATCAATGTTATTCAAATGATTAAGTTTCCGAGAAATTAATTGTTAACAATATGTAATTAAATTCAATTGTTTCTCATAGATTTTATTTTCTCATATACAATCATCATCATCATGGTAAAATTAATACTTAATTAACCTTGAAATTTATATAAATAAATTTAGAAGAAATTTTTTTAATTGTTCAACAATCAAGTTAAATCTTAACGAACGACAAAAAGTCAAAATAATGACAATTGTGAGAGTTAGTTAACCTAAACACTTTGAAGATGATGGTAAAAGTGTAACAATTTACTTACAATTAACTAACAATTAACATGTTCATTGCGTGTTACCCTTTTAAATTGTTACACAGTAATCATCATTACTATTCAAGTGATTAAGTTAATTGTTTATACAAATGAAAGATGAACTGAAACCAATTAATTTAATCCAACATTTGATAGCATCTTTTTTTTGGATTATCACAACATCACAACAATTAACTTGATAATTTTCAACAATAAAATGATTACTTTGAGTTACAGTAACAATTAAGTATCGATTGAAACAATTGATATACTCAACTGATGATCCCTTCAAGGCAAACAACAATTAAATTGTTACTGTAACAATTAACTGAGTGTCATGAGTTTTTAATTGTTATGTTATATTTTTAATCATTAGAAATGAAAATCTTTCCAATTTTCAAAATTGATTCAAAATTATTACAATGGTTTATAATATAAATGTAACTGATTGAAAGTCAATAATACTGATTGATTGACCATTTCAAAATCAATAATACAATTGAGATTATGATTCAGCTGATTAGTTGTTGATTAAAGTTAATCACCACCATCATGATAATATAAGTTAATCAAGTTTCATTTCTTGTTTCAATTTCATTTCAACTTTCAACCGGTTTCCGATTCAAGGTTAATTTAAACAACTTCAGGTCACAATTTAAGTTACTATTAATGACGATCAAGTTAATCAACAATTAGTATTTACATATAAATATAAATTTCTCCACTAATTGGTAAAAAAATAGCGGAAATGATTAACATTTAAATTCCTTTTATTCATTTCATGATTAATCATCATGATCCTCATCAAATTGTAACAATCAGGGTAAACACAATTTAGACAATAATCTTGATTGAAGAAAAACAAAACTTTAACCCAAATTAATCAATTGAACATAATCAAAGACGGAAATTACAATTTACCAATGATAATATTTAAATCAAGATAATGACATTACCTTTTCCGGTTAATCATTAGTAACTAGGTAACAACAATTTAATAATGATGATAATGTTGATTATATTATCAAAAAAAATTAGGGTCACTTTTGATAAACATTGTTAATCATTGGTTTAGCCTAATTGTTGTTGATTTAATTGTTGATTGTAAGTGTAACGTGATTCTGATTGGTGATACTAATTTAATCTAATCAAATTAAGTATAAATTTAGTTCTCGATGAAACCTTGATTGCGAATGTAAATTAAACAACAATTAAGAAACGAGTAACAATCACTCCAGCTCTTAGTCTCTGATAACAATTAACGTAATTAACAATTTCCAAGGTTTCATGATAACAATTTGAAACAATTTACATTTAATAATAATACAAACGGGAAAACCTAAACATAATTAACTGATTGTATTATTAAAAAAATTTGGTTATCATTATTATCATTGAAATCAATAAATCTAAATTACAATTGGCAGTTGGTTAAATTTGATTATAATGATTGAGAAAATTAGAAATGAATGTAATCAAATTAAGTTACGAATTAATTATTTGGATGAAACTTTCGATTCCATGAAATCGGTTCAATAGTTTCAGGTCACTTTTATCAACGATAACAAACTTATCCAATTGTTGTGACAACATTGAATCGATAAGATAACAAGATGAAAATTATACAATCAAGTTGATCTTCAATTGTCAGATTAAAGTGATATAATGATGGGAAACTTTGATTAACCTGAGATTTGATTAATCTTAATCTCATCTTCTCTTAATCATCATCATTATGTTGCTTATTTTTTGTTCATTCCCTTGTCATAACTTATCGGTTGATTTAATCAATGTGACCTGGAATTTGTTGATCATTTTTCAAATTTTTTGACAACAAAATGAATCAAATCAAGGTTGTTTACCATGATCATCATCATCATCATCATCATGGTAAACCATTAATTCAGTTGATCAGATTTAGAGATGATAACTTGTAATTTCAGTTTTACATGAAAAAAAAAGTATCACTTGATAATCAAAAGTTATTATTAAATTGTTGATGATATTCAAATGCTGGAAAAAGTTGAAAAAGTTTTCAATCGTGGTAACAGTTAGTTGATTAATGTACAGTAGTTAGATGATTATTTAAATTGTATTATTAATATTTAATTGTGTAAGGGGAAAATTTGATCTTCTTGTTGACGAATTAGTTGTCATCTTAATTGAGATGATTGTGATTACAATTTAGACTGATTGTGATTAGAAGTCACGAAAAACAAATTGAATAGCAACTAAAGACTCATGGGAATTACTTAATTATTATAATGATGATGATTGTAATCATTGGATGGTTAGTAAAATTGTTCAACACGCAATTTATTATTATTATTATTGTTGTTGTTAATTGTGAGGTAATTGTTGGTATCCTGATGACAATTAATAGACAGAAAAATTGTCAAAATTAATGAAATTTGATGATCACAGCCACGAGATAGCTTTTAATTTTTTCATCACGCTGAGTTAATTGTAATCAAAACAATCAAAGCCAAGGTAATATGAAACTCTGAAATTAATCAAACTTTTAGATTAAATTAATTTCCAACTACCCCGAGCAATTTAAATCAATACATTCATACCATGGCTTTAATTTGATTGTTAGTAAATTATATAGATACCAATCATCATTAATTAATATTATTATCGTTACAGAATCACAATTATCATGATGATGGATCAACAATTAACTTTGGCCTGAATTGATGACAGTTGGTAAAAAATTAAAGTGATATTATTATTTGTTATTAGAATGAAAAAAAAATTGATCTTGAATCCGAATCTAAATTATCATCAATTGATCAAATTGTTATGAGTGGTGGTCATTAACTAATCAACGTTTTCAAAGCTGATGAAATGTTAATGATTAATAATGAAAAGTAATCAATGGTTGCAAGTAAGTTTATTGATCAATTTATGGATTGAATGATTCACACAATTTAACTGAATATAAATGATAACAATTAGAAGCGGGAACTGCGTGTAAACGTTAATTTAGTAATTGGTTAACTATTATCATCGTGATTAACTTGTATGTAATTGTGAATATAAGTTGATTGAACAAGAAATAAGATAATCAGTTGAATTGAAGTGAATTAAGTTCCATCATAGAGTTAACTTGTAATCTATTTAGACGATTGCGTGACTAAATCAGAATCGGAATCAGATGAACAATTAAGATGCAATTTGATGAAATATGGAAATGATAATCAAAGGTAAACATTTAATGGTTAGTTAATGATAACCTTTTATCATTTCATGATATTTAGTTGATGTTATTCAGATTCTAACCATGATTTAAATTGTTATCAATCTAGTTGAGAGTATAAAATTATGACATTTGAATGAAATATGATCACCGTAGCGATGACAATCAACTAATCAATCAGTTTAATCAACCTCATGGCCAATCAAACAAAGTGTATTTAGTTACGGTAGGAAAGTTTTCCCATAAAAACAATAGCAACAATTTAATTACATTAAGTATTTTTCTGTTAATTAACTAATTAGTTAAGATTCTGGTATTCTAATGATTGGTCAAGAAAGTGAATACTATTAATACAAACTGGTGGGTGTGTTGGTCAGTTTCATTTTGCCAATATCAATTAGTTATTTAAGGTAATTAATTGATTTCTTTAAATGGATAATAACCTTGGAGGTTGATTAAAATTGATTGTTCCAGGTTGTTATTAATTTAATTTATTGTTACTTAATGAAAATTGTTCAATCCTTAAATGGTTAACAGTGACAATGAAACTGAATTAACTTTCACCAACACAAACAGATGATAATAAAAAAAAACAATTACATTAAACAATAAGAATCAATTTGTTAATCAACAACAATTGACTATCATACGAAAAACAAAAACCATTATAACTGTTGATTGTTATTAATAAATTAATAATAATAATCATATTAATCAGCCTATTATGTTTCAAGGAGATGAACAAATTATTAGCTAATCAACTACAATTAAAATCGTGATAGTTACTCTCATGTATGTTGTATATTATACTGATAATATACACCAAGGTGTCATGGTGGTTATGCTTTCAGGGTGAATTCAGTTCAATCTTGGAACCGGAAAACATTTGAAAAATTGATTGTTGTCCCCACACACTAATAAACACCAGGTAAGGTGCCAAGGTGAGGTTCAATCAGGTGAAAATATTGAAGAAAAAAAAATCAGCGGGAAACACGGAAAAAGTTTGGAAACTTGAATTGGCCGTTTCAATGACCTGGCTCTTTCTTTTTTTCCGCTGGACACTCATATTACTATTCATTACAACAGAAGTTTAGATTCTCTAATGGGTAGGGTCAAGGGATGAACAAGGTCAGGTAAACAAAAAGTGTACTGGTCAGTTTTTCATTAAATTTTCTCTTTTCTTCTGAGAGTCGGAAAGGTGATTTTTTTTTCTTTCAAGCTTATGACCTCAATCTTCTAGTGGTCAGCAGCTAATTATGATCATTGTTTCCGTTACTTTTTCTTCAGGTTATAAGTTGATTTTTAAATCTCTTTTCTTTCTTTCAAAAGCATTCAATTATTAAGAATATATAATGATTACAATTAAGAGGATTAAAGGGCTTCTATTGTTGTTGTTGTTGTTGTTGGTGAAATTTGATTGTTTCAAATGGTTACTTTGGTTAATTAACTTACCTCATCGTAGAGAAATTGTAATGTCAATGCTGATTTACCTACACCTCCAGATCCAACCATAATTATCCGTAATAGAGGTGGTGGAGTGACCGGTGTCCGATCAACGTTTGGACGGGTCAATGTATTTGTCTTTGCTTCAGGTCCACGGGTCGGATTTACTTCATTGGTACGTTTCTTGAAGTGAGGAGCGATTCGACTTGGTAGAGGGAAGAAATTATCAAACAATACGAAATTAATCATCTAATTGACCAACTTACTCTAATCACGATTAAGGTAATTTAGACAATAGTCTATTCTCTGCACTTACCTGGTCCAATATTCGTGAACATTTTGATATAAATTGTTGATACTTTTTCTCATATTTTCATTTAATTTTCTTATATCATCCATTGTTGTACAATCCCTTCAATCTCAAATGGTTAATAATTAAAGATTATATTGTGAGATTGTTGATTAATTTTCACGTTTGTAAACCACTTTAAGCACAATTAAACACTTTGATTGTAATAATAATCAATAATATGAGATGATGATTAGACACAATATTCAAAGACAACATGAATACACATCAATAACTAACTGGAATGATGGAAAGTAATTAGCAGATTATTGTTATTACCATTATCATGTAACAATCACAATTAATGGACAACAAATCAAAGTATTGGTCAATTGATGATGAAATGATGATGATGATGATTCCTGAATCGCTTTGACTTTTGTTGTCCGTTTGGTGTAAAAACCTTCAAAAGTCAGTTGATAATCAACGATAACAATTAACAGTAGATCACCAAAAACACTGATGAATGAAAAAAACGTTTTCTAATCCAATTGTTGTTCATCAATGAAGCTTGAGAGTTGAAAAGATAATAATTAAGTGTGTATAATAGTTGCCAGGTTATCATGTAATATGAATGATAAGTAATGAACCTTTCAGAAAGTTAATCAAGACTGAGAACCAGTTTATCTTGAAGAAAAACATTTACAAGAGTGAGATTGAAGATGAGGATGAAAGATGATGATGAGGGAATTCATTGAGGGGATGAAAATAACAGGATGATAATATAAAAATAGCTACTTGGATGGATATGGTTTGTAAGGTGTCACTTGTATTGGAGTTGTTACCACCCTGTAGGCTCATTAAATCATCTAAATACAGTTTGTAAACATTAATTATTGTATGAAAAAAGTTAACAAACAAAAATGTCAACCTGGTGATACACAATCACCAAGCATTCATAATGATTCATTGAATTATCAGCTCGTGTTTGTTAATTGTTGCTGTTGATCATCATCATCATCATCATGAAGATTATAATGATCATGATGGTTTACACTATTCTGATGATTGTCTACAGTTTGCTTTTCTTTTAACAATTAACAGGTAATAAATGTTGACAATGATGATAATTTAATGGCTACAATTAAGATTAATCCGGTGGATGTTGTTTGTTTGTCATATCAAACAATTAGGTCGCATTTGATTGGCATCTTTTGATTAATTTGTTCCTGACTGATACTCTATGGTAAAAGAAAATGGCTCCTAATCGATGAACAGAGATTAAGATCTTGATTGTTGTGATTAACTGTACAGTTGATCAGTTAATTGTTGGCAAACTTTGAAAAGGTTGAAGATGAATACACACAAATGCTTATGGAAATGATTGTTGATAAAAGTTCAATGTTGATGTAAATGGTGATTAGTTAATTATGGTTACTGATTGTTGTTACTTGATTGTTGTTTCCTTGTTGCCAAATGATTTAAAACACAGAAAACTTTTTACAATTAACTGTAATTCACCGTGAATATGATTTTTGATTGTTGTCTATTGGTTAGTAAATTAGGCTTGGTAAACTAATGGTTTGAGTTAATGGTCAACTTGTATATACATTTAACCATCAAGGCGAAATCATCGTGAGTGACCAACACAATCAACAGGCCACTTAATCACTTCCGTGGTTGATTGTTAGACCAGAATATATATCTTGATTTACGAAAGAGTTACTTCTCTAATTGTTTAACTTGATTTTACATCTTTACAATTGTTCAATCCATCATTCCAATAGCTTATTTAGTTACTTAATTTGCTTCCTCTTTTTGTATATAAACGGACAAAGTTTTCACTTTTTGTGGTTAATTAAACCTTAATTTGATAGCGATGATAATTGTCTTGATAATGATCATAAAAGGGTTAGTTTAATTAACAGAAATCATTGGATTAGAGGATAAATTGATTTTGTAGATTGTTACATCTCTTGAGATTTAATTTAACTCCAATCAGAGTGTTGATTTCTCCCAGTGAAGATGATGTAATTATCCTTAATTGTTGCTGGTTAACTGATTTTCATGTTAATCGTTCAAATCAATTTCTTTCATTTAGAAATTAAACTAACCACAAGAAAATAATGGAAAAGTTGATTAGTTTTTTCATCCGAATTTTCATCTTAAGCTGATTAATTTAATTCCCTTAATTTAATTGACCACAAAGGAAAAGAATTAAAAAGAAACTAATATCCCGCCAGAAGAAAAGAAAAGCTTCTTTTCAGAGAAAAAGAGAAAAGTGAAATTTTTGTTTTCTTTTTGTTTCAAGTTTTCTATTTTTCTTTTTTGGTGATTTTTTTATTAATTCTAATCATGGATTCTGATATTGATCGATTTCTAAGTGATAACCAATTCTTTCAGGACAGAATATCACCAACTAGTTCATCTAAGATCTTCGCTGTTCAGGTCAATTTTGATTTCGGACAAGGTCACATTTACCGTGAGTATAAATAGTAATGTTATTGTTTGAATCTCGATCTGTATTTTCATTTTTTTTCTCTCTGTCATTATTTTCTCTTTTAGAAACATTGAACAATCAACTAATTGTTGAGCCTATTAAGGCATTGAAAACAATACAATTTAAACTATGTAATGGATTAAGAAACCTTAAAAAAATATCACTCGACTCTTTTTCCCTTCTAATCTTTGTGCCAGTAGATTTACCCAACATTGAAAGGTAAGTAAAGTAGCTTTTTCATTTGTTCCTCTAACCATTAGTTAAGTTAATTGTTATCTAATCATGTTTCATCTTCTTCTCTTATATGATTATTAGTGCTGTAATTGATAGTAATAGAGATTTATATTTGAAATCTGGTCCTAAGATTAACCGGTTAACCAAGATGAAAGATTTTCAAATAATCTCAATGTCAGACATCAATAGCTTCAAATTGGCTTCTCTATATCGTTGTAAATGTTTAAAGTCAAGATTTTACAATTACCTAATTGATGGCCCACCAAGGAAAGTGGTCAAATGTGATTGTCATAATACAATGGAAGAGACAATTAAGGAGAGAGTTGTTGTTCAGAGAAAATCAGTTCTCCTGAGAAAAACCGATAATTATAACCCAAGTGAGACTATAATTTATTTTCTATTCTATTTTTCCGTTTTCTCTTTTAATTATGTTTATTTTTGTTCTTTTTTTATTATTATTTTCTCTCTTCCTCTTCCTCTTCTCATAGGATTGTCACCAATATTGATTCACTTTATGTCAACAGGTGATGAGAATTATGAAAAACTAAGACTAGGAACTCATTTATCACAAATCGTTGGTCTCTCATGTTCCTATGAAGATAAACCTGGTTCTTGGGTTAGAGGTTTAGAAGTGCTTAATTACCAGATGAGCTTAGATATTCAATCTGCTAGTCATGATCTTAATTGTTTTCTAATCCCAGAAAATATAGAAACAATTGTTGAATGTAAGGTGAAATTTAGACAATCAAATAATTTACAATATGCTAATTCTATGTTCTAATTTATTTCAGCTTTCAGAGAAATCTCTCCATTTTCTTTGGCCTTAAAACTTTGTGATCTATTCGCTGGTGAATTAGTCGGCGAAGGAAATTTTCGCCTAAAAATGGGACCTTTAATCGCGATTTTAAATCAACATGGAACCGAAGTGAGTGAATTAACATTAAAGGTTAAGCAAACTTTCAACACAATTTAGTTTTCACTTTCAATTACACTTGACGGATTATTAAATTTACTTTACCATTTATTTACTAACCTAAATAAATGAATTGATTCTGATATTGTTAAACTAAATTTCTAAAACTAAATTGTTTAGCAACATCAGCAAGTGAATTGATATTATGCTCTGTTTGCATTATCATTATTGGAAAAATAGATTTCACTGTCAATTCTTGCTTCCTTTATCCACTAATCAAAGTTTGCTTGCCTTATCATTTATTGATAGATTATTTTTAAGTGGCTAGAAATTATTCTAGATCATACAATCTGTGTAATTAATCATATTGTTGATTCTATTCTTTTGCATATGATTAGTGCCAAGAGAAGTCATTTCTAGCGGTTGGAAGCGACGCTGGTACAATTCGCAATCTCTTACAATACTCAGCTAAATTTGTCCAAAGAGTAGCATCTTATTCATCAACCATTCCAATATCCGCTATACCAAGAAAACGAGACACATGGATCGATTCGGGTTTCCTACAATTGGTATCCGATGGAGTTGGAATCATTAGTCTTGACAAGGTTTCAGTTCGAGATGAGAGTCAACTGATCAGCGTGTTAACCCAAAATCTTGTGAAAATCAAAATTACCGATGAAAAATTTGACTCTGTAAGAGACATGGAAACTAACATAGCAATTTGGGCCTATGAGACTGAAGATAATATTGAGAGACGAGTAAAAACCAAATCATCATCCCTTATAACGACATTTGCTCTAGTCTATGAATCAGAATCTAATACATTTGCACCGAAAAGTTCTGAAATCACTCAAGAAGATTGGAAAATCTTTTTCAATTCACTATCATCATACAAACCCAAGTTATCAACTGAAGCAGAGGAATTTCTACAAAATTACTTCCTCGCTGTTAGACAGGATAGAGAATGGAGAGCAGACATGCAATCATTTCCTCTTCTTTTATCGGTTGCAACCGTTTTTGCGAAACTTTCATGTAGAAATCATGTACTTACATGTGATGCGGTTCTTGCAATCATCATTTTTGAGAAAAGTCTTAACACCAAATTTGGCAGCGGTGGATTGAGTCTCTCCAATCTAACTAAAGACAAAAATAGACTTATTGGTCCAGGGGTAAGTGAAATTGAACAAAATCAATCAACTATTTTTGGTCAAACTAATTTGGCTTCGCAATTAAATCACTTTTTTTTCAGGCTGCTGAAATCTTGGAACGATGTAGGAAAAATATTGTCGATTACATTGAAAACTGTGGTGTTGGTATCGTTAACAATGTTTCGGAAGAGTAATCATTTGATGAGAGCGAAAACAAAGTCAATCAATCGTAAAGAAGGAGGAAATGTTTATATTTAAATTAAATTGTCAATCAATTTATTTTGGACAATATCAAGTGATCATATCAATTTTGATTATCAATTTACATTTTCCATTAACCAAAATCATTTTTCTCTACTAATCAATTTTTTTCTTCAATCTTCTTTAATTCTTAAAACTGTTACTATTAATATTTATACGTAAATAGAAAATAGTTTTTTTATTTATTTGTAATCAACTCAATTCCATGATAATCATCATGGAGACAATTTACACAAATCAAGTTAATTATCCAATCATGTTTTCTTTTCTCATTTTAAAAGTGATTCCAATAAACCAGTCAATTAACTGTTATCCTTGATTTAAGTTGCTCTCTCATCTTTGAGAGTATTTTTTTCCTCTTAATTAACATTTAACGTTAAATTCATTCCAATCAACGTAATTAATTGATTGTTGCCTGAGATAAATTCCGCGCCCACAGCAATTTAGTTGATCATCTTCCGGGTTTCTTTTCATTTGTAAATTGTGGTCAAGTAAACAACTTAATCTTGTTTTCTGTTGCTTAAAATTAGTTACAATAGTTAACCAAATCGTCTACTTTTTTTGTCTAAATTGTTAACAATCAACACAATGTCTGGTAAACCAACTTTGATTATCATTCTCAGTGGAAAACGTAAAAGTGGTAAAGATTATGTTACAGAATTAATTGAGAAAAGGTAATTAACTTAACTAATTGTTTTCGTATCATCAACCTTACTCTTGATCTTAATTGTGTTTTAATTTAGATATGAAAATAAATTAGCAGTTATTCACATTTCTAAGCCAATCAAACAAAAATACGCTGAGGTAAGAGCAAACAATTAACTTATTTTTCGTTATTTTTGTAAAATTAATTGATTCTAATTGTTTTAGTTACATGGAGCTGCTTTTGATGAACTGATGAAAGCTTCACAATATAAGGAACAATTTAGATTGGATATGGTTAAATGGAGTGAAAATGAGAAATCAAACCGAAATGATGAAGCTTATTTCTTGAAATTAGCAATTAATATGGAAAATGCAAATGAGAAAAAGGTTTGGTTAATTGCTGATGCTCGTCGACCCGCTGATTTGGCTCATTTTGATGAACAACAATTTAATCAATCTAAAGTGATCAAGATTAGAATTCAAGCAACCGAAGAGACCAGAAAATCTCGAGGTTGGATTTTTACCAAAAACATTGACGATGCTACGACCGAATGTGGCCTCGATTGTTACACCGATTGGGATTATGTCTTTGACAATGATGGAACCAGTGATCAGTTAATTGAGAAACTCAATGTAATCTTTACACAAATAGAATCAGCTTTGTGAGCTTTTAATTGTTACTCGAATTGACTTTTAAATTGTTTTCTGAAATTCTGTCTTTTAATCAGCAAACTAGATTAAAGTTTATTTTCATATGCGAATCCGAGTATAATTCATCCTCATGATCAAAAGTCAAATGATAGATTTCGGAGAAAATTTTTCTCAATGAAATTTTGATAATTTACTATTAAGAAAAAATATCGTAACTTATTTAAAGATTCTTAATTATATCTCCAGCTTGAGCTAAAGTCTCTTGTTTCTTGAAAAACAGAATCGAATGAAATTCTCAGCTAATTGTTCATGTTCCTCAGAGTAAAAAAAGCTCGGTGGGATTCCTTGGAGTTTCTAGTTTGGTGATTAAATTCAAATAGAAATAAATAATTAGTATGATTGTTGATTGTTGCCCTTTAAGTTATCTTACCTTCTCAGTTATGAGCCATTTAGTGAAACGATAATCTTTTGTTCCTGTTGCAATACTAGAGAAATTAACACGTTCAGCTAATTTAGAGAAATCGGCTAACAGGAAATAACCTCCTTCTGGAATAGTTGGATTCATATTGGCACTTGTAAGAACTTGAACCATTCGATCTCGTTTTTCTTCCAGATCATCTGATAGCTCTTTCCAATAAGATTTATTGGTACCATGATTAGCGATCTCAATCTCGAATCCACGAGCAATAGCTTCTTGTAAAGGTGTAGCACAAGTATAGACACTATTTTGATGGATCAATTGTAAAGGTCTCATCATTTTTTCTGATCCATAAGCCCATCCGATTTTCCATCCAGTTAATGAGAAGGTTTTCCCAGCTGATCCAACGGTAATTGTCCTGTCCCACATTCCAGGTAAAGATGCTTTAGAAAAAATAATTCAGAGAATTATTTGATTAGCTTAAATATATCTTGATAAGAATTTGGTTATTTACCCATTCTAACATGTTCTTTTCCTTTGAATACAATCCATTCATAGACTTCGTCCATCAAAGCGATAACGTTATACTTTTTACAAAGATCACCGATTTGTGTCAACTCTTCTCGAGTGAAAACCTAGACAATAAAAGACAAAGCGATGAAGAAGATGAATGGAAAAAGTAATTTGCAAAAATCTATTCGAAACAGATGAAATTTTAACCAGGAAGATAAAATATAATCTATGAAACATACTTTTCCAAGAGGATTGTGAGGTGTATTAACAACGATCATCTTTGTCTTATTGGAAAATTTTGATTCAAGCTCAGTCATATCGAGCTTCCAATCTCCACTTGAGATTACTCCAGAAGCATTAGCAGGAGGCCTGAGGGGGATAAAAACGGGTTTACCGCCAGCAAGTTCAACCATAGGTTTGTAACAATCAAAAAATGGCTCAATGATGATCACCTCATCTCCAGGATTGACCCAAGCCAAGAAGGAATCATAAAGAGCTTCATAAGCTCCAACAGTGACCAGAATCTGATTATTGGGATCAATAGGACGTTGAAGAAGCTTCGAATAGAGTTGACCAAGTGCTTTTACCAAACGTGGATGTCCCTTTAGGATGAGAAAAATTACCAAATAAGTAACTACTCATGGAGACAATTTAACTGAATCAACTCAGTTTATAATCTACTCACAAATCCTCGGGTGTATTGTTGCAAGAGGATATTGGTATCATTTTGAACATCCGCTAATGCTTTAGTCACATGAGCCGGAGCTGGATAGTCAGGGAACCCTTGACCCAAATTAACAGGCTTGTGGTCAATTGCAAGTTGTATAAACTCATTCCTATAGAGAAAAGAAAGGAAAAAATTAACAGAAAATCATCTTCAATATGACATGAAATCAATTTACCAAACACTCAATTTATGGCCTTCAAGTCGATCAGCAGGCCTAATAGAATCAGAATTATTGGTTGACATTGTTCGTAAAACCTGAAGAGTTTAGAATGTAAACAAAATGTGAGAGAGACAAAGAGAAGGTAAAATTTGAATCGTTGGTCCAGTCAAGCGAAATTGGAATGTAAATAGACAATTACCTGAGTAAAGAAAAGAAACACAATAAGTTGATGGATCAATGGAAACATGGTAATCAATTTTCAGGACAAGGAAAGAGAGTAGAAAATAAGTGAAAATGAATTTAAGAGAAAATGAAAATGAACTTAATTAGAAAAATATTAAGAAGATCAAATTTTTACCTGATTAATCCTATCACCTTTCAACAACTTGACACCTCCCCGTCTTAAAAATGTTCTAGATAGATTAGTGATTAACATTATTCACTTAATTCATATCTTATTTAACCTTCTTTCCAAGACAACAAATGTAAACAAGTTAATCAAATCAGAGAGAGAGAGAGAGAAAGAAACAAAATAATATTGAACAAACCACTTTAACATATAACAACTTACTCTAAATCTTATGTATTAATTTGGTTTCCAAGTGAACGATTAGGATTAAAATTAAAACTCTTCACTTAATTAGAGGAACAATTTGACGATGGTAATGTAGTCAAGTGGTGATCGTTGCTGGAAAACTAATAGATATCAAATAATCAGCAAGTGACGTTGAACATTAGGTTAATTACCTTTAGGAGAGAAACATCAATATGATTGGAAAAACAAAGAGAACAGAAAAAAAACATCTTTAGGTTTGAATTTTATTCCAATGGCGCCAAGAATTAAATTCTTTTCTTTTAAAAGAAAATTTTTCTTTTCCATTTGTTTACTTTTCTATTTGACTTCTCAATATTCACATTGTTTTAATTTCTTCTTGTTTTTCACTGATTCTCTTTTTTTTTAATTGTTTTTACATTTTAATTGAATTTTAATTTTATTCTTTTGTTTAATGTAATCAACCTTTCGACTGGGTAACAGGTATTTTCCTTTCCATTTATTGATCTTATTGAGTCATGTCCAATTACTCAACAATTTCTTTTCCTTGGTGTTGATGAATTTGAAGAGAAAATATTTCATCATCTGATTCAGCAGTTTGTGTTATTTTTTATTCCTTTTCTATTTTGTCTTCCTTTTAAATATCATTTTTTTTCCTCTTTCGATTTTTTCTTCTTCTTCTTCGCGTATCTGATTAAGTTATTGTTATTATTGATTGTTTTCTATTGGTCTTTCAACGATTGGTGACTTGAGTTATTTGGTTGTTTCTTGATTGTCTCTGTCTCTCTTTTTTTCTTTGGTTGGTAACAAAATGGAAGAGGATAAAAGGTTTGATTATGGTGCTTCTTACTCATTTGATCGACCACCGCCCTATGATTATAATCCTAATACCTATGGAGCTGGACCATCTTCTTTTACCTACAATTCAGTGACTAATCAGGATCCAATGAAACCTTCAGCTCCAATTCAGTCTCAATCACTAACTGGATCGATTCAACCAACACCAGGTAATTCATACTTGTGATATGTTAGCTTTAACGTAATTTATACGATTGTTTATGTAGTTTGTTTTAATCTTTTTCTTTATTTCAATTTCCATTTTTTTCTAGTAGCTGTTAATAATGTCCAAATCCATATAAGTGATAAATTTGGACCTTACTCTCAAAATGCTATTTGTCCTCATTGTAATCAATATATTATCACTAAGGCTGAACCAGTTTCTGGAGCGTTAACTTGGTTTACTTGTCTTGGTTTAATTTTAATCGGATGTTTCATCTGTTGCTGTTTAATTCCGTTTTGTTGTAATTCCTGTCGAAATGTTGATCATAAATGTCCAAATTGTAAACGTAAAATTGGACATTATACAAGAATGTGCTGAGAATCTTACCAATAAGATTATGATCGAAGTGAATGTGATTACGTCAATATATTAGTTCTTCGACCATTTCATCAAATTAACGAAACGGACAATCAACTGGTAAATCTCAAATCTATTCGACCGTTAAATTTACTCTCCCAGCCTTGCGAAAAGTGAGAAAAATTCATCCAGTCCTGAAATTGCAATCTAATTTCAATATTTTAATACCAAACATTTTAATTGATTGGAATTGACGTGAGAAAAGATCTTAAAATCTAAAATGAATCTCTTATACAAAATTTTACTCTCTATGTGTAACAAAAGACAATTTTTCGAGAAAAATTAAATTGATTTACTCTGTTCATCAATAAACCAAATCGAGAAAATAATCAAGTATTGATTACCTTGATTCAAATTAAAAATGAATCATTGATATTTATTTTTAAGATCAATAAGTTTCGTTTCAATAAATAACTAATTTTCTTGAAGTTTAATTTATTCATCAGATTGTAAGTTAAATATTAGATGATTTTCCATAAATAAGACATAAATTGTTTCAACAATTGGATCATCATAATTAGTGAGAATGGAATCGTTTTTCTTAAATTAAATACCAAAAATGGAACACAATATGAGCTAATGAGAAATTCTAAGATTAAAGATAAAGGAAAATTTGTTAATTATCTTGGAGAAGAAAAGTAAAAATAAACTAAACTCCAACAAAAGCAAAGGCACCAAAATCTCAGAGAATCTCTATGAAAAAGCTCCCACTCCAAAAATCTTCGGATCCATTGAAGAGATTCACGGCTAACTAATCTAAGGGTAGAATATTAATCAACTAATGAACTTCATGAACTAAAGGTTTCCATGAGATTCCTGATTAATTCACCAGCAATCAAACCAACAAAAAAAAGAGATCACAATTAAATAAGAATGAAAAATTGATCCAATAAAAAGAAAGTCCATTGAAAGCCCAACGGGGGCTAATTCATGGATTCAACCAAAACTCACTGAATCATATTTACAAAACTTCTTATCAACTGAACTGAACTCTAAGCTAATATACAAACAATCAAATAACAGTAATAAAGAACAATAATTGATCAGTTAATTAGAAATGAAAAGAACTTGTTTTTTTTTTAAAGAAAAGAATAGTTTGCAAAACGAACCACCAGAGGATCTGCATTCGAATTTCGATGTGGAGCGCCATCTTGCGGCATTTTCGAATTAAAATGTTGCTTAGATGTAAAGAGAGACAGAGAGAGTGAATGTTTGAGTGTGTAAGTGTGTGTTTATGATGAATATTATTAATTTTAATTTGTTAAACTGATTAGTTAATTGAGCTAATTTACCGAAGATGACCATTATAGTCTTCTTGATAGATACCAGTGCCTCCATGAACCAGCGGACTTACATGGGCGCCAGGCCAACCCTTTTAGATGTCGCAAAGGATAGTGTTGAGAAATTTCTTAAGGTTGGCTATACTTTCTCTCTCTCTTTTTTTTTCTATTCTCTTTCTTTTTCTATCCTCTTTCCTATCTCTTTCTTGTCTTTCTCTTCTTCGCCTTCTTTTACTATTACTTTTCTTCTTATTACTTTTTCTCTTTTTTAACCTCTTTTAATGGGATCTTGTAATTTGTCTTTCTTTTATTAACTTGGAAATGTTTCTTTTTCTTTTCTCTTTTCTGTTCAGATCCGACAAAGAGACGCTGCCAGTCGTCAAGATCGATACATGTTACTAACATTCGATGAGTATCCATGTAATATTAAGGCTGGTTGGAAGGAGAATCATAATGTTTTCATGAATGAATTAAAAAACTTGACGGCAAGTGGAATGACTTTATTAGGACCTGCTATTAAAAACTGTTTCGATTTGTTAAATTTAAACCGTATGCAAACTGGTATTGATACGTATGGTCAAGGGCGATCTCCTTTTTTTCTTGAGTCTTCTATCATTATCGCCATTACTGACGGTGGAAAGTTAACCAGTGGAGCTGGTGTTCAGGAGGAATTAAATCTCCCCATGAACTGTAACATGCCAGGAGCAGAGCTTACCAAGGAACCATTTAGATGGGATCAGCGTTTATATGCATTAGTCCTTAGGTTAACTGGTACTCCGCCGACAGATCATTTATCCAATGGACCTCCAGGAATGGTTCCAAGTGATCACTCTTCGATTGATGCGATGTGTGAAGTTACTGGCGGTCGATCATATTCAATATCATCTCAAAGATCTTTAATGCAGTGTCTTGAATCGGTTGTACAAAAAATTCAAGGAGGTGTAGTTATTCAATTCGAAAAGTTTGGTCCCGATCCGCCGCCCATTAATCAGGACGATAATAGTGATGAAACAAGTCAAGAGTTATCCAAAATGAAAGAATCGGCTGTTACAAATGAATTAATTGGAAATTTTAAAAACTCAAACTCTAACAATCAAGTTTTTAATTCATCCAATAACTCAACAAGCTCACAAGCAACAAATAAATCTCCATGGCATTCCACTCGTAAGCTCATTTATGTCCACAGATCAGCTCAAAGAGGTTATTCTACAGGTTTCTGGCCTATACCCGAATCGTTTTGGCCTGATCTCAATGCGCCTTCCCTTCCTCCTCGAAGTTGTCATCCCGTTATCAAGTTTACCTGTTCCTCAAGTGACCCAATGGTGATAGATAATTTACCTTTTGACAAATATGAACTGGAAACAAGCCCATTGACTCAGTACATTTTATCTAGGAAACAACCACATTCAGCTTGGCAATGTTTTGTACCCAATAGTCATAAAAGTAGCGATCATCCTTTAGGTCATCCTTTTGGTTATCTTAAGGCCAGTACCAATCTGAGCTGTGTTAATCTATTTGTTTTACCTTATAATTATCCCGTCATCTTACCGTTACTCGATGAACTGTTTAAGATACACCATGTTAAGCCAACCCGAGAGTGGAAATCACAGTTTGAAGCTTACTTAAAAAATATTCCTCTCTATTATGCTGGCCCTTTAAAACGGGCCTTACAAAAGATGGGAGGCCCAAATCTAGTTCCAGATAATATGGAGAATTGTTTAAGTTATTCTGTTCTAAATCTACTGAAAAGATTGAAAAATCAAGCAAAAGTTGAATTTGATAAACTGATTGCCACCGTTGGAACAGGTAAACCAGTTACACCGACAACAATTAAAGTGCCCAACATTTCATCAAAAAAGATATCAGATATCATAAACTCTGATCCATGTTTAAAAAGTCGCATGAACGGATTACGTGTTGAAATTAGCGATTTTAATACCTTCTCCATGAGAATAAGAGATAAAACAAGAGAGGCTAAACCTCAGTGTTATCGAAATCCCTATGATATCAATAGACATCAAATAATTGATCAAATCCACCGAATGCGTAACAATTTCCTCCAACCTTTAAGGTTAATCAAATTTCTCGACGAAGATCAAATGCACAGTTTACCCGTTAGTCAAATGGGAAATTACCAAGAGTATTTAAAACGAATGCCTAATCCATTAAGAGAATTGGAATCAGCACCAGTTCGTCAACATATGTTCGGTAATCCATTCAAAATTGACAAAGGTCGAGCACTTGGAATGATCGATGAAGCAGATATCGATTTAGTTGGACATTCAGGAAATTCACCAGTTCGATCTCCGAAAAGACCAATCGATTCACCAAATAAACCGGGACCCGCTTCACCTCGTGTTAAACGAAGACCTGGACCATTGTCTAAAGAACTCGCTGTTCAATACATGTAAGATTTCATTATATTTAATCATTTCAATTTTCTCGCTGTTTAAATGTCTCCCTCTCTCTCTCTCTTTCTCTTTTCTTTTCTCATATTAATCTTCAATACGATGATTTAATCATCTTTAGCTTCTGCTCATTTCTGTCAAACAAATTGAAAGAATTAGAAAGGAAATAGTTGAGAATTTGCTTCTTTATATTTTTCTATTGCATTTGTTTTTCCTTCTCATTCTGTCACCAAACTTTACTCCCTTCTGATCTTATATTAGCCTACAGTTCGGATTTGAATAAACCTTTAGGCGCATCCTCGATATTTAATTCAACTTTGCAATCTCTTGGCTAATATTAGTTTACCTTTGATTGAAGTTTCCCTGTTTTCTTAGTAATTTGATCGTAACTAATAGTTATCAGGAAATTTGCTTGTTGAATCATTTTCACAATCAGTTTTTTTATTCAAATGATGTTTCATTTTAATGTTTTTCTTTTTTTTCTCTCCTACAGGTCCAATCATAAATCATTTAGATCTTTATCAACTCCACCAAGTTCGCCTTTACCGTCACCACCTAATTCACCGTCATTGTCTTCTAATGATGTATCTTTATCATCGGCATCTTCATCATCATCAACAACAACATCCACAATTCCATCATCACCTTCATCTTCCTCCACAACAGTGACTCCGCCAAATTCACCATCATCTTTATCATCATCAGTACCAACAACTACCACAATAATACCAACAGTAACAACAACAGCTACAGCAACAACAACAACAACAACTACTACTACAACAACAACCAACACACCTAATAGTAACAGTATCAATAACAATAGTTGTAGCAATAATAATATCAACAATCAAATTGTTCAAAACTCAGATCTTTCAGAAAATGAAATTGTAAATAATGTAGATGATGATTTGAAAATGCCTGATCTTGAGCTGATTGAAATTAACTCGAGCAATGAAACAACAAGTACCCATAATGAAACACCGGGTCGCCTGAAGAATAGCATTGAAAACACCAAAGATATTTCACTGAACAATTCGATCCATAACAATAATCATTCTGACAATTTGTGTAATGGTTTATCAAACTCTTTAAAAAATTCTCGACTCAACAATTTCAAATGGAAAATGTCACCAGAACAAGTCGAACAAAAAAGAGAAGTTTTTCGTCTCGTTCGAAAACCTGGTAAAAGTAAGTGACCTTAATCACCAAAAACCCGTTCATCGTGTTAATCTTAATCAAGAAGAAAACTCTGATTACTAGACAACAATTAACCTTTTGTAACAATTAATCATTGAACATTTTCAACCCTGACTCTTGACCATAAACAAACAATCAATTAGTCGAGTTGCCAAAGAATCAGAGTGTTAATCATACAAAGTGATTGTTGCTATTTAGTCAAAGCTTTTTCGATTATAACTTGTCCAAAGTATTGAGTGTTTTTTAAATCAAATTTAAACCAGATAGTTGATGACAATATCAAACAATCAATTTTGTTTATTTAACAGTAACTGAAGAGCTTTAATCTTTTGAGATGATCAAGATTCCGCTCTATCCCAACTATCCTTTTACACCAAATAGCATCTTAAACTTTTAGCTATTATTTTTATTCTCAATTATTAATCATATTTTTTTCTTGTTTCTATCTTCAGATTTCAAGCCAATTTTAAGTCAACTATCTAATTGTAATGGACCCTTCAGGGATTACCTGGTTAAAGAAATAATCGCGGAAGCAACCAGATTCAAAAGGAAAACCTTAGTTGATGTTGTACAAAAATACGTCACAGAAAATAACGTTTCCACCAGATTAAGATGATTGGAAGATTGTGAGAACATTTAAATATTGTAAATCTGTTCATGTCTACGGTGGAAAGAAAAAAGATTAACACAAAAAATTTATGTACCAAAAAAGGATTACGACAATTTGGTCAATACTTTTACAAAACATGAATTGAGAGATACCAAGGAATTTTCTTTTTTTTTCCTGAATTTCCATGAATTTAATCATGATGAAAAATCTCTCAAAATTCTGTATATATATAAATATAATATACAAAATCTAATCAAATTCATTTTCTCATATCAACGATCGGATTCATTTCATTTGAAGGCAAAAAGAAAAAGAAAATAAAAAGTCATTTGTTTAAATCATTTTGATTGTTTTGTTTGAAGAAACGCGAAATTAATGGTTCAACAAGCTTTATATTAGTTTTCTAACATAAATTTAATATTCTCATATTGTTTAGTTATTATTTTGATACAATCTTGTCAATTAGTTCGGTGGATCACCTGTTTAATCATATTACAATTAATTGTTGAATCAAATAGATTTTAGGATTTTTTAGTTGGTTTGTTTTGTGATAGGAAAAAATGGAAGGTAGAATTAGAAAGGAGAGAAAACAAATTAATACAATTGAAATGAAATCGAATGGACTTTACAATAGGCCTGAGAGTTTTCCACAAAATTAGCTGGTCTAGTAGAGAAGAAGAAAAATTATCTTTATGGTTACTTTCTTATGGTCCAGCAGCCTGTTTACGCAATAGGAAAAAGATTTTCTCCTTAATCCAATCCCGTGAGAATGGGGCATAAGATGATGTAGCTCGCTGGAAAACCAAGCATGAGATGTCCGCTAGATCATCAATAAAATCATATAATTGACTGATGTCATAAGTGATTGACGCTGAATGAGGATTGTTTTGTTTAAGATGTTCCTCAAAAATATGACAAATCCCTTCCATGGCTTCATTGACACTTTCGAAATCAGAATAGGTTCGAGTATCTGGTTTACCTGATTGAATGAGCACAATAGTATGAGACATGATGAAGAACAATTATTAATCGAAAACTAAATTAAACGAAACAGTAGAAACAAAATCAACAATTAAGAAGAAGATGAAAACGCTTTTGATTTCAATTCAATTTTTTCTTTTTTCTTTTATATTCTTTTCTATTCTAACTTTGTCGCCATCTAGCGAATTTTTTCCAAAACAATTTGATAAAATTTTCGTTTTTTAAACAATTGCAATAAATTATTTTCTTCTTGTGAACAAATAGATTTTTAATTCTTTAAAGAGAACAACACAATTATTATTATTGTGTAAATAGAAAGAGGAGAAAATTTTTCGTTTTTTTTTCAGATTTTTGACAATTCCAACGATTGATTTTCGCATCATTACATATAATTATCGTTTCAAGATAAATTCTGTAGATTTATTTCTTTCAATGTATATAAAGGAGTTTTTCTTGGTGAGATTAGATGAAGATATTGAGAACGAAACATATCATTAATTATTCAAAAAAAAACATCTTCAGAGGATCAACATTAAATTTACATTTCTTTCTTTTAGATATGTTACCGTTAATTTTCAGATTCGGATTTTGGATAAGAGAGAGAGAGAGATGGAGAGAGCAAGAAGATAATGGGAGAGAGATGTTTGCTTTTTGTTGCGAGTTAATTGTAGACACTGAGAAAATTAAATCATTTCTTGTTTTCCTATTGCTTTTGTTTGTTGCAGGTTCAGTTTTCATCGATAATCATAATAAGTCATCTGTTGTAATATATTCACAATGATTACAATACATTTCCTCCTTTTCCTTTTCCTGTTTACGCAAACAGGATTAAATTTTGTTGGCCAATTTATTATTATAATTGTTAATTGTATATCTGTATTGTTGTTATAATTATCATTTCTAGAGGTGGTATGGTTTTCCTTGGTATTTGGATTGATGATGAAAAGTTTCTGTTTGTCAGATGCTTTTGTATGAGAGTAGGTTGAGTTTAATTTTTTTTTACAGTTATTGGTTCATCTGTTGACTTTGTTTTCGTTTGATTGAAGAAAATTGTCTTTGATTCTATTTCCATTTTGTGAGATTTTGACTTTCCTTTTGGGTGTTGATGATCGGCTATGTAAATGTGTATTGAGATGAATAATGTTAATTTAATCAATCAATCGGATTCACTTTCATCGAAAGTAATATCAGCATTCTCGAGGAGTCCACGACTCAAAGCGTATTCCAGTAAAGCCAAGTAGCAGAAAACGTATTGTTCTGGCATTTGAATACTATAAGCTCTCTGAGATCGAATCCGTTCAACAATTTCTCTTATATTAATCATTCCAGTGTCTTCCAATTTGTTAATGCTAATGTCTAAAGTGATGAAAGTTCCTGTGAGAAAAAATAAACCCAAAACGGAAAGAGAAGGAAAGAAGAGAGAGAGAGAGAAAATCAATCAATACATAATGGAAAACAATTTATAACCATCAAATGAGAATCTAATTAACTGTTAGGATGGGAGTTAACTAATATCTTTAACGGTTTCCAAAGAAGAACAAATTTTAAAAAGATTGATTTATTTACCAGTTCTACCAATTCCAGCACTACAGTGGACAACAATGGGTGGACCTAATTGGTGACCAGTCCAAGATTCACCGAGTTCGGTTAAACCTTTTGCTTGTTCTTCTCTCACTTTATTACGAAAATGAAGCATAGCATAGGCCGAATGTGGAACTCCATAGTCAGGCCAACTTAAAAACTGCATGTGGGTCACTTTCCTAGTTTGTTGGGTCTTCAAAGAGGAAACAAAAAAAAATATATCATATGAGAAAAACATTTTGGTAATTAATCAGATGGAACATTTAGTTAACAACAATAATTACCTCCAGATTGACCAGAGTTAATCTAGATATGTTATAATCTGTAAAATATTGAACATCATTATTTGTTATACGAAAAGGTTTCAATTCATTGGATTCGTTAATTTCCAATGGCCAATATTGGCCACATTTAACTTTTCCTCTTTCAACGGTTCGAGTTGTCATCACAATTAGTAAAACTTGTTGTTCCCAAATCATTTTCCAAAAATCTGTATATGTTTTTGGCAACGGTCCTTGAGTTGAGATAAATGCATTCTTTTGTTTATAACCATCAACATAATTAGCATTGATATAATCTGAAGTAGGATCATGAATATCGATTTCATTGTCGGAGGATAAGGTTGTTGTCAATTGAACGCGACTATGATCATAACAAAGTACATCAGTGTAACGATTTTTAACTTGATTAGAACGTAATCTTGAATAATCAAAAGTTCCATCGGGTATTTTCATTTTGATTTCATTATATTCTTCACATAAACCTTTACGTCCTTTTGTCTTTAAATAGGAAATAAATTCTTCTAAGGTCATTCCTTTTGATTTAGGTGAATTGTTGTCACTGTTGTCACTGACATTATTAGAATCATCTTCATTATTAGATTTGTTTTGATTATTATTTGGCATCACAATGTTTTCTGGTTTAGGTTTATTAACACCATTACGACCATCTCGACGGTTTGAGTTATTATCATCCTTGTTTGGTGTATTTAAACGATGAGAAGATGATGATGTATCTACAATGGGTGAATCACCCATCCATGAGGATCTTAATTTATCTTCATCTTCACTGGCATTACTGTTTAATTCATTGGAGTCTGATTTACTTAAAGCACTGTTGTTACTGCTCTCAATTAATCCATTGGTGAGAGCATTAGATGTACACAATGGATACTTTTGACTGGCTAAATCGTGTAGATCGTTGATTATTTTAGGTTGAAGGGTTCGACAATGGTTTAACCAAGCTAAATGATCAACAGCCGATTCAATTGGTAAACATGAAGATGGGATATGATCAGAAAGTTGATGCATATTTATCATAAATACACGATCACGAAGTTTCTCTCTAACAAAAAGACGTAATATCCCAAATGGAGCTTTAAACCATAAAGGTGCAGTCACAATTAAAACTTTTTTCAATCGGGCCGGATAAGCACCTTTCAAGAGACCTAATATTTTTTGACTCAGTTCATAATCAAAATTGGCATAACGAGAGTGAGACATATTGTAGATAAATATAATTCCATTTCGCTGGGTTTCAATATCTTCCAGAGCAATATCAAGTTGATAGACGACTCCTTGTAATGTTATTTGGTGTGAGGTTAAATCTGGTAAATGTTTACAAGCGGTGAACATGGCAATGGCCGCTCCGTTATTATCTCTTTTGGGCTAAAATTTTAGAGAGAGAGAGAGAGAATCGATTAATATAAATATTTGTTGAGAAAAGAAAATATTACTTACAAGAATGGTGAATTTACCACTCTCTAGTTCTGATTTAAGTGGTTCTTTGTCAGGATCAAAATTGGTTAAACCTTCACGAAAACGAGTCGATTCATGGGCGTCGTATAGAGCAAGTGATCTGTTCAAATCAAATTTACGAGCCATCAAAAATTTTAAAGCTGTACTGGGTGACATTGGGTTGGCATCATGTTGCGATCGAAGATCATTAATAATCCGCTGAAACTCTTTGGCTACCTGTTGATGTTACACAGGGAAGAGAGAAAGAAATACAATGAGAGAAGAGAAAATGTTGACATTTTGATGAGAGAAAAAAGAAAAAAAGAAGCAACAATGTCGTGTAAATGTGAAGAAAAAGAAAATTGAAGAAACAATTAGATAATCAGAAAAAAAGAAAGGAAAGAAAACAAATGTTTCCTTTTCTTCTTCTTTCTCTTTATCTCTCTCTCTCTCCTTGTTAAGATGAAAGATACACCATGATGATTACCATTATAATATAATGATCACTGAAAACATCGTCAACGGAACATCATATTTCCAAAACAATTAGAAAACCAAGTGAACCTCAAAGAAAAGAGGCAAACAAGAGTAACAAAAAAAAAGATTCACACTACATTCACAAAACACTATTATTATTACTATCAACAGTGAATATAAACATTACCAGGAGAGAGAGAAAGAGTGAGAGAGAAAATTAAATTTGTTCCCTTCTAATAATTAACAGAAAAAGAAAACACAATTACCTGTTCTTCCTCTTTAGTTAAATAGTCCATTTTTAGGGTTGATCTTGTCTTTCTTTTTTCTTCCTGTCCTTTGAAAAAAGAGAGCGAGAGAGATGAAGATTCAGCGAGTTGAATTGAACACAATTAAATTGAAACTAAAATCTCAGGGTGTAGTCAACAATTAACAAGATTTTCATTCTTGACATGAAAAAACAGAGAGACCGAGAGAGTGTCGCCTATAAGAGTTGCTAAGAAACTATTTGGTTCCAGCTGAGAGCGAATTCAAATGAGGCGCCAAAACTTTTTAATCCGAAAAAAAAATTAATCAAAACTTACGATTTCTCATCTAATCACAATTAACTGATTTCTCTTAAATTTAATCGAATATGTTTTTCTTTTAATAAACTTGAGAGATACTTGAAATTTAACAGATACTTTGTTAGTAAACTTATTGTTTTGTTTATTTATTTTTGTCGTTTTTGAGTATCAACATTGAAAATAAGACAATTAAACTAATTGTGAATACAATTTAATTGATTGTTATTAATTGAATCGTGGAGAAAAAAATGAATCAAGAAATTAATTCCATCCCCAGTTATCAGAGTGACCACCCCATCCACCCCATTGTTTGTCATTCCAACCCCAATGATGAACCTAAATGATTAACAATTAAGCGAAGAGAAAAAGAAAATTTATTAATTGAGATAATTGTTTGTTATTAATCAATGATAATCAATCAATTATCTTTGTTAAGACCTAAGGTTAAATGTATCACTTTGGTTAAAAGTTTAACAATCAACGACCATTTAAATGTTGATTCAATTATTTTGATTGAGATAATTAAAATTTTCGGATAAGTGTTAACAACGATCATTAATCATTTAAGTTCATTAAATATGAACAACAATGATTAACAAAAGGTTGACAATGTAACATAATAATAACCATCAAAGTAAATTAAATGGTAACAATTAAACTCAATCATCTCAAGACAAAATTAAAGGTAACAATTAATTTAAATTGTGAAATTTACCTTATGATGAACTGGAATGTGAAATGGGACAAATTTAATTTCCTCTTTCTTTTTCTCACACCAACAATCTGAAAGAAAGAAAAGAATCAAAATGATTAACTTAATCAATACGAATTGAAACAATCAAATTAAACTTGATTATGGTACAAATAGTAAATTTAATCCACTTGATTGAAGACCAAACAATTAGTAACAATTACCTTCACCACCACCACGACCACCGCCTTGGAGGATAATATTATCACCGCCTTTGTCCCCAGCGGACACAAAATTGATCAAAATAACAACAATTAACAGAGTTAATTGTAAACATGTTGAATAATCAAGTTTCATTGTGATGGGCAAACAATTTAACACTAATTTAAACAATTTAAACGTTTACTGTTGATTGGAAATTGAATTTATCCTGAAAGATCAATTCAATCATCTACTTATATACAATTTGTTTTCTTGTTGATTAGTTACAATTAAGAGAAACAAAATTGTTAACAATTCTAATCATTATGATTAGTATAACAATTTATCACCTCCTCTTTTATTTTATTCAATCAAAAATTATTTAGTAAGTTTCAATAGTTGAATTAATTGTTATCGTTAAGTGTTAATCATGAAGAAACTGAATGTGATTTAAATTTTCTGGAGCTTGAAAACTTAACAACAATCAACTGATTTTAATTGTTGTTCATCCGGAGACTGGAACAGGGAATCATCAAGTCTAAATTTATTATCTTACTTTAAATAATAATAATAATAATCAATCAGAACGATAATTGTAATCAACAATTAATTTTGAGTAGAAAATTTTTCTAAATCAAATATTATGTCAACAACGTTTCTAATTAAACATTAGTTAATTATTTTAACAATTTGTCAGGTCAGATAAGTGAAACCTAATTGATTTACTTGAATTGATTCACCTTTAATTGTTGAAAATTAACAAATTAACAAATTCATTCAAGCCAACTTGTTATCATCACCAACCAAATCAATTTATATTCATCTTAATTGCCAATCAATTTTTATTGTTATTGTTTTAACAAGTTTATCACTTAATTTAGTTATAATAACATGGTACAAATTAACAATTAAATTAGTAATTAAAAGTGCAAGTAACAATCTAAATGGATAATTTAATCAAGGTTTAATTATTAGTAATCTCGTTGTTACAATTAATATTGACTTTGTCAATTTCTTTTAATTGTTTGAGCGGAATTTTTTTCTATACAAACAATTAACTTGATTGTTACTCTATTTGTGAATTTTAAATTTCAATTTAAAACTTGATTAGCAATTAAATTAATCACAGACTGAGAAACCGATGGTTTACATTTTTTTTTACTCTCCACCTCTACAATTTAGCTATTAAATATATGGTAGATTAATCATTGATATGGTTGAGTTAATTGTGAGTGAATTAAGTGATCATCATGCAACAATCAGTCAGGTTCGTTAAAAATAATAATTTAACTGTTCAAATTGTTGATTAGTTGTGATTAAGATCATTGACATTTGATCAACAGTTTTATCGAAATGTATTTATATCAATTGAAGGAAAATTTGATTAGTACAATTTAATTATATATTCCAATTTAATTATACTAATCAAGTTGACTATTGATTATCGGGAAAAAGTAATTGTAATCATTTACACGATAATTTGTTTAGTTGAAAACAGTACAAATTAAATTGTTATCGTTAGTTTTTCAGAGATTTTCAATTAATCACCAAAGAATCAGATTAACAATCAACTGATCAAACTAATTGAAGATTATCTTGTTCGATGTTGATTATTGTTGTTGATGATTTAAGTCGATTGAAAATCTGATTGATTTTTATCGATTTAATTATAATTCAATTTGTTTTCGATAAAATCAAATGAATATTTTATAGTAGGGATAAGATAAATTGTTTAATCTGATAAAATGATGAGGTTTCAAGATTAAAATTTATCATCAGATCAAGAGTGAAAATTTAATCTAATGGACAACACACAAATTAAATCAGAAACATTAATCCATAGGATGGACAAAGGATAAGCAATGATGATCTAGAAACATTTCAAAATAATTAGCTTAGACTCTCTTTCTTTTTTAACTACTCAGATGATTAGTTGATGATCAACATGAAAATTAGACTTGTTGAGTTGATCACTTTTTAGCGTTGACAATTTGAACGAAATCTTTTTTCAAAGAAGCTCCACCAACAAGGAAACCATCAATGTCTCCTTCTTTTGCCAACTCTTTACAATTACCAGCGGTAACTGAACCACCGTAAATGATTCGGGTGGCAGCTGAAACTTCAGCGGAAACTTTTTCCTTCAACCATTGTCTAAGCTGAGCATGAACTTCTTGAGCTTGAGCTGGTGAAGCTGTTTTACCAGTTCCAATGGCCCAAACAGGCTCGTAGGCGATCACAACACGACTCCAATCTTTAACGTTTTCTGTAATACGATTAGGGGAAAAGAGGATTGAAGCAATTTGATTATGAGCAAAATGTTTAGTTCAATTTGTCTCCAATTTATTACTTACTGGAAATGGCGGACATTTGAGCGAAAACAACATCGGTTGTTTTACCGGCTTCTCTTTCCTCCAATAATTCACCAATACAAGCAATTACTGAAAGTCCTTCATCTAGAGCATGTCCAACCTTCTCACCAATCAACTGATCGAAATGATAAATGAATGAAAGAATATTAGAATTTAGATGAAAATGAGAAAATTGATTGATTCAATTGATCTAAATTAATCATTATAAGACCTATGAAATAGTATCCAAGGGCGTAGGAAATTATTGGTCATTCATTGAGAGTAAAATTGGCTAGAGTTACCAATCATGGTGACCATCAATTATTGACAATTAAATGTATACAAATCGATAAATAAATTAAACTAACCTCATCTTTTTCACCGAAAACATTTCTTCTTTCAGAATGTCCAAGAATCACCCATTTAAGGCCAATATCTTTAATCATTGCTGGACTAATCTCACCAGTAAATGCTCCTGATTTAACCTTGTAGCAATTTTGAGCAGCAAGGGAAACATTGGCTGGTAAAACAGTTTTAGCATATTCCAAGTAAATTGCTGGAGCACCACAGACAATTTCTGAAAATTAAAACAAAATACAAAAAATAGCAAAAAAAAGGTTAAAAAACCAACAGAATTAAATTTAAACCAATTGATTACTCACCAACTTCCGAATCCAAAGGCTCACCCAAGAAATTAGCAATCTCACTAATCATTGCCTTGGATCCATTCATCTTCCAATTACCACCGACAAAAAACTTTCGACCCATGATCACTTGTAATTATTTAATTAAATTGCAGCGAAAAAATAAATCAAATTGATTAAAAAATAACGAGACAATCAAATGACAATCAAAGGGATTTTTATTAAACCCTTAAGGTAGGCATTAAACCTAGATGATCTCGTGGTTTCCCATATGGGTTAACCTGATCACCTCCCATGGCGGACTGCCATCTAGGGTTACAGAAAAATTATATCGTTTTTACAAATTAAATTGTGAGTATTTATAATTTCATTCATAATATTAATAATAATAGAAATTTTTTTCTTTTTTTGTTGTTCGTCTTCATTCAATGACCATGACCAATTTAGTTCTTGTTTGGTTATTCCTTTGATGTGATCTTCTTTAGTGAAGACATGAAGAGGCCAGTTTGATTGATTTTCGTTACAGCATAAGAATTTTCGTCTATTATTAATTTTTGGTATTAATTTCATTATTTCTTTTGGTATTGTCGTCTTTTTGTTTATTTCTGGTATGAATAAGTTGAGAAAGTCGTTTTCCATTTTCCAAGCATCATTCCTTATTATTTGTATTTTTTCATTGATTAGATTTGTTAATTCGATTCTTGTTATCCAATTTGATCGATGAATTTTTGCATTTTGGTTTGATGTGTAGTTTTTTATCCATTTTTTGAAGCAAAATGTCCAACTTTTTAGATTATTTGAGCATATTATTGCGAGTATATCGATGTTAGATCTTGAGTATTTTAATGTTGATAATGAGTTGAAGATTGTGTCAATTGGTAGGTGATTTAAGTATTTTTGTTGGAGTGTTGTGATTATTGCTTCCATTGCACGTATAAGGGTAACTTGTTGAGTGGGATGTCGATAAACTTTAACATTAGCAATAATAATATTATTATTATCTATTGTTATATTTAACCATTGATTTATATTTGAGATTTTTATCTCCATGGTACATTTACAATCCTTGATGATTTGTTGTTTCCATTGAACGGCTTCTGAATGATATGGAATTTTTAATATTTTATATTTTGGCAATTGATGGTTTTTGTCTTTTATCAGGTCCCATTTTTCTTCGGTGATGATGTAATGCAAGAAATCATGTAATAATTTGTCCAATATTGAGTTGGCTCTAAATTTAAGTAAATTTGACCATCGACCACTTCCCCTTGTCCCCATGAGATTCATTGTTGTCTTGTGTATTATTTGTTGAAGTCTAGAGTAATTAAGAGCAATATTATTAGAGATGGCAAATGAAAATCCAATACGGTAAAGTTTTGGATTTATTATTGATTCCAATAATAATTTTCTTAATTGGCATGGGAGGTAGGGTATTAATTTTCTTGATTTGACGAATTGTGATTCTGTTGAGTTGATTGCTTGTCTGATTATTTGTTCACTTGTTTTTGCTTTGAACGGCATGTTCACTGATATTCCAACTAATTCAAATGTATGATCATTTTTGTTTATTAATTTGGTTTTTTGAGCGTTAATTTTTAAGTTTATCTTTTCCATCTCTTTTTCAATTTGGTTTAAAGTTGATTGTTTTTCTTTTTTATGTTTTCCAATTATCGGGATGCAAATATCATCAGCAAAGCATCTAATTTTTATGTCTTTTCCCTTTAATTGTCTAACTGCTATATCCAATGATAGGTTAAATAGAAGAGGTGAGCATGATGTTCCTTGCATAAGAGCTGTTGATTCTTTGCAATAAAGAATTTTATTATTAATATTAATTCTTAGCCATCGTTCTCCGCAAAAAGATGTTAATATTTTTGCCAATTGTGGTTGGGTTTTTTCCAGTTGTATTAGTGCAAGTGATGGATCAACTTCATCGAAGGCTTTTGATAAGTCGATTTGTAGATATTGATTAGTTTTTTCTTGTATTGAGTCTAACCAGAACTTTTGTCTTGATTGGTTTACCAAGAATCCATATTGAGTATTTGGTGATAAGATGTTGTCAATGATTGATTGTAAACGATTTGCTAGTATTTTATCAATTATTCTGAATAGAAAGTTTGGGCTTTTTACCATACGTGCAGTTTTACCGTCCGGTTTCGGTACGAATCCAACACCTAGTATTCTTATACAACTTGGAATGTGGTTAAATTTCATTATTTCGTCAATGATATTAATAATAATATTTGTGTTGTTTTTTGTAAATCTTTCCCATGATTTCCATGTGAAGTCGTCAGCATCGAAGCTTGATGTTTTCTTTCCTTTGGTACACCATTTTTTGATTTCAATTTTTTCTTCTTTGGTTAGGCCTTGTGATGTTCGTTTTTTTGGTGGATCTTTAAAGTTTGGTTTGTTTGTTGAGAAGTTTTTCAGATGATTATCAATTGAGTTTTTAAATGATATTATTTCTTCTTCATCTGAGCAGTTTAGTATGATTCGTTCTTTTGTTCTTAATTTTTTGTTGATAAATTTCCAAATTTTTTTCGAGTTTCCCAGTAAGTGATAATAGTTTGTTGGTGTTCGAGCTTTTGAGAGTTTATGATTGATTCTTGATTCAATTGCTGCGAGTGTAACACTAATATTATTATTAATATTATTTTTTTGATTTTTTTCCTCAGGTTGTTTCTTTTTCGAAGGAGATTTCTGAGACCATTTGATAATTTAGAAGTTGGTACTTGTATCCATTGGCCATTTTTGTTTGGAAATTTCATAATCTTGTTACAATTTCGAATGATTGAACTTTCTTTTGTTAATATTTCATCTTCCATTGGTTCAATTCGACAGTTCCAATTATTTATTTTGATTACTCTTCTGTTTTGGTGGAGTTTTTTCATTTTTTCCATTTGGATATCACAATTTGCTATTAGTAATGAATGATCTTTTTTACCCATGTTGATTACATCATATTTTTTACTTTTGATTGATTTTGATATTAGAATTGCATCTATCCAACTACCTTTACCTCTCGTGAATGTTGGTTTATCTGGTGATGGTTCTATTGCTGAGGTCCAATTCTTGAATAGAAATTGTGGTGTATTAGTACTTGAATCATTAATTGGTGACCATAATTTATCTTGATGGTTGAAGTCGGCACATATTATTTTGTTGTAATCATTTGAATGTGTATTTATAAATTCTGGCCAAAAAGATTTGTGTTTCTTGTGGTTATAAGATGATGAGATTTGTAATTTATCACCAATAAGAATACAAATAATATTATTATTATTATGTAATTCTTTACCAATGAGGTTTGGTGACAAGGCCAACATTGAGTATTCTGAGAACCAGAAATTTGGGTTATTGCTGTATCGGAGTCTGATTGTTTGTGCGTATTCATTTAATGATAAAATGAAATTTGAATTGGCGATGATTTTATCAATGAGTTCTTGGGCTTCTTTTATGTTACCACAGCAATTATAATGAATTATCGTAGCATTTAGCGTGGAATCCATTGTAGATATGTAGACACTTATCACAGAGTTTATAAGATGGTCTTTTCGTTATCGGCAATTGATTATTATTAATATTAATTGACCATTTGTTTTCTTTTACTTTGGATATGAATTCTTGATCATTGGTGAATATGTGTATTAGGAATGATGAGTCTTTATGTTTCTTTTGAAATATGAATTGGTCATTTGTATCTTCTGATTCTAATTCATTTAGTAGTTGATCTATTAGGTCTTCTTTATTTGATGTAATCACAAGCCATTCCCAATTTGGTATTATTATTAATATATCTTGTGTTTCCAATCCAAGTAGTTCCAATAATATTAATCGTGGAATTGGTTGAATTAAGTGGAGTTGATATCGAGCACTTTTTTGACCTTTAATTGATGAAATTAATTGTGTGTTTACTATTTTTTCAATGATGTTCAATGATTGTTCAGTTGAATATAATATTATTATTTTTTCATACCAAAATTCAATCAGTTTAATTTCTTGTTGATCATCTGAGTTTTTTCTTTTTCTTTTCTTTTCAGGCACAGTTACTTTTTCACTTGGTTGATTTGTTAATTGGATGTTTAGAGAGTCAAAAATTGAGTCAATTGATGTTAAACTATCATTTGATCCCTTTAATTGTTCACTGTTTTTTAACAAGTTTAATATTTTAATTGTGAAGTCTAGATGATTATCAATATTTGCTGGTTCGTCTAACCAATTCACTGTGCACAAATTAATAATATTAATAATTGTTGTTCGAGAAAGATTTAATTTTTTTAGATCAGAAGTTGAAGGATTTGGTTTAATAGCTATTAGTTGTTCAAGAGATGAGACTTCGCTTTTTAAATTTAAATGGTAGTCGCCATTTTGAATAAATTTAAAAAGCCATGAAAACATGATAAACGGAAACGGAAAATGAATTTTTTTTCATGTATTCAGAATCGAATTTTTTAATTTTTAATTCTAAATTGGCTTTAAACGCTACCTGGTGATAAAAAGGTGATGCTGTTCGCGGTTTTTTTCACTTTGTTTTTTGCTTTCATTTGATTTACTTTAAACTCTTGTTTTGATTTTTGTTTTGTGATTTTCATTTTCGTTTTTGTTAATAGTAATAATAATATTATTATTATTAATTATGAAGATTAAGGTTGATTATTGTAGTGGTCCTGATTTTATGGAATTACTAGTTTGTGGTATTTGTCGTAATATTACAACTCGTTCTGTTTTTCATGATGGTGGTAATAATCAAGATTTTTGTCAAGGCTGTTTTTGTGAAGCTTGTGCCATGGCCTGGAGTGTCAACACTTTGAAATTTATTGAGTATAGTGGAAAGACAATCACCAAGTGTCCTAATGAGAAATGTATGATTACTTTTCGACCTCCATACTTTCGTCGACCAGGTATCATCGAGCGAATTATTCATTCTAAAATCATTGTTCGATGTCCAAGATGTGCTATTGAAATGGATGTTAATGAATATGTAACTCATTGTGCTCCATGTAAGCAACGAGTAGCTACTGTTGGTGCTGTTCGGCCGTTTAATATTATTAATAATATTAATATTACTGAGGCTACCCGACCAGTTCTTAATAATATTATTGCTCGAACCAAGTGTCAAGTTTATTCTAATAATGGTAATCAAGCTGCTAATTTTCGTGTTCAAGGTAAAATTAAATTAGCTGTTCGAACTGCTGGTGAGCGAATTGTTTATCATTTTAAGCCTGAGGCGACTATTGATGAGGTGATGAGGATTATTGGTATTTCAAAGAATAAAAATCCTGATGAACTTGATTTGGCTTTATCTATGCATTGGTCAATTCGCCAATTTGAGACTCTTGCTGATTTCTTGGATAAAGTTAATCCCCGAGGTGATCTTAATCTTATTCCTGTTGGAACCAAGTTTGGTGAAGCTTCTTATGAATTACGAGTTGCTGTTTTGAGTCAACATCCACGGCGTCATCGGCCTGAGGAAGGTGAACAATGATCAATATTATTATTATTATTATTATTTGTATCCATTAATATTAGATAATTTGATTGAATTTCTGATTGTGAAGAATTTTGTTTTGAATTTCTGATTGTGAACAGTTTTATTTTGAAAAGATTTTGTTAACAAATAATAATATTACTTGTATTCATTGTTTAAAGAGATGATATCAAAAAAAAAACCTCTGTGAGGAAAAAAAGAAATCTCAATTTGATTATATTTAGAACATTAAATATTGGTAAGAAAATTCTACTTTACTTGCTTCTATTTCAATTTTTTTCATAAATGGTAAGCAAGTAGAGGTAATCGGAAAGTGGCCTTTGATTCCACAGGTAGAGCAGCAAATTTTTTCCTTATTTGATTTTTCTGCACAAAATTTGAATGAATGTGAACCACCACAAAATCGGCATCGGGTTTGATTTGAACAAGAGCCTTTGTAATGTGTTAGTTCATGACAATTTGTGCAATAAGCTATTTCAAAGAAGTCTTTTGCTCTGATTGATGAAAGTCCAGCGTTGATTAAGCCCATTCTTTCTTGAATTAATGATCTTACTGCCGGTGAAACATTCAGGATGATGTCTTTTGAGCCTTTCTGATCAATGAATAATCTATGAACTGAAGTAAATTCATTTCTGAGAAATGGATTCATTGAGATTAATTTGTTTAGAATGGTTTCGGCTGTTGATTCTTTAAATGGAACTCGTTGTATCTTTATCTTTGGTAGTTTGGGTTTAATTTTATCAATTTTGATATTATTAATAATATTAGTAATATTATTAATTGAGTTGTTTAAAGATTCATTATCAAAACAAATGATTTTCACTCCATTTTTTGTTTTGTGAATTCCATTTACCATTTCCAATAATAATTCACCTTCGTTTGTTAAGTTGACTATTTGTTCAAATAAAGCTTCGTGTGAAGAGTCACATGTGAGAATAGCCATTGGTTTCATTAGGTTATTTGTCCATGGTAACCAAGTTGACGGTATTTCCAGTGATTGATTATTATTCAGTCTTTTTGAATTTATATTCTTAATTTCTTGGTCCGATTTTCGTTTATTTGATGTATGCTGTTCCATGTCATTTGCAATTTCAAACTCCAATATTGGTTCTAATATTATTGATGATTGAATAGGATCTATAATAATATTAGATTGTTCATTTAAAGGTGATGGTTGGAAATTTTCAATGATTTCAGGTATTTGTTCAATTATAACTTGTTGGTCTTTGGGTTCAAGATCAGCTTCCATTGCTTTTTTAAATGCACATAACATAAACCATTTGTTGCGACCAATTTTATATGTTTCTCGATGGACCGGGTCAATTAATATGGTAATGTCGTTGATATATTGTTGTTTTTTAGATGTTGGCCAGTTAATTAACTCTTCCCGAAATTGTTCCAATTTGTAATTTTTAAAGAGAGCTAATCGTTTTGTTAGTCGTTCCTCTTGTGGAAGAAGATCATAATCATCAATTGGGTCCATTTTTGTTTTAAGTGAAAATTTAGGATCACTAATAATATTAGTTGTTAATTTTGATGAAAGTATAATCTAAGTTGATTTAATTACACTTTGTACTGTAAATAAAGAAAGAAGATTTGGTAATTTATTAGATTGTGGTTGTTTAATATTAACGGAAGTTCATCTTCCTTACGGAAGTCATGGTATTTGTAGTCAATGTATTTGTAGTCAATGTATTTTTAGTCATTTTTACTATTATTATTATTATTATTTTTAATTACGAACCTTTTAAATGTTGTATCGGGTGTTAAAGTGGCCACAATGTTCACAGGTTTATGAATTTTTTTCAGTTTTAATCACTAATTTCATTTATTTTTAGGAGCACATTGATCACTCAAGGGAAACAGTAAATCTACTCGACAATTTTTTCTATTCTGTTTCCATGGTAACAATTTCTAAGGTGAAAATAGAAAAATTTTGTTCTCATGGTTCAGCTATTCACACATTTTGTTTTCTTTTTGATTTGATTTGGTGTTTTTTTCGTTTAATTATTGATTTAATTTGCAATATTTTCGAAGTTGTTTTATTTTTTGTTCGATTTAAGGTAACTCTTTAACCAAATTCGTTTTGTTTCAAATAAATGATCTGTTTGGTGTTTCTATGTGTTTGATTTGCTTTTTGTTTTCTTCTTCATGTGTAGTTACCATAATGGTGGAAGATTTTGACTCAAGTGATCTGGAAATAGACGAATTGCCGGATTTTAATCGACAATATTTAAATTCACTGGTAGAAGTGATTAGTTCAAAGGCTGGTAATAATTCTGATTACCATAAATATCACCATTACATGTTGGATAAATTTACGGAAACTTGGGCTGATGAGGAAAAAAATGACTACCAGAAAGAAATTGGATTTAAAGAGTTTGCTTGTCCGAGAACATGTAAATTTTGTGGATGTGTCAGAAGGAAGCTCAAAATTCGTACCAAGAAAGTAAAAAGAGTTAAAAGGAAATATTATTTTCTAATCTGTAGATTTTGCAAGAAATCAATATTAATCAATAAGCTCGGATCAAACTTGGCCAAAGTCTTGGAGAAACAGCAACAAAATGAAGCGATAATAAACTCAGGAGCCACAGTAATGCCAAGAAAAAGATCGAAACCTAAACCTAAACCAAAACCTGTTGTCGAAGACAAGCCCGAGGTTGTTCCAGTAATTAAGACGAAAAAGATTGAAAATTTCAACCACGAAGACACATTGAAACAATTAAACTTTTTATTAAAAGGTGGTAATGGTGGTAAAAAGTTAAATATCAATGAACTTCAAAGAAGCAGATTGATGGATCTCTTGATGTAAATAACTTCTTTTGTTATATATTTAAAAATAACTACAATTGTAAATACATGAAAAAGTAAGATTTATAATTTTGAACGGATATTTCAAAACTCATGAAGTAAATACTCGGTCAATCAATTAATAATCAACAAGTGATAATAACTACACACACATAGAAAAATATTCAATCTTTGTAATATCTTCTCTTAAGTGCTCGATATTTTTTAAGCTTATACAAAGCTTCAATCTCTTTGATCACATATTCACCACGTTGGAGACACTTTTCAACCGCTGTTGAATCATTTAAATCCTTATTATTGAGAAATGAACGTTTACATCGATCTCGAAAATGAGTGAAACCCTGAGGCCATTCAATTCCCATATAGAGAAGCTATTGAACAAAATGAAGAAACAAAAAAAAATTAATTCTCTAAATGCTCACAACAGAAAAATTAACATTGACTACTTACTCTTTTGTACAAATCCAGGACCTTCGCTCTTTGTGACATCCTAACAGAAATGAAATTAACAAAAATCAAAGCGAGTGAAACAATTAAAACGTAATTAAATTGTAAACAAAAAAAGATAATTTTTCAAGAATCTAATCATTGTAGTTATAAATTCTGCGTCCAGGTCTCGCCACCAGCGGAGAATCAGTTTAAGTTTTGGTTGATCGTTTAATTTGATTAATTGTTTTGGTGATTAAATGTTCATGTTACCTGGTTTCTAATTGATTCAATGGAACAAGGAAGTTCAATTTAAATTCGTTAATCACTTATTTTCCTTTAAAGAGAAGCAAATTACCTTTAATTGGTTCGATTTGTTTATCATCAGCTGATTGAGTTTCTTTTTGTTCAAATGTTTGATGTTTTGTTTTCTGTGATTTTGATTGTGATTTATTGATTGTCTCCGTTGTTTTTAATCAAATGAATTTATGTCAATTTGATTTTTTTTGTAAAAATTTGTTCTCAATATCTTTGTGATTACTTCAACTCGATTTAAATGAGAGTTGGTTAGTTAATCGATTACTATTTATAAGATTTTATTCAACTCAACGGATTTACCATGAAAAGAAATAGTTTACGTTGGATTTTTAATTGTCATCGATGGTTTCCAACTAAAGATGATCTTTTAATTGCTTTAAGTTGTATTCAAGAGGAAGAGAGGAATAGAATATTTAATTTCGTTTACAAGAAAGACGTTAAACTTGCCTTGATTGGACAATTAATGTTACGTCGATGTGTCTCTGATTGTTTGGATATTCATTATGATCAAGTTTCATTCAGAAGGACTGACAAAGGTAAACCAATTTTACCTGATCAACTACAATTAACTGATGGTGAACCTTTTGATTTCAACATCTCTCATGATGGTGATTATTGTGTTCTAGCTGCTGATTCAATCGATAAGATTGGTGTTGATATTTCGAAGGTTAAACAATCAAATCAACAATCAACTGATGAATATTTTAAAACAATGGAGAGAATATTTTCTCCGCAAGAATGGAAGTTAATTAAATCTCAAGATCCAATGACAATTAATCAAAGTCCATTACATAGATTTCATCGCTTTTGGGCCTTGAAGGAAAGTTTTGTGAAAGCGAAAGCAATTGGAATCGGTTATGAATTACGTCGTATTCAGTTTAATTGTCCAACAATTAATGTTCCAATTAATCAAATTGTCAATGATACTTTGGTTAATCATGATGGTCTTTTGTCCAACAATTGGATGTTTGAAGAATCGTTGATTGATGGTAATCATTTCATTTCTGTGGCTCTTTCTGCAGATGATTTGACTTGTTTTCGTCAACAATCAACTAACAATTTTTTCCAATTTGTACAATTTAATCAACTAATCAATCCAAATGTTCATGTAGTTGTTACCGATGATTTTTGGGTTAAATATAATAACAAAGAAGAGGGTAGACATGTTTAAATTGCTCCTTTGGAATTAGTTTTTTTGTTTATTGTAAAATTAAATGCGATGAATTTGATGATACAATTTATCAAATTAATGTTGATTTTTGTTGTTTTAAAATCATTTGAGTAGATAAATTTAATCCTCACATACGAAATTTGGATGAACAACTAAAACAGTGTCAGCATCTGATTCTGATTCTGCTCCTTTTAAAGAAATTAAGATTCGATCGATGTTGACAAGACGATCGATCACTTTTTCACAGAGTAACTTTTTGGACACCAATTCGGTTTCATCTTCATATTCTTGACCTTCCAAGTACCATTCGATTAAACTTGATTTGGTCATTCCTTGATAATCGTCTTGAGGTGGGTGGACAGTTTCATCTCCTTGGTCCATTCTCTCTTCGAATTCTGGTGATTCTTGTCCATCTTCATCGATTCTTCTTCCTCTTGATTCTCTTCGATCCTCCTCTTGACGTAATTTGGTCGCAAACGCGTTGGCCATCTTAATGTACTCTTCGTGAGACAATCGGATAGATTTTGGTGCCACTTGGTCATCGTCTGCTATTTCCTCTTCCATTTCTTCTTCTTCCACCGGAGCTGCGACTGATTCATCTAAAAGAGAGATGTCAGGTTGTTCAACTCGAACAATTGATTTATTAAGTAATCGAGCTGCTTCTCTGACGTGATTAATGGTCACTTCACTGGAGAAATGGAGTTTGGCGAGGGCTTCAGATAATCGAACTAGAGATTCCAATTGTCTTACTGTGATTCTCCATGATTGTTTGGCACTTCCAGCGAATCCAGTTGCAAGTGCACCTTTATCACCTCTCAAAGTTTTGTAAGTCTCAACCATTTCATGTTCAGCTTCGGGTGTGATTTTTGGTGCGATTTTTCTGGCTTCTTTTATGTACTTCTTAACTTGTTCTAGTGAGTAAATTGTAGTTTCAGCCTCGTCAACATCATCAAAAGCATTCGCATGCATGTCAACTATCTTCCGGGCGACCTCATAATCAGTCCTTTCATTGGCCTCATCTAAAAGCACAAAGAAAAGATCAAATCGAGACATAATAGGTAGAGAGAGGGACAAGTTGTTCCTTAAACTTCTTGAACGATCATAATGACCACCGATCGGATTGGCAGCAGCTAAAATGGAGGTTCGAGCATTCAAAGTAGCTTTAACACCCGCTTTGGCAATACTAATTGTTTGTTGTTCCATTGCTTCATGGATAGCAACTTGATCACGAATATCCATTTTGTCAAATTCATCAATACAACAAATACCTCGATCAGCTAACATCAATGCACCAGCTTCAATCACAAAACCACCTTCTTCATCCCTGACAACAGCGGCGGTTAAACCAGAAGCCGTTGAAGCTTTACCGCTGGTATAAACTGCCTTAAGAGGAGCAGAGTCGGTGATCAACTTGAGAAAACAACTTTTGGCTGTACTTGGATCACCAACAATACAAATATTAATATCTCCTCTTAAATGAGTACCTTCTTCGGTAAATTTACCAACACCACCAAAAAGCTGTAAAAGTAAACCCCTTTTGATGTCATCGTGACCATAAATAGATGGAAATAAACTTGCTACCAGTCCGTCGTATAATCGTTTATCAGCGGCCATAGTTCTGATTTCTTCCATATCGGAATCTTTGAGATGATTTTTCTCTTGATTTTTTTCTTCTTCAATTTTTTGTAATTCTTCCATAGCAGCGGGAATAGAACTTCCTTCACGAACACAACAATTGGCCAAGAAGGCAAGTTTGTAGGTCATTTCTTTCACACCCAAAGTTTTCAGTCCAGAGATTCCATCACCTAATGTAGCATTACCACGATTACCACCAGAGCCAGATTCAGTTTTGATGGCTCCAGCCTGAGCAGTGAACATTTGTAAAACATCAGGAACAACAATTAAGGAACCAATGAAGTCACATCGTTCACCAGCTTGAACACAATCAACCTGTTCGGCTCCACGGAAGATAATGTCTAAACTTCTGGGCATACTACCTCGAGGTATTTCAGCTTGAGTTTCTTGGATTCTAAGCTTTTGAAAATCCACAAAACGAGATTTGTGTAGAACAAGTTTGAACCTTGATCTGTTGGCACACAAATTGTTTCTACAAATAACGGGCTGGGTGAATTTAAATTGTTGAATAACATTTGGAACCTCAGTTCCACAGTCAAGACACTCGAATGTACCATTAATAAGTTCGGGGTGAACAGGGTGTGTTCGAATAATTTGACCTATGATTCAATAGAACGAGAACAAAGAACATTATAGGAAAGATTAAAAGAGAATAAAAAATTGTCAATTATACCTGAAATTCTTCGTAAAGCTCCAATTGAGTTGGTCTTTAATTCTCGAATTTTCATCTGTAAGGCAACATTGTAAAAACCGACGAACAAATCTTTCTTAAGAACATCTCGGATCTGTTTAGTTTCTACCTCATCTTTATCCCTAAGAGTTTCATCTTTAACAAAGGCAACCAGAGCACGACAAAGAAAGGGATAAATACGATAATAAAATTCCAAAATAGTTGAATAAAGAGCAGGATCAAATTTTTGAACATCTTCAAAATCAACATAAAGTGTATTTCGATCTGGACTAAGCAGATTATAAGCATCAGCGGCATATTTAGCTTTATCCGAATCGGGATCATCAGAATAACCTGTAAGAAAATCTCTGAACAATTTTTGAACTTTCTCAGCCAAGTCATCTTTTACTTGAATTGCCTGACCAATAATAGTATCAGCAACATCCATGATTAATTATTGTATTACTTTAAACGAAGAAGAAAAGAAAAATGATAAAATAAAATGGACGAAACAATAAAAACACACAATGAGTGTATACACACAAAGCAGAAGGGAAAAATTTTCTTCACAAAAAGAAAAAGAGAAACAAAAATTAATCGATCTTTTCAAAAGTGGACAACAGTTGAGCAGAAGAAATTGATAATCAGCCAATACCAGAGAACAATTAAAACACAAATTGTAAATTGATAATATAAAACAATTACTAATAAAATTGATCAAGTTAATTGTCCTTTTAATGTTTAAAGTCTCACAGAAAAACACCCAAGCTTTTTGTTCATTTTGGCGCTAAAAGAGTGGAGAGAAAGACTAATTGTCACACCGAGAGAAGCGAATCAAAGAGAAGCGCCAATTTCGAATTGAGTGATTTTCTTTTTTTTAATGAGATTAATTAAAGAATAATTTTTGCATTCGGAGATTAATCTAAATGTATTTTTTTTAGGAACTACGAAAGTTTTTTTATTATTTTTCAGAGGTAATTATGATTCTTTGTAAATGCAAAGAGGGTTTTTTATGTTTTTTCTTCTATAAGTGTGTATCAAAAAAAAAGATGGAGAAATAGGTTTTTAGATTTTCATGCTTTTCCTTGTTCAAGTTTCCATTGTTTTCGAGCTTCAATTGATTCCTCTCTCAGTTTCTCGTATCTAGTTTGATATTTTTCTTTCTCATAGGGAGATAAATTTTTCCATTTCTCGGCGACTTCTGGCATCTTTGGTGCATCAGAACCTGACGATTTAACCAGATCAGTATAATCTTTAAGAAACAAACCATAAGCTGAAACGGGTCTTTTGGGTTTAGCTGCTTTTGCCTCTTTGGCTTTTTGAACTTGCATCTTACTAAAAGCATCCAAGACAACCAGCATCTCTTTAATTGTTATCTTTCGGGTGACAAATTCTGTGTAAACTTGTTTCTTATCCTTATATTCATGATGTTCTTTAGCTGAAAGCTCTTCATAAGGTTGTTTCATTTCCAATTTATCCCATTCCTCTTCGATCAACTTTTTGGCATCATTTTTCTTTAACTCTTTGTTATCCTTTTTCATCTCTTCATATCTGTGGTCAAAATAAATGTTAAACGGACTTCGAGGTAACTTAGGCTTCTCAGGAATACCATTAAAATCAAAAGGCAATTTAATCGAGGTAGAAGAGGCCTCACGACGAGCCTTACCAACAGCCGATGCCGATACTTTAGACTCAAGTCCAGTAGTTGTACTTTGGTTTGTTGTTGTATTTGAAGTCGACTCACCGAGACCAAAAAAACGTATCTGATTGGAAGTCATTATAAGAGATCGTAAATTACGAGTGACAAAAGCCATGGTGATAAAACTAATTAACAAAAAGAAAGTCAGAAAAGAAGAAAAAAAAATATAAACAAATAATATAATTACAATTAAATTAAATTTTCTCCGAGAAAAAAACAAAATCCTGTCAACATGTTTCTCTTTGAGGGAAAGTTAATATATTACAGATTCGTTTCTCCAAAAGAAAAGTAAAACTTGGAAATAATTTAATTTTCGGTAAAATTGTTTAATTGTATTTAGATTTTAATCATTGGACTAATTAAACAATTAACTCATTCAAATGAATATCAAATATTTAGATATAATAAGTTACTTGATGATAGTAATAAAAAAAGAAAATGGATTCAAACAGTTAAATGTGAACTTATTTTATCTTCAAGTTAATTGTTTCTAAATTAATTAATTGTCCAACTTTGTTGTCCATTTAATTACAACCAATTAGTCTGATCATCATGACATGTTAGCTAATCTGTTTAATTATTGCTGTTAATCTTAATACCATTAAACACAATTAACAAACAGAAACGATTAATGACCTCATACAATTAACGAAAATCAAAAGAAAACTTTTATTAATTTCTAATTGTAACAATTAATTAATTAATTAACCAATAAGTTACTACAAAATTGATTTGGCAAAAGTTAATTGTTTTGTTTTTCTTACAGTTAAAATATTAATCAATTGTATTATCTAATTAAATGTTGGACAAGAGCAATTTATTTTTAGGTGAAAAGTTGTTAATTTTTTAATTGAAAGAAATCAACAAAATGATTTACACTAAATTGTTACAATTAAGAATTCATTTGACCAATTAATTAATATTTCGTCTACTTTTCAATGATCAAATTTAATATACAAATACATGAGCAATTTAATGGTGAAACTATTAAACTCGTTGATTAAATTGATTAAAATTTAATGAATTACAATTAAAACTTTTGTTGGTGAGAAAAAGTGAAAGCAAAGTGTCAATTAATTAATCTAATTGTTAAGAGAGAGAGATAAAAATAAAACAGTATAAACATCAAGGTTGGACAAAATTGATAATCATCGAGTTAACTGTAACAATCAAGTTAATTGTAAATAATTTAACAAACAATTTGTGATAGAAGAAAAAAAAACTTAAATATATTAATAGAATGAGATGAAAGCGTTTCGAGAGAAATTAATTTAATCATTAATATAATACGAATATGAATTAATCGAAGCAAATCAAAAACTCATCAACAACTGAATCAACTAATTATCCTCCCACAATTACCACCCCTTTTATTTTGACTAATCTACATGAGGATTAATCCTCTTCCTTATCCACCTTCATCCTTATCCCGCTTCTAATCAATGGATGAGTAAATTTAATCCACTTTAAATTAGTTGTAGTTAACATTTTTACCTTAACGATGGACATGAAATGACCAAGTGTCCAAGATGCTGATGATTAAGGAAGATGAGAGAGAAAAATATTAAAATAAATTAATGATGATCAGTATCATGAACAAGATAATTACTCTGATGATGATGATGATGATGATGATACTGAGAGATTGTTATGGTCAGCTGATTGTAGGGAAAAAAAAGATTCAACTTGAAGAAATTAACAAGAAATTAACTGAACCAGCTCAGAATCAAGATTATGATTATAATCATAATGATGATAATGATACTGTTGATGATGAAAAAAACAACAAGGATGATAAATTGTCCACCTTTGAATAACAGTAAAATAATTAAGTTTTTTTTCTTAGCGAGAGAAGAAAAAAAATTCAATGTTTGATTAACAATCAATGAATTAGAATGATATTTTTAGCGAGTTTAATGAATTATCATTAGTTAATTGTTGAAGCTTTAATAAAAATTTAAACAAAAATAATCGTTTAATTGAAAAAGTTTGTTAATTGTGTTGATATCAAGTCGAAATTAAGTCCGCCCAAAAAATCAACAGAAAAAAATCCAAGTAGAACAAGTTAATTACTCTCTCCCTCTCTCTCACTCACTCACTCACTCATTCACTCACTCACTCACTCACCTTCTCACTCTATCTTCCAGCTCACTTGATTCTCTATCATGATTATCTTCATTTTCACATTTTGTCAAAATTAACTCAACTTTCTTAGTTACCTTTTAACAATCAGTGTAACCACAAGGTCTTCAACTTTTTTTTTTGTTCATTTACCGTTAATTGTGATTAATATTTTATCATGATTAAGTTAATCAATTGACTTGTGATTTTCTGTGATTGATTGTGTGTTTAATATCCATGGTTTAATTTTAATTTGTTAATTGTTCACATAATTGATAACCCTCTGGATGGATTTTAACTGTTAACCATTTGGAATTGTTCGTTGATTGTTTTTAATCAATTTTCTTTTTCTTCTTATTCCTGAAAGTTAATTGTTAATCTAAAGTGAATCTATTATTTGGCAAAAAGGCATCTAATTGGTGCCCAGAGACATCAATTAAAACTGATCATCAGCCCAACAATCAATCATTTTTACCCAAAACTGTTGCTCGATTAACTATTTGCTATTTATTGGTGTTAATTATGTTTCAATTGTTGATTCTTCTTTTAATTGCTTCGCTTAATTGTAAGTAAAATTTTCTTTTCATTTTCTAAAATTTAATATTTCAAAAACTAAACACACAATTTGAATCAACGTTTCCTGATAATTTTATGGCCAATCAACTAACAATTAGTTAATCATGTTGACCTTAGCACAGAAAACAAGTTGATGTTAGTATTTAATTTTTGAATCTTTTTCAGCGGTTTTCATTGATTATTGGGTGAAAGTTAATTACAATTAGACTTTCCAATTGTATGCAATTGATAATAACAATTCATCATGAATAAGAGGAAGATTAAATCATGATGATCGTAAATTGATTAGAAGATGATTATTGATATTATTGAAAGAATCAAATGAAACTGAATCTTGATTAATGGTCTTGATTTTTTCTCTCTTCAAAATTTCGTGATTCAATTGGGTGTTAAATTGAACGTTTCTTTTTATAATTAACTTAATTTCCTTTCAGTTTACAATTCATCGGGACAACATCATGCTCCACATTATTATGGAAAATATCTTGGGAGTTTATCACCGAATTCAGTTCATTCGGTGAAAGGAAAAGTGTATGCAGTCAATGAAACTGCGATTTTCATTGAAGACTTTTCTTACGACGGAGCTGGACCAGGTAATTTAATCACAACAATTAAGAGAAAATCAAAAGTTCTCTCCATAGCAAACACATAGTACCAATTAAATGATAATCAACCATTGAGAAAATCACTGATTCGATTATTATTGACCAAATATAGAGAGATATTAACTGAACAATCAATCAATATCTTTGAAGTTTAGACAATAGGCTCAATGCAATTAGTTTTAATTATAATTATCTATGGAGAGATAGTTAAAAATAGACTCATATTAATAAGCTAATTGTTGATTTTCAGATGCATATTTTTGGGCTGGTTCCTCTCAATCGCCAGATATAAACGGCTTCATCATTCCCGATTCACTTGGAAGGTTAGTTAACCTTGATTATTACCCTTAATTGTGATTAATATAAATATGAAATTATCAACGTAGTAAAACTCTCGAAGGTTAATCTTTATGGTTGAAAAATATATTGAACGAAAATTACATTTCCGTTTCAAGCTGAACACAAATCTCCAAATTTCCGTGGGATTGAAAACAAACATGGAAAAAGATCCAGGAAACAAACGAGAAAAATTACAAAAGAAAGTGAATTTAAATGATTACAATTAATTGGATTAGTTTAGATCAATTAAATTAACGTTAAATGAGAACCAAAATGAGACAATCAAAGATCTGATTAGCAAATTCAAGCTCGAAGATGATGAAGTGAATTTTTGTTCAAAATTTGAAAACAACGAAAACCAAAGACTCGATTAGTGGCAATTCGCAATTGAATTAACTAATTTTCTTAATTGTTTCACAGATATGCTGTTCTTAAAGGGTATTCCAATCAAAATGTTCTACTTAATCTACCCAAAGGTCGGACACTTCAATCCATTAGGTGGATTTCGATTTGGTGTCGTAGCTTTACAGTGAGTCACATTTTCTTTTGTTATTCTTTCATCAATTCTTATTATTAATTAAAACTGTTGTTTACCTTTTAATTATTTCTTTTCAGGCTGATTTTGGACATATTAAAATACCTGCCAACTTTGAACCTCCCAAACCTCTTAACCTTGGACCTATTAGAGGTTTAGCTCATGGAACCAGCGCTTCAGCGGTGATCATTATGGATGCGAAAACTTTGTTCATCAAGAATCTTTATTATGACGGAGCAGCTCCAGGTAAATGATTCTTATTCAATTCAAATCAATTCAATTCAACTCGAACCTACACATTTACATGTATCTTCATGTAAATGAGAGAGAGAGACACCTTTGCTCTCGTAACACTCACACGAAATGTTGATTGTTTGGCTTGGTGACCAAAAACACTTTGGTCAACCTAAAAACGAGCAAATAAAAAAGAGACAAACCTTATTATTAATTATAACCTTTTACCTTATTCTTTGTAACAATCAAGATGCCTTCTTTTTGGTTGGAACTGGCGCTAAACCACATCCAAGAGGTCAAAAGGTTCCCGATGAAACGAACAGGTAAATGAATGCATATATAAAATTATCATTAACAAAGAAACATAATTAACTGCGTCTCTTAGGCCCTAACAATTAACCTTGAATCTAAAAGTCAATCAATTGACGCATTTTCCAAACGCTAAAAGTATTCATATTTTTTTACTTACTTCGAATGGGAAAACCGAGTTAACCTCAACGAACCTGTCGAAGTTAATTAGAGTCTTTCTATTACTAATTGTTACCAATTCTAACATACACACTGTGTAATAAGTGATAGTTTTTTTTGCTGTTGTTGTTTCGAACAAGAAAAAAAAAGATAAACAAACGTAGATCGAGTACAATTTAGTACCAAACTCACGCAATTGACTAACACGCTTCAGTTATCTTATTGAAGGTCCAATCGTAGTAATAATCGTTTGAAAATATTACACTTTTTTTGCGAAATATTGAGATATTATTCTTATACTAATCAGCTAATTATTTGTAATCAATTTAATCTCAGCTTGGAAAAGCTTCATGGTTATTCTGGTGCTGATGTTTGGCTTCGTTTACCTCGAGGATTGACCGTAATGGATATCGATTGGTTCGGACTTTATTGTATAACTTATCGGGAAGATTTCGGTAATGTTCGGGTTCCCAAGAATCTCAATGTTCCTCCTGATTATGTTTTCCTTGAGAGCAAAGTAAGTTAACTAATCACGATTATTTCCAATTAATTGCTATTAATAATAATCCATTTTAATCCCTGTCGTCAGTTGATTAAGTGAAACAACAATAGTTAGAAAAAAAAACTTAACTATTATTAAATCAACGATATTTGAGTGTAATTATATTGTGTTGATATCGTAAAATTCAAGGTCCATTGGTCAACCTTTTTTTTTTAAATTCATCAACTATCAGATTATTAATATATTTTAAACAATTTAATAATAAACACCTCATTCAATCAGTTCAATAAGATATAAACTGTCCGGTTGTTATTCTGATTATCTCACAATCAATTGATTGTTGATGTGTTTATAAACCATTTTTTGATTGAGAGTTTTTCTCGCGTGCTAATCAACTCACCTCTCGTCACAATCAAATCAAAACTATAAATACTCACCTTTTTTTTTATTAATTCATCACCATTATACTATTATTGTTAATTGATTGTTACAATTGATCAGAATTTGACAAATTAACATTATATAAATTGTTTAGCGATTGTTTGTTTTTTCATTGAGTATTAAAAGGTAACAATTAGACATTTATTGATATTTTCCCTCTGAAATTACAATGTAAATAGAGTAAAGTTTTGGAGTTTCTTGTTGTTGTTGATTGTTAATTGTTGGTTAATTGTTTGATTTTCTCTCTTTCCTGTTAAATAGGTAGAACCCTTTATGAGTTGTTTAACTATTTTCCCTGGATTAATGCAAATTAGTTGGGAAGTTAGAGATCAAGAGATATTTTTCCAGCTCGAAGGAAAAGTCGGTAAGTATCATTATTACAATATTTCCAATAAATTGAGAATCAAATCAATATTGATTGATTATCGATAACCGATAAACAATTAAGAATCTTAAATTGATCACTTAAATTGTTATTGTTAGTGTTTAAAGTTACCAAGAATTAACTTACTTGACTTTTTTTCCTTCACAATTTCAACATGATTGGACTTGCGATTGTGTTTGACTTTTAATTGTGAAACAATTGGAAGGAAATTTGAAATTTCTTAAAGTTGTTAAACCTTAACAATTTACTGATTAGTTTACTTATTATTGTATTTTTTTTTCTTCTTCTTCTATTCCTTTTCATCTTCTTAAATCAATTTCAACAGAACCTAATCAATATTTGGCCTTTGGTTTGAGCGGAAGTTCAGAACGACCTGAAATGATTGGTGCCGATGTTGCCGTAACTTTTTACGACACCTTAACAAGTTCAGTTCAAGTTGTTGATTACACACTGAAACACAAATCTCAGGTAATCAATATACTCAACAATTAACATCTAATACAATTAGTTAACTCCCTTCCTATTACATTTGAAAGTGAAAACTTCCAAATTTGTTTATCATGATAATTATCAATCTATTGAAAATTGATTGCGTTTCGTTATTTTCCCTGCCTCAATATTATTATTGAGCTAAAACTCAGCAAATTAGTTATTAACTATTAACAATAAGAGATTAACAATTAAAAATTCATCTGAATGGGACAGAATATCAGTTGAAAGTTATATTGTAGGAAAAAAATGATAATTCATCAATGAGAATTCATATTTTTTTTTCATCATCATCATGAATCCAGTTAATCGTCATTTACAAGCTTGACAATTTATCTTTAGCTGATCTTTTTTGTTAATTTGTTTTTATATTTCTCTTGATTGCTTGAGGTTTATCCAAGCAAATGATAATTGTTGACAGTTAAAGGGAAGGTAAAAAATGGAAAGTGATATTCAATAGAAAACATGAATTCGTTTGGAAAAATTAATCAAATGGTTGATAGATGGCGAAAAAGATTTTGCTTGAATAATCAATTCTTTTCTTTTCTAATTGTGATTAACCATTTTTTTTCCTGCTAATTTGAACAATTAACTTTACCCAATTAATAAGCTTTCAGGTTAATTCAATGAGTATCTTTTGTCGATTAACAATCAACTCGAAATCATATCTTGTTTTCCGTATTTTTAATTTTCCTTTGATGTTCAACTAGGAAAATGATTTTTTCTTTTATAATCATTAATTGGAATGATTTATTTTCGGTAATCAGGAAGATTGAATTTCTACAATTTAACTTATTCCATATTCATTTGTTATCCCTCAGTGTGCACCTCAATCTTATTCTGGAGCTTGTCCAGATGATTTAACTCTTGGTGGAAGACAAGATTTAATCATGATCTCTGGTAATTATCTTAATGGTTACCTCAAGTCGATTTACAAGAGAAACATAATAACCGGTGATCCAAATGCTGATCAGGAAATTTTACCTGATGAATATGCGACAATTGTGGCCGCTATTGGGCCGGTCAATTCTCGTCGTCAAACCGCTTATCATAATATTAAATATACTCGAGCTACCGATCTACCGATACGAATTGCTTTCAATAAGATTCCTTTGAATCGTAACTGTTCATCTCTTAATACCGATAATCTTATCTCAAGTTCCGTTCGATCGCCAATTAAATCGAGAGCATGGAAACAGGATAGGATAAGAGATACAACCATTTTACGAGCACAAATTGGACCCGCTGGAGGTGATCGGGGTTACACAGCGATTACAGGTCTTCAATCCTGGGGAATTGCTTGGTGGATTAACGGTAAATTAATTCCAGAGATTGTTGTTCAACGAGGTAAAAATTACACCTTCATTGTCGAAGGTGGAAATGACCCATCAAACCAAGCCCAATATCATCCACTTTATATTACCGATAATCGTGAAGGAGGTGGAGGTCAAGATCCATCGATTCTTGATACTCCAGGTCATCGGGTATTCGCTGGGGTTACATTTAATCGAGGTGGTCCTGATCCCAATCCGGGTGCTGGTCGTTACTGTGAATGGAAACACCGATCAGGTATTGATAGAGCAAACGAAGTTGATTCCGTTGAAGAATATAAAGAAACACTTCGATTAGACTGTAAACCCGGAAGTCCGGCCATTTTTACATGGACTCCTGATGATAAAACTCCGGATGTTGTTTACTATCAGGTAAATTACTAAATTACCATCTCATTAACCACTTTTTTAATTGTCTTTCTAATGTTTTTCTGCTCTTTAATCATAGTGTTACACTCATCGGAACCTTGGATGGAAAATCTTAGTTAGCTCAAGTTTGAAACTCACCAACAGTATAAGTTTAATTGCCATTCTAATCTCAGTGTTATTGTTACTTTAATTACGAACCACCAACGAAATTTAGTATAAAAGTTAAACAATGAAAATGATAAAGTTATTTTTTCACTTTTAATTAATTTATAATTTGGATAAACGTAAATATTAATACAATTAACTATGTACATTTTCATACATCTCCAAAATTAAATGGATCCAAAATCGGATCGCAATCAACTCAACACTCAGAATGAATGGAAAGTACAAGAGATGAAACAATCAACATCACCATCATCAAGATGATCATTCAAAAGTAATCAAATCATTCATGTTAACAAATGAACAACATTCAAATCAATTAAATTCGTGTGTGTGTGTGTGTGTGTGTGTGATGAAAACAATCAACATGAGATTAATAATAATCATGGATTAAGTTGAAATAACTGTAAACACAAGTGATCAACTAGAAGACAAAGGAACCACTAACAAAACTGACCATCTCAAAGTGACCTCAAGTTTTAATTATGACTTTTAACCCGTTGGTCTCGCTTGGGATGACAACTGAATCTTGATTGTTACAAGGAAAATGTTTGTCTCAAGGGAATGGTCATTTCAATGATAAACAGACCGTTCCAAGATTCGTATCATCATCGTCATCATCATCATCATCATCTAGCAGCACACAACTATCATCATAACAGTAATCATCATCTAATTTCATCACCATTTTCATCTTAATCATCACCATCATCATCATCATCAACCTTTTGTTTTTAACCTTTTTCTTCAAGTTGACAATTTTTCCTTCAAAACTCTCATGCCAAATAGGAAGACGAGCAAGACGAAAGAGCCAGAAATTGATCACAATTTACTAAATAATATAATTAATTGTCGAAAAAAAAAATCAAAGAAATAATAAAAAAATTAATTAAAATCAAATTTTCTCATCAATTGAAATTGAAAACTAATCATTTGATTAACAAACTTTTGCTGAAAATTTCAACGGATGTTGATCAAAATAAAGGATTTTCATCTTCCGTTGATAAAAACAAATTGATTGTCATCTAATTTAGTTAATTAACATCCGTCAGAAAAGATAATGATTAAAAAACAAACAATTAATTGTTAGCAATAAACATAATAATTGCGCCAATGGTTACAAATTTAATTGTCACTAAAGTTTGGATTGTGACAAGTTAACTAAAATTTACCGTTTACAAACAATCAATTGATTAGTTGATTCAGTATTCAGGTATCAATATTTTTCACTCTTAATTGTCACTATTTATTAATCAGTTGAGGTCATTTGGTTTCTCATTTGATTCGGACAATTAACAGTAACAAGCAACAACGGACACATTGGTTTGTTATTTTTTAACAGTTGGATTAACAGTCAACTGATTAACATTTAAACAACACAATTAATTGTCTATCTACTTAAATTGTTATATTTATATCTCACTACAGTTAAACAATAATCGGTTTTAATCACAATCATAATAATCAACTAACTAATTTGATTCGCTCTCTTAAACTTCCGTGTGACTCTTATTCAGACCAATGATCAGGTCACTTTGAGTTGATTTAGATTCGTATTAATTTTTTTTCGCTTCGACTTCGTAATTTAAATTGTGATTAAGTATCTTTTTCATTATGATCACTTGATTGTTAACCTTTTTTTGGCTAAATTTTGTTAATCATAACCAAACAATGTACACAAATGATCAAATTTTATGAATATAAATTGCGGTGAAAAATGATTAGTCTTAATTTACTTTTCTTGTTGGTTAATCGGAAATTAATATCACTTTTAAGCAATTAGATAATTTGGATTTACAGGAATTGAATAATTTGTTAGATAATTCAAGGTGAATTAAATTTAATTGTTAATTTGCTAGTTGGTTTGATTTAACTTTTCTATTATAAATTGGGAAATGTTAATCATTCTGTATTTGTTTGAGGTTTGTTATTAATTGATTGGAGTTAATTTCATTTCAAATGGACATTAAGGATTGTTAATTAAGGAAAATTCAATTTTCTCAGTTAATTGTCAATTTCTCTCTAATTTAATTGACTGAAAAATCAGTCAACTATTGACAAAATGATTACATCTATGTACATGTTTGTTAATATTGTTATTATGATTACGATTTGTTTGGTGACCAGATTGAAGGTCAGCTTAATGATTAGATGATATTAGATAATTAGTTGACACTAATTTCAATCTAATCAGTAAATAAATGTTAATTTTGTTGACATTTTAAATCAAAACTGTAATCAACGATTGTTATCAATGTTCACTGAATCCATTTGGTTAAATCGTTCCGAGTTTTTACTGCAGTTGAATTTGAATTCACCATTAATAGAAATTAGCATCAATTATTATTTTCTCAAGTGTTTTCGTTTAACCATATCAGTCTGTTAATTAATTTAACTGGAATTGGAGAAAAATATAAAACAATTGAATGAAATGATTCCTAGAAAACGGAAAAGAAAATGTCAATCATCTCGTATTGTCTTATTTTCTTATTACAAATCTAATTGAAATAAATAAATAAGTGATTGTATTAATAATAATACATGTAATTACCTATTGTTTTAATTTCATTGGAAGCCATTTGTTTCTGCAATTAACTGAAACAACCATTAATCTGGTGTGATGAAAGCAGCAAAATTATTAGGAATCAGTTCAACATAATGATCAAGTTGAGATTCAATTCTAATTAAATTGATAATTAGTCAGCATCAATACAATCACAAAGAGATCCATAGAAAGATTTGATTACCAATCCAATTAATTTGTAACTTAATAGTCAGAACAATACTTAGAGATTAATATTACAAGTTAATCTCTGTAATTAACTATTCACCTAGAAAACTAAATAGAAACAAATTAAAAACAATAAGTCAACAATCAAAACAAAAACAAAAACAGAATCAGAAACAGAAATTAAAACAGAAATTAAAATCTAAGAAACTAAAGAGATACCAATGGCCACTGCCAAAGAAACCAAAGACTTACCTGATTTTGAGAAAATTGTTTCAATTAAAAAGAAACCATTTCTAATTAGAATTAGAAATTAGTTAATTAAAATTAGATTTCTGGTCAAATTAAAATTGAATTAGAATTTAGATTAAGAGAAACCTGGTGACATCTATCGAGAGGATTTTGAAAGAACATTTTATTTCTCACACTTTTCCTTTCTTATTGACCAATAAGAAGAAGATGAGAAAAGTGATCAGGTGAAGTGATGAGAATGAAGAAAATTGAAAATTTAATTTTCGTTAAATTAGTTGGTGTTAATTTAGTTTCGTTTTATGATTTAAGTTAATTAAATTGTTTCGATGTGACAAATTTTTATTCTTTAATATTGTTATTGATTGAAGGTCAATTAATTATATTTTTGATTTTCTTTTGTGACTTTTGTTTTCTCATCAGGTTGATAAACCATTCTAATTGATACCTGATGATACAATTGGCTTTTTTCTCGTCTGATTAATCTTATCATGTTTAATTAGACTAATTGTTTTCTACATTTCCCTCCCATTAATTCAATTTCTTGTTCTCTCTCTGACTCTCTCATTGAGCTTTATCATTCGATTCTCTATTTAAGTGAATATAAACCGAAAGGTTTATTTTTATTATGAGAGAATATCATCATTTTCTATTCTCTTTCACTTTCTGTTTTGATAATTTTTTATTCTCTTAATTCTTTTTTTTTTGTTCTTCATTGTCATGACCCTGATGATTGTGAAAAGAGAACCAGCAGGAGTAACAACATTCTCTCAACAAAATACTCTGGAGAACATTAAATTCTAATTGTTAACAATCAACGAGATACAAAAGAGACAAAGACAAGTGTAATTACTCATCATAATTGGAATACGAATTTTTTTTTATTCTTCTGTGTCTCCTGTTACATAACTCATTTGTCACTTTTCTTTTTTAACACTCTCTCATCTTTATATATCTCTTTCTCTCCCTTGTCTTCTCTTTTTAACCGACAGGTTTACCTGTGAAAGAAGAGAAAAACAACTTCTCATTCTCAACGACAATGAGAGCGAGACTGGTAATGGAATCAATCGTTCTATCAAACCGCCTAAACAAAAATTCTGATTCAACTTTATCTTAATTTCTATGTTAACTTAAAGATTATTCAACATCTTCAGTGGAGAAAAACAATCAAAAGTGCCAAAATAACGATTCCTTTATCCGGTTACCTATTTCACCATAACAAAATTTTCTACCATAAAATTGATACTCTCTCTCTCTCTCTCTCTCTCTTCCGGTTTCCGTCTAATCATCTAAAGTGCTAAACTCAACTAACACTGATTGTGCCATAAACCTTGGGAATAAATTTTCAAATATCCCAATTAATCTGTTGAAATATTTTTCACTAAACAAGTGCTATTACATCAAACGCATAAATATCCTCATCATCTCTCAATCCTTCATCATTCATTTACTTATCCCAGTTATTTATTTTCTTTTCTTTAGCAACATAATCAAATTATTCTAATAATTTAAGATAAAAATGGCCACTCTAATGGCTGAACATCGTTGCACCATCATTGGTCTAGTGTTTCTTACAATTTTCTTCCTATGGATGGACATAAGTCTCTATTATAAAGTACAAGAGATAAAACCTCATTCAATGGCCATCACCTCATCTCAAATTTTTCCAACAAGTGTCAATTCACCATCGATAAATTCTGGCGCCCTTAACAGTGATTCCAAAAATGGTGCCAGTGTTTACGCAAACAATAAAAACAACGAAATCTCATCAAACCTGGAAACTGAACCATCTCGTTTATTTTCACCATTCAGAGGATTATCAATAAAGATGATGATGATGGACCAAATGAATAATTATATTTTCACTCCGTTAGCAGAAATTTTCAATGATATTACTCAGTTGAGTAAAAATTTCAATTCCATCACACCCAATATGATAAGTGCCGCTGGCGTATTTTGGGCCATTCTGGCAGCCAAATTGGTTACATACGATAATTTAATTATCCATCGATTATCCGTCCTCTTCTTCCAGATTCGAACTTTTTTTGATGCTTTAGATGGTATCGTCGCTCGAGATCATCTCGGAATCAAGCAACACATTTCTTTAAGTAACACTTCAGGTTATCTTGTTGACGGGATTGCCGATTCCATAGGATTTGCTGCTTACCTGTTGGGATGTTACTATTATCTCCGTCGAAATCTTCCCAAATTCAGACTCAACAGTCACCATTATTTACCAGTTCAGGTAATTAACTAATACCAAAGAGTAATTGCTATTATAATATTGTAGTTATAACAACATAATCATTGAATAGTGTGACAAGTAATCGTTTCTTTTACTTTGAATATAAATTTTTGTTCTTTTTGTGGAACTAATTTTTATATATCATTTCCGTTGGTTATAGGCAACAATTACAAAATGATTAATTTTCTCACAATAACTAATGAACAACAGTGGTTTTAACTAAAATGTGAAAAGGTTCATTGTATTATCACATAGAGAGGGAAAAATACACTGAAAATTAGCTTCTCATCTAATAGAAAACAGAATAGGAAAATAAATTGTTAATTAATCATTTATTCTAACAATCTAACCTCTTATTTCCTGTTGATAGATACATGATGGATCAATAAACAACAGTAAACACAATCATTCACCCACAAGCTTTGTGATAACACAATTAATGCCACCGAAATTACTTTGGACCACAAGACAAGTTTTCTTTGTAATATTATGTTTCGCTCTTCAACTTGTCATAAGTTGTCTCTGTTGGAATCGATACATTGAAGCCTATCATGTGTTATTAGAATCACCATCTCTCGATCCAGAACAATCAGTGAGTTCGATAATAATTTTCTCGACTGTTTATCTTTCCAATCATATTGAAATGTTACTTTTCTAAGACTTTGTATTGCGAAAATAATGATTGGCATGTTTATCTTTATTTATCTCTATGTAATTATTTCCTCAGGACCTTCAAAATGAAATTCTTAAATCATCGCTCATGTGGGTTATCATGTGGTTCTGGAGGATCTCTAATGCTCAATCGTTAATGCAAATCCTGTTGATTTTTGTTTATGTTAATCGCCTATGGGTAAGTAACATTTCTGTTTACTTTTCACATTAATGTAAACAGAATCATCAATTCATTTACTGACTCAATCTTCATCTTAATCATTTCACTATCATTTTATTATCTTCAGTACATGTTGGATATTATTAGTAAATTATTATTAATATTATCATCTTTTTACAATTTCTCTTGTTCCATTTTCTCCTCTTAGGATTTTCTTACCTGGATTCAGTATATTGGATTTATTGAAATAATTTCTCTCTCTTTTCTCACCGAAGTTCATCTTAATCACGTAAGTATCTTTACCTAATTACTATCTTCAATATTGTAATGAATTAAGTAAATAGAAATGTAAGTACTTAGGTTGATTAGCTATAAATTGATTATTCGCTGATTCAATTTATCAACATGAACTTTTTTTCTCGTCTATCTTGTTAACCAATCTTTTCCAACTCATTCTCATGTTTATATGTTCATTTATCATGAATTAATAGTAACATCCCTTTACTATTTATTAAGTAAAGTGATATGCATATTATATCATTCTCATGATATATTATTTATGATTATTCCAATTTTCTAAGTCATTAAATTTCATTTTCATTCTGTTCTTTTCAGGTTTCTTCAATTCTAACCAACTAGTGATTCTGTGTGCATGGAAAGATTATAAATCGTCAAAAAGAAGAGAGAAAAACTCACCAGGAAGAGAGACCTAGAGGATTAATTTTTGTCTTCATCTCAAGATTAACCGAAGGCTTTTAAACTCAAGACTATTGATCATCTAATTAACTGGTTTTACTAAAATTACGATTCTAAATTTGATTGAGTATTTTCACTTTTAAAGAATATTTTTCAAGAATCGTTACAAATTCTAGTGGTTCAAATTTATTTTGGCTCTTTTCTTAATTGTTCAACTATAAAACGATTAATTCACTGATTAATTTATGCCATCAATTGACTCTACGTTTTGTTTAATTCAATGGCCATTACCTGTTTGTTTATTATTGAAAATTATTGTTTTCTAATTTAATCATCTAATTCCAAGCCAATTAATTATGCTTCAAATGGATCAACTAATAATTTTGCCTTTAAATTTATCAAATTTAATCCGCAATTAGACATCAACCATGACTGTGAAATTACTATTTAACTAATTGCTAACAGACTTTTTCATTGCTTAATTTATTTTGTAAATTGTGATACAAATTTCAATAGTATTGAACATTTATCAGCTGATTGATTTGAATTTCAATCAAATAATTAGCCTTCCATAATACAAAACAATTAAATACTCGTTGTATTTAAACAGGTTGATTATCTTTCCAAAACTATTAAGATTGTCAATTATAATTATGTAAAAACAAAAGTACAACGATAATTAAGCTTAATTGTTTCAATAGAAGCTTAAAATTAAATCAATAAACTGACAAATTGCAAAAGAAAACATTTTACACCTTTAATTGTTTAATCAATTAAAATGAGTTATTTAAATTGACAATCAGAATTGATTGTTTACTGCAAAGTGTTTCTATTGACAAATGTTTAATTGTAATGATGATAAATTGCATCTTTTATTTATCTAATTCCTCATGAAGAAACAATTTAATTGGTGAGACGTTTTCATTATCTAATCAATTAACAATTTAACTCTAATTAAAGGTAAGACTAACCATCAAATTGATTGGTTTCATTACAACTTAGCTGGAAAAGTTAATTATCTAATCAATTCTCTAGATTTTCTAATTGTTATCTTACAGTTTAACAAACGACATCGTTGGACCATTTAATTGATTGTTAAATTGTAATTCTGATTTTCAAACTAATCAATAGTTTAAATTATTGATTTTTTTCCTGTGGTTTTTCAACTAAGATGAACAGCTATTGGCTTTGTGAGTTTGTACATTGAGTTGATTCAGTTTATTGTTTAATGACAATCAAAATTTAATCATTTTAGCAAGTTACAAATATAATCAATCATAACTGTAATAATCAACTTTTAGGTGTGTTCATCAAGATTGTTATCAAAATGATTAGATAATTGCATCTTCGTGAACAATATCGTAACTATTTTATTCATATCATGAAAATGAATTATTACTTATTTTATTTCCACAATTTATTGATCATACATATAATTAGTTAATAATCGTTTTTAATCATTTTCTATTTCCTTCCTTCGACAACAATTTAATACAAATCTTAATTTTCTTTTCAAATGAAATAATTTCTCTCCATCATATCAAACATCTTCTTCGATAGATACTTGACTAGTCCTTCCAACAATTTAAATCTACACCTTGAATTCATCCTCTTAATTTATGAAAGAAATGCTCAATCAATTGTTTTCTATTCTCACTTTAATTGTTAAATTGAAAACTAATTGTTTAAGTTAATTCTTAATTCCCTGTGCGGGTGGTGACATCTCTCTTTTTGAAAAGAAAACTTTTCTTCTGTTTCCATGGTAACTGAGAAAGTATTAAAAGTTGATCGTTTTGTCAATGCTTCTGATTTGATGTTTTTCTGCTTCCTTGATTAGATTAATTGTTGTTAATTGTTCTTTCATCTTTTTCTTGATTAAAAATGTTGTCTCTCGTTGGTAAGCAACTTCTTACTAAAAATGGTTCTCTTCTTGCGGCTACAAATCGACTGTTGTCTACCGGTAAGTTAATGAGATTCGTTTTCTGTCTCTGATTTTTGGTTTGATTTTTTGATTTGTTTTCATTATGTTCGTTGATTATTTTCTGGTTTTCCTTTTGATTTTTTTTCTCATTTGTGAAATATAATTGAAATTTTGGGTGATGTTTCTAATTGTTGATTTACTCTTTGATTTTGGTATTAGATTATCAAAATATTTTGGTCGATAAACGTGGAGAGAAAAAAAATGTTGGCTTCATTCAGTTGAATCGTCCAAAAGCACTTAATGCCCTTTGTGATGGTTAGTTGAATTGTTCAAATTATTCCATCAAAAGTATTGACCATTTCGGATTTTAATCTTTTTTTAGCTTTAATAAGTGAATTGACTGTAGCTCTGAAAGACATGGAAAAAGATAAAGATATCGGTGCTGTTGTTATAACAGGATCTGAAAGCTTTCGCTGGTAAGTAAAGTTGATTAGTTTTCTTCATTGGAAACTCTTATTCTAAATTGTTACTATTAAATTTGATTCTTTTAGCCGGTGCTGATATAAAGGAAATGGCTGATGTTAAATTTGCTCAAGCATTTGCAACCAACTTCTTGTCTCATTGGGATAGCGTGGCTAAATTTAAGAAACCATTGATTGCTGCGGTCAACGGATACGCGGTATGCTAATTAATAGAGGAAGAAAACAATATTATACTAATAATTTATAATTTAATAATTTAGCTTGGTGGTGGTTGTGAATTAGCCATGATGTGTGATATCATCTATTGTGGTGATAAAGCTAAATTTGGTCAACCTGAGATCGCAATCGGAGTAATTCCTGGAGCTGGTGGTACTCAAAGGTTACCAGCAGCCATTGGAAAGTCAAGAGCAATGGAAATGGGTAAGATATAGACAGAGGATACCAAAAGAATTGAATTAATTTCTAACAAAATTTTATCTTTAGTTTTGACAGGAACACCAATTACTGCGCAAGAAGCTGAACATTGGGGTAATTAGACTAATTGTATCTAGAACTTTGGTGATCTTATCAATCTTTATTTTTCGATCAGGTTTGGTTAGTCGCATCTTCCCAGCGGACAAAGTTGTTGACGAAGCAATCAAACTCGGAGAAAAGATCAGTTCACATTCTAAATTAGTTGCTATGATGGCAAAAGAATCTGTTAATTATTGTAAGTTAATCGAGAGGTTTATTTGTAACAATCAATTTCCATCAATCTAATCTAATCTTTCTGATTATACCTTTTCACAGCTTATGATACTACCTTATCTCAAGGACTTAAATCAGAATTAAGATTTTTCCATGCTGCCTTTGGAACAGTAAGTTAATCTCATCTCTTCATCAAAACAATATCTTAATCTAAATCATTTCGATATCTAATCATTTCTATTCTATCTTTTAACAGCACGACAAAATGGAAGGTATGAAAGCCTTTGTTGAGAAGCGTCCACCATCATTCAAAGATGAATAAATCAATTTCTTCCTAATCAAAAGTTGGTTAACTGAATGTTCCTCTAAACTAATGAAATGTTTTACAATTAGTAGACAAAAAAGATTAACACAGCGAAAATTTTGTATTCGTAAGATCATTTGTTTGTTATCGATACTTGTTTCTACGTTAAATTAAATATTTAATTTACAATGAAGGTAATGCTATGAAGAATATCATTTAATTATATTTAACTCTCCATTTCTTTGTTTAAAAATCAGGACAATTAAGATGCTTTTCCAGCCTTTTACAATTACTGAATTTCTTGTCAGAAGTGAAAGTTTTTCGTAGATATCAATCTACAGCTCATTCGCTGATTCATATTGTTAATTAAAGACAACAGATCTTAATTATTTCGTTGGATCGAGTCATTTTTATCAACTTTTCACGGTAGAAACTTTTTCGAACTGGACAAATTAGTAGAGATTTCGATTTCTGATTACAATTAAATATCTCAAAAGATGGTTGAATGTTAGAACTCCCGTTCATGTATAAAATTTTTTCTCTGGCCATTTAAATGACCAATAGATCCATTTCTTTATTCATTTAGTGAACATCGTATTAGGGGTTACTTTAAGTCTTTAGCCTAAGATAGTTAGAAAAGCGATAGCTAGAAAAAAACAGTGAAAAAATAATTTTCAACTAATTAGAAGAAGACAGTCCTGTAAATTTGAGCGCTATAGAACTTGAGACCTTTTTGCGACACTAATTCAAAGTCAAAACGGCAAACGATGAACAAGAGAAATGATCGAGTTTTCGAAGCTCGTTTTTTTATAAATGACCTCAAAAATAGCTGTAAACGAATCGAATTTTCTCTCTCGTCTAGATAAGTTCCCTAGCAACTATTGAGCGCTATTGAATCAGAAAAAAATCATTCGAGAATAAAATTTGCCTCAATTGAGCAGTTATGAGCCGAATTAGGCGGCTTTTTAAAGACCAGCCGAAAAATTGACCTAAAGTTAAAGTACCAAATTTTTCTCAAAGATGCAGCCGAGTAATAGTCCAAGGTATTATCAACTCGAATTAGAAGTCTCTAGCTCATCTAAAACAATATTAGGCTAAAGACTTAAAGTAACGCCTAATAGATAGATGATTACAATTATCTTGCTGTTTGATAGAATAAGTTGATCAATGACAATTTAGTTTCTCAAATAACCAAACAGAAACATCAAAAACAAATCTACATGGCTAATTGAATCCTGATTATTCCTTAATCATCTCCTTGAACCCATTTACCACGAATCGATCCGCTTTTGAAGCTTAATCTCCAATGGACATGAAGGATTTAGCATAAGCTTCATTAGCAAAGCGACATCTTCGAGTTTCCTGGCTGAGAAAATTTCATATTTTCTTATCAAATGTATAAGAAAAATTTTCATTTCGATTAACGCAAAACGAAAGCCGATACAATTTCTTGGCGTTACTCCAAAAGGTATATAAGCTCCTTTGGGAATGTTTGGTAAATTTGATGGATCAAAACGCTCTGGATCATATTCGGTCGGGTTGGGATAAATTCGAGGATCTCGTTGAATGCTGAAAATGTTGACTGCGATAGTGGTTCCTTTTGGCAAATAGTAACTGTTAATCTCCATTGGTTCATCTAATTCTCTTGCAATCACTGGTACTGGTGGATAAAGTCTCATTGACTCTTTGATACACTTATCCAGATACTCGCACTTATTTACCTTTTCAATATCATTGACAGAATCATTGTCATCAAACACCGATGAAATTTCTTGATATAACTTTTCTTGGATCTCGAGACGATTTCCTGGAAAAGAAAAAAAAGAGAATAAATTAAAAGCTTTCGACAACAAATAATTTTACCTAAGATGAACAATGTCCAGTCAAGAACAATGGCCGTGGTCTCATAACCCGCTGCAATCATGGTGAGCAATTCTGCACTGATGCCTTCGGCATCGATCATACCTTTGTTTGAGCTACGCAGCATGTTGACAAAATTATAATGTGATTTTGTAGAATGAGGCTGATCAATATCAGTAGATTGATGTTTCAAATTCTGATCAACACACAAATCGACAAATTTGTACACTCGGTTCGTCATATTGGTACATTTTTTACCCAATTCTGTAGCATTGAAAATATTATCACTCCATATGAGTGGATTACATAATCTTGTTAGCAGAGTCATTTCCATGAGTTTGATAGTCTCGGTCACATGAAGTTTTTCCTCTTTTTCTGAGCCTAACGGCAGGTCGGTGGTCACTTTCATGATCATATCACTTGTTGCTGCCACAACTTTTTTAGAAAGAGTTAAATATTTTCCCTGGTTACAAAAATCATCTTCGTTTACCAATGAATCAAATACTTCGTCAATGGTCAGTGCGAATCTTTTCTGTTGTTTACTAACGAAAAAAGGTTCAATCATTTTTCGTCTCATTTTCCACTTTTCACCTCTCGAAGTTATCAAACCCTCTTTCAGTCCAGTAAATGCATAAAAACTGGGCTTACTTATGTTACTTTTACTAATCAAAGCCTAAAAATAGAAAGAAAAAGATTTACGAACCAGAAATTAATCCAATTGTTTAACTTACCTCAATAGATCTGTGGTCATTAATCGCAACCATAGGCCACCATCCAAACCAGCATGCATGTAAACCCGATTTGATTTGGTGATTTGAAGCATTCGAAATCATAAAATTAGTTAAAGCAACTGTTGAATGGAAATCATCATTTATAAAACTCAAATTAACGGTCCGCTGTGATTAGAAGCTCATATCAAGTGAAACGCTCAACTTACTTGGCGTCCATTTTGGGTTCCAAAAACCAGGTAAGAATGGAAGTAAATCACCAAAGAGAAATGAACAGTTTGGATCCTTAGGAAGTTTAAGAAAATGATTGAAATACTTGAAAAATTGGAAAACTTTTTTCACCACAAAAAAATTCAATACAATTAAAATCAAATGAATGAAATTTATTTCGCTGGAAAACATGACGATGTTTGCTATTAAAGTGATGACTTTTCATCAACGAACAAAATTCATTTGACTGAGCGAAGCGAAAAATAACAAAAGCTTATTACCCGAGAACCTCAATACAACTGAAATATTAATCGATCTAAGCTCAAGTTTAATTACATTGGTAGAAAGAGGATAATAACCAGAAATCAGGTTGACCATGAAAATGTTTTCTTCTTCTAATATCGGGTGACCGAAAATGAGTGAGCATCTCACGAACCTTAAGTTTTGGACCCACGTTTCTATACATTTTAAGAGAGTAAATTTGACGCTGAGTCCAAAAATGTTCGACTTTTTTTTCTAGGACGCACGGTTCTCGAGAAATCGAGTGGCCTGACAAAGCGAACCGTTAACTTTGGACTCAAAATTTTTGGTCAAAAGTTATTCTTTTTGACCTATTATCTTATATACCTAAGCTCATCATTATCTGAAGTAAGGTTATTGAGATCCAACATGGCCGAAATCAACGAAAATTGCTCTTTAACTTTCCCATTATAAATTTCTCATAGAGAAAATCGCGATTTTGGCCTTTAAATAAGAACCACAGTTGCACTTGAACTTCGAAAATTCTGAAAAAATTCATCATTTATATTTGATCGATGGCGCTTTCAATGACGTTTGAAATTTTATTCTAGGACCTACCATTCTTGAGATGCTCACTCATTTTCGGTCACCCGATATTAATATAATCAGTTCGATCCACTTTAATCAAACCAGTTTATCTTTTAGATTCATTTTGATGGAAAGATCAACATGATATTCGAGCATATTCGAGCACGAGATTATGATATGAATGATAAGACACTGACATAATTATGTCGTGAATCATTTAGATAAGTAACATAAATAACTATTTATAGTGTTTCCTGATTCTTCAACCAAACTTTCAATTGAGAAAAAGAAAACCTCAAGTTTCCTCAAACTCAAATTTCAAAAATAGTTTGGCTAAATTTAAGAAACCATTGATTGCTATGGTCAACGGATACGCAGTATGCTAATTTATAGAGGAAGAAAACAATATAGTACTAATGATTTATAATTTAATAATTTAGCTTGGTGGTGGTTGTGAATTAGCCATGATGTGTGATATCATCTATTGTGGTGATAAAGCTAAATTTGGTCAACCTGAGATCGCAATCGGAGTAATTCCTGGAGCTGGTACTCAAGGTTACCAGCCATTGGAAAGTCAAGAGCAATGGAAATGGGTAAGATATAGACAGAGGGTACCAAAAGAATTGAATTAATTTCTAATATTACAATAACACAATACAATACAATTTCATCTTCAGTTTTGACAAGAACACCAATTACTGCACAAGAAGCTAAACATTGGGGTAATTAAACTAATTGTATCCAGAACTTTGTTGATCTTATCAATCTTTATTTTTCTCTCAGGTTTGGTTAGTCGCATCTTCCCAGCGGACAAAGTTGTTGACGAAGCAATCAAACTCGGAGAAAAGATCAGTTCACATTCTAAGTTAGTTGCTATGATGGCAAAAGATTTTGTATTCGTAAGATCGCTTGTTTATCAATACTTGTTTTTACGTTAAATTAAATGATATTTACAATGAAGGTAATATTATTTATGAATAATATCATTGAGTTACATTTAACTTTCCATTTTTTTGTTTAAAGTCAGGACAATTAAGATAATTATAGATAATAGCCTCTTGTGCAATTACCAAAGAGTAAAAGAGTACCTCTCTCTACTCTTTGGCAATTACTGAATTTCTCGTCAGAACTGTAAGTTTTTCTTAGGGATCAATCAATCTTCAGCTTCATATTGTTGCTTCATGTTGTTAATTAAGGGCAAAGACTTTAATTATTTCTTTGGATCGAGTCATTTTTATCAACTTTTCACGATAGAAACTACTTCAAACTAAACAAATTAGCAGAATTGTCGATTTGTGATAACAATTAAATATCTCAAAAGATGGTTGGATCTTTCGTTCATTCATGAAATTTTTTCTCTGGCTATTTGATTGACCAACCAATCCATTTTTTTATTCATTAATTGAACATCATTGGTAAACGATTACAATTATCTTGCTGTTTGGTTGCATAAAGTTATATAAGATCTAGAAAAATGTAAACAATTGAATTAAATCGTCATCTCCTTATCACAATTTAAGGTAAGATAATTTACCATGTTTAACTGCAACACCCTTTAGTTGATAAATAACAGTTTAGCTTAATATCAGATAACCAAACTCGTTAAACAGAAACATCAAAAATTGATCCAAACAATCTGCTAATTGAATCCTGATTATTCCTTAATCATTACCGTGAACCCATTTACCATGAATCGATCCGCTTTCGAAGGCTAATCTTCAATGGACATGATGGACTCAACGTGGTTCTCATTTCACTATTCATAGACTCGTTTTCGAAGCATAATTTCCAAAGGGCATGAAGGCTTTAGAATGGTCTTCATTGTCAAAGAAACGTCTTCAAGTTTCTTGGCTGAGAAAATTTCATATCTTCTTATCAAATGAATGAGAAAAATTTTCATTTCGATTAGCGCAAAACGAAAACCGATACAATTTCTTGGCATTACTCCAAAAGGTATATAAGCTCCTTTGGGAATGTTTTGTGCATTTGATGGGTCAAAACGCTCTGGGTCATATTCAGTTGGATCGGGATAAATTCTTGGATCTCGGTGAATGCTTAAAATGTTGACCCCGACTGTGGTTCCTTTTGGCAAATAGTAACTGTTAATCTCCATTGGTTCATCTAATTCTCTTGCTATCAATGATACTGGCGGGTAAAGTCTCATTGACTCTTTGATACACTTATCCAGATAATCACAATTATTAACCTTTTCGGTGTCATTCACAGATTCTTTTTCATCAAATATCGATGAAATTTCTTGATATAACTTTTTTTGGATCTCCAGACGATTTCCTGAAAAAGTAAAACAACTCAGTGTAGATAAGTTCAAAAGCTTTCGGCAACAAAGTATTCTTACCTAAGATGAACAATGTCCAGTCAAGAGCAGTGGCCGTGGTCTCATAACCCGCTGCAATCATGGTGAGCAATTCTGCACTGATCCCTTCGGAATCGATCATACCTTTGTTAGAGCTACTTAGCATGTTGACGAAATTACAAGGTGATTTAAGAAAATAAGGCTGATCAATATCAGTAGATTGATGTTTCAAATTCTGGTCAACACAAAAATCGACAAATTTATAAACCCTGTTCGTCATATTGGTACACTTTTTACCCAATTCTGTAACATGGAAAATATTATCACTCCACGTGAGGGGATTACATAATCTTGTTAGCAAAGCCGATTCCATGAGTTTGATAGTCTTGGTCGTATGAAGTTTTTCCTCTTTCTCTGAGCCTAACGGCAGGTCGGTGGTCACTTTCATGATGATATCACCTGTTGCTGCCATAACTTTGTTAGAAAGAGTTAAATATTTTCCCTGGTTACAAAAATCATCTTCGTTTACCAATGAATCAAATACTTCGTCAATGGTCAGTGCGAATCTTTTCTGTTGTTTACTAACGAAAAAAGGTTCAATCATTTTTCGTCTCATTTTCCACTTTTCACCTTTCGAAGTTATCAAACCCTCTTTAAGTCCAGAAAATTTATAAAAACTGGGCTTGCTTATGTTACTTTTACTAATCAAAGCCTAAAAATAGAAAGAAAAAGATTTACGAACAAGAAATTAATCCAACTGTACAACTCACCTCAATAGATCTGTGGTCATTAATCATAACCAAAGGCCACCATCCAATCCAAAATGCATGTAAACCCGATTTGATTTGGTGATTTGAAGCATTCGAAATCATAAAATTAGTTATAGCAACTGTTGAATGGAAATCATCATTTATTTAAAGCTAAAATTACCGGTCCGCTGTGATTAGAAGCTCATATCAAGTGAAACGCTCAACTTACTTGGCGTCAATTTTGAGTTCCAAAAACCAGGTAAGAATTGAAGTAAATCACCAAAGAGAAATGAACAGTTTGGATCCTTTGGAAGTTTAAGAAAATGATTGAAATACTTGAAAAATTGGAAAACTTTTTTCACCACAAAAAAATTCAATACAATTAAAATCAAATGAATGAAATTTATTTCGCTGGAAAACATGACGATATTTGCTATTAAAGTGATGACTTTTCATCAACGAACAAAATTCATTTGACTGAGCGAAGCGAAAAATAACAAAAGCTTATTACCCGAGAACCTCAATGTACAACTGAAATAATAATCGATCTAAGCTCAAGTTTAATTACATTGGTAGAAAGAGGAGAATAACCAGAAATCAGGTTGACCATGAAAATGTTTTCTTTTTAAATTATCAGTTCAGTCGATTTTTATCAAACCAGTTTATCTTTTAGATTGATGATAACATATTCCGATGGAAAGATCAACATGAAAAGATTCTGACATAATGTCGTGAATCGTTTATTTCGATAAATAACAATTTGTATTTAGTGACTTGCATTAAACCACAACAATCAAGAGTATTTGTGAGAAATTATTACTTTTTAGCTAACTTGTTTTCCGTTTCCGTTTCGCAAATAGTGGATTGAAAGATTGAAGTTATAAGCACTTGAATTTTTTATCAAAAATTGATTAACGAAACGGAGCAAATTTTATTTCATAAACTTTTTGGCCCTCGTCTCTATTACTGTTAAATTATCCGAACTTAAATTATGAGATAACAATTAGATTCATTTGTTCACTTTTTTATCCTAACAATTAAGATTGTATTTTATTAATAATATAAACTTTGTTTACAAAACTATTAACATAACCTGGTGATTATTGGATCTCTATGATTTTAAATTTCTTGTTGCATTAATCACCATCAATGATACGTTTGCGGAGCATAATTTTCAATGGACATGAAGGTTTTAAAGTGAATTCCATCTTAAAAGAAACGTCTTCGAGTTTCTTGGCTGAGAAAATTTCATATCTTCTTATCAAATGAATAAGAAAAATTTTCATTTCGATTAAAGCAAATCGATAACCGATACAATTTCTTGGCATCACTCCGAAAGGTATATAAGCTCCTTTGGGAATGTTTGGTAAATTTGAAGGGTCAAAACGCTCTGGATCATATTCGGTCGGGTTGGGATAAATTCGAGGATCTCGATGGATACTGAACATGTTACATCCGATTGCAGATCCTTTCGGTAGATAATAACCATTAATCTCCATTGGCTCATCCAATTGTCTTGCGACCTTCGGTATTGGCGGGTAAAGTCTCATTGACTCTTTGATACACTTATCAAGATACTCGCACTTATTTACCTTTTCAATATCATTCACAGATTCATTGTCATCAAACACCGATGAAATTTCTTGGTACAACTTTTCTTGGATCTCCAGACGATTTCCTGTAAGAAGAATAAAACAAATGCGAAATTATGTAAACGTGTACTTAGCTACTACGATAGATCAACTCACCCAAGATGAATAGTGTCAAGTTGAGAGCAGTGGCCGTGGTCTCATGTCCCGCTGCAGCCGTTGTAGTCAACTCTTCGCTGATTCCTTCTAAATCGATTTTACCTCTGCTAGAACTAGATAACATATTCACCAAATTGAATGATGAAAACGCGCTCGACTTATCAGACTGATCGATTTCATTGGAGTTTTCATCTAAATTTCTGATAATAGCATTTTCTACGAATTTGTAAGCTCTACTGGTCATTCTTATAACCTTTTTACCCAATTTTGTTAAATAGAAAATTTGATCGCTCCAATAAAGAGGATTACACATTCTCTCTATTGTTATCATTTCCATGAATTCGATGGCTTCTATAACATGAAGTTTTTCCTCTATTTCAACATCTATCGGTAAATCTGCGGTTACTTTAAAAACGATATTGAATGTTGATAGATGAATTTGATCCGCTAGAGTTGAATATTTTCCCTCTTCACAAAAATCGTCCTTATTTATCAACGAATCAAACACTTCGTCCATAGTTACTGCAAATCTTTTCTGTTGTTTACTAACGAAAAAAGGCTCAATCATTTTTCGTCGCATTTTCCACTTTTCACCTTTCGAAGTGACCAACCCTTCCTTTAGTCCAATAAATCTATATAAATAGGGCTTAGTTATGTGACTTTTACTAATCAGTGCCTAAGAATGCAAGTAAAAAAAACGTATTAATTAACAAATAATAACTTGATCGCTCTTGTGTACTCACCTCAACAGACTTGTGATCATTAATGAAAACAAAGGGCCACCACCCGAGCCAAAATACATGTACACCGGATTTAATTTGATGATAAGCAGCATTTTCAATTAAATACTTGGTTAAATAAACTGTCGATGAGAAATTTCAATTAATTCATTGTTATCACTCAATTAGACTTTTATTGAATTTCTATGGATTAACTCATTGCAATTATCCAATAGATCACTACATCTTTCATTATCTCCATTTACCTGAGGTCAATTTCGTATTCCAAAAAGCAGATTTAAATTTAGGTAGATCACCGAACAAGAATGAACACTCTGGATCCTTTGGAAGTTTCAAAAAAGGCTTTAAATATCTGATGAAATCGAAAAGTTTTTTCACCACAAAAAAACTCAATAAAATCACAATTAAATTGATGAAATTTAAATAATTGTCAAACATGATTATACTTTTTCGTGTATTTTGTACACTTTCATTGACAATTTATCATCAAAGTTGATCAACATTAACTTATTAAGATAAGAAAAACTAATCTTAACTATCTGAGCACTTCGATTGAACTGATAATTATTAATTAACTTCAATATAATTACATCTAAAGGGAAAGAGGCGATGATAATAAAATCAAATAATGACCTTGAAATCAGCTTTTATTTTGTCACAATTTCAGTTCTCAGAAATAAATTGTAACTGGTTTCTCTTTGTAATTAAATAGTTTCAGAATTCCTAGACTCTAATAATAATCATATACATTTAATGTATTCATTATAATCGCGATTGTAAATAACCTTTCACGATAATTGTTAGTCAATATTAATCTGTATCTATTATCGTAATTCTAATTGATTTTAATTCGTTGGAAGTAAAAATTAATCAAATTGTTAATAAATAGCTACTTATAATCATTAAGAAATGATAATCAGAAAATGAACTTACCTTGAGTTGATTTTGATAACATTTCATCACAATCAAATAACAATTACTGCCTGTAGGGTGCATACAAATTAATTGAGCTAATGCTTATTCAAATGTCATTTAATTGTCGAAATCAAATCAAGCGGTGATAATTATTATTAACAATGAATTGATTGATTGAATGATGACGAACGATAAAATACTATTATTGTGAATGTAAACACAATTAGTAAATGATTAGAAAGATTGTAATCAAGTTCGGTGACGGTGATGATTCCTAGTGACTCGATAATCGTCTTGTGATTTAATTGTTTCTCAACACAATTAATGGCCATCCATTGAATACTTATTATCGCCAAAGGGCATTAATTTCTAGATACAATGTGATGAAAGTGATTCAATTTAAACTTTGAATACTCTGTTGCTGCACAAATAAATTCTCGGGTAAGCTTTTACATAGAAAATCCTTTAAATGACCTTCAAAGGTTTTATTTTCTTAATGGCAATTTAACTTCAGTCTTGATATATGAAAATTAATCCATGAAAGTTTGATCAATTCTCGATCCTATTTGCCAAGTAATTAATATAAATAGTGAAAAAGAGAAGTGTCAAAAGTAGATCAATTATATTATATTGAAATCGAATGAAAAACTGTGAAATTAATTCGAACTGTGTTATTTATTTCTAAGTTTTCCATCGATATAAGATTTTAACTCTATTGGAATTTATTTATAGAGGGAACATGATCTTCAGTGGCTTTCTCAATGGGTTGATTCGAGTTTTGGCTCTACTGAGCTGTGCATCAAACGAATGTCGGTGATCCAATATGAAGGATTAATATAATTGCTAATGTTCTTTATGAACAACTGACTCGTTTTCGAAGCATGATTTCCAGTGCACATGAAGGTTTTAAAGTGAATTCCGTTCTAAAAGAAATCTCTTCGAGTTTCTTGGCTGAGAAAATTTCATATCTTCTTATCAAATGAATAAGAAAAATTTTCATTTCGATTAAAGCAAATCGATAACCGATACAATTTCTTGGTGCTACTCCGAAAGGTATATAAGCTCCTTTGGGAATGTTTGGTAAATTTGATGGATCAAAACGCTCTGGATCATATTCGGTCGGGTTGGGATAAATTCGAGGATCTCGTTGAATGCTGAAAATGTTGACCCCGACAGTAGTTCCTTTTGGCAAATAGTAACTGTTAATCTCCATTGGTTCATCTAATTCTCTTGCAATCAATGGTATTGGTGGGTAAAGTCTCATTGACTCTTTGATACACTTATCCAGATACTCGCACTTATTTACCTTTTCAATATCATTCGCAGATTCATTTTTATCAAACATCGATGAAATTTCTTGATATAACTTTTCTTGGATCTCCAGACGATTCCCTAATATGAACAGTATCAAGTTGAGAGCAGTGGCCGTGGTCTCGTGTCCAGCTGCGGCCGTCGTGATCAGCTCTTCACTGATCCCTTCTGAATCGATTTTCCCTCTGCTAGAACCAGCTAACATATTCACGAAATTTAATGATGAAAATGTGCTCGACTCATCATATCCATCATTTTTATTGTGAAAATTTCTGTTAACAACATTTTCGACAAATATGTAAGCTCTGTTGGTCATTCTAGTTGCTTTTCTACCCAATTTAGTCGAAAAGAAAATTTGATCGCTCCAATAAAGAGGATTACACACTCTCTCTATCGTAATCATTTCCATGAATTCGATGGCTTCCATTGCATGAAGTTTTTCCTCTCTTTCAGCGCCTATCGGTAAATCTGCGGTAACTTTAAAGATGATATCGAATGTTGATAGATGAATTTGATCAGCTAACGTTGAGTATTTTCCCTCTTCACAAAAATCGTCCTTATTTATCAACGAATCAAACACTTCGTCCATAGTTACTGCAAATCTTTTCTGTTGTTTACTAACGAAAAAAGGCTCAATCATTTTTCGTCTCATTTTCCACTTTTCTCCGCACGAAACGACCAAACCATCTTTTAGTCCAGTAAATGCATAAAAACTGGGCTTAGTTATGTGACTTTTACTTGTCAAAGCCTAAAAGTAGAAAAAAAAATATTCACTAACAAGAAATTAATCTAATTGTTTAACTCACCTCAATAGATTTGTGGTCATTAATAACAACCAAAGGCCACCATCCCCGCCAAAGTGCATGTAAGCCCGATTTGATTTGGTGATTTGAAGCATTCGAAGTGAGAAAATTGACCAAGTTAACTGTTGATGGTAAATTATTGTCCAAAGTCGTAATTTTATTTAGTTAATTGTCATTTGGGATTATGTTTTAACATCAAGCAAAACTCTCAACTTACTTGATGACAATTTACTATCCCAATAAGCAGATTTAAATTTAGGTAAATCACCAAATAGGAATGAACATTCTGGGTCCTTTGGAAGTTTAAAAAAATAGTTTAAATAATTGAACAAATCGAAAAGTTTTTTCATCGCAAAAAAAAACAATAAAACCACAATTAAATTGATGAGCGATTTATTGATGAAATTCACTTCACTGAAAAACATGATAATATTATCCATTATTTATAATATTTTCACACTCAATAAACAAATTTTGACTATTCAAGAAAAATATACAAGAAATTGACTGATTGAAATAAACAAATTCTGAGCACCTGAATTGAAATTTAATGTTAACCCATCGCAATCAAACACGTAAGTAGTAAGAGGCGATTACGAAGGAATCTGATTCGACCTTGAAATATCCTTTTATTTTCTATTAATTAGAGTTTCATATTAACTGGTTTATCATTAAGTCTCCTCATTATTTGGATTTACCTTGAATTTTTCTTATCGTAAATGAAGTTGATTCAAATGTTTCAGTGGAAATTAAATTTACTAGTCTGATCAATCTAAATTATTACACACTTGAGTCTTGTCATGATCCTTATACGCGCGATCAGAGTAAAACTGATGAAAACGGTTTCAGCGAGACTCGAAATGACCACAATCTGGACTGAAAATTATTCATTTTAATATTAATTAAGAACATAAATCTTACTCTACAAGTCGATCATGTTAAATTAATAACTAATTTGTTTTCGTACTAACCTGAGCACAGAGAGCCATTGACAAGAATCGATCACATTGTTGGACTTGCATATGATGGGAAAAGAGGCCAAAAGTCCATGAATCGCGTGAATGTGCTAATAAATTACATGAATTACATGAATGCCAAAAGTTACATTTTATAGTTAATGAAATTGTTAATCATACAAGAATTGACATTACTCTTATCCGTATGAAAATGGGCTGAAATTGTACTAATTGGATCTACTTGGTGTAAATCGCACATTATTTGCCTCATGTTATATCAGTAATAATAAATAAAGAAACTTGAATAACATTAAAACTCGCGAGTTTATGACATATCTGTTTATACCATCGGACAGCTTGTAAAAAGTTGGCCTGGGTCAGAGCATCATGGTGTCCCAAATAAGTTGCATTCACTTCTGCAATTATAAAAGGGAAAATGACTTGTTAATCGTTAATAGCCTAAGTTAAGTGACGATTATTTTACTTATTTATTATTAATAGTTATCTCTACGAAAAGTATCAAAGGCAACTCTCTCATTTGGACAAAACTCTTGATTAAATGGGAAAGATGCACGATCAATGGTGTTGGCCTGTACTAAAATTGTCTCAAAAATAAGTTTAAGACCATCCTTGGGACTAATCGCGCTCCATTTATTCAAATACAACGGAATTGTTGAAGTTGTCGTTTCAGGAAATTTCAAATTATCATCAGCATAAGCGAGCATGAGATTCTGAAATAAATACAATCAAGAAATTGACAGAATAATATCATAATAAAGAATTTTTTGTTATTCATTGATTTGAATTAATTAACAACTTGTAAGTTGTTAAATTGACCAAACAAATGAAGAATATTTATGAGAAATTATTACTACAGCCGACTAAACACTTATCGCAAGCTCAGTGTGTTATTTAAACTAAGAGCTCAATGTTAACCCTTTACTAATCTCTAATTATCACACCAACTGTAGCAAGAGAGACTAGCCTAATTAATTGAGAAATACTAAAGGGTGAATATCAAAAAATTGCGATAAGTGTGTAATCGACTGTATTTGATTAGAAAAGCTAATACAGTAAATTTTAGAAAATCAGTAGAATTAATATACATATGTAATTGATAATGATCTTTATAATCAACTGACTCGTTTTCGAAGCATGATTTCCAGTGGACATGAGGGTTTTAAAGTGAATTCCGTTCTAAAAGAAACGTCTTCGAGTTTCTTGGCTGAGAAAATTTCATATCTTCTTATCAAATGAATAAGAAAAATTTTCATTTCGATTAAAGCAAATCGATAACCGATACAATTTCTTGGTGCTACTCCGAAAGGTATATAAGCTCCTTTGGGAATGTTTGGTAAATTTGATAGATCAAAACGCTCTGGATCATATTGAGTCGGGTTGGGATAAATTCGAGGATCTCGTTGAATGCTGAAAATGTTGACCCCGACAGTGGTTCCTTTTGGCAAATAGTAACTGTTAATCTCCATTGGTTCATCTAATTCTCTTGCTATCAATGGTATTGGTGGGTAAAGTCTCATTGACTCTTTGATACACTTATCCAGATAATTACACTTATTAACCTTTTCAATATCATTGACTGAGTCATTGTTATCAAACACCGATGAAATTTCTTGATATAACTTTTCTTGGATCTCAGGCCGGTTTCCTAAACAACGACGAAATAGAAAAGAATTTAAAAGATAGCCAAATTACATTGTATTATAGAAACAAAGTATTCTTACCTAAGATGAACAGTATCAAGTTGAGAGCAGTGGCCGTGGTCTCGTGTCCCGCTGCAGCCGTTGTCAACAGCTCTTCGCTTATTCCTTCTGAATCGATTTTACCTCGGCTAGAACCAGCTAACATATTCACCAAATTTAATGATGAAAGTGTACTCGACTCAATTTTATTGGAGTTTTCGTCAAGATTTCTGTTAACAACGCTTTCGAAAAATTTGTAACCTCTGCTGGTCATGCTGGTAACTTTTTTACCCAATTTCGTTAAAAAGAAAATGCGATCTATCCAATAAAGTGGATTACATGCTCTCTCTATCATTATCATTTCCATGAATTCGATGGCATCCATCATATGAAGTTTTTCCTCTCTTTCAGCGCCTATCGGTAAATCTGCGGTTACTTTAAAGATGATATCGAATGTTGATAGATGAATTTGATCAGCTAACGTTGAGTATTTTCCCTCTTCACAAAAATCGTCCTTATTTATCAACGAATCAAACACTTCGTCCATAGTTACTGCAAATCTTTTCTGTTGTTTACTAACGAAAAAAGGCTCAATCATTTTTCGTCGCATTTTCCACTTTTCACCTTTCGAAGTGACCAACCCTTCCTTTAGTCCAATAAATCCATATAAATAGGGCTTAGTTATGTGACTTTTACTAATCAGTGCCTAAGAATGCAAGTAAAAAAAACGTATTAATTAACAAATAATAACTTGATCGCTCTTGTGTACTCACCTCAACAGACTTGTGATCATTAATGAAAACAAAGGGCCACCACCCGAGCCAAAATACATGTACACCGGATTTAATTTGATGATAAGCAGCATTTTCAATTAAATACTTGGTTAAATAAACTGTCGATGAGAAATTTTAATTAATTCATTGTGATTAACAGATTTAGTTTTGAGAGGGAGAGATTTGATAGAGTTTCTATTAATTAACTCATTGCAATCCTCCAATATATTGGTAAATCTTTCAATATCTCAACTTACTTGATGTCAATTTCTTATTCAAAAAAGCAGATTTAAGTGTAAGTAGATCACCAAATAGGAATGAACATTCTGGATCCTTTGGAAGTTTTAAAAAAGGTTTCAAGTATCTGATGAAATCGAAAAGTTTTTTCACCACAAAAAAACTCAACAAAATCACAATTAAATTGATGAAATTTAAATAACCCGAAAACATGATGACACTTTTTCGGTTATTTTTCACACTTTAATTGATAATTTATAATCAACGTTTAACAACATTAACTAATTGAGATAAACTAATCGTAACTATTTTACACTTTATAAATTACTAATAAAAGGGATTTGACAATTTAATTAAAAAAACAAATTCTTAATCAATGTTTATGTTGTTTTAATTGTTAGATAAAAACGCAATTGAAATATCTGAAAAATTTATGAAGCTGAAAAATATGCAAACTTATTTCCTGAACTTTTCAACATGATGATAACTCGTCATGAACATTAAGAATCATTAAATGTTTGTCTAAGCAACACGAGGTAACTGAGTTCTCAATTAACTTTAGTATGATTACATTTGAAGGGAAAACGTTGATTAATGAGAAATAGATTTGACTTTTAAAATATCTCTACGAATTAATTTCAGCTCTTTCTATAAAGTTGTAACTATTAATAATTTGATTCTTTTTTATAATAAACATTTCCTCTAGAAGGAAAATTATTGAGTAAATGACACTGATATATCACTAATGATCAAGAACCAACAAATTCTCAAAAAAATATGCTTGTAACATCTCATAGAAAAATTATATTCTAGTCATTTAGCAACAATATTGTGATTTAATGAGTATCCAAAATAATTAAAAGTCCATTCAATACTTATTAATCAAAATTAAGCCATCATATGGTATATTTCATGATAATTAAGTATTGTAACTTATTAATTGGCTAGAAATTGATCATTAAAGATCAACTAATGACTTGAGTTGATTTTCACTAATCAGCCAAAGTCAAATCATCATTTTTACCTCTAATTGTAGTCACAAACAATTATTACGATTTTTAGCATGAAGATTGAAAATAAACTAGGCTACCTAAAAGTGAAGGTAAAAGACGAAAAAAGCAAAAGAAAGCAAACACAGTCCAGAGACCGGTCATTTTTCGCAATCAGCTGATAATTAACCGAATTTGAAAATTTTGTCTCCATTTACCAATCACAAAATAGCACATACTGTATTAAATACACTGTATTTATCTCTTACCTTACTACTGTAGTATCTCTTTAGTTAATGTGGAGTTTCATACTTTAAAGATGAAAGTTATAGCATGATTCATACAGAGAAGCATTTATTTTTAACTTATCGTAAGAGTTTTACATTGAGTTAAACTATGATAGGAATTATCTCTCTGACAATTAATCTAATGATTAATCTATTACTTTTTTTCATGATTTCTTATCAATTCGATCGTTTTCGGAGCATAATTTCCAATGGAAATGAAGGCTTTAAAGAGGTGTCCATTGTGAAAGAAACGTCTTCGAGTTTCTTGGCTGAGAAAATTTCATATCTTCTTATCAAATGAATAAGAAAAATTTTCATTTCGATTAAAGCAAATCGATAACCGATACAATTTCTTGGCATTACTCCGAAAGGTATATAAGCTCCTTTGGGAATGTTTGGTAAATTTGATGGATCGAAACGCTCTGGATCATATTCGGTCGGGTTGGGATAAATTCGAGGATCTCGATGGATACTAAGAATGTTAATCATGGTTGTAGGTCCTTTCGGTAAATAATAACCATTTATCTCAATTGGCTCATCCAATTCTCTTCCTATAAATGGTACCGGCGGGTAAAGTCTCATCGACTCTTTGAGACATTTATCGAGATATTCACAATCTTTAATCTTTACAATGTCATTTACAGATTCTTTGTCATCAAAAATTGATGAAATCTCTTGATACAATTTTTCTTGTATATCAATACGATTGCCTGAAAGAGGAATAGAGCAAACGAAATTCAGAGTTGAAAAATTAAACAAAGTTCACCTAAATTTCTTACCTAATATGAACAGGGTCCATTTCAGAGCAGTGGCAGTGGTCTCATGTCCCGCTGCAACTGTGGTCAAGATCTCTTCGCTTATCCCTGATGAATCGATTTTACCTTTATGAGAATTGAGTATATTGACTAAATTGAAAGGTGAAAACAATCCTGACTGATCATCAATATCATTCGAATTATGGTCCAGATTATTGTTGATAGCGATTTCGATGAATTCGTACCCTAGGTTAGCCATTTTGGTACACTTTTTACCAAATCTTGTCATATTGAAAATTCGATCGCTCCATAAAAAAGGGTTACACAATCTGACTATTGTAGATCTTTCCATTAAATCGATTGCCTCAACTGAATCAAGTTTTCTCTCTTTTTCTGAATCTATTGGTAAATCTGCAGTCACTTTCATGATAATATCAGCTGTTGCTAAATGGACTTTGTGACAAAGGGTTAGATATTTTCCCTGGTTACAAAAATCATCTTCGTTTACCAATAAATCAAACACTTCGTCAATGGTCAGTGCAAATCTTTTCTGTTGTTTACTAACGAAAAAAGGTTCAATCATTTTTCGTCTCATTTTCCATTTTTCACCTGTCGAAGTTATCAAACCATCTTTAAGTCCCATGAATTTATAGAAAGGGGGTTTACTTATTATAGCACTATAACTAATCAATTCCTGGAATAGAAAGAACAATATTTTATATAAGTTCCAGAATATACAATCAGAAAGATTCAATTTTAATACTCACTTCAACACATTTGTGGTCATTAATCACAACCATAGGCCACCATCCAAGCCAAAATGCGTGTAGGCCCGATTTGATTTGGTGATTTGAAGCATTCGAAATCATAAAATTAGTTATAGCGACTGTAGATCAGAAATTTGTTCAACACATTTATATTTTAGTTTTCCATTAGACTATTGCATTCGTTTAATAATATTTTACCTTACCTGAAGAAAGTTTTGTGTTCCAGAGACCAGGTATGAATTGAATTGAATCGCCAAACAGAAATGAACATTTTGGATCCTTTGGAAGTTTAAAAAAGGGCTTCAAATATCCGATGAAATTGAAAAGTTTTTCACAACAAAAACACTCAAAACAATCACAACTAAATTGATGCCTGATACATCGGGGAAATTTACATGACTGAAAATCACCATAACTTTTTTTCTTGGACTTTTCAATTAGATAACTTGTCATGAACGCTGAAAATCATCAACTGATTGTTAAAGAAATTTGATTAAGCTGAGTTTATAATTAACTTCAGAGTGATTGAATTTAAAGGGAAAATGGTGATCAATGAGAAATTATTCGACTTTTAAAAGCTTTGTTTTAATATTGTTAACCATTAATTTCAGCTCTTTGGGTAAAGTTCTAACTAATTTGATTCTTTTTTATAATAAACTTTTCCTCGAGAAGGAAAATTATGAAATAAATGACTAGGATACTGATCCATCTACATTGAGGACCATGGGCCAGTAAATACTCAGAAAAATGATTGTAACAGTAATAATACATAGGAGAATAATATTGTGATTTAATGAGCATCCAAAACAATTAAAAGTCTATTCAATTACAATTTCTTATCATATCAGTTCCTCATTTTATTAACATTTGATAATTAATTCGTTTTATTTGTATAATATAGCAGGAAAAAGCTCTCAACAAGTTAAATGAAGAATCTCTCTGTTTACTGTTATCATTGGTGCTTTTCTTAATATCTAATCATCATTTTCGTTAAAATAATTTCGTCATTCGCATGAGATTCGAGTATTTGAGCTTTTCAAATAAATCGCAGTATAAAATTGATCTAATCAAAAAACAGTTCTGATAATTTCTCTTACTATTATGATATTGTTAAGTATTTATATTAGATTGTAAGCTTGATTTTTTCGATAATCTCATGTTTTTGTTGTGATGAAAGGCAACTTCTCGATTGAGAGTGGAATTGCCTTGGGATAAATTGACATTTTCTTTATCCAAATTTTATAATCTTCAACCTGCTCAACCGTAGAACTACCGACGGCACTGAGCATCACTGCAAACGGAATCTAATACTCCTTTGCGCCTGCATATGCTAATAGATTTGAATCGAAATTTATGAACGGGCGCTGAAAAATTCATTTGTCATATTTTATATACTATTCAATCAGTTAGTAGGATATAGATGAAATCGAAACTAATTTAATGTTTATTATTTTTGAAGCTTTTTCAAGTTACAAGTGTATTTTAGTTTTGGATCAACTGAGCTGCAAAAGCCAATGAATTTGGGTGATTCAAAGGACAAGGCCGAGAAATTGAAATATTATGCATCCGATCGCTAATGACCTGCTCAATCGACTGACTCGAAACATAATTTACAGCGATCGATTGTATCTCTTTTGTTAATGTGGAGTTTCATACGTGAAAAATGTTTGTATCAAGTTTGAATAGAGAATAATGTATTTATTACTTATCGAAAAAGTTTTACATTGAGTTAAACCATAATAAAGAATATTTTACTCAAACTTTTTCTACATATACGATTATTTTATATTCTATTATTTATTTATTTCTATTGGCTCGTTTTCGGAGCATAACTTCCAATGGACACAAAAGTTTTATTGTAAAGTCCATCGTAAAAGAAACATCTTCGAGTTTCTTGGCAGAGAAAATTTCATATTTTCTTATTAAATGAATTAAGAAAATTTTAATTTCGATTGTCGCAAAACGATAACCGATACAATTTCTTGGCGATACTCCGAAAGGTACATAAGCTCCTTTAGGAATATTTGGTAAATTTGACGAATCAAAACGCTCTGGATCATATTCAGTCGGATTAGGATAAATTCGAGGGTCTCGTTGAGTGTTGAAGATGTCACACATAACTGTTGTTCCTTTTGGTAAATTGTAACCATTTATCTCAATTGGTTCAACCAATTCTCTTGCAACCAATGGTATCGGGGCAAAGAGTCTCATTGACTCTTTGATGCACTTATCGAGATAGTTACACTTATTTATCTTTTCAATATCATCCACTGATTCGTTTTCCTCGAACATCGATGAAATCTCTTGGTATAACTTTTCTTGAACATCTAGATGACTTCCTAAACGCGAAAAGAACAGTTGATGAAATAAGTACCAGTGGTATAAGTGGTTGATATTCTTACCTAAAATGAACACCGTCAAGTTAATAGTAGAAGCGGTGGTCTCATGTCCCGCTATAACCATAGTGAGCAATTCCTCACTGATTCCATCTAAATTGATTCTACCTTTGTTCGAGCCACTTAACAAGCTGATTAAGTTGTAGGGTGAAGATTCTCTTTGACCTGACTGGTCAATTTTATTCTGATTGTTGTCAAGATTCTGATCGATAATGTTATCGACAAATTTGTACAGCCGGGACATCATTTTGGTAACTTTTCTACCCAATTTGGTGACCGAGAAAATTTGATCATTCCAATAAAGTGGATTACATACTCGTTCTATCGTAGTAGTTTCCATTAGTTTAATGGCCTTGAGCGCGTGTTGTTTTTCCTCTTTATCTGAACCTATCGGTGAATCTGCAGTAACTTTGAAAATGATATCAAACGATGATGAATGAATTTGGTCAGTAAGTGTTGAGTATTTTTCCTCGTTACAAAAATCGTCCTTATTTATCAATGAATCAAATACTCGATCAGAAATCTGGGCAAATCTTTTCCAGTTTTTACTAACGAAAAAAGGTTCGATCATTTTTCGTCTCATTTTCCATTTTTCGCCGCTCGAAGTTAACAAGCCCTCTTTAAGCGCAAGAAATTTATAAATACTGGGTTTCTGCACAATGTTTCTATTAATCAATATCTAAGAAAAGGAATAATCAAATGGTCAATCAGAAATCAATTCGAATTGGTTATATTCACCTCCATGGATTTATAGTCAGACAAAACAGCCACAGGCCACCAGCCAATCCAACCTCCGTAAAAGCCTGATTTCGTTTGATGATTTGAAGCATTTCGAGTCAAATACTTCGTTAAATTAACTGTTCATAAGAAAATTCAATCAAGCTGTATTCAATTTTGATCTAATTAAACTTATATTAACTTACGTGATACTGAGCTTGAATTCCCGAAACAATAGGGAAGCAATTTAAGTAAATCGCCGAAAAGGAATGAGCATTCAGGATCCTTTGGAAATTTGAGAAAACAATTAAAATATTTGATGAAATGGAAAAATTTTTTCACCACAAAAAAACTCAGCAAAATTGCCACTAAATGGACGAAATTAATATCACTGGAAAACATTATTCTTAATACGATTTCCCTATTAAACAAGCAGATAATAAATTATCATGAACATGGACAAGAGTCTGACTGATTCAATAGATTACAGAGAACGAATTTCATTAAAACTTTTAGTTCCTTGCAATGGTACAAGGTCGAAGCAAAATGAATTCAGTTGAATTTTAATGTAATTAAATTCGAAATCAAATAAAACGATATTTCCTCTATTGTTAGAACATTAACTATGATCATCTCTAATTTATCTCTCAATTTAATGATTCTCTTGGTATCGTACTTTTATTGTTTTCAATAGCAACCTTAATTAGTGAATGATTATTATAATAATTGTAATTTCCAACAATCAAATGAACAAATGATATTTTAATGACTCTATTTACATTTTTTAGCTGACGGATTCAACAAGACAATATAGTCAATTTAATTATCAATTATGGTTTTTCTGGCTGTATCAGTTTCTCATAATTTCAATAATCGAGAGATTTTAACTAAAGATATTAACTTTGAAGGAAATAAGACAAGTAAAAATCTCGAAAAATAATTTGCCAATGAATTCGAGATCGAAAGAGATTAAGAGCAAGTACCATCATCTGAAGATGAGCGATATTATCGATATTTTGGTGTCGATTTTTATCGATACAAGAAAAAGAATATCGATTAATAATTTCTCTGCCTTTCTACTTTTTCTTTTCGCCATATTATTTTTGAAGATTTTTTTGACCGATTTTTCAAAGCTTTTCTTTTTCTCTTACTTTTTTCTCTGTCTTTTTCTCTTTCGCTAAATATCGATAAGATCGATATTTAAAATCTGAGTATCGATATCGTTCGATGATATTTTTTTCAAATAGCGCCCATCATCAAACAGAATTACGTTTCATTTCCGTTTAATCATACAGGATGAAATTAAGATCATCTGAAAAATCGCTTTATCGTCAAATGGATATTCGAAAGCTATTAGAGCTCAATGGTTTATTCGTATGAAATCGTCGATTGAGTAGATAAAACTTTGATTTCAATCAGTTGACAGAATTTCACATTGTTATAATACTATCGCATGTGTCTTTATAATGAGATCAATAGATTAGAAGATTAGAAGTCTAGAAGATTTGAACATTCAACTGATCAGAAAAGATTTTATTTTGCTAATAGAAAGTTTAACCAACTGGGTAAAGTGAGAATCTGAACGATTTGTCAATCGTTGATTTGATTCAATTAGAATAATGTTCAGTCACTTAGTTGAACTGTTCAGAAAGTCAATCTCTTTTCTTTCTTAAAAAACCCCATATGATACGGTAAAAGCTCTCGAACGTCACTACCGTTGAGTTGAGGCTACATTTTCCTGTGAATTGATTCTACCTTTGTTAGAGAGACGAAGTATATCAAAGAAATATTAGATGAAATCGAAACAAGAATTATGGTCAATTACCTTTAATTCATAATCAATTAGATAATCATATTTACTTAGTATACTACAGGGCGTTTACGCTAATTAAACAGATTTGTTTTCGGAATAACTCGTGAACTAAGATTCGCACAAACAAATGGACTACACCGGTGGACTTGTCGTGTCTTAGGGTTTACTTTGACACCAAGTTCGAAATTTAAATTCGGCAGGCCAGAATTCCGTTCCAAAATTCGATTTTAAGACAAACGATAAATTTTTCGGTATGAACAAAGACTGAATATCTAGCAAAAACATTTTTATCAGTTTTGACCTTTTGGTTGTCGGAATTCTGGCCTGCCGAATTTAAATTTCGAACTTGGTGTCAAAGTAAACCCTAAGACACGACAAGTCCACCGGTGTAGTCCATTTGTTTGTGCGAATCTTAGTTCACGAGTTATTCCGAAAACAAATCTGTTTAATTAGCGTAAACGCCCTGTATAGTAAAAGTTTTCTGGTATTAAAAATAAAAAGTAAAAAAGTGTTGGTTCGATGGACAAATGAATTTAATTGAGGAAAATAAATCTAACGTTATTTTATTAACGGTTTTTGACAATTCGCACAGGTAGTGACAAAAATTAACAGATTAAACAATCAAGATTAGAAAAATCAATGAGTAAATCATCTAAGTCTTATCACTGGTGATAAAGATTATCAATTGATTTTCGTAGATAAGTTGTGCGAATGATTAAAAATTCAACTTCGACTCGATTCGAAACTCATTTTTCACGACTGTATAATCAGGATTGAATAGTAAACACAACTAGTTAATGATACTAAAAGTAATTGTAATTTCCAAGAATCGTGATTAAATGATATTTTAATGACTCTACATTTTTTGTTTGATTGTCAATGATGTTTTTTTTCATACTTTGATTTTTCATTTCCAACAATTAATTATTATTATAATAATATTAATATTATGAATTGAAATCTTGAAAAAAGGATAAGACTTCGTAACGATTTTTGTTACCTGGTTTATTTTTTACTAAATAAATTGACCAATAAGTTTTGTATTTAATGAATTGAACGGCAAAAATAAGAGAGAATATATTTTCTTATTAATTACTTAAAAGATGATTATGGATTTAATTAAGATAAATCGATCAGTTGGTTCGTTTACGAAGCATGATTTCCAATGGGCTTGAAGGCTTTAAAGTGAAATCCATTTCGAAAGAAACTTCTTCGAGTTTCTTAGCTGAGAAAATTTTATATTTTCTTATCAAATGAATAAGAAAAATTTTCATTTCGATTAATGCAAATCGAGACCCGGTACAAGCTCTTGGTATTACTCCGAAAGGTATATAAGCTCCTTTGGGAATGTTTGGTAAATTTGATGGATCGAAACGCTCAGGATCATATTGAGTTGGATCAGGATAAATTCGAGGATCTCGATGGACATTAAAAATATTACATATTAATATTGATCCTTTTGGCAAATTGTAACCATTTATCTCAATTGGTTCCTCCAGTTCTCTTGCTATCAAAGGTACAGCAGGATAAAGTCTCATTGATTCTTTGAGACACTTGTCAAGATACTCGCAATGTTTAACCCTTTCAATATCATTAACCGATTCGTTTTCTCCAAACATCGATGAAATCTCTTGGTACACTTTTTCTTGGATATCGGGGTAGTTTCCTTTAAACGAAATGGAGCAAACAAAAGAAACAATTTCAAATCTTATTCGTAGAATGAAATTCGTTTTTCTTACCCAAAATGAACATCAACGTGTTAAGAGTTAAGGCCGAGCTATCATGTCCAGCGGATACTGCGGTCAACAGCTCTTCGTTGATTCCTTCTAAATCGATTTTTCCTTTGTTAGATGTGAGCAACATTTTGACGAAATTGAAAGAAGATGAATCCGATTGACCAGACTTATCGCTCTCATTCAAAATTTCCTCATTCCTTATGATACAATCGTCAAGAAATTTGTACACTCTGGCCATCATTTTGACGGTTTTTCTACCTGCTTTGGTTACATCGAATATCCAATCGAACCATAAAAGTGGATTACATATTCTTACTATCGTGTTCGTTTCCATTTGGTGCATAGTCTTGATGAGAAAATTTTTCTCTTCTTGTTCTTTTTCTATCGGTATGCCTGCGGTGGCATTGAGAATAATGCTGCACGTTGATGAATGAAGTTCTGTGGCGAGTGTTAGATATTTTCCCTCTTCACAGAAATCGTTTCCGTTTAACATCGGATCAAAAACGCTGTCAGAAATGATAGCAAACTTTTTTGTTTGTTTGCTAACGAAAAAAGGTTCGATCATTTTTCGTCTCATTTTCCATTTTTGTCCAACCGAAGAGATCAAACCCTCTCTGAGTCCGGTGAATTTATAGAAAATGGGTTTATGTATAACATTTTCTCTAACCAGTGCCTGAGAATAAAAAACTAATCCAGTTAGTTTCATTCTAAGCATTGAGCTTTCTTTCCAGTCAAGTTCTTTCGTGGATTATCTACTTAATCTGTGAGGCTAATCTCGTAAATTCAACTAATAATCGTTAGATAATGGATATAATTTTAACCTTCACTCACCTCAATGGCTTTATAATCATGTAGAATCACAATAGGCCACCAACCAAGCCAACCTCCATGTATACCCGATTTGATTTGATGATGAGAAGCATTTTTTGTCATATAAGTGGTCACAGCATCTATTGAATGATTTAACATCAAGAGTAATTGTCGATTTGATTGTCATATTACATATTATTGTAATAAAACAAATCTATAAGTAAACTTACCCGAAGAAAATTTCTGATCCCAGATAGCAGGTATGAAGTGAAGTAAATCGCCCAATAGGAATGTACAATTAGGATCCTTTGGAAGTTTTAAGAAACAGTTATAATATTTAATGAAATTCACAAGTTTTTTTATCACAAGCACAATTAAAATAGTTACAATTAAATCGATGAAAAGTTTATAAGTGAAATTCATCTCACCATAAAGCATGATGATATTTTTCTCGTACGTTTCACTCTCAGAGTTCAGAGCGAGGATATGAGTTTGACTGACAAAATGAAGGAAGGCAAACAAATGAACACAACTCGAATGGTAATCATTTCCAATATCGTCATTATTATTACCTCAGGAAAAAGATTCTTTATAGATAGGATTGTTTTTCCACGATGAATTCACCCATCTAGGCAAATGATTTAATGTAAAAATACATCTAAATATGAGATGAATTGAAATATACTTTATCTAATGATCATCGCTAATTCGTTTACCTTAATTGTTCAAGATTGAAGGTCTAAAACAATATTGAATATTTACGATTGTTTTAATGATACAGTCCTTTCAACATGATTTTCTTTACAATCGAATGGAACTTTTTACAAAAAAGTTAGTTGAAACGATTAAGAATTAGATAAGATCAACTCGAATCGATCAACTCGATCAGTTGAAGGTTTAAAAACAAGCGGCTTTTTGGGTCTATTTTTTTAGAAAAGGGTCCATTTGATTCTTTCGATAGTCCCATAAAGGTTGCAGGTCATTCATTAGGTGTCTACTACTTTTTTCATTTTGAGACATTTCTAAAGCCGAAAAACGAAATATTAAATAGGAAATCGAACCTTTAGTTCGTATTTATCCATAACGACCTCAAAGTGAAATTTGCCTGATTGACATAAAGAACAAATTAGATAATAGTTAGTCATTTTTGTCTATTAGAAATACATTGAATAAGCATTCGAACAATTCCAAGTTTTCAATAAGTTTCGATAGTTATTAAACTCGAAAAATGACCGCAATGGCCATAATCAATTCGGTAGCATTACAATAAGATGAAAAATTAATATTACCAGCTGGTCAAAGCTAGCGGTTCCTGTAATTCAATTTGTGAGTAACTGTAAATTATTCAATTGAAAAAAACAAGGAGAATTAAGCTGATCGCCGAAGTTGATTTGGACCTGTTGTAATTATTTTAATTTAATCATTTATTATTATTCAACCACTAGAATTGTGGTCAACTACCTTTAAATCATAATTAAACAATGGTCAAAGTTTTTATACGTTATGGAAAAAGTAAATAATATTGATTCAATGTCATTGAATCACAAGTAATTTACTTATGCTCATAGCATAAGTTTAAATCAATAGAAAACATAATTTAATCATCTTTTTTGAATAGGAGAACAATTAGTGAATTATTACTATATACTAGGGAAGTAATTTTCCACTGAACAATCACAATTAATGCTCATAAGATGGACACAAAATGCTAATATACATAAATGCTTTCATATCATCATTTAAAATAGTAAACACAATAACCTTATTATTGTAGTTGATGATTATAAAAGTAAATGTGATTTCCAAGATTAACGATCAAATGATATTTCAATGAATAATTACATCTACATCATGTAAATCTTTTACTTGGCGATTCGATAATGTTTTTCATATTTAGACAGCTCATTTTAAGCAATTAATTAATAAATCGAAATCTTGATAAATGGATGAGATAATATAGCGATTTTTGTTACTTGGTTTATTTAGCTTTTTTGAATTCGTGTTTGATGATTGTTAGGATAATCTACATGTTTATTATGTTGTTAATTAAGATAAATCGATCAGTTGGTTCGTTTACGAAGCATGATTTCCAATGAGCTTGAAGGCTTTAAAGTGAAATCCATTTCGAAAGAAACTTCTTCGAGTTTCTTAGCTGAGACAATTTTCTGTTTTCTTATCAAATGCAAAAGAAAAATTTTCATTTCGATACAAGCTCTTGGTGCTATACCGAAAGGTATATAAGCTTCTTTAGGAATATTTGGTAAATTTGATGGATCGAAACGCTCAGGACCATATTGAGTTGGATCAGGATAAATTCGAGGATCTCGATGGACATTAAAATTATTGATTTAATAAAGAAAACAAAATAATCTACCGATTGATGTTATCAATTTATTTCTGGCAAAACTAAATAAAGTTTACTTTAGTTTAGGCATGAAACTTTGGTCGAAAAACTCGTTTAACTAGAAAAACATAAGATCTGGAGAGAAAAAAAATCAAACCGAACTGCATCTCATTTATCGTTCTATTATCGTGCAAATTTAATAGAAAATCGGAGTTTGGGTCAGAAATGGAACAAATTTTTCTATTCTGAACTTTTTATCCATAAAACCCTTTATCAAAATAATTATTATTAACAGGCTATTTAATCATCACTAATAAGTTCGAGCATCAACCAAAGGTTCGCCGTACGAATTCATAGTTCTGAATCAATGTTTTGATCATTCAGTCGGTTCAAGTTGATTGGAAAAGTTTTTTTTAATACAGTGTAATTGAATTCAGAATATAATAATTTGAATTTATTTAGTTATATCATGTTCGGTAACGTATTTGGATACACGAAAACTTAATATTTTAGGATAATTCATTAGCATAAATTATTCAACTAACCACTGATTCTACTTCGTCTTTTCTTGCCCAGGCCATATGAGAGTTAATATTAAGCAATGTTGACAATTTAGTAGCCGTTGACATGAAAGTTTCTTCAAACTCATTTAATGATCCACTTGAATTGTTACTCGAATTGGTGTTTCCCTGTTGCTGTTGTTGCTTTTTGTTTAACCAAAACTGTTCCAATGTCATCAGAAGCTCCATGATCATGTCTTTACATTCACCTTGATCTTTATTGTAAAGATAAACAGCATAATTAATCAATGGAATCGGAGAAAAATTAACCATTCGCTCCAAATTCTTTGTAGCGGTTATATGAGCCTGTCGAGCATTTATATCATCGCTTAACGATTCAAGACAAACACCAAGCAATGAGAAGATAACATTTGATGTCGACGATTTAGCAAGAGCACAAGAGGTTTTAAAGAAATGAAAACCACTGGCAAATTGTCGCAATTGTAATGATATTAATCCAAGATTATAATTAATCCGATGATCCAATGGATTAAGGTAAATAGCCCTTTTCAAGCAACTGACCGCCGCTACATATTTCTTTCTTGCAGCAAAGCAAAGAGCAACATTATTCCAGATACTCGGTGATTCATAACATTCGGACAGTTTATACTTGTAAAGAGCACCTTCGATATCTCCACGAGTTTCCTGTAAAATTGAACCAACGGCCAGAGATAGATCGAGATTTCCTCTTAAATTCATCGTCATTTGATTTAATTGAATGAACTTTTCGATTCCTTTTGACCTCATATCACTTTCCATCAATAGTTGTCCCAAACGTATTGCAACCGGAATAGAGTCTGGTGATATTCTGGATACATAAAACAATAGAAGAAGAGAAATTGATTGAAAAATTTAATCAAATTAAGAAAATTACTGGTAAGAGATTGATTGTAAAAAATCAATCGGCAGTCAAATCAGAACAATATAACCAACAGATTAATAGATTAGTGGATTTGAACTTTCAGCTTCAAATATTGTAAATTAATCAATAAACTCTAATCAATCTAATGGATTTGAGATTGAATTTGTTCATTTAAACATTGAAATGATCAGAAAATGAAAAAGTTTTGCAATTTGTACAATTAGATTTGATTTTGCCAATAGAGAGTTTAATCAACTGAGTAAAGTGAGAATCTAAATGATTTGTTAATCGTTGATTTGATTCAATTGTGATAATGTTCAGTCACTTAGTTGAACTGTTCAGAAATTCAACTATCCCTGGATTTCCGGTTCTTTTTTCACTTGAATCTAAATCACGACAATACTTGTGGATACTTGTGGTCATTGTTTTTCTTGGATTAACTACAAATTCACTAATCACAATAGTCCAAGAGTTTTTAACTTTCCCAATCATAGTCAATGTACTTGTTGCCGATAGTCGAGTGTTACCTTTTCCAGCGGTAACGATTTGTAATCTTAATCCGGTTCATCGATCGCGATTTTGTTCATATCAAGATGTGACGATTAACAAACCAGTCGACGTTGAAAGTATTCTATGTGCTAATCTGGATAAAATGTTGGACCTTTGTGAGATCTCAAGTTTTTTAAATGATCTACTCGATCAGGGTCGAGAAATTTGTCTACCTCAGACCATCAAGCGTCGACCAATCGTCCGACCTTTACGTCCAATAAATTTCACTCGTCCCATTGATAGATTTAACTTTGGTCAATCGAATCGTAAGTTGAACAGTTCATCGTCGATCCCAAGGCGACGGATACCTCGAGGTCTTTCACTCAGGGAATTCATTCAAGGTTTTCGTATGTTCATCTCGGGTGATGTTATTGGCCTTTTTAATTCGACTGGACTATTAACTGGACTCGGTGTAAGTCTAATTCTCGATGGTAATTACATTACATTAACGGTCATTAATTTAATACAATTCAGCAGGAATCTGGTTCTTTTATCGATACAGCGGTTATTCAATTCGCCAAGATTTATGGGATTAACATCAAGTCGAGTGAGGATCTGATTCCAGCCTTGTTTTTGAAAGGATTTGCGGATATAACGGTAAATTTCAATGTAATACTTTCGGTGAAGAAAAATAACTAATCGTTCGTTAAACTTATCCAATGAAAGGGTTGTCGATTTGGATCAGTTTATAGATCAAATGGTTCGATCGCACTAGAGGCCACTCTTCGTAATATAACTGACCTCATATTGGTGAGTAAATGTATTGTGTTGGTATTACTTTAATAGCCGATCCATTTTGACTCAAAGTTCGTAATGTTTATTATGTCCAGAATTCGGGCTGTATCTGGAAACTTCCGAGGCTTTTTAGCCTTTTCCAAAATTCATCCGAACGTCTACTCAATGGCCTTTCCTCTTGCACAGCTCCTTGGGTCAGATCAGTTCTCAGGGTTAACAGTTCATCTTCCGATGATAAAGATTTTGACCAAACAGAATCTCCTTGGTATATCTTATTGGATCTACTTCAATCTTGGTTGGCCGATTTAAGTCGTAACCATTTATCAGTTGCTCGACACTTAGGCCATCAATCGAATGATCTAATCATGAGTTGTCATTTTGCGGGTAAAAAATGTTATCCAACTGAATTTGATTCAATATTTTCCAGTTCTTATGGAAACTGTTACACTTACAATATGGCTGATTCACTTTCATCGATTATTAAATCAACAAAACAATCAATCAATTCTGATCAAAAGCTATCTGGTTTTACTGGACCCAAGTTTGGTCTTGAATTGGTTTTAAACCTCGAAGTTGACCAGTACATGCCGACATCGAGGGAAACTGGAGCTAAGATTGTGATTCACGATAGATCGCAAAAAGCTGATCCCGATCAAGATGCTGTCCATGTGCCTCCAGGTAACAATAAATAACAAGTCCAATCAAATGATCTAATTGCCAAGTAATTTATCATTTTCTAATCAATTAGGTGTAGTCACCTATGTAGGAATTCAATTGATTAATATCACTCGACTTCCAGCTCCATATCGAGATCAATGTTCAGACGATTGGCTCGATGATTGGGTCAAAGACTGGGCGATGTCCATTGACCATGGACCTTATACTTCACAGTTTTGTCTAAAATTGTGCCTTCAAACGTACACATTGACCAAATGCGATTGCTGGACAGTTTCCGCTCCACCGCCCAACAATTCAACTCGCAAACAATGTAACTTACGACGGAATCCAGGTCAATTAATAACAATCAAACTAAATCACCTCAATTGATTTAACTTTAATTTTCCAATTCTTTTACTCTTCCAGGTCAAGCTCAATGTGTTGAGCGAGTTCGAGAAAATTATTACGCTGGCGAATTGATCTGCAACTGTCCACCTCGATGCAAGTAAGTTTCTCGACCGATTGATGATCGAAATAATCAAATTAATAAATTCTTATTCTATTCAATCAATTTAATTTTGTTCTACTTCGAAGTGAAAAAGTTTACGAAAAGTTCATTTCCACTGGAATCGAAGCTGCTCAATGTTCAGCTTTATCATCGGGTGTCGAAGATTCATCGGTAGATCACAAGTAAACAGAAAAATGTTCTAATCGTTGAGATTAAATTCGAAGACAATTAACATCTAATAGTTAATCAATTTTGTTTCGCAGGGAAAACATCGCCAAGGTGATCATTTATTACCAAACATTGAGCTTCACTGAAATAACTCAAGACGTTAAATACACGGTAAGTCTCAATTTCGAAGTTAATTAACTTAATTAACTTTAATTTCTTTCAAGTGGTCAAGTATCATTGGTGCGATCGGTGGTATTCTTGGCGTTTACCTGGGATTTAGTTTGATTACAATTTACGAATTTTTTGAAATTCTAATTGTTTCTTGTATTCGGCAAATGATTCCTAACAAAACTTTCACTTCTAAAATTAAGACTCGAGTAAATTGACGATTTAATCTTTTGTCAACAATTAAACTGATAGTAGAAGAAGAAAAGTGATTAAAGAAATAATGATCATTGACCAATGTCCGAAATTTAGTTTCCAAATTAACTAAATAATCAAAGAAATTGACAAAATCTCATCTTCAAGTTAAAATGTGACAACAACCATCAAGTTTTCAATGGTTATGATTGTAATCATCTAATAAATTGGAAATTTTTTCACAATTGTAAACAATTTACTTGATTTCTTTTAATCAATTGCTCATTTTAAGGTCAAATCAATTGTACCTGACACCGAAAATGATTACAATTTCAATTGTATGTCGACAATTTGTTTTTTTTTCTTGATGATGTTTACCCTTTTTCTGGTTTGGGTTTTGTATGAGGGAACGGATTAGATGAATAATCAAGATTAGAATGAGAGAGAGATTAATTCTTAATTTATCTGTCAAGTTAATTTAGTTCGTAAACATGATGATCATCGGTTGATCAACAAACTTAATCACGATAACCTCTTTTTTCACTTGCAATAGTATTAGACTGATTGATAGAAACAAAAGAGAGTAAAAGATAAACGTAATTAAATTGTTTCTAATTATTGATGAGACGATAATCAAAGATGATCACTAAAGAGAAGCAAAAGAAAGGGAGACAACAATTAACACCAAGATAATTATTAAAGATAATTACTAATCGAGTTAAATTGTGAACAACAAAACAAAAACAAAACCAAAAGAAAACTGAAAATTGAAAGAGAAAAATTTTCTATATGTAAACATTAACGTCGTTGTTGTTGTTGTTGTTTACAAACTCACCCAAAGATTGGGAAGCAATTTAATTGTTCCCTGGTCAGTTGTCTAATCCATTGGCCTGTTAATTTAGTGACCACCGTTGATTAACTAATTAACTGATTTGATTGCCTGAAGAGGGCATAAGTTGATTTAATAACAATTCAGTTGAATGTGTGAGCTGTTGGTTGGAAAACAACAAAATACCAAACCGGTTAAACAGAAACCAAAGTCACATCAACAAGTCAACTGGTAACTTTTTGTTTTCTCCTTCACTTTGATTACAATTATTGTGGATAATTCAACAATTGATTTAATTGTGATTAACACCATTAATCTTCTAATCAACATACGGATATTAAAACTGTTAAATTTGGATTAACAATCAAAACCAAAAGTGATCTTCATTGGGATAATATTTTTCTTTCCATAGTTGTTTGTTGTTGTTGTTGTTTTCTGTTGTCACCTTAGTGTCTTAATATTCAATTTGGTTTCATCTTACAACTTGAGGTAAGTTTTGTCAACCTTTTTTATTTTTTGATTGTGTTTACTATTTTGATTGTTTTAATTAACTTGTTGTGTGAAAATTAATCAATCCTATCTAGTTGATTAATCTACTGACCCAGTGTTTTCTTGGCTATTTGTCTCTCCTCTGTGTCTATTCACCTTGACTTGTATTCATAACAATGGATCGTTTGAAATTTCTTGACAACAATTGTGTTCTAATTGACTTACTTGTCTTGATTTTGTCATTTACTTTCACAATTATTGTTAACTAATCAAATAATTTACTGTATTCAATGTTATTCGGTAATTAAGATTAATTGTTGAAGCAAAGAAATGTTTCAAATCATCTCTTTCCTGTGTCACAATTTTGTTTCAATCCAAAACAAACAAATGAGTTACAATTTTGGGTTTTCTTGTATTTTCAATGAAATTAATTCATTTGGAAACAAAATTATTCATTCATATTAATTGTAACTGACAAACTGTTGATTAGTGATTCTAATACGGGATGAAATGATAATCATCTCATGTGATTGTTCAGAATTTTAAATGAGCGGAATTGACAAAAATTTCCAATCTATTGGTTGATGTTTATGTTTTTTTTTGTCGCTTTCAAACCATTTGGATTAACTTTCCAATCATTTAACAATTAATACATTGGTGATGATTAATTCTTTCACCAACTAATCATCATCATCATCACAATTGTCTTTCTAATTGTTTTACACTCTTAAAGTGTGCCCATTGAATCAAGGTAAGTGTCCATCTAATTACCTTGTACTGGTTTCTTTCATCAACTTGCCCTTTCCTCCCTTAAGAAAATGTTGTTTACTTGTGCTAAATGGTTTCCATGTTAAGCTATTCGGAGAGAGATGAATATTATCTTCTCTTTCTTTTCTTTCTTTCTCAGAACTTTTTTTGTTGCTTTTCTTGTGAAAGAAAACTCAGTAATCATGAGGATTGATGATGATGAAAAAAAGAGATGTTGTTTTCAAGTGTAAAAGAGAACATACAAAAGTCCTAAATGATGAAGAGAAAAAGATGAAACTCTAAAAATTGAAAAGAAAGAGATGAAAGGAATGATGATGACGATGAAGATGAAGATGAAGATGATGACCATTGAAGAGAAATCATCTCAAATCTCTCTCTCTCTCTTTCTTTCTTTCTTTCTTTTCCTCTTTCTTTTCATCTTCAATGACGGAACTAGATTAACCTGAAACTGCAGTTTGCCTGAAGGTAAATTGGGTAAGATGAGAATAGAGAGCAAAGTAACCGAAAGATGAAGATGATGATTAAAGGGGAAACCAGAGGATGTTGCGTATTAATTTTTATCATCATCATCATCAAAATAATTAGTAAATTGTGATTACCTTTAGATAGAGAGATTTTAGTGATGAGGATGAAGAAATCGATTCATTTTCATGTTCATCTTTCCATCTTTCTGATTATTTTTATCATGTCCTAACACTGAGCGTTAATTGTTTGGCCTGAAGAGTTTATCAATTGTAACCAGTCTCCAACAATTAAGCCAAAATCAGTCAGCTTAGTTTTTTTTTACTTGCGTTGATTGTTTACCTTTTTCTTAAAGGTTAATTCAGATTCTTCATTTCAACCTGGTTTCAATGGATTCAATTTCAAGTCTAATCTTGCAACAATTAATATCAACAATCAACCATGATACTCACATATATTTTTATAAATGATTAATTTAAATAATTGTTAACATAATCAAGATGTTGAGGAGATTATTTTTAAAAAGTAACTGTTTTTTTTTCTTGCTTTAATATTATAATAGTAAATATTTTATTCTAATTATATTTTTTAAGGTTAACCTAATGATGATGATGGTCACGATAAGATGAAAGTTGAATTTGTTATGGTCATCGTTTAGATTAATCCATTTTCTGATGATTTTGATGGTTTGTAATAAGATGATTAACTTAAATTAGACTATTAATCGTGGGAACTACGAAAACATCACAATATATGTATAAAGAGAGAGAGAGAGAGAGAGAGAGAGAGAGAGAGAGATGGACATTAGAGTGAATGGTCAGCTCATGATTACAATGAATCTGTTGACAGGTAAAGGATAAGGAGAGTTAATCAATTTCACCCATTTTTTATTGTTCTTTTTGTAATACCTTAGATAATTAAGATAGTTAAGTAATTAACTTACTCAGTTGCTCTTCTTAGGACAAAAATGGCCGATTTGGTGTCACCTTCGATCGTGTGACATTGAGCCAACAATAGGAAAGGTTCAACTGTATTAGCATTTTGAAGTGAATGTTGATACGCATCTTTGGCGAGTGAAATATTACCTGAATGGAGATAACAATTGCCCAAGATTAACCATAACTGCCAATCGTTTTGTGCCATTTGCAGGCCAGTTTCACGAATCACTTCGGACACCTCCGTGTGTCTACCAAGAAGAAGTAAACATCTAATAACCGCTTTAATATAGTAAACATTTGACAAAGATTTAATATGATTAAAGAAGGATAAAGCTTCCTTTACATTTCCTTTATCTCGTAGGGAGATTAACCCTTTCAGGTACCAAGAGTATTCTGATGAACAATCAATCCGATTAATTTGTTCACAACAATAATTATATTCACCACGAACATAATGTAAATGTAATAACCAATTGTAACTTTCTTTGGATCGTAATTCATTACTTGGTGGTTTAACTGTGGTCATTATTGAACTGGACATTCCACTTGATTTAGCTGAAGGTGGAATCATCTTGCTATTATTATTATTATTATGAATACACTCACTTTCACTTACAATCAATTGAAGATTATCTTGATCACTTTTACTATTTTCATCAATACCATTTAGTTGATTGTTAACATCGTAATCACTTGTGTCCATATTAATGTCCACTCTTTTGATTTAATCTTATTTTCACTTCCCCAATTCCCAATTTATCATCATCACATTTGAATATAATACTAATTTTCTCATTCATACAATTGTAAACACAATTGTCTCTCTCTGTTGTTTATTATTATTATATTATTGTTGTCATTAGATTTCATGAATTACTTTTTGTTGACAATGTTAACTTTGTTTTGAATCTCATGGTCACCATGGGAAACTGAACCAGAACTATTATCCATCCACCCTCTGAAAATGATCAACAAGCAATGATGATGATGAGAGATCATTTTTTAACTCTATCATGATGATTATCTTCGTCTTAATTATGATTATAAGATAATCATCTCTTCACATGTGAATCTATTTTATGTGAACACAATCAACCATTATCATTAACAAGCTTACCCTTGGATTGTTACACTTAATCAAGATTCACACTCACACACACACAATCATGATTATTATGAATACACAATTAGCTTCTCAATAGTAATAACAAAAATCTTAATCATTGTCACCTTAATCATTAATTTCTGCTTATAATTTGAATCACAATCAGGAAATAAGGTAACTTATTGGTGAAAAAAACATCCAACAATCTTATCAATCATACATTTATATTAATTGCTGTAA